AAAAAGACGGAAGACGATAGAGACAAGGAAGGGAAGGAAGGGGAGGGAAGAAAAACGAAAGCCCGCTCTACGGTATCCGGTCCTGCACTTTCAGACGACAAGAAGTACAGATGGAAAGCAGAAGTCGGGGCTTTTGAATTCTGGGTCTTCCAAGACTCTTATTAGAGACGGATTCCAAGGGCCCCCAAACGTCAGGCGGGAGGAGGAGGGGGGGGGGTTAGTTCGTACACTGGTGGGTTTTGGTTGGTTTGTTCTTGTTTGAGATTCTGGCTGGCGCGGTTTTGGCCTTTGTTCCCCCCGGTCACAGGTTCGAAGCCGGGAAGACGGACGGAATAAGGGCAACCCGGGGGTTTGGGGGAGGATAAGAGTTTTTTTTTTTTTTTGTCCGATGTGAGAGGAGAGATTGGGACGACTGGGTGTTGATTGCAGGATGGGAGAGAGAGAAAAAAAGACCCGCCCCTTGAAGAGGGCGAGGGTCTAGTCGCGTATCAGGACGACGAGAGAGACTGTCCCGGCACCGGACGGGTTCATGCGCGGGGGCGGCAAGGACGGCGTCGCTGCCCTGGTGGTGGAGTGGTGGTGATGGCGAGGTCGTCTCAGGATAGCAGACATGTATGCGACAGGGTGGGCATTTGCCGTAACTATCTTGTATTGCCTTTTTCTTTTTCTTCTGATGTCGTTGGGCAAAAAAAAAACGGTGAATTGCGTATCGGAGGCGTTGAAACACACAAAAGGTTGGTGCTGCTTTGTCGCACAAGATGGATGGGGTTGAGGTCGTGCCAGATGCAGATCAGACGAGATGGATTCCAGGCAAAGGCGGAGGGGGGGGGGGATGGGCAGGAAAATTGTCAGCGTTGTGAGGCAGTAGTCTGGTCGCAAGATTGTTTTGGTCTTGTTGAACAAAATCTGTCGAAAAGGAGATGGCGAGTCAAAAGAGTTGTGTAGGTAGGTAAGGTAGGTGGAAGGAAGAGAGCAAAGAAAACCCCGGCGGCGGGGAGGGGCGGTTTATGGTCATGCGGGTTGCGGCGGCGCCGGGTTTGAGGGTGAGGGAGTAGGCGTTTTAAGAATGACCAAGACCCAAACCTCCCCCCTTGTTGCCTGTGTGTGTGTGTGTGTGTGTGTATGTGTGTTGGTTTTTGTTGCGTACCGCCGGAGGGGGGCTTAAAGTTGGGGAAGAGGGGAAGAAGAAGGCAGAGTTGTTGCGAGAGAGAGAGAGAGAGAGTGAGAGAGGGCCGGGCGGCCGGGCGGGAAAAAAGGGCCCTTTGGGCGCGTAGGGGAAAAAAGAGAAAAAAGAGGAACGAGGTTTTGTAACGTTGGTTAGTGAGCCAAGGTTTGTTAGCTACCTACTACTACCTAGGTAGTAAACGTAGTAAACTGGTACTGGTGGTTGGTGGGCAGAAAGCTAGGCGGACCCCATGGCTGGGTTTGGTGGGTTTGGTGATGGCGTCGGCGGTTACACGATGGGGTCGACACCAATCATGGGCCTGCGAGGGCGGTCGGGTGTGTGTGGTGGTTTCTGGACGGGAGCATGCATGGGCGGTCGGTCGGTCGGGTGGGATTGTGGTTTGTGGATGGTGTGTGTGTATGTATGTATGTGGTCCTTTTTGGCCTTTTTTTACCTAGACAATCTATTATTATGCCGAGATATTATACGTCCAAAGACCCCTGGCCTCGAGGGCTGGGAACTGCATAGATGGGATTTTGGATGGATGGGTGGGGTTGGCGTTGCGACGGGGGGTCACCAGCAAGTTACTACAAGGTCAGGTTGCCTTGTAACATGCATGCATCAACAGGTGTATAATTGTATGTACAAATTACTTTCTTATTCTTCCCCCAAGTCGGGCTTCCGCCAACCCACTTTGACTTGACGTGAGAGTCAACAAAATTCATTGTTATAGCCAACGCCCGCCGCCAACCTTTTTCGCCACTGCACCGAAAGGTCAAGTCACCGCCCATTGTCCCATTCGCTCCACTCAGTCCTACAGACGATCCCACGTTTTTTTTTTATGCCTGCCATCTGTACCCCCGATCGGGAAGTCCGGCGGCTGTATGGCCGTCCTCATTGGCTGATAACTCCGCACTCTCCACACCCCCCCAGCGACCAGTCACCACACAGAACACGGCCAAGCTTTTTTCGCTACCTGCTTCTCACTTCTCAGTTCAGTTCTCCTGGCTTTTTTATTCTATTTTATCCCCATCATTTTCTTTCCTCCCTGTCATTGGCTTGCCTCTTACAGTCTCGCCTGTGTGGGATGCGACGGGGTGGACTTTGCCAACTTGCATCATGCATGGGGAACCTTTTTTTTTTCTTTGTTTTTAAACCTCGCCGCCCGTGCCATCATCATCGTGGTTCGAGCTTCTTCGGTCCGCCAAGCTTGATGGATGGCGTCATGTCATAAAGCCACGGGCTGGTCCGTCGTTATTCGCCTTTCTATTTTCCTTCCGACTCGGTAGTTGTTGCAGCATTGGTCCGACCTCGATGGCCCACTCACCACCCACCAACCAACCTCATCACATCACTTGACAGCGTAGATCGGGGACCCTGCTCGATCTCTGTGTCACTCTTCACCACACACAATCATGCCATCATCTTTGCATTCAGTGCCTCCGCGTGGTTTTCTTGTGTGCATTATTTTCTTGCTTTTTCTGTGTTTCTGTGTTTCTGTGACATGAAACAATGTACACGTTTTAAAACACGCCGCTTTCCATCGTCGTTGTGGCCGAGAGTTGAGTCGCCTGATGCCCTCTATATACAAGTTTTTTCACATCATTACAAATGTACACGCATGCCAAGATGCTCGTCTTGCCACGCTTCAACGCACACATCTCCCCTCTCACGTCGGCGCCGCTTCCCCCAACGACGCCTGCACCGCTTTCTTCGGGCCCGCATCCCGCAGCGCCCGCAGCGCCTCCTCCACCGCCCCGAGCCGCGCCTCGGCCTCGCGCAGCGCCCCATCGCGCTCGTCCAGCCGCTTGCCCAGCGCCTCAATCTGCTCCTTGTTGCTGTCCGGCTTCTGCTGCGAGCGCCAGTACTCGTACAGGATGAGCGCGACCGCCACCCCGAGGATGAAGGTGTCGCCCACCACGTCCGCAAACAGGTCCACGGCCTTGTCTTCCGGCAGCGCCCGGAACTTGCGCGTCCAAATGTTTTGAAACGGCTGCCTCCGGGGCGTCGTCTTTTGTTTCGTCGTCGCCGTCGCCGTCGCCGTCGTCGCCGCCGCAGGACTCGCCTTTTGCTGCTCCTTGGCTTTGCCCTCTTCCTCGCGCCGCGTTTGGGCTTCCGTCTTGACCGTCGGCGCCTCGGCCTTTTCCCGCGCCCGCCGCTCCGCCTCGGGGTCGCGGAGGAGGGCGACCGACGTGCGCATGTTGAGCTGGTGCATCATCTGGCCGTACCGGGCGGCAAAGGCACGGAATCGCGCGTGGTCGTGAGCTTGCTTCTTAATGCGGTTCTGGCCAAGAATAAAACGTCAGTAAAATTCGCGCGGGGTTGATGGAACCCGGGTGCGGCGTAAGGGAGGGGGATCGCGCGCCAGACGTACAGCGCCATATTTGGAAATATGCCGGAGAAACAGCGATCCAAGCTTGAACAATGGCAGCGGCACCATTTTCAATCTTGTTCGTCATGGGAATTGGTCAGAAATCTAATTCGTAGGTAGTCTTGAAACAGAGCGTAGTCATCCCCTTCAAAGTGGGGCGGTCCGAACTGCCAGCTGCGCACCCGTTGCCAACACCCGGCCAGCCCCATAAAACGCTGCAGTCGACCAATGGTATCCCCGCATTTCCGTTGCCAGCAGCAACCAAATGCCAAAAAAGTACACAAACCACGGGGCAACCACACCAACTCTTGATGGAACTTTGACAGCACGAGGGCCACGGTGATCCACCCAAAGTCATCTTCTAGACTTTATTTTTCCATCTTTGCTTCAGCGCTTTGTTTGACAGTTGTTTCCTTCCTGCTTTGGACCCCTCCTTGGCCGCCCTCCTCTGGCTCCGACGTATGACTGTCCTGCCCGAGTCTGCTGGAGCTGTTGAACGCACAGCAAACCGACGACAACCCCCGACCCTGAACCCTCGAAAGGAGTGCAGCAGCAACTCGCGCAGTAGCCATGGCTCATCGGCTCATAGCTAGGGGCGCCGACCTCGAGGCCCTCTCACCTCGCGATGCCAACGCGCAGCGCATGCCCAAGCCGTCCACCAAGACGGCCGCCGACGGCAAGACCAAGACGGCTGCACAGCTCAAGGCGGCCAAGGACAAGGAGCACCCGCCGCCGCCGCCGCCCGAGGTCTTGGAGCCCTCGTCCAGCGAGCGTCCTGGAGGCGCCGTCTACCAGACCGGGAAGCTGCTCGGCAAGGGCGGCTTCGCCATCTGCTACAGCGGCCACCTGCAGCCCTCGAACAAGGTCTACGCCCTCAAGATTGTCAAGAGCCACATGCCGGCCAAGATGGAGCAAAAGGTAGGTCGTCTACGCTCCGTTGCTGGGGCACGCGAGAGATTGCTGACACGACACCCAGTTCCAAACCGAATTGCAAATACACTCCAAGATGAAACACAAGAACATTGTCCAGTTTTGGCGCGCCTTTTCCTTTCAGAACAGCACCTACCTCGTCCTTGAACTCTGCCCCAACGGCTCCCTCATGGACATGGTCAAGCGCCGCAAGGGACTCACCGAGCCCGAAGTCCGCTTCTACTCGGTCCAGATTGCCGGCGCCATCAAATACATGCACAGCAAGGGCATCATCCACAGAGACTTGAAAATGGGCAACATCTTTCTCGACGCCCACATGAATGCCAAGATTGGCGACTTTGGTCTCGCTGCGCTCCTTGTTACTGGCAGGGACATGCACACCATCCGTCGCACGACACTCTGCGGAACCCCAAACTATATCGCACCCGAAATCTTGGAAAAGGGAAAAAAGGGCCACGATCACATGGTTGACATCTGGTCCCTTGGTATCATCATGTAAGTCCTCGCATCATACACAAGTCTCACTTGACTAATTTGATAGGTTTGCCATGTTCACTTCCAAACCTCCCTTCCAGTCCTCCACTACAGATGAGATTTACCGCCGCGCAAGAGAGCGTGACTATGAATGGCCCGTCAATGACACTACGCGCTACATCAGTGACGAAGCCAAAGATCTGGTGGCCACCATGTTGGAGGATGCCGAGCAGCGACCAGAACCAGACGCCATTATTCAGCACCCCTTCTTCACAATCGGCTACACACCAAGAGAATCCGAGATGAGCACCCGCCTGCGCGACACAGCGCCGGACAGGCAAGAGTTTTACGGCCGTCTGCCTCCCGCCATGCGTACACAGGCGATGCGAAACCTCAAAGAGCTCTGCCGCGAGTGCTGCATCGGTCCCATGGCCAATGTGCAGGTTCTTCACACGCAGATTTGGAAGGAGATGGCTGCCGAGGAAAAGGCTGGTCTGACCCCCGTCATTCCTCTAGCCGACGATATTGTCTATACGCCGTTTGACGACTGGATCAAGGAGCAGCAGCAACTGCGCCTGAAACAATCGGCATCGGCGCCGCCCGCGCTGGGCCCTACGGTGCCCCCCGAGAAGACGAGTCTTCTCCGTCAACCGCCTCAAAGTTTTGCCGCGCAGCAAAGAGCCCAAAACCGGCCAGCTGCCGCGCCACCAGCCAAGCCCATCTCCACAGAGCCACTGTCACAAAGCACACGCGCCAAAACTCGCTCAGATTCGTTGTCATTGCGCCCCAAGGAAGCGTCCGATTCTATCAGAAGCGTGCGTCCGGCGATTCGTACAGCACTGCCTTCTATCCGCTCAGCACCAAATATTCACCTCGTCGAGCGCTCAGCTTCGCTATCAAGTTCAGCGTCGGGAGGCCTAGGTCATTCAAGACAAAATTCTGGTTCTATTCATGCCGCCAGTCTTTTCAGCCCCTTGGAAAAGCCCGATCAGGTTGTCGGCACCAACCCCGATGTCGTTCTAGAACGCCTTCGCCGGTTGGAATCAGAGCTCGACCGCGCCCTCAACGCACGCTCCATGGCCATCATCTCTTCCAGGACTGTTACGCCCTCACCACCGCACATAGTTGTCAAGTGGGTGGACTACACCAACAAATTTGGTCTCGGCTACATTCTCAACGACGGTGGCGTTGGCTGCATTCTGCGCGATATTCCCACCACCGAGGGCAGCAAGACAGCCCTTCTCCCTCCAGCCGGCGTCTTTATCCGCGGCGCCGAGCGACACATTCTCCGCCGCCAAGACGAGTCATATCCTGACAGAAACCAACCAGTCCCCATGTCCCAGTCGATTACCTTTTTCGAGAACAAGGGCGAGGACGGCCTGAACGAAGTCTCCCTCTCCCCAGAGCAGTTCCGCGTGGCAATGAATGAAGACGGCACGGCGGGCAAGATGAACCCGGGTCGCGACATTTACCAGCACAGAAAACGCGAGCGCATCATTCTGTGGAAGAAGTTTGCCAACTACATGATTGCCTATGGCCGGGACGAGATTATTGCCGAGGAGCCCGCCCCCAAGAGCGAAAAGGCCACACCCTCAGAGCTCGTCACGTTTTACCAGCGCTTTGGCGACGTGGGCTGCTGGGCCTTTTGCGACGGCCACCTGCAGTTTAACTTTCCTGACCACACCAAGATTGTGCTCGACGCGACGGGGACGTGGTGCCATTTTTGGCACCTGCCTCAAGACGCCGCCGAGCGGCTAGCTGAGACGGGCACCATTGGCGCGACGGCGCTCGACGACCGCGCGACGCTCTCGTACCCGCTGCAGACGCTGCTCAACTTTCAAACGCCGGCGCGTGCGTCATCGGTGGCCGCGGCGGCCAACCCTGCGCGGTCGACTAGGAAGCGGCCCGAGATTGACCCCGCGCTGCAGGGCATCCCCGCGGCCAATGATTTCCGCCGCAAGATTGACTTTATCCGCAGCGTCGTCCGCGAGTGGGTGGCCAATGGCGGGCTCGGCAACAGCTCCATGGCGCGCGAGCACCGTCTGCGCTGGCGCGGCCACCGCGAGACCATCCACAGCACCGCGCCTCAAAAGCATGTCTGGGTCACCATTGGGTCTCGCTGGGGCGACCAGCGCATATCCACCCTGGTCGACCCCCTCCGACCGTGGGAGCTGGGCGACGAGGTCGAGGCCAGGAAGTAATGAATGATACCCCCCCCTCATGACGACTGTTGGTGTTTTGAACAAAGCCGGCGTATATACATACTTTCCAATAATATATTTTTTTCTTTTTCTGTCTTTATACATCGTATTGTACATTGCAAGTGACTTGTATTTGGCCAGATGATTCATGTCTGAATGGGTGGATTGCCGTTCTGTTCCATTGGCTACAGCATGCAAGTGAGGAAAGGTTAGAAGATGGAGCGATTGAACCGAATAAGGCTGCATCTATATATAGATATATCTGTATAATTTTGAGGCTATAGTAGTTGTTAGCTTGATAGAAAAAACGCTCGATAAAATAAAAAAGGAATCCGGCCTCCCTGTTTCCTTCATTCCACCAAATTAATTACAATGTTGCGTAGGCACTCTTGTCGTGTTAAACAAGACAATGAAGAACAATAATCCAAGACAAAGTATGAGACGCAAGAACAAGGCGTTCCAGACTGATGATGATGAGAACAAAGCCACTACCCATGATCCAAGAAGCAATAGAAAAATAGAAAAACTCCGCACCCATCCATGTTGGTCTTTGTTGTTTACGCATCCGAATAGTACTCCTCCTGACCGGGCGCAGGCGGCAGCGCCCATCCAGCACCACCACCCGAGGCCGTCAAGTTATCCCGCGACCCCGACGCCCAGTAGCTGCTCTTGGAGCGCTTCTCCCTCTCAAACTCGGCCCATCGCTTCATTGTAATCTTGGACGAGTCAAACTCGCCTTCAGCTTCGTGGCCCGACTTGCGGCCCTTTTTCTCGCCGTCCGTCTTGCGCGTCTCGCCCCAGGAAAAGTCGTCAAACTTCCAAAAGGCATACGTGGGTAGAACAAAGTTCCAAATGGGCAGGGAGATGAGATAGATGAGCATCCAGACAACGTACGACCACGAGTGGGCCGTGACGATGATGAGGGCGCCGGGCAGACCTAGAATGAGGCCGAGCAGGACGAGCGGGATAATCTGTACTGGCTGATGGATAATAGACGTAATGATGACATAAAAGGTAAAGGCAATGGCGGCGGGCAGGACGAGGGTGCCGATGAGCTCAACAAAGATGATGAATTGCATGGAAAAGCAAAAGGTGCCGCAGAGATCACGCACGAGAATGAGCTCCATGAGGTTGTGCACAGTCGAGTTGATCCAGCGGCGGCGCTGCGAGAGGAGCACCATGAACTTGTCGGGTACCGTCGTCTTGCAGACGGCCTGCGGGACGAAAATCTGCTTGCGCTTGGGAAACGTGCGCAGCATGAGCGTCGTCAGGTAGCGATCCTCGCCGAGCAGGTACAGATTCTTCTCGTGCAGCGTCTCGACGACATTCTCCGAGTAGTGCTCCACCACGTCCGGGTTGGCCAGGATTGGCACCCAATAGTTTTGGCCGCCCTTGGGCGCTTTGATACGGTACATGCAGAAACAACCGGGCAGGCAGGTGACGCCACCAAACACCGACTCGAATGACTTGGCCAGGTGGTGAGAGATGAAGTACTCAAAGACTTGAATGGCAGAAACCCAGCTGGCCCGCTTGTTGGCAATCTTGGTCTCGCCGCAGAGACCCATAATCTCTGGGTCCTTGACCATGGCCGACACCATGTGCGTCACGCTGTCGGGAAAGACCTTGGTGTCGGCGTCCACCATGAGCACAATCTCGTAGTAGTCGGGTGATATGCCCGTCACCTTCCACAGGCCGTTGAACATTTCATACTCGAGTTCCGTCATGCGCTCGTCAAACATGACTTTTTGCAGAAACGACATGAGGATAATTTGGCTGTCGCGCTTGCCGCGGTTGCCCGGCTTGGATTTAGTAAACTCGTCGGGCGTGCCGCACTTGACAATCACCATCATAGGCACGCGCTGTTGGCGCTCCTGCGGGATGCGCGAGCTCGTGCCGTAGTCGTAGAAGCCGCAGTGCACCTTGGCCATGTTGTGTCGCTTCGAGCCGCTAGCTACGGCGACGTACGAAAATGGCTGCACCAGCTCCGGCGGCGTCGTGTGGTCCTTGAGCATGGACAGGCACGCGTCGGGTGTCGACATGCTCTCGCCTTTGCCCTTGATAACACCATCGCAGATAACGAGAATGACCTTGTGGCTATTGGGGTAGTCGGTCATGGCAATCGAGTCGAGAGTGGTGCGGATACCTTCGACACCTTCTGAGTAGGCTGTAACCAGGCACATGGTGTGCGCAAGAGGGAAACCAAAGGGCATCCAGTCCGAGGGTGGCTGAGGAACAACAGAGTCGTGAATGAAACCAGCGGGGCCGGGCCCCTCGGTGGAGTTCGAGTTGCCGTAGGGTTCTGGGCGGAGGAAGCTGGCGCGGCTGTCGTTGCTCTGCTTGTAGACAGAATTGGGCTGGAGCAGGGTGCTGCCACCCTGGCTCGACATGGTGGTGGGAAGCCGGCCGCGGGCGTCGGCTGGGTTGAGGGCAGAGAATCGAGAGGTGGTCGGGAGGAACGTGGAGGCGCGCTTGCTATTACGATCCGAGCCAGCTGCGGTACTGCCGAGCTCGCCGGGAAGACGTACAGGGGCGCGGTAGATGTCTTCAGACCAGTCCTCAATCTGTTTGTTGCGCTTGCGGCGGTCCGAGGTCTGCGAAGTCTTGCTGGCGGCATAGGTGCGGCTGATGAACCACTGGAAGACGAGGGCGAGGCAAAATCGGGCGAGAACGACCGACAGAATCAGCGCCAAGGCGCAGTAGAGAACAACCTTGGATGCGATGCAGCCAACAGTCTCGGTGTCGACGGAACCGACCTTGATAATCTCCTGGAAGCACTTGGCGTACTTTTTGTCCTCGGAGCTCTGGAACAAGCGGGTTACATCGCGGCCGCGAACGGCCTTGTTGACGGCCGAGTTTGTGTCGCGAAGCTCTTTGAAGCGGTCCGGTATGCGAACTTGCGTCTCGTTGAACCAGTTGAGGACGTTGAGGTCCAGAACATTGCCAGAGTAGACCATGAGATTACGCGAGCTGTTGCGAATATCGTCCCAGGAAAAGTAGACATCAGCGGCACCCTTGAGGCCCTTGTAGAAGGCGTCGCGCGCGGGGTTGGAGGTATGGCATGAGTAGCCGAGATAGTAGGGAATGGTCAGGTTCGGCTGGGTTGAGCCGTCCTGGTTGACTGGCGTGCAGGGAAAGTACCAGGCAATATCGCCATTAGCGTTGGTCGGGACATCAGTATTGGGAGCGGCCGTGATGATGTCTTTGCAGGCGCCGTTGACGTTTTGGAAGAGGAAGCTTCCATCCTGGCCGGCATGCTTCTCGGGCAAGTCGAACAAGACATTGGCACCGGTGCCATCTGCGCGGCGGGGGATACCCTCGGCGAGAGGGTGGTGCGAATTGGACAGGTCATAGGCAACACCGTGGAAAATCATGTAGCCACCCGAGACCCTATTGTTCCGAAGACGGACGGGCGGGGCGCTGCAGACAGCGGCAGTGAACCCAAATGTCAGGAAACCGACAATGGCCATGATGATGAGAATTATGCTAATTAGGCCCATCTTTTCACGCCAAGCGCGCTGCTGTGCCTTGGTGGGCATACCGCAGCAACGCAGCATGAAGTCAGGGCACCAAAAGGTGACGATGGAGCAGTAGGCATTCCAGGCAGTTGGGGGCCGTAGCTTGCCCTCTTCGACCTTGTGCTTGCGTCTGGGCTTGATCTTGCTCTCCTTGACAATCTTTCCACGCTTGCCGCGGCGGGGAGGCGCGGGCGGGCTCGCCTTCTCGGCGGGGCGAGCCTGGCGGTCCTTTGAGTTTTCCGAGACGGTCTCATAGGTGTGGGAGCCGCCAGACCGTTCTGTCGATGCGTCGAGGTTCTCGAGAAGAGGGTCGTTGCCGGTGGAGGAAGGAAGAACGTTCATGTTGGCGGCATGCTTGTGGTAGTGGTAGTTACGGTGGTCCTTGTTGATGCGGTTGCGCTCGGGACGGATCAGGCTGCGTTTTCGCGATATCTGGTCTTCGGCGCGTGGCGGGTTTTCGCCATGGAGAGGTGCCGTGTCGGGGTTGTTGTGGGGGTTGGAGATGGTCTCGGCAAAGGACGAGTTGGATTTGCCCCGGTGGTGGTGGTTGCCGGCAGGGACGTTGATGGTGGTGAACTCGCCCGTCTCGATGTCGACAGCTCGGTGACGCCGCGAGTTGGGGTTTCGGTAGCTGTGACCCTTGGGCGACTCAGGCCCGGGCCTCTGTGGGAGCGACATGGCTTTAGCGGCTCATATATGCTAGGTAAAAATGAGTACAACAAAAAAAAAGGAAGAATAAAGAAGAGAAGAGGAAATGCAAGTGAGCAAACGAGTGGTGCTCTGTTGCCAGTTGGTGATGCAGAGTTTGTGTTGTCAGGAAAAGGGATACGGGTTAACTAGTTAGTTAGGCGTCCCCGCTAAGGTAGGTGTGTTTGGCCACAACGCAAATCCAGTCATGTTCCTGGAGGTACCTGGGTTAGGGACGCGCTAGAGAGCCGTCATTTGTGGGGGATCATGTGCTAAAAAAAGAAATCCAGAGCTGATGATTGGAGGGATCGCTAGTGCGGGATGCAAAGGTACATGAGGATACTTGGTTGTCCAGGGAACAAAGGACAGCCATGTGAGCGTCATCAGGTCGCAGACCAGGAATTGCCATCATCCCAAGGACGTTGCGTGTGCATGCAGCAAGAATGGTGGCGGCTGTTGGATAGAGCCTCAATCCTCCATCCCAACATAGATTACATGCATTTGACAGCTTATATTTAGCACATTCTCCGATGGCTGGAATGGAGGTGGACCTCGACCGAGGTGTGCCTGTCAAACTGTCGACTGTATCACCATCGATATGTTGTGCACACAACTGACACCCAGCCCACGGCGTCCAAACATTGTATGCCGACAACTGGCGGCAATATCAACGAAAGTCTGATACATTATACTCGCCCCGGACACGATAATACGATGAAACCATAGAGCGGACCAGCTATACTTCACCGCCAATCTGGTATAGGGTACGTGTCTCACGCTGGCGGATCTGATGTACGATCTAATCTTGCGGGAATGATGACAGAGATGGGTATGCAGGGTGCAGAGTACAGGAAAGGAAAAGGTGTGGTTTGATATGTGTCGAGGTTGTTGCATCAGAATATCAATCATTCGTCAAGTGTCGTTGTAGTCGTAATACTCTTGGTTACCTACTTGCCTACCAACCTACTAACTGATCGCCCATCTAACCAAAAAGACGCTAACAGTTTCAGGCCAAAATACGAACTGCGGCCAGAGTGTGGAGCACAGAGACGACAGAAAAAAAGACGAAAGAGCAAAAAATTCGTGGCGAGGCTGAAACTGGCGCAGTGTGCTGGTTCAGGATGTGGGTTGCTCGGGCCTTGCGCTGAAGCTGAAGCGGACAACGGCAAGATCGGTAAGCCAACATGGGATGTCCAGGCAGAATTCAAACGTAGCTGGCCATTGCGCAAGAAAGTCTCGCCAGGTCACCCTGGCTGCTGCAAGTCAGCAATGGAACGATGCAACCTGGGCTAAGATTGATGGGGGCAGCCGGCGGCGAGGGTCGACACCTCTCGTTCTGCGAGGATGACGGATCACTCGGAGCCCGCAGTGCTTGGCGTCCCATGGCCTGTGGAAGAAGGATGACGGCATATGGATGCAGGAATACGAGAGAAGGAGGTGTTTTGGCAGTTTTGCGCGGTGGCAAGAACTTGACTGCGTACAGATGGTAGGATTTGACGAGGCTGCAGAGGATGGATGTTGCGAGGATATCTTGTTGTAATACTGGTAAAATTTGCATTGTCTAACTAGTGGTTGAGACGGTCGAGACAGTGTAAAAAGGCGGTCGAAGGGCTGAGCAAGGGAGCAAGGGCGCTAGGAAAATGGCGACGAGTGGCGTGCGCGATGTGGTGCAAGGAGATGAAGGTTCTTTTTTTTTTCGGTAGTATTTGGTTGGAGGCTGGATGCGGCTGATTCAAGGCGGCAGCCAAGGCAGAGCTCGAGGGCAGAGCGCATAATGGTGGTGAGGGAGGGGAGGGTTGACAGTTGACAAGGTGAGAGGCTCAGCGGCAAACGCTTGTGTCGCCAAGTGAAAAAGTGACGGGTGCTGGGTTACCTAGAGGTACTAAGGTAGTTACCTGTACTAAGGGAACGATGGTGGCCGTTTGTGGCTGAGATGACGCTACCAACGTGGGATATTATACAGAGTGGCAATTATACCAATACGCCGCCGGAGCCTGTTGGCTGGTGTTTTACAATTCTATTAATTCGTCATTCTAGTATTATCAAGATGGAACAGGGGCACTAGTTAGTTAGACTTGTCCTGTTCAGCCAGCCAGTCCAGCCATTCAGCCCACCTCCGTTTGCCCACGGTTACGCGCATCCCATTCCCACTACAACCCACTATTCGAAGCCCTGAACCCGCCCTGCTCGCAAGCTCGGTGGACAGCCCCATTTTGGGCGAACAGGCTGGCAGGCAGGCTGGCAGCGCTAAAAAGTACCAGTAATAACAGCCGTACTCGGGTCGCCTGGACCCTGTTCACAACCCACTCAACCACTAACCACTGTACCGATACTCGTAACTAGTGACGAATCCCGATAGTTAGCTTTGCCTCTCTGTGTTTGCCCTTTTGCCTGTCTGCCTACAATCATCACAACAACTGGTATGGTGGCACTGACAGGTATATTAGTAGGTATACCTTCAGGCACATCATATTCTAGGTACAAATTACTCACTCCTGACATACAAAGAAGCATTATAAAAAGCAGCTCCCTGCTCAACTTGCCCTCCTCGTGCACCACCACTACCAGGGTACTGTACGGATACTCACAGAAGGTGGGGAGCTTGCTTGCTTCGTCCAACAACAACTTTCTGCTCCTCCCTGCCGTATTTCCCGACTGACCCTCCCGGTCCCTCATCGTCGCCGTTGTCTCTCGCTGCGGTTTTCTTTTTCCCTTCCGCTCAACCCCCATCACCATCTCCTTTTTTTTGGATTATACTTTCATCTTTAGACATCATTTTTTCCTCTCTCCCTCACTCTACTGTCATCGCCTCCCCCCCGCTGGCCGCTTATATTCCCGCTTTTACTTTTTTTACTTCTCTCTCCAAACGGTCCAACGGCGGATTCCCTGCAGGCTCAGAGTTTCCAATATCCATTAGTTATGGCTGCCGTCACCACCTCGCCTCCCGCCTCACCGACGGCCGCGCCGCCGCCTGCAGCAAAACAGCCGCTGCCGCCTGCATTGTCTGTCGACAACACCTCGGCGGCTCACCTGCGCGATGCTCCCATATCCCCTGTCCGCGTCAACTTCCAGGACCACTCGTGGCCCAAGCCCTCCAATGCCAACATTGAAGACGCCGACGCGGACCATGTTCCACACATGCACCTCGCCAACATGTCCCTCGACCACAACCCCCTAGCCGACGCTGCCCCGGGCCGTCTGCGCCCCCAAGAAGCCAATCGCAGCTCTCGCGAGTCGGACGAGTCCAACACCACCTCGCTCGCCCCGGCCTCGCTACAGTCCTCGGCGCCCACCACCACCAGCTCCCTCTCGGCCACCCAAGAGAACCCGGAATGCCCTCCCCTCAACCACTCCTCCGCCTCCTCCGCCACCGGTGATGCCCTGCCCCACAGCCAGTCGGTTCCTCTCTTCCAGTATCACCACCAGCAAGATGATGCCTCGGACCCTAGCGCAGGCTCGACACCTGATCCCGTCGACAATGCCGTGCACATTCGCCGCCATCTTACCCCCACTATGCAGGCCATGCGCCGAACCTCGATGCCTCGTCCGAACTCCTCCTATTCTACATACTCAGACTTTGGTCCTCGCGGCCTATCCCCCGGCGGGATACCGGGCAGTCCTTACATGCGGCCGCCCTCTGGCCAGTCAAGAAAATCACCCGATCATCGCAATTCAACATATGCCGAGCTTCTCAACGTTCCATACCCTCAACAGGCTCCCGCGCCTTTGACCTGGGACAATTCCAACCTGCGCAATGTTGTCGGCAATAATGCGTCGTTGCTTAGCGCCCAAAAGACATTGCAAATGTACCGCCAAAACGTCAAGAAGACGACCGACTTCTCCATTCAGTACTCATTTGCCGTCTTTCTCATCTCGACCGCTCAGGAGCAAGGTCTGGACTGGACGGACCCGAAGAAGAAGCCAGCGCCCCACCGCGACCTCGATAGCCCTGTTGTCGAGACGGCGGTGGCATCGCCCGTTGAGCTTGTTCGCGAAGCTAAGCAGATCCTCCAGCGTCTCGCTAATGGCGGCTACCCCTTCGCCCAGTACTACCTGGCTGACGGATATGCCTCGGGTCTGTTCAACAGGGGCAAGCCCGACTACAATTCGGCCTTTTCTCTCTTTGTCCTTGCTGCCAAGCACGGCCACGCCGAGTCGGCCTACCGGACAGCCCTCTGCTACGAGTTTGGCTGGGGCTGCCGCAAGGATCCCGCCAAGGCGGTTCAGTTCCTGCGATCCGCAGCCTCCAAGAGCCACCCCGGCGCCATGACGCGTCTCGGTAAGGCCTGCCTCTCTGGTGATCTCGGCGAGAAGCGCTACCGCGAGGGAATCAAGTGGATGAAGCTCGCCACCGAAGCCGCCGACACGCAATACAATGCCGCCCCGTACCAACTCGGCTGCCTGTACGAGACGGGCTACGGCGATGACATTTTTCAAGATTCGAGCTACGCCGCGGAGCTCTTTACGCAGGCTGCCGACCTGGGACACCCAGAGGCCAACTACCGCATGGGCGACGCCTACGAGCACGGGCTGCTCAACTGTCCCAAGGACCCAGCACTGAGTGTGCACTTTTATACGGGAGCCGCCGAACGTGGCCACGCCGCCGGTATGATGGGGTTGTGTGCCTGGTACATGGTGGGAGCTATCCCTATATTAGAAAAGGACGAGGAGGAGGCATATGAATGGGCGAGAAGATCAGCGGAGCTAGGTACGTTGCAAGCCATTCGCCGCACTATACAAGAAACAAGATTATGCTAACACACGTCATAGGGTATGTCAAGGCACAGTATGCCGTGGGATACTTTTTGGAAATGGGCATTGGATGCCGGAGGGATATTCTCGAGGCCAACGTATGGTACGTCCAGGCGGCGGACGCGGGCGACGAGCGGGCCAAGCAGCGCCTGTCGGTGATCCAGGCGGCGATTCACGGGGGCACGCCGATGGAGGTGGCGCCAGGCAAGACGGGGAAAAAGGACGACAAGGACTGCGTCGTCATGTAGGATACGATGAAAATACTTATAATAGCATTTGATTTAGCATCATTTAGCGCTACGCTATATTAATACAACATGTTCCTACTTGCATGGTATAATATCTGTCGTCGTCGCGGGGTGCAGGTGACATGGGAAGGGGGGAAGGTGGACATATATTGACCTGCATCGTATAGCACATCGTCATGTGGGTGGCTGGTACGAGGCAATGGGCTGATGCGGCCAATAATTGACGGGTTGCGTACCAAAGGTAACGTTGATGCGCAAGGGAAAAGTCGGTGCGTATATAGTATACATATACGAATATGTTTCACCGGCGTTGCAAGAAGCGACTGGTCCAGTTGGGACGCTTTTTTTTTCATTTCCATTTTTTCATGCAAAATGGACTTGTGTGAATACGTCATCGCTTGTCCACCCCCAGAACCCCCACACAATATATATATTATTGTATGCATGTACCTGTAGGTAGTGAAGAACCCATGCCCTCTTTGTTCCCCCATTGTCACCTCCCTCCAACGCACGCCCCCGAGCCGTCGCACATGCCCGGGGCTTGGGCGGGTAGTGAGTGGTTTGTCGTCAAGACGCACGTGCGTGGTACAAGCTGAGCCTATTTTGCATCCCGTACAATACATGTGCTTGAAAGAGGACTTGATTTGTGGGTGGTGGTGGGCCTTAGCTTGCGCTTGAACCGGATCTTGTTTTCCTTCGCGAACATGGGATGGGTAACTAGTTAGGTAGGCAGCTGTCAAGCGAAGCCCGGGTTGCACCGCAGCAAGTTGCATCATACAGAGCCCTGCGGAAAATGAGACGCCGCAGCATGACACGGCAGCTGCTGGGGGTGGCGTTGGGTGTTACCGCGAGTCGAGGGTGTGATGAAACGCATAGACATGAGATAGCGGCAACCATGCACAGTATATCAAAAACAAGAAAGAAGAGGTCAAAGAAAGGGACTGAGAGCGGAGGCAGAAAGTAGCCTTTGTTGTATTAATTGAAAAAAAAAGTCAATATGGGGGAGAGCCTCGTTGCTCGGATATCTTGTAGTTTCCAACGCCATGCAATGCGACTCCAGTAACGCCCAAATCACGCACGTCCTATGCTGCCATGTCACAAAATCCTGTACGTCTGTGTAAATCAAAAGAAGAACATTCAAAAAAGACCCCGTCCACCTTTCCATTCATTCCCGTGCTTTAGCGCCACGTCGACGCCAACTTGCGCCTCTTCAGGCCAACATGCTCATTCAACACGAGGCTCTTCCAGCGCCTTGACAGCGCGCGATGATCTCTGCCGAGCGCGCGCGCGCAGTCCTGCCAGTCCTCCTTGGACAACTTGAGCTTTTCCAGCACGAGCTCGACCAGCATGCCGTCATCCTCGGCCGTCCAGTCGCTGCTGCAGCTGCTGTTGTCTGGCGGCGGCGCCGCAACCTCGAGGCTGTGAAAGTCGGCGCGCGCCAGACCGAGTGGCATGCACTCGGGGGCGATGCGGGAGCGTTTGGGCGTGGTGGGCGGTTCGGGGCCGGCGTCACTGCTGCCGCTGCTGCTGTCGGAGGAGATGGTGCGCTTGTGCTGGCGAGAAGGTGTGGTGGTGGTTCTCTTGACGATGCCGCGGGCGGGTGGCAGTTCGTCGTTGGTGCGGGTGCGCAGACGCAGCTTCTTCATGGGGGAGGGAGCGTGCGCCATGGGCGGCGTGGGCAGCGGCAGTAGAGCGCCGCCAAAGTACGACTGGTGGTATGGTGGTTGCGCATGGCTGTGGTGGTGATGTTGTGTGGTGTGTTCGGTGGTGGTGGTGTTGGCCATGAGGCTTTGCAGGTTCAGACTGCTCGAGGCGATGCGAAAGGTTGCCGACGTCGACGGCTTGGGCGGGCTGGCAGGCGGCGAGACCATGCCGTGGGCAGCGCGGTCGCAGGGGAGCGCAGAGGGGAGAAGCATGGCTGTTGTGGTTGTTACCAACTTGGTGATGCTCTGTTTGCAAGGGAAGTAACGACTCCGGAGGGAATGGATGAAGGTTTGCAAAAGGAGTAGAAATGTGTAAATAGTCAGAGTAGTAGTTTGTAAAAAAGGCAGGAATTCAAAAGGAGTTGATGGGTTGGGCAGACTAGTTATTGCTTGTCTATTTGATCGGTGGGAGGGTGAATGAGTCTTCGTTGGTGGTGGTGGTGGTTGTAAGTGGTTTCAGAGTGGGCAGAGGAGGGATGGGCCGGCGGACGGACGGGCTGAATTGGGGGGCGAGGGAGGCTCTAATAAAAAAAAGGAAGAAATAAAAAAAAGGCAGCATCCAACGCCTTGGTTTAGACTGGATTAGGGATTAGGAGGGATTAGGAGGGCTCCCAAGGTAGTAACACTGCTTAGCGCAAGGCACAGGTATGCTTTTAGTGGCCGCTTGCAGAAACACCACCCACATGATTGCAAACGCGTGCTCGCACACTGACACTGTTCGTCCGCAGAGACGGGCGCTACTCTTTTGTCTGACCTATTTTCTGAATAGACGGACTGGAATGTAAATCCTTCCTCTACACGATCATGCTTCCAGATCGGTCTTTGCGTAATGCGGGTGTGGTTTGGTATTCGTGGGATGCTTACAACTGACCTGACGGTGTGATTTGGACTTGTCCAAACAGCAAAAGCTCCCTGCCACCAATAACGTGCCTCTTTCTTGCCCTCCTTGACTGGACTGGTAGCACTCTGGTAACATTCACTCTCCCTCGCCAAATTTTTAACTCAAATTTCTTTCTTTTTCTCTCTATTGTTTCACGAACTGCTGCCATTGCCGCGGCGCTTCTCCCTTGTCCCAAGAAACGGGAGATCCACACATCCAAACTTGCCCATGACAACTCAGTTGACGTTGCCGCACGGGGCGCCAAACTAAACCCAACCACCAGGGAACTACCTAGGAACGAACAAACGAACGAACCACCTGGGCAACCACAAGTCCATCACTTTTGTATTACTCCGCACAAACGCATCAAAGAAGAACAGTATCAAGACAAGGCAACCAACCCGTCAAAGAAGTTTCTTTCACCAGCCGGCCCGATGCAGAACCCAAACGTTGCACATCATTTCGCTGTTTGGACTGCCTTTGAATCCTTACTTCCCCAATCGGCCTCTCCTTATAGTTACCAAACACACGAACCTGCAATTGCGTCTTCATGCAATCACTTTATTAGTTACTGGTGCCAACCGGCAACGAAACTAACCCCACCAAACCCACCCACGTACGATGTGATATATTGATTCACTTCTTCACAGCAGACGCATCTCGCTCTCCCCTTGCATCTCCCTCCATCAATGCTCGCTTCCACCCTCACCCTTGCCAGCACCCTTGCCAGCACCCTTGCCCCCTAGTTGTCCAACTGCCGCTGGGATACCCTTTTTAGCCTTTTTAACTAGCCTTTGTTGCCATCGTGCGGTCGCCGCCAAAGTAAAAAGGAAACAAAAAATATGATGAACCTGTTCACCCTAGCACCCTGCTGCAGTTCTCGCCCTTGAATATTTTCCACCCCCTGCTCTTCTTTCTTTTCTCTTTTTTCTTCCGCTCTCCGGCATCTCTTTTCTCGCTAGATCTCTTCTTCCACCCCTGCTGCCGGGATCCCCTCCCCTGTTGCTGCGAGGCTGCCTCGCTTACTCGCATCTTCCGTGCTGTGCATAATATGACAACGCCGACGCATGCTTTGCATACCCTCCCCTGCTCACCGCATCTGTCTCTGATGGACGAAGAACAGAACTGACAGACTAGAAGAAAATGGAAGAAAACGTCAGACGGAGTCAGTCAAAACAGACCGGTGCTGCGTCGTCCATGTGGCACAACTCCACGGCGCGGCATTCCAGTCGCGCGCCCATACATTCCTGCGCGAGGCGTGACGCGCCAGTCGCCTTCACCGCAACGTGGGGGTTTGTTTCACGCTGTTCTTTTCTTGGGTTTCGTATAGTTAATTCATACAGCCTTGTTGATTCGGCTGACGACTTTTGCCGTATTTTTTATTCAATTTTCAGTTGGCGCACGTGCTGTGCCCCCAGCCGCAGTTAAGCTGGATTACATCATCACTTTACGCGTCCGCGACGCGTCTCGCACGCGTACATGACCAACACCCAAACCGTCGTGTAGCAACGTCAACTCAGTATAGGCTTGTATTGACTACCTACTTTTCCAAGATTGAGCCTGTCGGCGAGGATTCTTCCATGTCTAGCGAGTACATGTACCCGTAGAAGCAACCTAGATGCCCAGTCAGTAAACGAGTTGGTCATTGAGCCGCAGCTGTGCTCAGGCACTTGCCATGAACAGCGCGGCATATCAGCACCAGCAAACCAGGCACAAAAGCACTCACCATAAAATAGTCCACCACCGACAATGTTCCCCAACACCACCGGCACGATACATTTCCAGATATACAAGCCCACGCTCAGCCCCGGCGCGCCGAACGTGATGCCCACCGGCCCAAAATCCAAAACGTCATGTTGGCCACGACGTCGTCAAAACCGAGCGACACAAACGCAAACACCAGCCACCACATGTCCGCCGTCTTTCCCGCGATGCCCCATGTAGACGAGTCCGTACGGAAACACGAAGCTCGCCAGGATGCGCAGCAGGCCTCGGCGCGTTGGCCTACATCCACGGCGCGCCGTGTTGGCCACGAGAACGGTGCTGCACGCAAACACCAACAGGCAGCCCGCCGAGACGCCGCTGAGAAAGATGTGGCGCGGTGCCATCTCGCGCCCCTGCTGGCGCCGATGGCACGGACGCCCTGCGCCGGGGGGAGAGAATTGCTTCCGCCATGTTGTCGGGTGTCTTTGTTGCTTGGCTGTTCCTGTTGGAAAACGGGGGCGGGGTGGCTCGTCTGCTGCGTATGCGTTCGTTCCGAGTTGTTGTTGATATTGGTCTACTGTCAAATTGGGGAGAAGGTTTCAAGGGAAGAGACGCCCTCTTCTTATACAATATCCTGATCCGCCCCCGGGCCTCTGTCTCTTCATTTTCCCGGGCTAGATCTGCCACTTACCTCACCTCTGTCGCTGCAACCCGACGTATCTTGGGGGGATATTTGAGATTTACACCAGGACAGGTAAAACGGGCGTAGTTGCGGGCCGAGGATCTCGGGGTTCGTTTCTTATCTTGGGGTAGTTAGCGTCCTGTTCGAATCCTTGATACATAGCATCTGGGTAGCGTCCTGGTCGATCCCTGATAGCACGCACCAACGGCACACATGAAGAATATCCCCTAGACGGTAACTGGGGAGAACAACGGCCTACACGCAGTACTCTTGCACAGCCGGGGCCGTCACATCCCCGCCGATCCTCGCGTCCGCGTACGCCAGCGCCGCGTCCTTGAAGCGGTCGAGGTCAAACGGCCGCACCCAGCCACGGTCCTGCAAGCGCTCGAGCGCGGCCACGGCCCACGTCACGCAGCTCTGCTGCGGGTGCGTGTTCTTGACCGGCAGCAGGACCTGCTCCAGCAGGGCCTTGAGCTCCTCCTCCCATCTCTCTTCCTCGCGCGGCGGTACGGCCCCTACGACGAGCTGCCCGAGCAGCTTCGGGTTGGGCGGCGGCCGGGCCTCGGCGCGCAGCCACCAGTCCATGGCCGGGTTGCGCAGGCGGAACGTGACGGGGTCAATGTCCGACGTGTCGGTCGCGTCAAAGGCGTAGAGCGGAGGCGCGTTGGGGCCGCCCGTGGTGAAGAGCAGACCCCAGTGGTAGGCTTCGTAGTGGAAGATGCGCCGCGAGTTGCCCCGCGAGAGCGTGTCGCGGTGGTAGAGGGCGAGTGTCACCAACATGGTTGGGCGGGAAGGGTAAGGCTGACAACGTGATTGCATGGGGCGAGATACTGCAAGGTGTGTATCCAAAGGTCAACGTTGGTTTGGGAGTTGGGAGTTGAGAGTCGAATGATGGTGCTAGCGGCAGCTGTCAAGTTGCATGAAAGAGGTCCACTGAGCTTAGCAGCGTGTTGCAGCACGTCGCTTTGCCAGGTGTAACGAGACGTTTTGGAATACTCTAAAAATATCAAGACCCCGTGATGAATGCCGAGTTTCATTCCTCAAGCGTACGAAATACGAAATGTACAACACGTTTTGATTAAGCCAATGCTCAACAAATCCCACCATCAAGGATGAACCGTCTCAACTATCTACACCATTTTTGAACCATCTTATAACAAGACCCATGGTTCACTAAAACTCACTCGTCAAAGTAACGAAGCAGACCGTCAAACTCTGTGAAATGCGTTCCCCCCTCCCACGTAGGCTTGATGCGATAGTTCTAGGACCGCTGCGCCTCGTGCTTGACATTCTCACACTCGCAACCGACATGCTTCCACCCGGCCCCGTCCCTGTCATCCCAGGCCGCCCAGACCACAGCCTCTGGGAGCGTGTACACGTCCAGTCCGGCCAAGTCCGAAATCTCGACCGGCCGCGTATTGACCAGCTGGCGGAGATAGTTGCGCGGCGTCAGCATGCCAAGACCAGGGCTCAGGGGGTGGAGGATGCAGACGCAGAAGCCGACGGGCCGGCAGGTTGAGTAGCAGTCCAGCATGATGCTCAACGCCACAACCGGCCAGCGTTCGATCGGGTGCGCCTCGAGCGCCGCCTCGTGGACCAGCAGCGCCGTACGCAGGCCCGAGAGCTCAAACAGCGCGGCCCCGTTCCGGAAGCAGTGCCGCCGCCGCGCCGAGTAGTAGAGCCCGTCGCTCAAATCGCACACCACTTCAATCTGGCGCACCAGGTGGCGGCGCGGGCCGAGCGCCAGCACCGGGAGCTGCCGCTCCGTCATGCAGAAGACGTCGATGCTGTAGTCGACCCACGTGTATGGCGGCGTGGTGGCGGCGGTGGTGATGCCCGTCACGGCCGATGGCCACACAGGGGGCGAAGCGTCGTAAAAGGCCTTTTGGTACGACGTAGTCGCCATCAGATGCCGCGACTCGCGGCAGGCGTGTAGGAGCACAGGCGCGGGGGCTATCAGCGGCGGCCGTAGGATGGACTGCTCCGGCCGCAGCTGCAGCGCACAAACGGGGATCCGCCGGCTTTCCCGTGCTAGTATCCAGATTGCGTGCCGTAGCTCGGGAGGAAGGTTTCCAAAGTCGTGAAATTGAGACATGGCTCGGTGTTGAGCGTGGCGTGGTATGTGTGTGTACGTGTACGTGGACGAGCGAGGTGTGTAAGTTGGGCGTTTGTAGAGAGAGCCGCCAACAACACCTGCCGCTTTGCCAGACGGTTCGGCAGAGTGGCGCCGAGGAAGGAAGTAATTCGCTTTGGATAGGTAGTCGGATCAGGTCTGATAAATTCCGAAGCCAGTCGCACCTGAGCTTGTTCACTTACACCAGGCATGCAGGTGACAAGAGCTGGCCATACAGATACCTATCCATGTACAAGCCAAGTGTTTTTACCTGTGGAAAATACTCCATTGGTATGCGAATGCTAGTGTAATCCATCTATCTGTCTAACAATCCAACCTCGCAAGAAGAGCAAAGATACAAAGTCTTCTTCATTTTGTCCACCATGATAATAAGTTCCGTCATTATCATATTATTCATGCCCCAAAGCAACACCCCCTACTACTTCTTCATCATCCGCCACACCTCACTCTCCAAGGTTTCACCCGCATCCCCCTCACCACCGTCGCCGTCCTCCGTGCCCGTGACCTTGTTGGCCAGCTCAATCTTCTTCTGACAAGCTTTGTCTATGAGTTCCTCAATAGTCCCCGACGAAATCAGCCGGAGCACCTCGACATCCCGCGTCTGGCCCAGGCGGTGCGCGCGGCTCTCCGCCTGGATATCGTCTTGCGGATTATCCGACTGGTCAAAGATGACAATCTTGTTGGCCGACGTCAGGTTGATACCCGTGCCGCCCGCGCCCGTCGTCAGTAAAAAGACGCTAATGGCCGGGTTCGAGTTAAATTCATCAACCAGGCCCTGCCGTTCCACCACGGACGTGCCGCCCGTGAGCACGCGGTGGTCAATGGCGTGGTGCGCGAACACTTCCCGTAGCAGCTCAATGAGGCGCACGAATCTGGAGAAGACGAGCACGCGGTCACCGCTGGCCTGGTACTGCCGGACGAGCTGCAGCAGCTTCGTCACCTTGCCGCTGTTGAGCAGCGACGACGGCGGAATGTCGTACTTTCCCAGGTACGGGTAGTCACGACACCACATGTGTAGCTCAAAGTCGGAGCAGTTCTTGAGCTCTTGCACGAGGAGCTCCATGTTGGGCTGCTGTAGCTCCGACTGCGGTTCGCGCTGCATCAGCATCTCGGCCATCTCGGCAACCATCTCATTGGTAAAGTGGCGGCGGAACAGCATCGGATGGAGGGCAGCTTTGCGGAACTGCATCCACACATTGTTCCGGTCGCTTTTGCGGCCGCTCGCCTTGCGCTGCGAGGGAGACCTCTTGAAAAGCTCTTCGAACTCGGCATATATTGGTTTTTGGTCCTTTGTCATGTCGCAGTGCACCACGTTGCAAATCTTGCGCGGCAAGTCCAACAGGACCTGGTCTTTGCGGCGTTGCAAGATAAAGGGCTCCAGAATCGTGCGAGCGCGCTTGACACGCTCGCTGTATAGAAAGGCGCCGTTGGAAATGTCGCGACAGGTCACCTTTTGCCTGAAAATGTATTGAATGTGTTGCATGTACCCGTCAAACATGCGCGGGTTGACAAAGTTGAGGAGCGACGTCATCTCAAGCAAGTTATTTTGCACCGGCGTGCCAGTGAGCAGCAGCTTCCATGCCGCAGGTATGCGGCCCAGCTCCTTGTACAATTGTGTCTCTGGGTTTTTCATTTTGTGTGCCTCATCAAAGACGGCGGCGTTGAAGCCAAACGATTGCATGGCTTCGAGATCGGCCTCTGTCTTGAGTTGCGAGTATGTGGCCAGTACAACATGGCACGCGTCGAGATCCTGCCCAATCTCGTAGGCGATTTGGGCACGCTCCGGCTGCGATCCGCGATAGCCAATGACGGACAGCCCGGGAGCAAACTTTTTGAATTCGCCCAGCCAGTTGTCGTAGGTGCTCGGCGGCACCACGATGAGATTCGGCCAGGGCCGCGTACCGTCTGCCGTTTCGACGAGCTGAGCTATGAAAGAAATAACCTGACAAGTCTTTCCCAGACCCATCTCGTCAGCAAGAATACAGCCAATGTCGAATTTATGGAGAAGGGTCATCCAGTTGAGCCCGAATAACTGAAACGGCTTCATGCGGCAGTGGCCGTCCATGAGGGCAGGTTGTTGTGGTATCAGAGGCGGCACAAAGCTGGATATGCTGTTGGGTGTAAGAGGCGCCCCATTTTCGGGTGTCGTTCTGCTTTTTGAGTGGCCGAAATGATCAAGGTCCCAAGTGTCGATAACACTCTTGACGGTGCGAGCCTTGGCCTCACACGTAGCGACGACCTCGTCAATGGCGGTGACAGCGTCCAAAAAGACTTGCACAGCGTCAACGACAGTCTCGCCGGTGAAGAGCCGCCCGCCCCCTCGAGTTTGTCGGTTCTCAATAGTGACTGTGCGAGCAGCGTGCAAGTTGGCAAAAGGCCGATGTTTAATGATGGGTTCCAACAGATTTTCCTTGATGCTAGTCATGGCAGCTAGTTCCTGCAATGTGCTCTTGTTGATGGATTCCAAGACTCGGCCATCTTCGTCGGGTGCAGATTCAGCGTCCTCCTCGTAATCATACGCGTCATCCTCTATCATAATCACCTCCCTCTTGATAGATGCCTGCGACTTTGGCCGAGACTGCGACTTTGGCGGAGAGGATGGTGGCGGAGGAGGGGGCGAAGGCTTTCTTGGCGACACCAGTTTTGGCCGCCGCCCTTGCACGAGCCGCCTCTTCTTCTTTCGCGTTTGATCTTCCAAGTGCTGTATTGCGTCCTCCAAATCATAGCCGTAGGCCCGCAACGCATCGCGGGACTGCTGCACCGACACCCTGTCACCCAACACGTCGAATATTTGCCTCAGCTTGGAGCGCTCCTCGTCGGCTCTTGGCTTATAAGCAAAAGCAGAGACGTGCGCTTTAAAGTTCGTCGGCCGAATATCGCCCCGTGGGGGTAGCAAACTGTCCTCGTCGTCGTCTGAGAGCAGCGAGATTGTGTCGGGGTTGGGGCGCTTCGGCGACGACGCCACTGGCCGCCGGGCCTGCACTGGTGGACGGAACACGGTGCCGGCGGGCGCCAGCCGTGAGCCAAGCCGGGGCGGTGGTGGCTTCTGAAACGGCGACGAGGCGGGCACCTCGATGGTGCCCGGCGACGAGGTGAGCGGCAGGATCTGCGTGGGCTGCGTAGTCCGCAGCAGCAGCGCCCCAGGGGAGCAGGGGATGGTGTCCTGCTGCAGCTCGCGGTCGGGCGTTCGGGGGACGTAAAGCCGCCGAACGGGTAGCAGAGGGGACGAGTCTCCCATGATAAAGAACTGGCTTGGGTAGAAGCGCGGGTAGCCCGAAATTGGCGAGACGCCTCTGTCGGGAAAAAAGCCAATCGTTCGTGCAGGTGAAAATCCTGTTGCAAGGTGAGCCGCGACTGGAGCGCGATGTCCTCACGAAGTCACGTGTGCACTTAAAACTTAAAACTCAAAGAAGCTATGAGAGCAAGCAGGCAGGAACGGCCCCGTGTCGACGCAACGCCAACTTCATCATCATCGCAATGGCTACGAGACGGATCAACGCGTCCGAGAGGACAATCTTGGAAAAGGATGATGCTCAAAATGAAAAGAGCGATATTAGCCCTGCCGTGCCACAGTATGCTTGATGTGCGGTACCACGACTGGCGACCTTTATTAACTTGGCTAGACACGTCATTATGAAGTTGCTAGGCTTCACATTTGCCATGATTGTTGTCCCAATCGGTTCCTATTTCCTGACTGTGCATACGATATTTAAAGGTACGATTTCCGAATTGCACGTTCAAAAGGATGCGCTGACTTTTTAGGCAACTCTTCATGGGCAGGCGGTTTTGCCGCGTTGCTGGCCAACGTGGTGTTGCTGGGCTATATTATAGTGGCTATGAATGAAGACGATTCAGAAAACATCAAGGCCAAGGCCAAGAAGAATGATTAGTTCATCGATGAACTACATAGGCGGCATGTCAAATGCACCACTTAAATCAAAGAAAATCAAGGTCAAGGCGAAAAGGATGTATTTTTTCATGGCAATAATGAACATTGCAAGAGGAATGTTAATATAAGACGCGTAAATCAAACAATAATTCCAATAATTAAACTAGTACGCTACCAACGCCGACCATGCACATTACGCATTAATATTAGTTCTTGCTAAAACGACGCGATAGCCAGCTCTTCCTCTTTTCCTGTGTAGGCTGCCGTTTTAGAAGACTGCCTTTGCGTGGGACGGGTGGCGGCGCTAGCTCGTGGCCGGCGACGGGTGGTGGGGGGAGTGGGTGCACCTGTTGCTGTTGCAGTGGCTGGGTGAAGCCAAGGTTGGATTGCTGGTGGGTAAAGCCAATTCCATAGTCGTTGATGGGCTCCTGGCGCTTGGTCGGGGACGCCCGCCGGATCGAACTATTGTCACTACTTGTAGGATCGGTTTGGTATCCAGCGGGGTCCGTATGCCCGCTGCCCGCGGCCGATGTCACAGTTTCGTAGGATCTGTCCTTGTTGGGCAGAGGGTAGACGTTTTGCTCGTAATCTCTGCGGGGAGGGCGGAAACCTTGGCCGTCGAAGAAACCCGAGTTGCGACGAGTGCTAGGAGCCGTTTGAGGGTCGCGATATGAGACAGGACGGCTGTTGCCGTAGTAGCTATCTTGTGGGAAGCGTGGCTGTTGGGCTGGGCAGTTTTAGCGACGCTGAGGAGTGATGGAGAATGAAGAAGGACTTACCAGTCACCACGCTAGTACGACGATTCCAGTTGGTCGCATCATACCGCTGGACAGAGGAGCGACGTTGATAGCCACCGTTGATAGCTGCTTCAAAACTACGAATAGTATCCAGCGGTCGCTCCCAACGCGATCGAGTGGGATTGGAACGGTCGGGGTCAGCTGGGATGTGTTAGCATCGTGCATGCAGCGTAGCTGCCACACGGCCGGCGACAGAGGATAGCGCGCAACGTACAAATGGGATTTCCTTGAAGATCCTTGTGCTGAAACGAACGCAGTGGCGCCGTGTTGGTGTCGGGTACCATGGCGGCGACCATTGCTAATTATTTGGTTAGCAAGGCTCGGGACATAGTCGAGGCAGTTTTTGTTATCTACTCACATGGCTCTGCTTCATACATGGCGACGAGCGGGTCGGCCTTGGAGTGAAGGCGATGGGTTTCCTTTTCGGCCGATGTCTCGTATTCCTTTTGGGAAGAGGAGCTCTTTTGAGACTTGTGCGAGGGAGACTTTTTGGATTGTTCAGAGCCAACACTAAAGGTGCGCGGTTTGGCGCGCTCGTTCTGATAGTATTGAAAGCCGCCAGGAGGTTGCTGGTGCTGGTCTTGAGGGGAGGAAAATTGCTGTTGACCCGGTGGTGCAGCCATGATGACGGCGGGCTGGGGACGGCGCAAGTATTTGAAAGCTGGGCTGAGATGGGCGCAGGCGGAGACGGGAGGGTACAAGGTCCGCCAAGGGGGTTGTCGGGCACGCGTGGATCAGGCGATCGATGAATCAACGGTGGATGATGGCAATATGAGGCCCGAGTGCGTGTTTGGAGTTTTGAATTGACCGGGTGGGATTGATAGCGGAGAAGACGGAATCTTTGGTGGACGAAGCCGACGGCTGTTGGTGGTGACCTCGCAGCAATGTGCTGGGATCAAGTGGAGGAGGTTGGGGCACGTAAAACGGGTGGGCCGCAGCTCAAAGAGAAGACAAAAAGATGGGATGCCAGGGCTGAATGGCGGATGGAGAAGAAACGAGCGGGAACCGGCGGAGGGCGGGCGGGAGATGATAGAGGCGGCAAATTGATGAAAATATGCTGCTGGTGATGGATGAAGAGGCGATGGATGGCGACGAGAAGAGGAGGAGCCAAGATATGATGGGGAGTTGCGATGCGAACGGCAGGAGTTGCCACCTGACGTAGGTGTGAGTCTTTTTGGGGGGGGGGGCGGTCGCTGTAGCAGCACGGTAGCAGAATTGCGAGCGATTGGAAGTAGCTTGTAGGTAAGCGGCACCGAAAATGGTAGGTTGCAACTTTGGAGGTACTTGACGACGTTTTGGGTACCTAAAAGTTGTCTGACTGGCACTGGCATGCAGAATCAGTACGGAGTACTAGAAGTGCGCAACCAGGTAGGGCAACTAATATCCGTACAGGCAGGATAGCGGGATGTCGGCAGGCGGGAGTGGGTGAGTGGGTTTTGGCTGGTGGCGTCGTTTGCAGGCCTCCTTAGCGTGGTTTGGCCCTGCGAGAGGCTGCAGGATGCAGCTGTTCCTGTTGCTGTTGGACCTGAGCAGACGGACAGAGTTCAAGTACCAATGTACCTGTGCTAGCCGATTTGCTGGAGCAGATGCGGACGTAACGAATGCGCCAAAGAGCAAAGAGCTGAGAAACAAAGTTTCCGTCGCCGGCAAGCGCTCGAAGAAGCAAGGTCCAAGGCAATAAAAATAGCCAGTCAATAGGTCGTAGGCGGGGCCGTGTCTGGTCCGGGTTTGTCGACCCGATTTTGACAGTGCTGCTCCTCTTCAGCCCAAGTTTGATGGCCAAAAAAAATTGACGGGGTCGATACGAGACGCCTCGTGAAAATTGCGATCGGATGGTGCGGAGCTCGATGAGCAGCGGTGCGATGCAGACGGGATGCAGACAATACCGGTGATAACCTGTTGATAGACAAACAAAACGGTTGGTGACTGGTAACGATTGACGGGGCGTACGCAAAGCTTCAACAAAGAGTAGGTAGGCCGTTTCACAAACAGCGTTTTGAAACGAGGAAAAAATAAAGAAACCGGTCAGACGAGAAAAATTTGCCAAATTCCGACCGGACACACACCTTATTTATCTAGGGGAAAGAAAATCACCGGTTGCGCAACTCGTCCAGTAAATCGCCTGTGACAGCCCCGCCACACAGCCTTTACACCAACGCCGCACTTATCGCACTTGGCGTCCTTCATGACGCGTCGCTCTGGCCTCGCACTCGTCCACGCACTCGCCGGGTCACTGTAGGTTTTCCCTAGCGTCCAGAACCAGTTGATTTTGAAGCAGTTTATGCAGTACACAGCCCGAAGGAAGCCTGGCTCCGTCACCACACACACACCCGCTCCACCAAGGACAAAACTTGACTGGCTATCATGTGGGTGCTTGCCTTGGAACCAGTGCGCATCAGTGCTAGAGTCGGAGGCTAGACGTTCTTGAATAGGTGGACATTTGCAAATCGTCCGGAATGCCTTGGTCCTGGCCGGTTACGTGGGTACCTAACTACCTAACTACGATGCTACCTACCTAACTACCTAGTTACCTTAGTAGTTGCCTACATATACAAATTATAGTTACCTACATAGGTGGTTTAGTAGGTAGTTTATTATAACCTGTGGCACTTGTGGCTGTGGCGGTGCGGGCATGGCGTACTGGTACTAACTAAATTATAAGTGACCATCATCCATCGCCGCCGAATGCCGCTTGCGACAGCACATGGTTATCATTGTCAAGAGCCGCACCCCGCTGCCGCTGTCCATCCTTGCTGTTTCCGACAATGAGACAAAACTCAACGACACCACGCATTGCCTTGATTGGCATTGCTTAAATTGTCTCAATACTAAACCGCAGTGTCGAGTCAACTGCTCATCTGGCTCAATTGCACCCCACTATCCCATCCCGTACCTGCACCGCCAATTCAATTCTCCCAACCACCTGCGTTTTCCAAACACCGTTGCATCCAATTTAAGCATATGAGCCAAGATCGTGACGCCGCCGCACTATTGTGTGGCTGCAGCAAATTATCAACAGCCTCAGCAGCCTCAATAGCCGCACGTCAGCCGCACCATGTGCGCGACAATAATCCGCAATGAGGTATGCGCATAAATTACATGACTTGTCCAGCTTTCGTCCGATTCCCTGGCCATCATGTATCAAGCTCTGCCGCCGCCATGAAGCATATCCTCACACCCCAAGAGCATGAGCACTATCCGAACCTTCATAAATTTTGGACTCGAACCGGCGCCTCTTGCAACGGGAAAAGTAGGTCCTCACGCCCGCGACCGTGCTCCTGGTGCTCACCGCCGTAGCTCGCATTCATCATGTCGAGTTTCATCCAGATGGCCCTCGCTATACTCGTAATATCCAACTCGGCGACCCCGACACAGACGCAACGCAAGTCTTCATCATTGAGCAGGCCGACATCGCAACACTGCGGTACTTTTGGGACTCATACGTGACCGAAAAGCACTCTTTCCTGCAGTGCCTCGATGATTTCTTCCACGACCATCCGTCATTCAACTTTACCGACATACGGCCCAAAATACTGCAAACCCCGTCCGTACTCGCAAAGCAAAACCACCTAACCTTTAATTATGTGCTCGCCCGGCAGTTTGACAAGCCTATGCGTCTGGACTATGGCATGATCCAAAAAGCGGCCAAGGATTTCGGGACGTGGCGGGACGACCGGGACTTTGGTCCGATGAACCCGGTTCAGCGGCGCGAACTCGGTGGAGAGCAGACCGCTTTTCCGCCTCTGGCCCTTACGCGTACTTCGGCCACGGCGTGGTTCGACAGCCGCCACGATCGGCCATGGAGAACTGGTACGTTATGTACAGAGTACCGGACACGCAAGACTGCTTAAGCAGTTTGCTGATTCGACCCAGGTCTTATTTTCCTCGACAGGCATCCAAAGTTTTGGGGCCTGCCGTGCCAGCTGCAGGTGCCGTTTGCCATCATCAACGGCCGATACTACGGAACCATTCACACCCGCTCGCCGGCTGACCTTTTACTCGCTTGCATGCAGCAAAACGGCACCCTCAACGCCACCGCCGTGCCGCCGCCGCTAGTCGTCGTGGAGGACTTGTACCGGCTGGTCACCCACGAGTGGGCTCACCTGGCGGCCTACTTTACGCGGGACCTCAACGCCATTGAGTGGGCGCTGCAGCGCGGGGGCGGCGACAAAGGCGACGTCGAGCACCTGCGCCGCGCCATGCGTGACCTCTTCTTCGCCCGTCGGCGCATGGCGCACTACTGCGCCCTCATCCAACACACCGCGCACTCAGCCGCCATCCAGGGACGGCCGGTCTGGTGCACGGCGCTCAACGCGACCGAGGCCCAGTGGCACGCGACGGGCGCGACGGCAGCCGACTTACAGCGGGATCTCGCCGCGCTCGAGCACGTAATGACGCAAATGCATCTGCGCCTGCAGAGTACCATGACACATATCACAGCCGAGACAACGGTCATGGAGGCCGACCGCGCGCGCGTGCAGAACAAGATTCTGCTCCTCCTCGCCGTCATTGGCACCATCTTCCTGCCCGTCTCGTCGCTGGCGGCTGTCTTTAGCATGGGCGGCGACTGGGCCGCCGGGGGCAGCAACTTTGGCTGGTTCTGGGCCATTTGTGGTCCGGTCGAGGTTGTGCTTCTGGGTCTGCTGCTTGGTGTAAGTTATTGGGACATCATCTCTAGTCCGTAATGACAGCTTGGACACCATTCTCGTGCATCATAATCATCAGCCGTATTCTCTCATAGTCGCCCACAAACCTATGCATGTCTGACTTGCCGTGCCTCGTACCAGGCCACTCTTCGTAACACTCTCCAGCATCAAATCGCCTGTCTTCCACACCCCAGTTTCACATCGAGCCTCACACATTGCATCGTGGCAGTGGTCGAGCCATGGTGAAAAATGGTGTCTTTTTTAATTGAATGCCTCTTTAACGCAAGGCGGTATATTCTTTATATCCTTGCCTCCAATGCAGCCAAAAAATCAAAACCGCCTAGTACCAACTCCATCCCGAATCCTTTATTTATATCGAGGAGGGGTACAGCATGACACGAACCGAAGCGCCGAAAGACTTAGCGGGAAGGGGAGCAGTGAACTTGGCACGGACAACGCCAGAGTTGCCTAGAACAACAGTTAGAATTGACTGCCACGGGGAATTGTAATTTGCTTGTTTGTCGGTTGCTAATTGTTTGTCAACGTACCGTGAGGGCGGGTGACCTTGCCCCAGATCACGCGGATCTTGGTGCCACGGATCTCCTTTTGGCCGCGGTAGACGAAAGCAACACGCTTGCCAAGGTAGAAGCTGGGTTCACAGGTTAGTCCATGCTCTGCGTCGCGCGCTCCCATAACCTGTGGGAAGATCCAGGCATCGGGGGAGACCTACTTGGCACCGGTGACATCGTCAACACCCTCAATCTTGATGAGGGAGGTACCGGGACGGGTGATGTGACGAGAGCGCTGGTAGCTCAGGTGACGTCCCCTGCAAAAATGTGGTTAGCGAAAAGTTCCGCCCACTGCTTCAATTCGCCTTTCGAGTCGTCGTCCAAACATCGGATCCCAAAACGAATCGGTCGGCATCGAACGTGGTCGCACTCACTTGACGTATACTGCGACGACATGTTAGCATAGAGTCCCATCATCATCCTCGAAGATCATCATCATCTTCAACTGGACCATCGCGACGGTTTGACGTACATCTGTGACCGGCTTCGGAAGGCATCTTGTCGTTGGTTTCTGTTTTTCGCCGCTGCCGTTATAAAGAAAGTCGTAGGAAAGACGTCTTAGCGAAAAGACCTGTCCCTCTGTTGTAGTTAGTCGTCGATGGTTGGTATCGTCAAGTCCGGGCTAGGAGAGGTTCGAGGTGGATGCGATAATGGTTGTGTGGTGGACTCGCAAAGCCCGAAAAAATTGTGCCCTTTCCATCACGTGTCTGCTTAGGGCAGCTGGGATTTGCTGGTCCCCGCTATGTTGGCACCGCCACAGTGGCACAGAACGATTTCGCCATGGCTAGAGTGGGGTCGTTTTCACTAGCCACCTGCGCCGCATCGGCATCTTCGGACAAAAAACGCCAGAGCACAACTGCCTGCAGCAGTGTGCATTTGAAACCAGCTCGGCAACGCTGGAGCGGACGGCACGACTAATCAGCTTACAATATGCTGATGTCAGGCGCCTCGCAGCAAATCTTTTTACCGAAATTGCAAGAATTTTCAGAGAATGACTCTACTGCAGTTCTACAGGAGATCTAGCCAGATGCAGCGCAGGCGAATAGTTTTCAGTTGCAACTGGTGGGTACAAGAGTCGAGCGCTTTTGGCTGCAATGTAGAGTGATGGAGTTGTCGCAAGTGGGGGATAAGATAAAAGATAAACCAGCAACTATTGTACATAGTTCAGAATGATGCACAAAACCATCAAAAACATACAGAACACGTACTACAAGACGGGTTAGAAACATGCGAATGGTCAATGGATATGACGGCCGTTTTATCCGGTAGAGGTGTGTTCACCTCGTTAACACCGTCGATCCTGGAAATCCCTCGTAGATACGGCGGCCGGTCAAACGCCCGGGGCGGGGCCAGGCGTAACGTACCTAGAGTCTGACAGAGCATTTGGCTATCAGCGCATCATACCTAGCTCAGCGATAGCATTAGTGAGCAAGTCCCGCCCCAAGCTGGACCTTCAACAACTCAACGGTCTTTCCTCAAGCAGCTTCCCCCTCTCTCCCACCCGTCATTCCTCTTCGTGGACAGCTTCATCTCTGCGATTTAATTTCCGACCAAGCCGCCCCCCGCCATGGAGCAAACCTCTTCGTATGTCGTCGTTCCTGCTGGCAACTCCACCATCAAGCTCCCTTTGACCGCTAACAAACAACTCTCAGAGCCATGGAGCTTAAGGAAAACACCACAATCGTCGTCCTCGGCGCCTCCGGCGACCTGGCGAAGAAGAAGACGGTATGTGCAACAACACAGGCAATGTCTTTCTGGTCATGAAACGCTAACCAAACACAGTACCCTGCCCTCTTTGGCCTGGTAAGGATGTCTGATCGGCGACCCAACTATGTCGCTTGCCTCTAACAACTATCCAGTACCGAAACCAATTTCTCCCCAAAGATGTCCGCATTGTTGGCTATGCGCGCACGAAAATGGATCACGAGGAATACCTCCGCCGAATCAAGTCATACATGAAGACGCCCACCAAGGAGATTGAGCAACAGCTCGAGGAGTTCTGCAAGATTTGCTCCTACGTCTCGGGCCAGTACGACAAAGATGAGTCCTTTGAGGCACTCACCAAGCACATGGAGGAGCTCGAAAAGGGCCGCCCCGAGCACAACCGTCTCTTCTACATGGCCCTCCCGCCGTCCGTCTTCACAATCGTCTCCCAACACCTCAAGAAGTGCTGCTACCCCAGCAAGGGCATCGCCCGCGTCATCGTCGAGAAGCCGTTTGGCAAGGACCTGGCTAGCTCGCGCGAGCTACAAAAGTCCCTCGAGCCCGATTGGAAGGAGGAGGAGCTATACCGAATCGATCACTACCTGGGCAAGGAGATGGTCAAGAACATCCTTATTATGCGCTTCGGCAACTCGTTCCTCGGCGCGACCTGGAACCGTCACCACATCGACAATGTCCAAATCACCTTCAAGGAGCCCTTTGGCACCGAGGGCCGCGGTGGCTACTTTGACGAGTTTGGCATCATCCGTGACGTCATGCAGAATCACTTGCTTCAAGTCCTTACCCTCTTGGCCATGGAGCGTCCTGTCTCCTTCGACTCGGAGGATATCCGTGACGAAAAAGTGCGCGTTCTGCGCGCTATTTCTGCGCTCGAGCCCAAGAATGTCATCATTGGCCAGTATGGTCGTTCGCTCGACGGCAGCAAGCCCGCTTACAAGGAGGACGACACGGTGCCCCAGGACTCGCGCTGTCCTACCTTCTGTGCCCTCGTCGCCTACATTAAGAATGAGCGATGGGATGGCGTGCCCTTCATCATGAAGGCTGGCAAGGCCCTCAACGAGCAAAAGACGGAGATCCGTATCCAATTCAAGGACGTCACCTCTGGCATCTTCAAGGATATTCCTCGCAACGAACTGGTCATGCGCATCCAACCTAACGAGAGTGTCTACATCAAGATGAACTCGAAACTCCCCGGTCTCAGCATGCAAACAGTCGTGACCGAGCTCGACCTCACCTACCGCCGCCGCTTCTCCGACCTCAAGATTCCTGAGGCCTACGAGTCCCTGGTCCTCGACTGCCTCAAGGGCGACCACTCAAACTTTGTCCGTGACGACGAGCTCGATGCCAGCTGGCGCATCTTCACTCCTCTTCTCCACTACCTCGACGACAACAAGGAGATTATCCCCATGGAGTACCCCTACGGTAAGGACAGCCCTCCACTTGCTTTTGTGCCATATATTAACACGTAGATAGGCTCACGCGGCCCTGCTGTGCTCGACGACTTTACGGCTTCTTATGGGTACAAGTTTAGCGATGCCGCTGGATATCAGTGGCCGACAACGTCGGCTGTGCCCAGCAACAACAACAACAACAGTAGCAACAAGTTGTAAGCCAGCACTGGCATGTCTTATTGTGGCAGACGATAATGTATAGGCTACGAAAATCAGTTGATAAACATTGCTTTGAATACAATATGAATTACATCCATCTCATTCTTGTCTTGAATTATCTTGTTACCGATTTTTTCCTTCTGTTTTTCTCTTGCTCAACTAATTCATCTATTCCTCGTCATAATTCAGTACTTATTATTCCTGTTTCAACAATCCCCTCGTATTTGCTGATTTATTTGCCCGGCGCATTTGAAGTAGTTGTACAAAGAAGTGGTGACACTGTTTCAAAACTCAGTTCGTATTGACGAGCGTTGGTCGCACAAGTGGTCCGTGCACTCGCGCAGCCTCACTAGCCTCACATGACTGACTTTATCACCCTTGCAAACATCTTGAATCTGACATCACACTGGCATTTGCATCGCGATAGCCATCGAATCCTCCGTGGCGCATACTTTCGTTCGGCGCTCTTCGGGATACTTTTCACCTTTAGTCTCTCGTACGCGTGCGCGGCCCGCGATGCCACGTCGCTTGGCGCCTGCATCCCGAATCACGTCGACCTGAAATTTCGGCCGGGCCGCCACGGGCTTGTCGAAGGGCCCGGCGTCCTCGAAGATGGAAAATGGCGAAGCCAGCGGGCGCACCGATCACGACCGGCCGAGCACCAATGCGGTCGTGAACCAGACCGGAGCGCCGCCTGACGACAAAGCCATGGCCAAGGCCGCCGCCGGCAGCGATGATTCGGATCCGCCGCGCATGAACGACCTGCCCAACGAAATTGTCCACATCACGCAGGGTTTTATCCCGCTCTCTGCACTTCTCACGCGCCTGACGCAGGTCACGCATAACTCGCTTCAGGACAAGGTGGCGGAGCTGGTCAAGATACCCATCCCGGCGTCGGCGCTTAACGGCGGCGCGACCAATCTCACATCGAGCGCGCCGGACGACACCTCAGCCGAGAACTTACGGAAGAAGGCGGCCCTGCTGCACTTTACACAGGACCTGCATGCGAAATGGGTCAAGGCGCTCGTCATCACGGAATGGAGTCGCCGCGCGCCCCTTGTCAGCAAGCTGATTGACTTGAAGTTCCATACGGACCAGCTGCGCGTCCACTACGACGTGTGCTTGGAAAGCATGGTCAACGTCAAAAGAGACTTGTCGTATGCGCGCATGCCTGCCCCGGATTTGAAGACGGCCTTGCAAGTATTATCCACCGGAAGTGCTCCATGGATATCAGACGTAGGTTTCAATGTGCCCGCGCGCCTAGCGAAGAATTTGCTAACAATTGCAGCATAACTATATAGAACCCCCCCCTCTTACAGCCGTCGAGAAGCTGCGTTGGATGAAAGACATCAACACGCGATTAAGCCTACGACTCAACTTGGAAGATTACGATAAAATACCACCTCAGTTCCGCAACTACGAGATTCAATCTGGCCGCGTCACATTCAAGGTTCCCGACGAGTTTGAAGTGGCGCTAACCATTGCCGACGAAGACAATGACAAGCAATTCTGGTTTATCGATTTTCAATATGCATTCACACCCTCCGCACTGTCTCTTTCGGAGGGGCTACGGAACTACATGGAGAATTATGTCAACGATGCGATAGCTAGGGGCGGTCTAACAGGCTGCTATCAATTCTTACACGAAATGGTGCTCACGGCCAAAATCACCGAGCTCAAGCGCCAGGCCCTACGGCTAAGTAAAACATCCTGGGATGGTACTCTTGTCGTTGAGCCGCTCCACCGTGCCCTGGCGATTCAGTACTGGTCATCGCGTGTATCTAACACCAAGAGCTGGGTTCTCATTGCTATTAACAGTGGGAAGAAGAACGGCAAGGTGGATACGAGATCGTCGAGCCGCCTTGTAGCAACGTGGTACAGAGACAACACAGAGGTCAAGGATGTACAGCTGGGTCTCGACGGCGGAAATCTCTCTATGGAGTCTCTTCTGAAAGAAGTGATTGGACGACATATTGGATACATCTTGCAGAGTATCCGCGATAAGCTGCTTGAAGCACCTCGGTTCAAGCAGCATGAAGCGGCTATGAGACTGCGCATCTCAAACACAAACCCCAGCGACTGTAGGCTTACGACGCAGGTTAGCCACAGCGACACGGCGACGCTGCTAGTGGAACCAACGACAGGCATTTTTGCCATGAAGCCGCAGTCAAAATTCTCGATCCAGTATGAGCATCAACTGAACAACGGCAAGAACACTGCCGAGGACGGCGTGGCGTGCTTGGAAAATGTACGCTGCGCCATGATGGAGGACGAACTGCACCGTCGTGGCAACGTGACGGGCTGGCAGACACAAAAATCGCCCCTGTCATTGGAGGAAACGAAATCTGTCACAAAAGTGCGCGACTGGACCCGAAGTATCTGGATGCGCAGGCAAGGCTGGGGGGAGAGCTGGTACGTGGCCATCTTCCTCGGCCTTGGCGGCGATGAGTGGTGGCTGCTGGACGTAAACCGCAACGAGCCCGGCCGCACCATCAAATTCCAAGCAAGACTGCCTCTGAGCAAGGGCGACCCCGAATTATCCAATGCCTTCTGGGTCAACTTGACCGTTTTCGCCACTGGCTTGATTGCGCAGGCAGTTGATATGCGCGAGCTACACCGTCTTCACATCAAGAGCCGGACAAGTGACAGCGTCAATCCTACACTACCGCAACAAATTCACCTGCCTTCTATTCAAGTGGCTCTATCAGCCATGTTCCCCAGCATAGTCCACGACGGCGGCCCCAAATCGGAGTACCGCCAGCCATGGGCAAATGATGTTGTCACTATCCGATTCAAAGGTATTGAAACAGCCGACGACACCCTGACGTGCGTCTCAGAGGCAGTTCTCCGCGTGTGCAAGCCGTCCAAGTTTGCCGCGCTCAAGGGCACGGTAGACGGGAACCTGTTGTACAATGCTAAGCTAGGCGAGTTTTGCCTACGCGTGCAGCATGCCGTGGGCGAACCTGTCCTGGCCCTCCTCAAGTCGCGAATCAAGGCTATTGACCGATTCGTCAACTTTTTGGAGGCCATGGACAAGTCGAAGGGGTCGATTGTCGGCGAGCTGGTGACACTCAAGGAGATACGGTTCTTGTACTGCCAAGCCGGCAGCGGCAATGGCAGCGACAGCGACAGCCGGAAACAATGGCGTATCACGCTGGATCTGTCACGGGACGACATTGCCATTAAGATTGACCGCGGCAACCCGCACCTGCGTGTTGTTGACCTCATGCAACAGCTCGTCAACAGCGACGGCGGCATCGGAGCGCTTATGGGGTGGCTCCCCGCATCATTGCAAGCGCTCGAGGCCATTAGCAGCATCGAGACTCGCTGGGAAGAGCCCCAGTCCAAGCGTCTTGGTCGCGTGGAGTTCGCTATGAAGAGTCTGTCATGGCTCAGCTTACAGTACACCATGACTATCCCTGGTCCGTCGGCGACGGAGCGCCCCGTCCTCTTCCAAGTGCGCACTAAGACGCGGCGCGGTGAGGCCTGGTGGCACGTCTGGCGCTCCCACGATGGTGGCGGCCACCACGATGACGCCTACGACATGGCGCTCAAGACGGTGTGGAACGGCCGCGGCCCCGGGTGGATGGGCTTGTCGACAGGTGCGGCGGCACGGTCAGAGGGCGGCATTGTCGCGATGCTGCTCGCTGTGGACGACGTGCTACGCTCCGTCGGCGTCGACGACCCGTCCATGACGCCTGGGGCGCAGTCGTCAACAATTCGATCTTTTACGCAACCCACGACGCAGAGCCAACACAGCGCTAAGGACGTCGTGGTTTTGGATTAGATGCCTTTAATGGCCTGCTTTTTCTTTTTCGCATAAACAGAAGCCAGCTGCAGATATGATACCAAGTGCTTCAATTAATAATGAGGAAAAAAAGGAAGAAAATATGTTTATGTACAAGCGTTTTACTAAAAAGAAACAATGTGACTATCTGTCTATATACGTGCGACTTTTCTGTGTACTTCCCTCTCTCACTTCATCTCTCTCTACGCTTTGCGTTGAGGCTGGCGACAAGGAATCTGCGCTAGAGGTACGTCGGCGATGACGGGGTCACAGATAAAGTCCTCCAGCCCCGAGACCCGCTGACCGGAGACGACGGCGTGCGCGGCGCCGTCGGCGTTGCGCAGGGCGCCCATGGCACCGATGCGGCCGTACGAGCCATTGGCCACGACGAGGCGCCCGCCAAACGCCTTGGTCATCTGCTCGTGGGCGCGCCGCAGCCGCGCCACGTGGCCCACGTTGTGCTGCGGGATGCAGTCGCGGGCGAGGCGCGCCATGGCGTGGCAGGGCGTGTCGCGCGGGATGCCGAGGTGGCGCTCCAAGAGGGCCTTGGCCTGCGCGACGGCCTCGTCCTCGGACGGCGGCGGCGCGGCGCTGCCGTCGCCGGCGTAGTAGTGGCCGCCCATGAGCACGAAGAGCTTGGTGCCGGCGGGCTCGTCCGGCGCGCGCTCCCCGGCGACATCCGAGTCGAAGAAGACGCCGAGAGCGCGCTCCGGGTTCTGCGCGGCGGGAACGGCGCGCGGGATGAGGTACCCGAACCCGGGCGGCTTCATGCGCTCCGTCGGATACCAGAGGTTGACCGTCATGATGGACACGGACTCGATCTCGGCGAGGGCGGACAGGGCCGAGCCGGTGGACTTGACGAGCGTGTGGCTGGAGGAGGTGGAAATTACGTGGTCGAAGAGCTGGGGCGCGTCTTGGGACGTCGTCACCTAGCATGTGTTAGAAGCGGTCATCGAATATGTGAGCAGCGAGAAGCCTACCTGGACCCTTTCTTCTTGTGGGAGGTAGGCGATGTCGGTCACCGGCGTGTCCCGCCGAATGGTCACGTTGGCCTGTCCGGAGAGCGCATTCTCGAGGGCCTTGGGCAGCGCCTCCATGCCCTGGGCGCCAAAGTGCACCAGCGCCCCCTTTGGTCTGTTGGCCATGGCGCAGACCAGGTCGTCGTCGGCCCTGCGCTCCATGAAGGCGAGCTCGTGGGCGGGCACGTGGCGGTGGCCCGGGGCGGCGGGCGGCAGGTGCAGGGCGTAGTACATGCGGTCGAGGACGCTGCGGGCGCTCAGCCGCTCAATGTCGCCGCCGTAGATGCCGTGGATCATGGCCGACACGAGGTTGCGGCCGACGACGGCGTCGCCGGTGACGAGCCGCAGCCAGTCGGCCACGGACAGGTCCTCGGCGGGCAGCGCGCCGCGGTGGCGGCCGGTCACGTAGCCCGCGGCCGTGCCGAGCGCGCCCCGGAAGCACTCGCGGAAGAGCGGCTCCCGCAGACAGTCGAACACGGACGCGTCGGGCGGCATCGTCACGAGGTGGTCCGGGTAGTAGAGGTATCGGGGGAGGTCTTTGGGGTACGAGGGCGTGAGGCCGAGGTCGAGCATCTAAGCATTTTTCCACGCCGGGCCGTGATTAGGTTTTCTTTCTAAAAAGGGAGGGATGTGGAATAAGGAAAACCATACCAGCTCGTACAGCACAAGGTCGTCGTACCGCCAGGTGTTGCCGCGGAGCGACGACAGCGTGCGCGGGCCGCGCTCAAACGGCACCACGCCGCGCACGCCGCCGACGTTGACGCGCTCCCGGTCGGTGCGGATCCAGCCGCCCAGCCGGGAGCCCGCCTCGTACAGCGTGATGCGCGCCGACGGCGGCAGCTGCTTGGCGAGGAGGTAGGCGGTCGCGAGGCCCGTCAGGCCGCCGCCCACGACGGCGACTTGCTTGCCGCCGTCGCCGCTCGTCGTCGCGAGGCCCCGGAGCTGCTGCCGCCATGCGGGAGCCCGGAGCGCCCGTGTCGCCACTTCCCGTGCACAGCGACTCTTTCTCATGGTTCAATGGCGCATGAGAATGGGGGGGGGGTCTTCGTTTTTGTTTTCTGACTGTGGGTGGGATGGCGTGAGAAAGACGCGGACTGGGGTGTGGTGGAGCTTGATGTGCCGAACGGGCGCGCTCGTGCAGCTGTGACGCCAATGTCCGAGACAGTCAGTGTGACTAGTATTTAGTAAAGGATAGCAGCGTGCAAATCGTCTACTTTCGCTATATCTACATACACATGAACTATGGTTAAAAAATGGCTCCCTGCCGCAACATGCAAGGGACAGTTGGTGGCGCCCGTCATCAACAGTTCCATAGACGTCGAGGACGCAAATGCCGTCGAGATTTGCATGCACAAGATGAAGCAAAGAAGAAAAAAGTATAGATCCGGGCACGTCATTGTGCCCGAAATAAGATGCGTAGCTCTATTAGACAACCGTTTGCAGTATGCGTACTTGATAATATATACAATACAGCCCATCCCTCAAAACGCCACCCAATAACAATTTTTGTTGTACACTACCCAATTACATCGCCCTGCGCCGCGACCTCGACGGCTTGGTTGGTATCATGCCTCATCTCATCATCATCTGGCTTGACCAGTTCCTCCAGTCCGTCGCCGTCCTCGACAAACTGACGGTCGCTCACATGCCCCCCGCCCGCCACCCACACCTTGTCCTTGAAGCCGCCCTGCTGGCCCTCCTCGTGCGAAAAGGCGCAGTGCGGGTTCAGGCAAGGGCTGAACCGGCACTTGATCTTGACGTGCGTAAACTTGCAGCCGTCCGTAGTGCAGCCCGCGCCGTTGCGGCACAGGGGCATCGACGGGTGCCGAAACGGGCAGTGCGTGTTCTGGCAGTTGGGGAAGAACTTGCAGTCCTGCTCGCTCTGGTGCGCCAGCTTGGTCGCAGGCGACGGGTGGCGGCCAACGCACTTACGGTTCTTGCAGGCGGCGCCAAAGGAGCACGGGTCGTTGACGTCGACGCTTGCGCCAGGCGGCGCGGCCGGCGACTGGTGCGCAAACTTGCACTCCTTGTTGGTGCAGCGCAGGTTGTATTTGCAAGTCATGTCCTCTGGGTTCGGGGCTTCGCGCGTCATTTCCAATTCCTCGCCGCCCTCAGCGTTCTCGCTGGCGGCCTTGTCATGGTAGCCGTTTTGTGGCTTGCGCTGCTGCCTGCGGTTCGGGTCCTGGACGCGGTCAAACAGCGACTTGCCACCCCGCCCGCGGGCGTAGCTGCCTCCGTTTGGCACGGTATTCATCATTTGTGATAATTGGAACATCATCTGGTTCTGCTGCTCCAGCATGGTCAGGATCTCAGCCTGGGACTGCGGCCCGTTGGGGCCCATCATCCACTGAGGGCCAGCGGCGGCCAGACCTGCTTGGATGTTTCGTGGGTTCATGCGACCGCCGCGGCCACGTTGTGCTTGGCGGTTGTGAGTATTGATTCTTTCGTTGCCGTTCTGACGGACTCGGTGGAGGACATCGGTGCGGTCCATCGCCCGGTTGACGTTGCCGAGCATGCGACCACCTCTGCCGCCACGCGGTCCATTTCGCATCGCACGGGGGCCAGTGGGACTTTGATAGGGAGTTAGCTTTGATACAAGATTCGATGGCCCCATGACGCCATGACAAATAGGAGGGGGACATACGCATTCAGTGAATCAGTGTCCATTTCGACATCGCCCTCGGCAGGGGCAGGTACGCCATTCATCTGCGTATTCAGCTCGTCGATTTGCTGAAAGAGCCATCTGGAGAACTCGCGCGCCGTGGCGTCGCCCGGCTCTAGATGCAGCAAGTCGCCTGCCATCTCGGTGGCGATTTCTTCTTCCGACTTGCCGTTGGCGAGCATGAGCACGATCAGCTCGGCCAGCGACGAGGCGTCCGACTCACTCGCCCATCCTACTTCCTGCAGCTTTGGTTGGATCGCCGCGTTGATGGCTGTCGCCAGCGGCGAGTCGAGATTGAGCTCGACAGGCATTGCGATAGGATGGATGCGTGCGCTTGCTTGACGCGTTTTGTCGCCGGGTGGAGGAGGTTGGTGCGTAGAAATTACCGCGCAAGGGTCGCGCAGTGGTGAGAACCGGTTCGCTAGTTTTCGCGTGTTTGTTTGCGATGTTATGTCTGTGATCTTGGAGCGAACGGAACTGAAGGCGATTGCTTTTGTGCTGGGGCAAAAGTTCTGAGGCGCACCCTTGCCTGCCTTCCAGGCAAAGAATAAAGAATGGGGTGCGGATGACCGGTCACGTGATTCTTTCTCTCGCGTTCCATGTTCCGCTTTGTCATCAGCCCATCCCATCTGCCTGCCCCCTTGCGGCGCATCTTAATCTGCACGAATTAGACTTTGGATGTAGGATCCGAGATTCACCCCACGCCTACGCCATGCAGCCATGTGCCGCTGCATTGCTCGTCATCAATCCTCGTGCCCGTGGCACCCTCCGTGATTCGGAACAGCCGACAGCAGCCCGCCGTCGTTATCACTCTGCATTTACGACGGAGCCAAGGAGCCTTGTACGCAGCCTGCTTGCCCAACACTTTGCCCTCGTCAGCCTCTTAGCGACAATGTAACCCAACCTTCGCTCATGACTACGAACCCCAGTCTGCGACATGGTGGCCAGCCAGCCGTCTTCGCAAGCCTTGCAGGCCCAACGGAGCTTGCCAACGCGCCCGTGCCCCCATTCTCCTATACCAGATCTAGCGACTTGCATTATAGCCAAGTAGTTGTTAATATAAAGGTGGCCTCCTCCTCGCTCTTGTGCCCGTGCCGTCGGGTTCTTCTGGTCTGTCACTTGACTCAAGGCACAGTACTATGAAGTCTACCGTATTTGCTCTTCTCGCCGCTGCCGCGCAGGCAGCACCCTCCAACACGGGCGGATGTGTACGTCGACCACGCCGCAACTCAGTATATTGACCATGCTAACCAACAATAGTGTCAGAAGCTGGAAGCCGCTCTGCCCTCCATCTACCATGGCCCCTCGGCCGCCGACTATCAGGAGCTTGTTACTGCTCGTTGGTCCACCACTTCCATGCAGCATCCCGGATGTGTAGTGACGCCCTCATCGTCCCGAGACATGTCTGTCATTGTCGAGCTTCTCACAACCAATTACTGCCAGTTCTCAGTCAAATCTGGAGGCCATAATCCCAATCCTGGGTTCAATAACATCGACAAGGGCGTCTCCATTGATCTGAAGAGCCTCAACTCTACGTCCTTGGCCTATGATCGCTCTCACGTTAGCCTCGGCACTGGTCTGTCTTGGGGACAAGCCTATGCCGCCTTTGAGAAAGACAAGATTGCCTTTACCGGAGGCATCTGTGCGGATGTTGGTGTCGGCGGTCTCGCTGTCGGTGGTGGGCAGTCGCTCTTCCAGGCTGGCAAGGGCTGGGTTGTGGACAACGTCATCAATTATGAAGTGGTTCTAGCGTCGGGTCATATTGTCCACGCAAACCTACAGAATAATTCTGACCTTTACAAAGCTCTCAAGGGCGGTAGCACAAATTTTGGTATTGTGACCAAGATCGACCTGGCCGCCTTTGACTTTGACGTCATGTGGGGAGGCCAGATGATTCTTGGTCTGGAAGGCCCCCAGGCCGGCCGTGAGCAGATGATTGAGACAATCACCAACACTACCGTCGATTTTGTGGCCGATAACCACCGCGACGTCGACTCTGGTATCCAGATTGTGGCTACCTACCTTCGCAACGGCACCCAAGTGGTCGACGTTGCAGTGTCCAACACAGCCAACATTGCAAACGCTCCGGCGCTCCAGCCGTTCCTCAAGCTGCCCAATCAGATTCACAGCACTAACCGGCATGCATCGCTGGCTGAGTTGGCACATGAAACCAGCCTTGCGATCCCGCGCGGCTTCCGCTACGTTACTGCGAGCGTAACTGTCTCCAACGACAAGGCGACGCTGCTCGCGTTCTGGAAGGCAGCTGACGTCGTGTACAATGGCCTCAAGGTCAAAAATCAAATTGATTGGCTAGTCTCAGTTGTACCCCAACCTAGCCTTCAGGAAACGTATGCTGAGAGGCGTGGTGGTAACGTCCTTGGTCTGCAAGATGTCCAGGAAGATCAGCTAGGTATGTCCGTTTCAAGGAGTTTTCTACGCCGTCACTAATAAACATTCAGTTCTCTGGCTCGTCTCTCGGTGGAATGACGCCAGCCTCGATGCCACCATGGAGGATGCGCGTCAGCAATTCATCGATGCTGCAGTCGCCGTCGGCAAGGAGCACAACACGTTCTCTCCCTTCATCTACCTAAATTATGCCAGCCCCAAGCAGGACCCTCTCTGCGGCTATGGAGAGGAAAACGTGGCTTTCATGAGGGAGGTTGCCAAGAAGTATGACCCGAAAGGCTTCTTCCAGAAACTGCAGCCCGGAGGCTTCAAAATCAGCCTCGCACAGTGCGCCTAGATGATAGAAAGGCCAACGCCTAGGCATGCTTGCATATATACTATACTAGATGAAGATGGTACCCGATCACACGTATATAGACTTCATATTTATGATGATGCTGCCTATCCAGATTTGAAGCTGCTACGAACCGCATCACCGAAGCGTGACGTGGCCAAGTCCATATCCTCGACGCTGGCCGTGGCGTAAGTGACACGGAAGTAGAGGCCCGACAGCGGTACGTGCTGTTCGGCGCGGAACCAGGAGCCGCGGGCCACGAGCACGCCTCCCTCGATGCAAGCGTCGAAAATCTCCTGCTCAATCTCCTCGAGACTGCGTTTGCCGTGATCAGGATGTTTCGTGTGGTCTACAGTAAGCCAAATCTACAGCACCTGGTCAGAACCCCCCTGCCGCATGGTTGCCTCTCAAAAGGCTGTGAGGAAGGGAAAGGATTCAAGCGGGCACTTACAAACATGCCGGCGGCCGGCGGCGTCCAGCTCACAATGTCCTGCGGGAGGTGCTTCTCGCAGGCGGCCAGCAGGGCGTTGCGCTTCTGCGTGTACTCGACGCGCAGACTCATCAGCCACTCGAGGTAGCCGGCGTGGCCCCAGGTCTGGTCGAGCAGCTTGTGCAGGATGACCTGGGAGAAGCCGCTGGGGCCCTGGGACGCGACCTCGGCGTGGCGCTGGTAGCGCTCGATGATTTGCTGCGAGGCGACGACCCAGCCAAGCCGCGCGCCCGGCGCCAGCACCTTGGAGAAGGAGTCGAGCCGCATCACCCGGCCGTCGACGTCGAGGCTGACGTACGACGGCACGAGGCCCGCCACGAACTCGTCCACCGTCGCCGGCGGCGCGCGCCCCTGCGGCGCCTCCCCGTACGGCTCCATCTGCAGAAAGTAGTACGGCTCGTCCTCGATGACGATGAGGTCGTGCTTGCGCGCCACGGTGTAGATGGCGCGCCGCCGCGCCGCGCTCTGCGTCGCGCCCGTCGGGTTCTGCCCGGACGGCACCGTGTACAGGACGTGCGGGCGGCGGAAGCCGCCGCGCGCGGCGTCGTCCCACGCGCTGAGCAGCGCGTCCATGGCCTCGGCGACGATGCCCTCGCCGTCGACGGGCGTCCCGAAGACGCCGACGCCGAGCGGCTCCAGCGTCTCCATGGCGGTGGAGAAGCCAAAGGCCTCGGTCAGCACGGCGTCGCGCCGGCCCTTGTCGCACAGCATGCGCGCGGCCTGCTCGAGCGCGCCCGTGTTGCCAATCGTCTGGCACACGGCCCAGTCGGCGTACGGCGGCCGGCTGACAATCTCGGTGTGCTCGGTCAGGAACCGCATCATCTGGGCCGAGCCCGTCGCCTGTCCGTAGTTGAGCGCCACCGACAGGTCGTACTCGGACGCCCCCTCCCGCACGTCGTACTTGCCAATCGTCGCCTGCACCCCGCTCCGCGCCGTCGCCTGCTCCGAGAACCCCGGCGCCACGGGCACCTTCATGGAGAGCTCGGCGAACGGGAACACCTGGCTCGAGGGAAGCCCGCTGCCGAGCGAGATCAGCCCGGGCTTTTTGAGAAACTGCGCGGCTTGCTTGAGCGCGCAGGGCTGGCGCCGTAGGCTTTCTTCGGTGAGATGGTCTAATTGCAAGAGTAAGTAGGGGGGGGGGCTTTCGGTGGTGTGATGCGGCGCGACGTACGATCCCATCGTTTTGCTTTTGGTTTTCCATCTTGCTTCTCGCGAGTCAGCTTGGCGTCTAGGGGAATTCCGTCTCGTGCATGCTACATACCGGGCCTTTAAACATGTCACTGTTGGACGCGGCAGCAACGCCGGCCACGAGCTTACCAGCATCGGCACGGCGCTTCTGGATCTCGGCAATAATTGTCGAGGCCGGGACTCGATCAGACTGCATTTTGACGGTTCCGTGTTGTAGCTGAAACAAAATTGCCCGTTCCGCTAACCAGTTCCCCGAGGGAGGCACGCCTTGGAGCAACTGTTATACGTAGGTTGTTGGGCTGTCAATTACAGGGCGTGCGCGTGGGGTAAGCAAAGCCTCGTGCAAAGCCTCGTCATGTTTACACCGGCTTCGCTGCTCGGCCATCGTTTACGCCGGCGACCGCTGGGCAAGCCTATTCCGATGCTGCCCAAGTGGACTTGTGGCTGCCCAGATCATGTTTCGGGTGGATTTACGGCGCCTTAGTGTCTGCAAGTGCGCATCTTTGGTGAGCCAGTCGGCTCCGATCGGAGCAAGCAAGGCTAAGGCTATCGCTGATTGCCTGGCATGAACTAACATTACGCCGAGACTCTGAATCTTGCAGGATCATGAGCGCCTCGACAACTCAGACACCTCACCTGGCCCCCCTCCATGCTTGAGATGCGACTGAAAAGACTTTTTCTATTTTGTACAGGTGGAGACGTGTCAGTAAAGGTGTAGTTATATATGCCAAATACCATAAACAATAAACAATCCGTACAACCATCCTACATGCGTACAGGACAGTGCGCGGGGATGGAGATACCAAACGCCAGACAAATGCAAAGTGCCGAATTCCATCTTTTCCCATCATACATGTACAAATACAGATCCCCTCTCCCCCGGCAAGAAGCGCTCTCCCGACTTCCACTGCGCTCCCACTCTCACCATCATCGTCGGCTCCCGTCGAGCGGGCGATCCTTGGCCGGCATGCCGCCAATCCTCTCCTGAAGCTTGCTGCCGTTCTTCTCAGCCTCCCTCTGCCGCGACAGCCGCACGTCCTCGGGCAGACCCCACCAGTCGTGCATAAACTCCTCCTGGGCGACGGCGACCTTGTTCTTGGCCTCGCGCTGGCGCTGGCGGTCCATGCGCATGGCGAACCACTCCTCGCGGGCGGCGTCGTGCTCGGCCTGGTTGGCGTGCAGCTTCATGCAGCCGTTCATGGCGCGGTGCTCGGCGCGGCAGGCAAACGAGACGGTGAATGTGCGGCCGAGGGCACAAGCGGCGAATGCTGACGAGAAACAAGTCTGTTAGCAAGGGGGCCTCCCCCCTCCGGGACAGTGGAGGGCAAGGGGGGGCGACAAACGAACCTTTGATCTCGTCGGCGCATTGCTTGCGGACGCGCGCATAGTAAATGTCGCGCACTTGGGACTCTTGGGAGGCGGACAGCGGAAGCGGATTCCGTGAAGGGACGCCCAGACGCTCGGGGGGAGGCATGGGCAGATCGGAGGCTTGGCCTGCCATGATGGAAGCCATGCAACAGCTGTGATTGGGAAAGGATGTATCTGGAAAGGTTGTCGAGTTGTGTCGAATCGTCCGAGCCGCTGATGGTTGGGGTTGGCTCGAATTGATGGCCGGGGTCGCGAATAGAAGACGCAGAGATGATTGGCTAGTGATTTCCGCGCCTCGACAGGATCTCGATTGCAAAAGTTTGCCTGTCGCGAGAGGCAATTCGTCGTCACCCGTTCGCTGTTACGGAACTCCTCTAGGCACGGGGAAGCTTTGTGTCTCCAGCAATGGCGCGAGGTTGGCGGCAGTACTCCCCACACCGCCTACCGTATTTGCGATTTACGCAGATAGGGTTGCCAACGACTTACACGAGTACGGGACGTTTCTGGTCTTGGCCGTTTCAGGAAATTTAATTTTTTCTATTTCTTCACTATTCGTGTTGATCGCTTCCTTCATATGGCTGGAGGTGGCTCTTGGTCATCTGACTGCGGCTGAGCGCCATGTTCTCGGCGCCTAGGATGAGGTATGAGGCTGAACTCTGTGCACTCAGCTGAGGCGCCCCCCCATGGCCTTACTTTTTTTTTTTTTTTTTTTACCTCTGCATGAAGGAGTAATTTTGTTCGGTTACTGAAGAATTAGATTTGCCTACAAAACAGAAAGACTAAAACTGTCTTGAAACGGTTATCGAATAGCAATAACAGTGCATATCCAGACTCGCAAAGTGGTATCAAAGTACTTGTCGCCCCTGGCTCCTCAGAGCCCAACCCCAGTCTATATCATAACAACCATGACCCCCTTGACACAAAAAATATTCAAAGACCAAAAATGAATTCATCATGCCGTGACTATTGGTGGCAGCAGACACACGGGGCCTTGTCTTTGCCGGTTCAGCGAGCATTTACTGGTGGTGCGGCTGCTGGGGAGTAACCTGGGGGTCGTGAGCATACTGCTGCTGCGGCTGCTGATACTCGGTGGCAACCTGAGGGGCGTCGGAAGGCTGCTGGGGATACGCCTGCTGCTGCTGGACGGCGTTGTACTGAGGCTCGGTGAACTGCTGGGCTTGCTGAGGCTGCTGGGCCTGCTGGCCTTGGACGACCTTTTGCTCCTCCATGTTGTGGTCGGCAGTGACGGTGCTGGAAGAGCCGAGAGTGAAGCGGCCGTCCTTGCGACCGGAGAGGAAGTTGATAACGGTCCAGACAAAGGTCACAATAAAGAGCACCCTATGGAAAAAACGTGTAAATATACGGACAAGGTGGTGGGTGGGTGGGTGGGAGATGGTGGACACGTACCAGATGAAAGCGCCAATGGCGGCCACACCGGCGAGGAGGCCGCTCAGCGTCTGCCAGGTCATGGCGCGGCGCTCGATGGAGCGCTTCCGGTAGTCGTAGCAGATGCCGTCGTAGCAGAAGCGGCCGCCGCCGCCGTTGATGCGTCCGGCGCCAACGTTGCCGAGGGAGGCGCGGCGGGCGGCGTTGAGGGCCCAGGTGGACAGCCAGATGATGATCATGAAGGCGTCGAGGACGATGACGGCATAGATGGTGTAAAAGGCATTGACAGCGGGCACCTTTTCGGTGACGAGAATGTAGGCGACGATGAGCCAGGTGAAGACGGCCTGAGCGAGAGCGTGTTAGTGGGCGCCGGGGGCGGACGAGATGAAAAGAAGGCCACATACGGCGGCGATGGCCAGGCTAGGAGCATCAAAGAGCGTATAGTCGGACCAGGCGGCGGCCATGCCAAGAACAACAATCGACAGTACGACCTGTGCGATTCGGATGCCAAACACCCAAATGGGGGTGACGAGCGTCTTCTGGGGGTTCACAGCGCGGGTATCCATCGTGTGCGAAGCTGCTGGAGGAAGTATTAAGGATTCTGTATGATTCTGTATTGGGGGTTGTTTTTGGTGAAAGTTTGCAGCTCGTAGGCTTGGGGTATCTTGAGCAAAAGAAAAAGAAAAAGGAAAGACTTGTTCGGGATGTAAGAGGGATGGAGGGGTCAGGTCACCTGAAGCCGGGGAAGAGCAGGAGATGTTTCTTATGAATGAAATGCCAGTACGGACTACTCTGTACTCCATCCAATAAATCATGTGCGAGGGCGGCGGAGCTTGCCTGCAGCTCTCTTCTCCCCCCCCCCATGCCTCTCATCTACGCCAACGCCTCCGTGTAAGCCCAAGGCTGAATTGATCCCGACAGCAGCACACTGTGGCAGCACGGGTGCCGGCAGGGGAGGGCTCCACGCCAGCTCGACGCCTCATATCCACTAGAGCTTGTCATTTTTCACTAATGAGTTAGCCCTCTCTCTCGAGATGGAATGGGACCGGGAGTAACTAACACTGTTGGACTGTCTGTCCGTCCGTACACAACTCAGCCGCACTGGGGCTCTCAAGCAATGCCCTGCCGGGATTAGGGGACGCTGGCCCTTGCCTCTCACAGGTCGTCATTCGAGCTGGCTCGGGCGCTAAAACGGCTCAGCTCACTAAAAATGGCTACTGTTGTCGCCGACATGAATGAATTATTAGTTAGTGCCAGACCGAGTCACCCCTCGCGCACAATCTGGCGGTAGGGTGAATCATCGTGGCTGAGACACCCTTTTGGGCTTGTTTCGTTGTTAGCTTGCTTTGGCAGCAGTTGAACGCGCTCCTCTTCTAAATTCCTTGTGAAGCGACTTGGTGCCGAATCGTGGCAGTAATGCTGCCATCAAGAAGATGGCTGCCTCGTCCATCTGAGATGGGGTTGGGAAATCTAACTATTACACAGCCCCTGTCCGAGATGCTATTCGACTTCGTAGTGACTGAGCAAAAGCCACTTGTTACTGCTGCCTGGTACAAGATCATGGGAGTGGACATGCTACATGTAGTGTTACAGACACTTTTATGCATAGCGCAACGGTGCTATGATATCAAGTAGTACGAAATGCAGATACTTCTTCCTGCATACAAATTATACTACTTGATATATACACCGGCCCGGCGCATGGAAGGAGATGGCGAATGACAAGAGCGCATCGATTACCTGCAGTGATGGTAACTTGAAAGTGATGCAGAGTGTACCATCCGATGGGGGATCATCCGATGCACTGATACATGGCAATAATTTATTTATTTTCTCGCCAAAGCATTGCCCCTGTTCAAAACGTGCGAGGCGACATCAGCCAAGGCAAGTGCGCTGAAAGGCAACCCTCGCCTGTCGCCAGCTTCCCAGTCTCGCCGCTTGCTCGATTCTCAAACAGTTCGGTGCTCTTTGTAGGGCGCACAACACACCTGGATGACGCTGTCGGCACATCGTCTTTCCATTGAATCAGGCAACTTTGCCAATTTCGTGGCTGCGCTAGCCACCCACGGTGCAACCCCCTCTTCAGAGTGCCGAGCGAGGCTGTGCCCCAGCAGCGCGACGGATGCAGGTGGGCTGCATCCATGAAACTTGTGCAAGAATAGACTTGTCGGAGGCCGCTATTCCCACGAGGCGTGAACGATTTGCGCTTTGGATCTTGTGAAATTGAATCAACCCCCATGCAAAGTGGCGTGTGTTGATAGACATGACCCTTGCCTAACTAGCCGTCGATTCCCGTTGAAGACGGGCGCTGAACGTGACACGAAATACTGAATCGCTATATTATTATGCTGTTTCCCAGATTCTCGCTACCGGCGGCGCTTGCCAAGTACAATCACACGGCTATCAATCTTTGATGGTTTCATCGTCGTCGATATATATGTACTCGTCCGTCAAGGGCGGCGCTTATTTACTTGGCGGCCTGGTTTCCCATTTCTGGCCTCGCCTGGTGGAGCAGCTGTCCAGTTAGTGATGTTGCTCATTCAAATCGGACTGCACCTTCAGCCGCAGTATTCCCAATTCTTCTCATACAACTACATCCATCGCCCTCTCTAGCCGCTGCTTCCAACTTGATCAATCTCGTCGAGTGCTTCAAATGCGGACATGCGGCTACACAGCAACAGGACGTCTGACCATGATGATCACACTTTTGACAGGCAACCAATGCTTGTGCTCTGTACGCCAGCTGTGTCTGGTGAGGGCCAACGTACAGTCACCTTTACCGTGTTCTAGATAAACGACAAAATGGAATACTCGGCAACAATTATTTCGCGCCAATCCAACTAGAAAAATGTAGCTGGTACTTGGTATATGTATAAGAGGGAGAGGAGTCCAGGCTAATTCCTCATCTCATCATCGCATCAATTCCACAGCGAGCTGACCATTACTTACCATTCCTGACCAACACTCTTCACCCTGCAAAAACACCCACCATGTGCACGGTTTTCCTCGTCATCGGGCTATGCGGCCACTATGTGAGACTTCGCTACGAACCTGAAAAGTCAGACGACTGTCCCGAGGCAAGAAAGTTGGCGCTGGCAGGCAAGCCAGTCGTCTCGTGTACCGGGAAAATCAAGGAGAAGAAAGAATTTCCGAATGTCGTCTGTCGCAGAGAGCCATGTTGGCTTCCGTACAAGCAGAAAAAGTACGGATGGGTTTGCTGCAAATGCGGAACCTCGAACAAGAGCAACACGAACAAGTGCTCTGGGGACAAGTGTGGCAAGTCGAAGAAGCCTGAGATACCTGGGATGCCGCGCAAGCCTCGCAAGCCTCGCAAGCCTCATCAACCATGTGTCAAGTGCACCCCCAAGGAACAGAAGAGTAGTGAAAGCCCTCGTACCCCTACCAATCTTGATGTTGCGACAGTGGATGATACCGACGGTGACGAGGCAACCTCAGCGAACTAGGTGGGAAGAGTTGACGATAGGGTGCGTTGGCCAAGTACTAGGCATGTCTTGTGTCTTGTGTAAGCAGGGCTTTACTCTAGTTTAAAGGAGTGCGTTTAGCATCGAAGGAAATATATTATTTGTTCTCTAGGCTCGAAGATCCAACTCGCTAATTACTAGGATCGGATACGCCTCTGTCCGCGACAAAGAATATGCACCCGGATGGACTGACGAAAGATGCTATGCGACACAATCGCCAATTCAACGCTTCTCTCCCCTCTCATCAACTTCTTCACTGGTTGGGTCCGCCAATCAGGACCTTGATGACCTGGCCCTCCCGAACCTTTTTGAATGCCTCCTCCGCCTGGTCGAATTCCACCACCTCAGACACGAGCAGCTTGACGTCGACCTTGCCGCTCGCCACCAGTTCAATGGCGAGCTCATAGTCACCCGGGCCGTACCGAAACGACCCCCTGACCGTGACCTCCTTCAGACACATGGCCATGATGGGGAAGGTAATGTCCGCCTTGCCCATGCCGCCCTGGACATAGGTGCCGCCGACGCGCACCGCGTGGATGCTCGTCTGGATCGACGGCTCGGCGCCGCTGGCGTCGATGACGACGTCTGCGCCGTCGCCCAGCCCGGCGGCCTCCTTGAGCGCGGCCGCGTTCTCCTCGGCCGAGACCCTCTGCGAGGCGTACGTGTGGGTGGCGCAAAACGCGCGGGCAAAGTCGAGCTTGGCCTGCACAATGTCGACGCTGACGACCTTTGTCGCGCCGTACGCCCGCGCGACGGCGGCGCAGAGCAGGCCGACGGGCCCGGCGCCCATGACGACGACGGCGTGGCCCGGCGCCACGCGGCCCTGCTTGACAATGTGCACGGCCACGGCGAGCGGCTCAATCAGCGCGCCCTGCTGCAGCGACACGTGCGCCGGCAGCTTGTAGCAAAAGTCGGACGGCGCCGCCCACAGCCCCGTCAGCGTGCCGTGGTGCGGCGGCGTCGCGGCGAAGATCATGTCCGGGCACAGGTTGTACCGCCCGGCGCGGCAGTGCCCGCACCGCCGGCACCCGTACCCCGGCTCCAGCGCCACGCGATCGCCCGGCACCAGGTCCGTCACGGCAGAGCCGACTTCGACCACGGTGCCCGAGGACTCGTGCCCGAGCACCATGGGCGATTCCACGACGAAGTGCCCGATGGCCCCGTGCACGTAGTAGTGCACGTCGCTGCCGCAGATGCCCGTGTAGTTGACGGCGACGAGCACATTGTGAGGGTCCTCGATGGTGGGCTTGGGCCGCTCAACGTAGCCGACGTCAAGAGGCTTGTTGAGGATAAAGGACCGGTTCTGCTTCACGGTTAGTATTTTTGTCCTATATATTGGCGCGGTTTTGGCTCACGCTGAGCTTCTCCTTGTCCAAGGTTTGGGTCGCCATCTTAGTGGGAGAAGGAGCAGGCTCTGAATGACGCACTCGGTAAGTAGATGATTTCACTAGTTATCGATGGTAACTTCAGTCAATGCTTGAAGATCAATGTCAAGATGGAGACTTTATATCTTGTCCACCACAGAAACTCTGTTGCGATATTGAACAGCAAAGTGGGCGTCCCCGGTTTCAATTGCCCCGCACTGCTAGCATTCTGCGGAGCTTCTCGATGCGCACCAATAGCATCATGTGAATTCTGGCTGCACGGCCGGACCGATCGCGGACGTTTCCATCACCGATAGGCAGATGAGGGTATCGCCGTGCTTGGGCGGAGCTTCCAGGCCAGGCTGTTCCGCTGAGCAGGGATCCCGCCCCCGGCGTTGGCTCCGGCGGGGAGCAATGCGCCCGGCTGCGATGGCGGAGGTATAAAGGGCCAACATAATTGGGAGCGGGCCAGAAAACGAAATCGTAGTCACATTCCAAGACGCAAATATATTGAGGAATGGGAGCATTGGGGGGAGCATGCATCGGCGACCAGGACCCCGCGAACCACGACGGCCAGCCTCGGCTAACCCCTCCATCATAAGCGTGGCTACTCAGGCATTACTTGACAACAACTCTTCACGCAGGGCTCCGTTCCAGTTGTGTGTACATTCAATATTCCAAATTGTCTACCCTACACCCCAATGGCCGAATCCAAGTTTCACTCCATACTCTACGAGACGTCCGCCGATGGCAAGGTGGCCTACGTCACGCTGAACCGACCCGAGCGCCTCAACGCCATTGACGCGCACATGCCGCTCGAGATCCGCGCCGCCGTGCGACAGGCCAACCTCGATCCCTCCGTGCACTGCATCGTCCTGCGCGGCAGCGGCGCCGGGTTCTGCGGGGGCTACGACCTGGAGCTCTTTGCGGCGTCGGCGCTCCGGGGCGCGACGGCGGGCAGCCAGGACGCCTCGCAGGGCTACGAGCCGTTCCGCGACTATCTGCTGATGGGCGAGTGCACGGCCTGCTACGCCGAGCTCTTCCACAGCCACAAGCCGACGGTGGCGCAGGTGCACGGGGCCGCGGCGGCCGGCGGCTCCGACATTGCGCTGAGCTGCGACCTCGTCGTCATGGCCGACGACGCGCGCATCGGCTACCCGCCGGCGCGCGTCTGGGGCTGCCCGACGACGGCCATGTGGGCGCACCGCGTCGGCATGGAGCGCGCCAAGCGCATGCTGCTCACGGGCGACCTGGTGGACGGGAGGGAGGCGGCGGCCATGGGGCTGGTCCTGCGGTCGGTGCCCCGCGCGGAGCTGGCGGCCGCGGTGCGCCTGCTGACGGACCGCATCAAGAGCGTCCCGGTGAACCAGCTGTGGATGCAGAAGCAGATGATCAACAGCACGTTTGAGGCCCAGATTGCGGCGAGTCAGCGCTTGGCGACCGTGTTTGACGGCATCACGAGGAACTCGCCAGAGGGCATCGCGTTTCAGGGCCTGGCGGCGGACAAGGGCTTCAAGGCGGCTGTGGCGGCGAGAGATGAGCCTGGCCGCACACCAAGTTACAGAAAGGTGTGGAAGAGTTCCTTGTAATGGGGGTTTAGAATTTGCATGCTAGTTACATGCTAGTTATATGCTAGTGAGCACGTCACTTTGGAACTGGTATACTGTTATAACGTGAATTTGTATTAAAAATGGTTGCGAAAAGGATGCAAGTATATATAGCCTTGCCCTGTATATCCCAGCAACTTTGGTATCGTGAGTCGCCAGAAAAAGATAAATAAAGATAAAGTACATTGACTCGTCAAGGTCAGTGTCCACTTCAGGGAATCGCAAGCGTGTTCTCCAGAAGCACGCGCTCATCTCATAAAGTGAGCCTGCTGAGCCGACACGGAGGAGTGTCTGCGATGAGTGCTGTCCTCGGGGTAGTCGTGGGTCACTTCGGGAGGACCAAGATGCTCGCGCATCTGGCTAGGCAGGAATGTGCTGGCATCAGGTTCGCCGCTAGGAATGTTGTCAGTTGGGTCGGAATTACAACGATAGGTGATGGCAACTTACGTTGGCGCGGGAGACTTGCTGCCTCGGCGTTGTTGTGTCTCGGTAGAGGTGTCGGAAGGAGGGTCACTGGAGAACTTGGAAGTGACAAAGGTCTGGTTGGAAGACATATTGAGAGATTGTAGTATAACACTGTTGTATAAGAGGTTTAAAAGTGATGTTGGTCTTGGATAGGTGTTTTGGTATTGGAAAGCCTTGGTGTGTGAGATGATATGTTGGGCATAGAGGTGAATCTATGGAGGGAAAGGAGACCTTTATATATGTTGAATCTACGGTTCTGATAAGAGAAGATATTCTGCCAAGAGCACTGCCTGTGAAGCCACCATTGTTAACGCAGTCGTTGCCACCGTTCCACCGTCATCGTGTGGGGAGTACGCCAAGAGTCAGCCAACAGGTCTTCGACGCCATCCAATCTCACAAGATTTGGTTCTTACTCGGAGACGAAGAACTGGGTCCAGATCTTGGCGGATGAAGTTTAAATTTTTATCTAGGCGAGCGCTTGGCATATCAGACGATGACGTACTGGGCACGTGTCCCACTGTGAGGTGTTTGAAGTAGACACTTTCGGGACAAATAATTTATCGGGAAAAATGGGCCATCTTTTTCATCGCAGAAGAATGCTGATCAGCTACCTCATCTGCAGCGTTGAACGTTGAGGTGATTGCTGTACGCTGGAGAACGCGGGGAAGATGTGACGTTGATAATGGCAGAAATGGACAATGCCACTGAGGGGTGCCAAGAGTACAGACAAGTAGCTTGGCCGTAGTTCACTTGCCATATTTTCTAAAGTGTTCTTTTTGCTTTATCCCCGGAGACGGAGAGTGACGGCGGCGAACGGCCGATGCACCGCCTCCATTGCAGTGCTTGGCACTGTGGCGGTGCAATGAGGCTGCGTCAATGTAGCAATGAGATCCTGACGACACAAGTCGATATATTGTCGTGATTCTATAATGGAGCGCATCTCAAAAAGTTAAGAGATGCAAGAGATTTTATGCACGATTTTCCCCGCGGAGTCGGCCCGTGTTGTAGACATGTGCTCCCCTACATGGATAGGTAGGTAGCCATGGTGTGCATGTGAATGCTGCATAGCGGCGTTTGCAGGTCCAGCTTCCCACTCGCAACAGCAACTCGACTCTGCACCCAGCACATTCCAATCCATCAACCCCGCCCTCACCCATCTCGCATCCTTTAACTTTGGAATCTTCTGCTCGCTGCCACAGCCTCATCATCGTCGTCCCGGTAGCTTGATTGACGGATTTGCGGCCCCACTGGTGTGGTGCTGCAGGGTAGCCGTAATCGCAGGACTGGTTTGCATCTAGTTACTCGTCTCCGCCCGCTCAGAGCCAGTCGCAGCACCGCAAAACTTAGACCGCGCGATCGGCCGTCCATCTGTGCCATCGGTTCTTTGTTTGTGTAGGCACAGCTCGCCATCGCCATTGCCTTTTTCTGCGCGCCCGCTTGCCAGCAACTGGGGCCCCTCGTCATCCCAGCGCAGCCTTGCGGAACCCCGCCGTCGGTCCGCGAACTTCCCCGCCACTCCCTCCCCCAATCGGCCTCAGAACCGCCTCATGATTTCGCGCATCACCCAAGTCGCCAGACACTTCGCAGCAGCTCCGACTTCGATTTCTTCGGCTCCGATTCTATCTTCCCGCTCGCGCCCTCATCTTGGTGGCATCGCAGCTATGGCGTCCGCCGCGGAGCGCCAGCGTCGCACGATTCAGACGGCCGCGTGCCTCATCATTGGCGATGAGGTGCTTGGTGGGAAGGTGAGATTGCTTACCCGATACTGTAATTCTTGATTATGAGAGGGAACATGTAACTAACTCTAATCATCGCAGACCATAGATGTATGTTTCCGTGGCCGACGCATATATATCCCTCGCTTACACGCTGATAGACAAACTCGGCGTACCTGGCTAAATGGTGCTTCCAAATCGGACTTGTACGTTGAAACATGGTTGAAGAATGCGGTTTCAACATGGCTAATTTTTTTCACAGCGATTAAAGAAGATCGAAGTCGTCGAGGACGATGAGGCTGACATCATCGATGCTATTCGTCGCCTCAGCAACAATTATGACTTTGTGGTCACCAGGCAAGTGGTTTAGAGTCACACGGTGTTGAATGATCGATTCTAACATGCGGCAGCGGTGGAATTGGACCTACGTAGGTTACGCGCAGTCACAGCTCGCATCAGATCGGCTCTAACTTGTCCAGCCACGATGACATCACCTACCAATCAATCGCCAAGGCCTTTGATCTACCCCTCAAGCTTCATGACGAAGCGTTCAAGAAGATGAAGCTCCTTTCCAAGCCACATCCCTCGCAGCCCAACTTCAACTGGGACGTGGACTCACCGGACTTGCGTGCCAAGCTGCGCATGGTGTACCTTCCTACCGACGAGTCGCGGCCTTTGACGGACCAATTTCTCTTCGCTAGTGAGGAGCTGTGGGTACCAGTCTCGGTGGTCAATGGCAACGTTCATATCCTGCCTGGAATTCCCCGCCTCTGTAAGTCATTATTTATCTCAACTACGCCGAGACATGACATGCATGCTAATCGCGAGCACGCCCTCGGCAGTCACGGCATTGCTAGAGGGAATCAAGCCTCACATCCTCTCTCGACTCGTCGATCCCGAAGGCAAGGGAAGCCACAGAGTCGTCATTCAGACACCATTTGCCGAAAGCAAAGTCGCAGCCTACCTGACTGATCTCGCCGGCCGCGTCGAGCCCAAGGGCATCAAGGTGGGTAGCTATCCTCATTGGGATAGAAAGTTCAACACTGTGACCCTGGTGGGAAAGTAAGTCGCCTCGTTGTCTCCTGTCGGCAGATGCTGCAGAAGCAAGACTAATGCGAAGCTAGGGATCAAGCATTTTTGGAAAGCCTGGTGGATGAAGTGGTGAAGAATGTCGACGGAAAGCGGGTTTTCAAGCCCGAAGACCTCGAAGGCGGACCACTGAGGGAAAGCAAGGCGTAGAAAGCCAGCGCTCCGATCCGATTCAGATAGCGGCCCAAAGGCCCAAAGGAGAATGAATCCGACAGGCCGTTCCATCGGGTAATTCATCCCATTTACGGTGAAGACTTGTTCTCTGGTGACCGCAACTATGTAGTTGCTGCTAGACGTGATGAATGTGACGAGGCTTGCATATGTACTGCAGTGCTTCGCGTATCTGGGGCGCGATTGGCTGAATGTACGGCTTCAGGTACGCTGCCACGTTTGGGCCGCGAGGTTTACCCCCTCTTTGCCATACTGATAGGCGAGGTGTGCATGCAGTCTCCCGGATAGGCCTTGACGCTGAGGAGGGATCGCGCATGACGCAGGCCGCATCTTACCACGCAACTAGTTACTTCGGGTCGGCTCGCGGTCCGTTTTGGCCCCCATGTGCCGGTGCCCGTTGCCGGCAGCAGGTACGACGCAGCGCCTGACGTACATGTTATTAGGCAGAACTGCAGCCAGTTTTTCCGGTCCATTTCGCCCTGATACTCGGGGGAGGGGGGGGGGGAGGAGGAAGCAGGTCCCGTCCAGGCGAGGCGAGACTAACTAGCAAGCGGCGCGTCTCGGACTGCGTCTTGGGTTTCGTTGGCCGACCGGCGTCTGCAGAAAGCGGTGAACTCTTTCGCAGCCAAGTATTAACTGCTGTTTTATTAGAGGATACCTAGTTCACATTGGGGGGTCGTGGGGAGGCCCGTCTTGCCGACTATAACCATCGCATGATTATTGCCGTGGCACGAGGTTGCCCCTGGCTGGTGCTGAATATGCTTTAGTCTAGTCTTATTATTAGCGGTGCGTATTATTTCAATAATTAGGAGGATCGGAAAAAAGCATTTGGAATGACGTCTTGTCTCTAAATTTTCCACGGCCTCGCTGCTTTGGGTAGTTTCCTCCGTAGATGAAATTATCAAGTGGGATTCAACCGAACGTGGATTTGCCCCTAACGACGGATCTTATTAGGGTACCAGGACAAAAACACAAAGATGAACAAGAAGCAAGATTGGATTGAAATCCAGTAACTAGCCAGCCAGCCACCAGGCGCCAGGGTCGACCCGCACCAACGAATTCTAGAATGATTTCGCCAACGACTGGCGTTGCATCAAATTTCCGGGCTCAGCTAGCACCTTGGGCAACCGATCCTTCCATTGGACTAGTTAGGGGGACCCCTACCTTGTGGACAAGGTGTTGGCCAGTGCAGAAGAGGGGGCCGTGTGATGGTTCTTATTATCGTTGCATTGGTCTTCTTCATTGATGATAAGATGAAGAAAGGGGGCCTCTCAAGGTCCAAGGACGATGTGGGTTCATTTCCGTACCAAAGCGCAACCACTAAATAATTAACTAGTTAACTACTCTGGATCCGTATTCCGAAAGCGCGTTTCGGCAAGGGCTGAACTGAATCGCTGCCCGAGATCGTGCAGTGGGCTCCCTGGTTTGGTGTTTCTGCTCTGCCGTTTCATCATGCATTTGAGCGGATGGCATGCATCTGCAGGTGTTGTGCCTGCAGATGCAGAAATAATCCCACCATCGATCCTTGTAGTGTGGGTTGAAGATGTGCCAAATACAAAGTCATGTTTGCTATGTACATGCTATTGATGGTGCTACTTCGTATTGCACCTTGTTGACAAACGTGGAGGAATACGAGCACCTGTCAGTGAATAGGTACGGTCGTGTACATACGTGAATGGTGGTGAGATGGTGCTGTGAATTGGCCGAGGACCTCGCGTAAAAAAAGGCATCGGACAAAGATACTGCGAGAAGCAAGCCATCTCGGCCGACTGACATCTCTTGGTGGCTCCAGGGTGCGATAACTAGGTAGTGATTATGCGATGGACGATGGACGCAATGAGCACACCGAGGCTGATGCGTAAATATGTGTCAATTATTGAGAAATAGAAAGACCCTTGCCATATCGCAGCGCTATTCACGAGCTAAACTGTATCAATACCAGAACCAATCTCTGTTACCCCGAGCACCGAATAATATTAGTACTCTACTCCAGACAACGGTTGCCCGATGAGCTGCTGCGGGCTTCACTCGTCACCCAACTGTGGGGTGCACCGAAGGATGAAATTGGATGGCGACGGCAATGGCGTTTCTAGGAATAAAAGCTTTGGGCCATAGTTGACCTGTGTGGCACTTTGGGCTTGATGGGACCCGGGACCCTGGCTGGAGATAGGGGAAGCGAGGGGATTGAGGGATTGAGACTTGAACATCTAATACCACTAACGAACTGCTCCAGAACTTGGCGCGGCCGGTGTACCAATAGCGGAAGCAGTGTGACTTTGGTTTGGCGAGAATGCAGCTTGCTGGATATCACATACTTGCTTACACGATGGGACGACGTGGTGGGCAGGTATACGCGGCAAGCAACACACCGGCTGCATGGTAGGGAGGGAGAAGTTAGCTACTGGACGACAGAAGGAAACCGTTTGAGCCAAGACTAGTTATGCAAGACAGCCCGGGATCGCACGTTGTCACAGTCCACATGGCTTCATCCCAAACATGGCAAGAGACATTTGACCAAAAAAAGCTCTCATGGCGTGGCGGCTACTTTGGAGGAGGCGGCGTTGTTGTGGCGGCGCCAATCATGGCGAACTGTTGGCTCCGAAAGTCTTGCGTTTCTTTTTTTGCTCGAGTATTTTCTTCTTCGTTTTGGTGTCGTGCACACACATGCTGGCTTCCATGACACCGAAAAGAAGCAAACTAATATATTACAAATCCATGTGGTGCGACATGCAGCAAAGTTTGGCGACTGAGAAATGTTTCGCGTAACTATCAGTACATGACAATCTAGGGGAGGAACAAATGGCCCGCCCTATTAGATACTAGAGAGCCCCGGCATGTACTCAGTGCGTAGCCGGTGAAAGGATACAGGAAAAGATGGCCATGGCCGTTGAATCGTTGACGCGAACGGCGTACGGAGTACCAGTACGGATTACGGACTGGTACAGGGCTCTAACTAATCTGTAGAATATTACCAGTCATCGCCAACTGGGTGACCGAACAAGGACCTTTTCGACCGAGCGAATTACAGAGAAGTCCCAAGCATTGTGGCTCAAGGCTGACCCTCCCCAGAGATTGCTGTCTGGTGGATAGAGGCGGCCGTGACAAGGGTCCTGCACAGCCTAAAACATTCATGAACATGGTCAGGGTTGCGCGACACAGGATGAGAATCAACACAGATTACCAGTATGTACGGAGTACAGTCAAGAACATGGCCACGGGTCTGTGCCGGACCTGCGTAGACGACTCGAGAACACAAGGAGCTGGGAAGACGGAGAACCGATTGTTAAACAGCGGTAGCAAGGGAAGAAGGTTCGCAGTTGCAGTCGTGCCAGGAGAGAAGTCGGAAGTGCACCGACGAGTTTCGGCAGTCTTGATTCATATCGACTCCGTAGATGGCATGACATTGACACCAGAGTACATATGGGTAAGGGTATGGAGCCGCATGGCTGCACGAGAGACAAGAGAGCTGTCACAAGGGTCATTCAAGACATGCCGTGGAAAAGAAGCTGTACTGGCACGGTGACGTCGAGACAACCTAGGACAGTACTAGGATGGCAAGTTTTGTTTGTGCCACATGGCGCAATAAAGCAACCTGCACGTCCATCGACCCAATTAGCAGCCCTGAATAACCCCATGTTAGAAGAAGGAAAGAAGCAGCAGCAGCATGGGGCCGGACGGAGGGACGCAGGCCAAGCAAGTCTTTCTGCTTAGAAGAGGGTCGGCGCCGATCGAGACGGAGCCCGTTCCTCTGGGAAAAGAAAAAAGGGAAACTAAAATAGTTACAATGGCATTACCAGCATGACTAGCGTTGTGAGCGGAGTAAACAATTGTGCGCGGCAAAAATAGTAAGATTTTTTCTTCTTCTTTTCTAGGCTTGTTCTTTGGTGTTGCGAATAGAGAGAGGAAGGGGGGGGGACACGGAACGGAAGTCTGCAGAGTACCTCTCTGGATGCGGGTGACGTAGGCGTAGAAGCAGGTACCTGTTGGACGCGCTCGGCCCCACCGGCCGGCGGTGGGCAGGCTGGCTTCGTGCGGGTTATGGCTTGCGAAGAAGGAACCTTGGACGGATTCATGGGCATGAGTTTCGCACAGACGCAAAGGTCGATTTGAAGTATAGTTTGTGTAGGTAGTTTGTCGTAGGAGAGGAGAGAAAGAGAGAGCGTGAGAGGACGGAGACGGCCAAGAGAGGGCTTGGCCGACAGAGGAGAGGAGAGCAGAGGCACCAGGAGCTGCATTTACGCCGTGTCCCCGTGGCCGGCCGGACAAGGCGTGTGCTGTGGATATTGACACAGGCAAGATGCGATATTCGCGATAACACGCACTGGGGAGAGAAGAATATTCGATGGCAGCAATTGACTTTTTGATCCTCCAGTCAAGGGCCCCTACTAAAAAGCTTCTCTTGCCGGAAGCCCGCTGCCCCTCCCTCCATCGTCTTTTGGCCCCAGCGAGTCGCAGCGACCAACCAGCTTTGCCAGCGGCCCCCCAGACGTTTTGATATTTTTCTTCTTCTTACTTCTGCTCCCCCAATCCTTCTCTCGTCCCGACGGTGGATATCGCAGAACTGAGAGAGTGGAAACTGAAGCCCCCCCCCCAGCCGCTTTTGCAAAGTGGGTGGCCGAAAGAAGTGGTGTGGTGTGGCGGGTGGCTTGCCTTGAAAGAGCCGCTAGAAAGACCCTCGTCTGGGGCATTTGTATTTTTTTTGGGCTGTTTATACCAAGGCCGCTAGGGCCGCTGTAGTTAATCGCGGATTCTCTGGGCAGGCATGTGCTCGTCCAGATGATTGTTGTTTTTTCATTCTTCTGGCATGTTGTTTTGACTTGGTCTTTCATGTCTATGGAGTAGCAACATTGTCAAACATATTTGACCATTATGCTACTGTCATGCTGGAGAGCAAAACATTTATGCAGGTACTGTCGAGAGACATCCTGGCACGACAAGGGAGTTACCTGGGTACCTGCTGGGTACTAACTCAGTAATAAACCAGTGGCCCGGGCACTAAACCCCACTGGATCAGTGGCTTCCAGCGCCTGCACGCACCTACAGCCGCCCCTAAAGTCCCCCCAAAGTACCCAGCTGTACCGCCACCTCTGCCTTCCCGGGTACAAACATCCCTCCAAAGTACTTGCCAAAGTACCTACCTGACAAAATACTCTAGCGCTCCCCTTCAAACCCTTTCCTTTTCCTCGTCTGCTCCCAGTCAACAGTACCCCAACCTCCATACCTTGCTTGCTGGCCAGCCAGGTACATTTCCAACGAACCCCCCCCCCCTCCCCTTCCGCGGTCCTAGCAAACTGACCTACCGTTCTTCGTTGCTCCCAATCCTTCAACAACCACTTTTTTTCTTCCCATTCCCCTGGTTTTATCCTCTTTTTTCCCCCTTCTACTCCCCCCAATTCCCCATCCAGCGCCATTTCAATCACACATCGCCTGTTTCTCTTCCTTTGCCTTCCTTCTTCTCTGCTCGTCTCGTCCGCACCTCACCTCCCTCTCCCCTCGAATGAATTGATCCCGCCGACACCCTCAATCGAAACCCCCTTCGCATCTCATCCCTCACAGTCGACCCTTTCCAATCCCCTATAGAGGCGCGAGTCAATTTTTATCCGACGACCCCACGATCATTCGCGACCCGCAACAGCTCTTCCCTCTCCCGAAAACCATCACATCGCCATCCGGCTCGCAGTCGCTGCAATGGCTACCTCTACAAAGGTGCGCTTTTCCCTCCCACGTCGCGTTTGCGCTTCCCAAGTCCGCATGCTACTTGCTGCCCCTCCCCGGATTGGCCGCTCGCTGCCTCATCCTCGCCCACCCGCCAGCCACTGAGCCAGCCATCCACCTCAGCGCCTTGCCGTTGCTAACCCTTCCCCCTACAGTTTATGCGCGAGTACAAACTCGTCGTTGTTGGTGGCGGTGGCGTCGGTAAATCATGCCTCACCATCCAATTGATTCAGAGCCACTTCGTCGACGAGTACGACCCTACCATTGAAGGTAATGCCCGAATCCTCCCCACCAATATCCTCGTCGTTTTCTTGTCGCGCTGACCGCCTGCTCTTACCAGATTCCTATCGCAAGCAGTGTGTTATTGACGATGAGGTCGCCCTTCTCGATGTTCTCGATACTGCTGGCCAAGAAGAGTATAGTGCCATGCGAGAGCAGTATATGCGCACAGGCGAAGGTTTTCTGCTCGTCTACTCCATCACATCCCGCCAGAGTTTTGAGGAAATCACCACATTCCAGCAACAAATCTTGAGAGTCAAGGACAAGGACTACTTCCCCATGGTTGTCGTTGGCAACAAGTGCGATCTCGAGGGCGAGCGCGAGGTCTTCAGACATGGTAAGTTTCGATGGCCCCTCTCTCCCTGTTCCCCTACACCTGTGGCATTCGCTAACCCGCTTGTGCGTCGACTGCAGAGGGTGAGGCCCTGGCCAGATCATTCAACTGCAAGTTCATCGAGACCTCCGCCAAGTCGAGAATCAACGTCGACCAGGCCTTCTACGACATTGTTCGTGAGATTCGCCGCTTCAACCGCGAAATGCAGGGCTACTCTACTGGCAGCGGAGGCGGGTCCGGCCTCAATGGTCCTCCTAAGCAGATGGATATGGACGACGGCGGACGCGAGGCCGGCTGCTGCTCCAAGTGCGTCATCATGTGAACAGCCCGACTCACCGACGAGTGGCAGTCGACGTGCGGATACCATACGACATGACTTCGACAACGAGATGTCTCACAGCCTTGGGATGAAGGGATTGAAAAAGCAAGAAAAAAAGAACATTGCATCAACGCCACATGCTCACAACAACCGCGACCGGCTGTGTTTGGTGGCAATGATGTGTGGTTACACCACAAACACAGCGATTCATTAGCATCGGATGGGGAGTCGGACTCTTTGGCCAAACTCTGGCCTCCTTTTATTTCCTTTTTATTTCCCGGTTTCTTTTAATGTTTTACGTCTTCGAATAAGCGAACTCGCACACGGCATATTCGTTCTCATGTTGGACGGGCTCATCTTGGAGATGATTGTCTGACTTGGTCTTGGCGGAAGCGCATGCTCAGGCATTTGAAATGGCTTGCATTTATCACTAAAGACCCACGAAAACCACAGAGACAAGGAAACGACGACGTTGACTTTGCTGCATGATCAGAGTTTTCGACCTGGACCCAAGCAAGCGGAGAGAACCGTGAGGGGCCGATGGTATTACTTTGATTTGCAACCTGGGCCAATCTTTATATTGCGCTGCTTCCTCGCGAGGACGCTTCCGACGCCGTATACGCAGAGTCCCATTCTCCATACCCGATTTCCCATTTTCTTCGGTACATGTTGTTTTCTTCTCCCTTTAACTCCCTCCCATTTTTCTTCAGATTTCTTTTCTTTTTCCTCGGAATGTATGTGGGTCGACTATTGTGTTTTATTGTTCATTATATCCATACTTCTCAAAAATGGCTGTTGTAATTTGATCGTTATCTTACCAAAATTTTCCCGTTTACCACTTGGCTCTTCCATGGAGTGTAATACTCCCGAGAAAAATGATGTGACCACGCGAGCTGACAAAAGCAGTGAATATGAATGACATTCTGCGTCTACCAATAAATTCAACGCCTCAAAGCTACAGCCAAGAACCTTGCCTTTTCCGGACCTCGACACTGCCCAAATGTACTTTTTGGGACCAGAAAACAATCCTCACTATTGAACGCCACGCTGGAAGTAGCACACTGCAAACCCACAACTCTGTCCAACCAACATCACGAAAAAGAAACAAGTGAAATGATTGACATCCGCGACATGTCAGTCATCTCAAAATCCATTTCATCAGTCTTCGGGCGAAACGGAAGACGGAGGGTTGAAGGGTACGAAAGGATGATGGGTATTGGAGTGGCAGGATCCCAGAGCTGAAGAGTGGGATCTATGGGGAGGTGCTCGCCTTCTGGTACTTTGATGTCCATAACATGATCGGTGCCATCGGTATTATCAGCATCACCAGCGGCATCCTGCGCTGGCTGGCTGAGCGATGCCACAGTCGCGACTGTCTGAACAATCTGCTGCAGGATCGGTCTCCGTTGATCAGGAGCTGCTGCTGGCTGCGGTAAGAAAGATACATTATCAGGGTTGTTACTTTGCTCGATTGGATCGCCTTGCTCACCTTGATCGCTGTCCTCATCTTCTTCCTCCTCCTCGCCTTCCTCGAATTCCACGTCCTCGTCTTCCTCCGAGGTGTGGGACACCACAGGCAATGGCTGGACGACTTGGCGGATGGCCACAGAAGCGAAGTTGGGATTCTCATTCAGAGCCGCAGCGATATCGGCGGCTGTGGGAGGGGCATCTACTCCAGCGGGGGTGTCGAACTGAACCATTCTCTTTCTCAATCTGGCTTGTCTTTGCTCCTCTGCGAAGTTGCTCAGGGTGTTCATCAAGTAAGACTGTGGCCAGACTTGGTTGATCATGACTGCAAGATCATTTGCCGACAGCTGGCTTGCTGGGCTGCTGGCCAGCAGTGTGCCTGGTGCAGCGTGTGGCGGCGTGGACCGCGGGATGAGCGACTCGCGCTGCCGTGAGACATCCCGGACGAGGGTGCCTACATGGAAACTGATGGACGGCATGACATAGTTCTCGACCAGTGGACCGATCCAGTGTTCCATTCGAGAGCCGTCCTTGACATCAGTGACGCCATTGGCACCGTAACCATGGGCAAGATAGTACAGTGGACCAGGCCTGGGGGTTAGACGTCCGTGGATACAGTTGGACATGCGATTCTTGCCAGCTGTTGTAATGAGAAAGGCATTGTCGCAAAGCTGCGCCTCGCCATAATTGGTGCATGAGTCGCACGGTCGCTGCCTGTCGCAGTTTCGGCCGCTCTGCACACAGCGCCTACACGCGGTAAACGGCAGATAGCTCCCAAAGCCAACCTGGGACAAGTCAAAGATGGGGTACGCAGTGCCCTGATGATCGACACAATCAAGACCCAGGGCTGTGCATCGACCACACGCCGAGTAAGGGGCGGCAATGGAGGCGCGACAGTGGTTGCTATCGCGTCGACAGTTCATGCATACCTTGCGCCAGACCGTACCGGGCCGGAGCTCGGCCCAGCCCAAAGCAATAAAACTGCGTGGACGCCAGTTCTCTGGAATACTGATGGCGGCTGGCATAGCTGCCACGATGGAGGATCCAATGCAGACGAGATTGTTACTGCGACAGCGGTCGCAAGCCTGGTTCCAGACTGTGTGGTCTGCGAGCCACGAGCACTGGTCCCTCTGCTCTACGCGGCGCGCGGCAGCGAGCTGTGCGCACGAGTCACACGCGTGCCGGAACCATCTGACGACGCCCTGTCGCAGATTCGGCTTGTTATCCATCAAGCGACCGTCGCTCAGCTGGCACATGTCGTCGGCTTTGCACCGCGAGCACTGGTACCCGAGGATCGGGTCCACGTCGCAACCGGCCGTCTTATCGTCGGCGGCGCACTTGACGCAGCAGAGACCGGTGCTCGTAGGCTGCCCGTTGAGGGGGCTGAGGGCCTGGTCGTAGCGCGCCGGGTGGTACCGGGAGTACTTGCGGTAGAGGAGCGGCTTGCGCAGTACCTGGCAAACGTGCCCGGCCGCCTGGATGGGGTGCAGCGCACGGTGGTCGGCGCAGTTACTGCACTCGAGCGGGTATTTCCCATCGGTCCAGTCGCACGGTTGTTGCTCGTGTCGGATCTGTCCGGAGGGATCGCTGCTGCAATAGTCGCAGATGCGTCGTGTGGCCGGCCGACGGGCCGCTGGTGGTTTGCTCTGAGTAGACGGGGTCTGCTTCGGAGGGTTGCCACGGCCACGGCCGCGACCACGCGTGGCAGCACGACCAGTCATGTCTGGACCAGTACGGTGCGATGCGTCGACAATGTCGGCAGCAGGGAGTTCAAGGAGACGGATAAGAGAAGAAGAAGAGGGCGGTAGTGAAGATGTTGCCACAGATTTGCCAAAACTGAAAGATGATGAATAGGGGGGAGGGGAGACTTGTGATGCTTGCTGGTGATGAGTCTGTTGGGAAGACGAGAAGAGGGCTCGAATGGGTGGGCGCTCGCCGCCTCTTGAAGGCCAGCGACACGGACGGCGAGCGCCCCTGGTGAGTTACTCTGTCGTGCCAATGGGGTTGTGAATGCCACGAGCTCGGGTATCAAAGAGGCGACGAGGATGATTGAATGCGCCCAACGATGCTGGAGGTTGGGAAGTGACTGGCATTTTTATACATGCAGTTATTGCAGCGGGCCGGATGATTCATTGTGCACATGAAGTTGCTCGTTCAAGCATGGTAAAGGTTTGTGGTTGATTGATTGGGACTTGGGGAATAGTTTGCGGACAAAGGGATAGAGTTGACGAAGTTGTTTGGCCTCGTTGGACGGACAAAGACGGGACGGCGGTGCAAGTGCCCGCCGGTCCGCGCCGCTTTGTATAGATCATGGTGGGCGCAATGAATGGCATGGCATAAAGACTTTGAAAGGATGACGGGCATTTGAATTAAACCTATACTGATGGACTTCTTTTTCGGGCAAGGCTGTGCACGGCAATGCGACTAGCCGATGTGCAGATAGATTGACTCGCAGCGGACAAAGAACTCGCACAAAGAGGATCGCGGAAAGTTACTATTTGTTTGTTTTTCTCATCATGTCGTGATATTGCTGCAAGTAAATGGCCTACTATGCTGTGCACTATTGTACATGTAAATGAAAATCGGGCGCGGACCTCGCTACACGCCATCGCCAGATTCCCAGGCCCGGCGCTCGACGTCCATTTCCGCCGTGTAGTCGCCCATCGCGGCAAACACGCTCTTCATCACGTCATTGTGGCGCTTCGGCCAGCGAAACCCCTCAAACAGCGACTTGGTGCAGTCCCAGTACTCTGGGTAGTAGCCTGCCGTCTCCCAGTCGACGATGCCGACCACGGCCCATTCCAGACGCCCGTCGGGCGTCTTGCGCTGGTCGACCATGATGTTGCGCGCGTTCAGATCAGCGTGCGTAAAGACGATGCGGTGCCCGCGCCGGGCCGGGTCGTCCGGGAAGCGCAGGTTCTGGCTAAAGGCAGCCTCGTCGGCATACGGTCCGAGGGGCGCCCAGTCGCGGATGCGAGGCTCCCGGCAGGCGGCGCCGAGCGTGTTGCAGATGGGCAGGGCGGGATTGACGCTGGGGATCTGGCGCAGCTGGGAGACGGCGTCTTGGAGCTGGCGGGCGAGGAGCTGGTAGTTGTCGTCGGAGATGGCGTCGATGCACTGCGAAAGTGGTGCGCCGGGAAGTTCGGTCATGATGAGGTACGTCTTGGGACCCCTATCCTGGTAGCCCCAGCCGTTTGTGTAGCTGACGACTTCGGACACCAGATCGAGTGCCTTTGGGACCGTCAGGGTGGTGTGTCGTCTAACGGTTCGGAGAGCATTGAATTCGTTCTCGGCCCACTCGAACGTGCCGCCATACTTGAGAAAGAGGCCAAAAGGCAGCTTCTGTACGGAGGCGTGTCCAGCGGTAACGCCGTACAAGTACGCGCCCAATTGTCTAAGGGCTTCGTATGCGAGCCGACGGAGTCGTCTAGGAAACAAGAGCCACATTCGGAAGAGCGGTGTTGTAAGGATGGATGTAAGCTGGAATCGTCCAGGCCATGGCTTGAGGGGTACCAGTGTGGGGGTGTGCGACACATAGTGTAATGGCAACAGAGGATTAGATAGGCCCGGCGCCGTTTCTCTGGCGAGGTTGATGATTTGGATGCTTTTGCTGAATCTGGCATGGGTTCCAATCAAGCGGGCATCAACCTTGCTGATGCCAGCTCGCGAATGGTCACCGAGAAGCGCCAACAAGCCCTTGATCTGGATGGGCTTTCTTGTGTCGATAATCACAGGGTCCACGACAAACTGTATAGTTGATCCCCGTTAGTCGCAAACACTGCCCGCGGGCGATTTGTTTCCCATTCGCCTCGTACCTCTGTCATGGATGGCTGTGCTCTGTCAAGCCTGACGCGGCCAGATCGGAGAGCCTGCGCGACGCTCCGGCGAACCAGCCAGTGGTTGTGTTCCGGCTTCAACAGGGTGGGCTCCTGGATGTAATGTAGCCACCAATTTAGGTACCATGCCCCGAAGAAGGCCGTCAACATTGGTACCACGCGGTCCTGTTGCGGGTTCGTCAGCTGTTCTGGTACACAATCGTGGGCAAGAGGGCTAGCGGCTTACCCGTTGTCTGATCCAGTCGACGGGTATCGCCAAAACAGGGGACACAATCAGGGGGTCCCAAAAGGTGCCCCGTAGGCCAGAAACACAGCAGACATGTCCGTCGCGCTGAGAGATGCGGCGGCTCTCAGCAACGTCTGGTGGCTGTGGCATAGTTCCATTACGTGAGACTGTGAATGAACGGCGTGAGCAAAGGGCGACGGCAAGAAGAGGGGGCGGGCAACGGACCAGCTTCTACGACGTAGGCCCAATCCGAAGCAAGACGGTACGCCTCCTCGGCAGAGAAGATTCTTGATTGCAGATATTCTGCGGCTGCCCGTTCATCGAGAGCTTCAAATATGAATAAACGAAGTAGGGCAACGGCAGGATGAGGCAATGAGAGCTCTTCAAGTTCAGATAGAGCGCCATTGACGACTTGTTGGTCACTGAGGGGTTGTTGCGCGGGCTCCATTGTGTCAACAACTATGCGAGCAATACCGCGTTTCGGAAGGAAAGCGAACTGAGAATCAAAAAGTGCCGCCAATGTGAAAGGTAAAAAACAATTCGCCTGCGCCTAGGTTAGCCCGCGAGTCGATGCTAGGATGATGTTGAAGGAGAGAGGATTGAGGCGGGGCTCGTTTAATTGCGCCTGCGTTTAGTAGCAGGGCCCTTCGCCCATGGACATTGATCACGTTCATCCACCTCGCGGACGGATTTTGCAAGTCAGGCAATGTATATTAATCTGGTCCCTTGCCCATGGACACTGTCCTCCATCCACCTCGCAAACGGATCACGGAAGCTAAGCGCCCAGATCACTGCGGACAGAGGGCTGTTGCGCCGCAGCCAAGACAGAGGGATGTTGCGCCGGAGCCACACATTAGATATGTTGTTCGATATTGAGTCGAGACGAGGGATAAATTGGCCCCCCAAGTCAGGATATCTGCTTCCGTGCTGAAGCAGCAAGCCTATGTATGCCCCGTCTCGAGGAGCGGGTTCACTTTTGCCTTGCTAGCTTTTGTCGGGTCGAATTTGGCCGTCTTTCTTCGATTTGTCTAGTTATTCGTCTCGCTTCACTCTGATACGCTCCCTTTTCTCCCCCATTTCCCCGACGTTGGGGGCGAGTTGTTGTTGACATTGGCGGCAAACGGACCTCGCTTACTGGCTGGGTAGTGTCGTAATGCCCGCTCATTTCCCCCGCCAACGCATCCAAGATCCAGGCAGCAGCCTTGCCTAAGTCCAACACTCCAAAAACACCCCTCTCTCCTTTCTTCTCCTTCATCCTCATCTTCCAAACTCTAGATACGGGTCCGTTTATTCCCTCCGAGACCACCATGTCGAGAATCTCCGTTACCGCCCTCCCGCCTACTACGGCGCACACCCACACCTTCGTCTTCCTCCACGGCCGAGGCGACAACACCACCAACTTCATTGCGTCGCTCGCCCACTCCCGAGACTCGCGCGGGCAGACCCTGCTGGGGGCGTTTCCCAGTTTCCGCTGGGTGTTTCCCCAGGCACCCATGCGCCGGTGCGCGAGCGTGCCCGATACATTTCCGCAGTGGTTCGACGTCTGGGACCCGCGCGACTTTGCCCTCAACGAGGACCTGCAGGTCGAGGGACTCAAGGAAATGGTACCCCAAATTCGAGACATCCTGGCCGATGAGGCAGCCGCCCTGGGCGGCCGTTGGGACCGCGTCATCCTGGCCGGCATCAGCATGGGAGCGGCCACCTGCATCCACACGCTCTTCAACCTCGATATTCCTACCCCGGAAGCCAGACTGGGTGCCTTTGTCGGCTTCTCCGCTCGCTGCCCGTTTGCCGGACGCTCACTCGCGGGCATGCGCGAGCTGCTCAGCCTGCCCAACGTTCCTGCGCACAACAACGTCTTGGCCAACACGCCCATCTTGCTCGAACACTGCGTGGACGACCCGTTGGTTCTGGTGCAGAATGGCCGAGGTCTGCGCGATGTGCTGACGTCCTTCGGATCGCAGGTCGCCTGGAGAGAATATCCAAGCGGAGGCCATTGGTTCAATGCACCTGCAGGCATGGATGATGTCGTTGCATTTTTGACACACGTACTGCAGCAAAACCAATAAAACCATGGAGCAAGGACCGAGTACCTGACGCGGCGATGGAGGAGTGCCGATACGCGTACACTCGGCCTGCTACGGAGGAGCATCACGGCAGCATCGGAGCGATGGGGTTGATGGATTTTGTCAAGAGACACCCCATTTTGAACCAGAGTTGATGATTGGACTCATAACGATAGAAACACTCCATGTTGCTTTATAAGTGCAAGGACAAGTTAGTGGGTCGAAGCTACGCCCTTTGGCTTAGAGTGACATATTCAATAGCCGCCATCGGCAAAATCTCCATCAAACTCTATTTCAACCGTGACTCACTTTAATCCTTATAATTCCCCTCCCGATCCTATCAAATTCAATCCAACACACACCGCAGCCGCCTACCCTAAACCAATGTCTACAACAACCAGCACCTCGGTGCAGCTCACCTCGCCCGCCGGGTGGTCCTCCAACCGGCCCAACGGCACCACCACGCACCGGACCAAGCCCGCCCCGGCGGTCCTCCGCACCGAAGACGACGTCCTCGCCGCGTCCCTCGCCGTGGACTCGGCCGCGCCCGACGGCGGCTACGGCTGGGCCATTGTCCTGAGCGGCTGCGTGCTCATGTGGTGGGGCGTCGGCACCACCTACGCCTGGGGCGTGATCCAGCGGACCCTCGTGCAGGACGCGCTCGCCGGCCCGGCCGTCCTCTCCTTCATCGGCTCGCTGCAGGCCGCCATGGTCTCGCTGTGCGCCACGTCCAACGCCTGGCTGCTGCAGTACCTGGGCGCGCGCCGGACCGCGCTGACGGGCGTCGCGCTCATGGGCGGCTGCGAGATCCTGAGCAGCTTCACCACGGGCAACCTGGGCGGCCTGTTTGTGACGGCGGGGGTCCTGTTTGGGCTCGGATCGAGGTATGTTGGGTGTGACGCGGGGGGCGGGAGAGGAGAGAAGAGTTGCTAACGTGGGCGGAATAGCTTTGTGTTTTGTGTACGTTGGGAGAACAGACTTGGGGGAAAAAACTTGGTTTGGATGGCTAATCGTGTGGCGGCAGGTTATTACGGCAATTCCTGCACAGTACTTTAGTAGGAAGAGAGGACTTGCGAATGGCCTCATATTCGCCGGCAGCGGCCTCGGCGGCGCCGCCATCAGCTTCGCGCTCAATCCCCTCATTGAAAAGGTCGGCCTCGCCATGGCCTACCGCGTGCTGGGCATCGCGACGCTCGCGACCGGCCTCCCCGCCGCCTGGATCATGAAGGAGCGCAGCAGCCTCCCGCGTCGTAAATTCATCGAGTGGTACGTTGTCCCCATCTTGTGTCCAACTTCTACTGACCCCCAGACGGGCAGGAAACTATTCAAGTCGGCCAACTTTGTGCTCGTGTGCGCCGCCACGGCCGTCGGCACCTTTCCGCTCTACGTGCCGCCCTTTTTCCTGCCGCTCTACGCCAACTCGCTCGGCTTCTCGTCGGCGACGGGCGCGGGGCTCGTCGCCGGCTTCACGCTGTCGTCGGCCGCCGGGCGCGTCCTCTGCGGCCACCTGTGCGACATGATGGGCGCGCTCAACGTCCTGCTCACCTCGCTCGTGCTGACGGCCGTGAGCATGCTGGCCATCTGGCCGGCCTCGACGACGCTGGCCCCGCTGGCCCTGTTTGTCGTCATCAACGGCCTGTCCAACGGCGGCTTCTTCTGCACCATGCCCACGGTGGCGAGCAACGTCTTTGGCAGCGCGCGGGTCGGCGCCGTCATGAGCATCATCATCACGGGATGGATTGGAGGCTATCTAATGGTATGATTTGTCTGGATAAATGCGGTTGCTGAGAGCGCAAGCATGCTAATCGATTGTGTGGCAGGGCGCCCCCATTGCTGGCTACCTGCTCGAAGCGTATGGCGGCGCTGAAAAGGGCCTTGTCGCGTATCGACCGGCCATGTTGTACGGCGGCTCGCTCAGTCTTGTCTCGGCGTTTTTGGTGGTCATGGTGAGAATTCGGGTCAACAAAAAGGTGTTTGTCAAGGTATAGAGAGTGATGCCCGCTTCCATGGTAGCTGCAATGCGTGGGGAACCACTTGAGAGGTGGTAGTACATTATTCAACACTTATAGAGGGAAAAACAATTAGACGAAAAAATCTAAATAAAGAAATCCGGCCAAATTCCCGGGTGGTGTCATACTGTGACCGACGCCGGGGTCCAGGACCAAGGGCGTCGCGAGACCATGAGTCATTTCGGCTCAGAACCAGTTGTATAGTATATAAGCTGCCCTTCGATTCATTTCCCCAACAACATGCAACAAAGTTTTCTTCTTCATCACTCCCACCATACCCATCATGTCTTCTCTCCGCGCCGAGCTGCAAAGCCGCTGCTGGCAGCGCGACACATACCTCATCACGACGGACGCCTCGCGGATCCCGCTCGACCGGCTCAGCGCCGTCTTCGACTCGGCCGCGTTCTACTGGGCGCGCGCGATGCCGGCGGAGCACATGCGCGCGGCGCTCGACAACTCGCTCTGCTTCGGGCTCTTCCGGCAGGACGACTTTTGCGGCCTCGCACGCTGCGTCACCGACTACACGACCTTTGTCTACCTCACCGACGTCTGGGTCGACCCGGCCGTGCAGGGCCGCGGCCTGGGCAGCTGGCTGCTGCGCTGCGTGCGCGAGGTCGTCGAGGCCATGCCGCACCTGCGCCGCAGCATGCTCTTCACGTCCAGCTGGGAGAAGTCGGTGCCGTTTTACCGCCGCGTCTTGGGCATGGAGGTGCTCGAGTCCAGGCCCGGCGAGGGCCTCGTGGCCATGGAGCGCAAGGGCCGCGGGCATCCGCGGTATGGCTGCGAGGGGAGCGACTACAGTTAGATGGGGAACGTGTGGTTTTCTGGTCCGGAGAGTCTTGAGAAGTCTTGAGTGGTACTGAATGTGTGCCGCGATTGAAGCGCGTGGTCTTGTAAGAGATGTACAAGAACCAAGTTCAACGGAACAAAAAAAGAAGAAAAGTAGATATTCTACTAGACTCGGCGCTGACCAGTATAACCCTTCTTTGTCTATAATCTTAATTTTCTTTCCGGCCCACTCTCCTATGCACCAACTTTTGCCAACGGCTCTCGCAGCGAACCCCGCCGTTTCGGAGCCGCAACACCGCAGAGTACCGGCCCCACCACGCCGGGTCGTCGCCGCACCACAGCCAATGCAAAGCCTCGACCATCTTGCATGTTCACAGCAGGATGTCCCTCGCATTTTCCCCGACGTCATGTGAGCGGCCGCCTGTTTTCTCACCACGATTATCAGGGGGGAGCGTTTGACCGAGGGCACAGCTGGTACGACTTGTCGGAGCGTCGCCTGCTGCCAGTCAGCGCCGAGACGAGCAGGGGTTCGGGAGCTGCAAGCCTCACTGTCAGCCGCGCATCCATTTTAGTCTTTCCCCAAGATGCAATCGGTAGGCGTTGATCAATCCTTTCGGGCCTTCGGGACATTTTTGTAGGGAGGAATAAGGCCATGTGGCGCGCCGCATTACCCACAGGTCATGCACGATGGGAGCCTGAATCAGCTGCAATGGCGAACGAATGGTAGCCGTACATGTACTCCTCCCATCTGGTGCACTCATGACAAGGACCAATTTGCATTCCAGAATATCTTGTCATTACAGTTTCCATGAGCAGCCAGTCTAGTCTGTACCCTTGTTTTGCGACTTTGGGCTTACTTCAGCGGGGGCGGGTCGGCTTACACCACGAGCCTCTGCCCAGGGTTCAGCTGTCAAAGTTGCAGAAGCTAGAAGGAATGGAAGGTCGTCATCTACTGTTTTACTGGGTACTGGGGTGTATTCTGCATCATTCTCTCTGCTTACCCGTTTCAGATTGGTCACTATTCATAACAATTTCTTCATGGTGTCCCATGCTCTCAATATCCCCCACCTAGCCAACCCATCCATCACCACACGCAACCATCTGTCGAAAGAAAACACCAACAACTACTATAGCGTGTCAAATTCGTCTGATTCATTTCTCTCTGCAACTTGGGCCTAATGACCCCTGTATGATTACCTGTCGCCGCGGATCGCTCCCATCGTACCACCGTTTATTACTCAGCTTACAAGTATAACCGACGTTCAAAACCCTTCTCCGCATAGCAGTGCGCCGCATTCAAACGCGGAAGTACATGGCAGATCGTATTCCCGTTCGCACTAAGCCTACCACTTCCTCTGACATGACTCGAAGCCTCCATGATTAAGCTTAAAGGACAGCTCGCAGGCGATGGGCATCGGTGGTGGGTGGCTCAGCGGCCTCGGCTGACCACATGATCAAGGGACGGGGAAGAAGCCCGGGAATGGCAATCCACTGCCGATAAATCGAAGAATCCACATTCTTTTAGTATATCTTGTCATCTGAAAAGGAAATTCAATGGAACAAGGATTGTGCCTGAACCAGCTGTTGGGCCAAAGCATGAAGCCCAGCTCTCGCAACCGGTTTCCCTGGTTGGTACAATTACCCGCACGCCACGCTTTCTCGACAAATCAGCCTGCCAGCCCGTGTGAGAGGAGAGCGCTGTTCCTGCATAGAAGCCTCCGCACCCCCCGGCTTGTGGAACATCGCGCGAACCCCCGATGGCCCTGACACGCGGGGCGCTGCCCCGAAAGCCTTTTTGGTGCCCGTCAGCAATCGACCTGGGGCCCTCTTGTCTAGAGCGGCTCAACGCATTCATTGAGGAAACGAGCGCTGATATCAAGTAGCCTTGACGTTGAAGATAGAAATAAGCAACGAGAGTGACTTCCCACGCGGAGTGTTGGCGAACCGAATGTATCAGAGCGCCTAAGCTAAGGAGCTAGACGAAAAGATATAAAACGTATCGCCCGTTTCTAATGCCGGTCGGTAATGATAAATTAGTTGCAATTTGGAAAGATAGAATCATAGAGTCAGCTTTGTTGTACTTGCTCGCTTTATACAAGTCCTCGTTCACGACTTATACGCCTTACCTCCACACAATACCTCCCCTTCTTTTCACCCTTATAACGCCCTCCTCGTCACCATGGAAAAGTCAGTAGCAACATCCGGCCCGCCCAAGAACTTCGCCTCGGGCCACGGCATCCTCTGCGCGGGCCTGCCCCGGAGCGGCACCGCCTCCCTCAGCAAAGCGCTCGAGATCCTGGGCATCGCGCCCGTGCACCACGTCATGAAGCTCGACGACTGGCCGCAGCTGTACGCCTGGGGCCGGGCCGCCTGGTGTCACTTTCCCTACCTCCGCAAGCGCCGCCTCTTCCGCGCCTTTTACCTGTCCCGCTACGACCCGCTGCTGCCGTGGTCGCGCGGCGACTGGGACCGGCTCATCGGCCCGTACCGCGCCGTCACCGACGTGGCCGCCTACTTTGGCCCGGAAATCTACCGCGCCTACCCCGAGGCCCGCGTCATCCTCGTCGAGCGCCCGTTTGACAGGTGGGCGCAGAGCTACCGCGTCTTCACCGACGCCTGGCTGTTTGGGTTCTGGGATCTCGTGTGCTTCCGCCTCGCGGCCTGGGTCGGCCTGCCGTTTGTCGTCGGCATCAGTGACGTGTACACGGGCTGGATGGGCGCGCGCACCGGCGCGCAGGCGAGGAGGCGTCTGCGCGAGCTGCACACCGCGCACTATGCCAAGATGCGCGCCACGGTCCCGCCGGAGAAGCTGCTCGACTTTCGCCTCGAGCAGGGCTGGGCGCCGCCGCTCTGCGCGTTCCTCGACGTGCCCGTGCCGGACGTCCCGTTTCCGCATATCAATGAGCGCACCGAGGTGCTCGAGTTCCGCAACGGCACCATTGAGGCGGTCCTGAGCTGCTTGGCTATTCGTCTCGGCATGATTGCGCTGGGCACGGCGGCTCTGCTCGGTGCCGTCAAGGGCGCTTCTGCTTTTGGCGTCTTTACCGTCCTCGGAGGGTATAAGGATGTGTTTTTCCACTATCTCCTCGAATAGAGGCTTCAAACTTTTGCCATGTCTTTTCCCAGTCGTGATTTTGGTTGTCCTTCATAGAAGAGAGGTTGGCGTCCCGTTTGTCTAGCGCGTATGGTTGTGATAATAGCATTTGCATCAATGGAACTGTATACCACATTTTCTGCCTCCACTTGCCCACTTGCCGTGATGGACATTCCAGATAGAGATAATCGGTCTAGTTTGATCGACATTCACAGCGCCAGTTACGGCAACTTTGATTGGCAACGGCTGCAGGGACAGGCACGTTTCGAGCTGATGAGCCGCATTAGGCCACGTGCTGCAACTGGGCGAAAAAATCGGCTCTGGTTATTCCAAAGTTTAAAGGGTTGAAAGAGGGAAACGTCCGTTTGCGCGGCGGTTCTGAGTATTCTGCAAGTTTGCACTTGTTTGTGCCAAGAGAGCTAAAGCCAAGCCGTTTATAACTATTATTATAGGGCGGGATTCTAGACGCGCCTCAGGCTTGGTATCGACCCACACTTAGGACACCCTGACTTTCCTCCTTTTGTCACGAAGCTCAACGATTGCTCCCTTTGCATCTCAACTCGGGCGATTTATCTCTTGCGCATCATAATTCCACAGCGCAGCATCCCCAGCAATCTTGAAGATCTTGTCTCGACCGGGCCCCATTGCAACGTGGCCGCTAATCTATCCCAGCACCGACCCAATCCGAGCTAAAGCGGCCAGGGGTGGACATCAAGGCAGCTCCTCGCCCCTCGATCGCGTGCCGTTTCCCGACGAGAGAAACATAGAGAGGGACACTGCCGAACTACAAAAACCGACATAACACGATGCCGTCCGCACGCCGACTCCGCCTGGTGACGCTGGCCGCCGTCGTCACCGTCGTCTTCGTGCTCCTGTACGCCTCTGGCTTCGGCGGCGGCAGCGGGCAGTCGGCCGACTTTTACCACAAGACCATGGACGCCATGCACGGGCGGTCGCCAGCCGGCCAGTCCGTCATCAACTCGGAGACGGGTCTGAAGACGGGCCACATACCCGCGGACCGCGACGGCGACGGCGACATTGACGAGGACGACCGCAAGCAGGGTCAGGACCTGCAGCAGCACCTGAGCAAGCTGGCGCAAGAGGCCAAGGACAATGCCAACAAAAAGGCCGGCCCCAAGCCCGACACCCCCAGCAAGCTCGTCGGCGTCGGCAACTCGGCCGAGGGTAACCGCAAGCCCGTCGCGGCCAAGGAGGCGGACGCCGAGGTGGCGGTGCCCAAGGGCAAGGACAAGGAGAGGGTGCCGGAGACGCCCGCCGAGCAGGCTCTGCACGGCATTCTCAAGAAAGGACCCGGTATGCTTTCTCTTTCGTCTGTTCAGTAGTCAGACGGAACCGTAGTGCTAACACGCTGCTGATAGTCGTCATCTTCTCCAAGACGTACTGCCCGCACTCGCGGCGCGCCAAGGGCATCCTCCTCGAAAAGTACCTCATCCACCCGCGGCCCGAGGTCGTCGAGCTCGACGAGCACCCGCTGGGGCCGGACCTGCAGGACCTGCTGCTGGGCCTGACGGGCCGCCGCACCGTACCCAACGTGCTGATCAACGGCGAGAGCATCGGCGGCGCCGACGACATTGTCGAGCTCGACAACACGGGCAAGCTCATCACCAAGATTCAGGCGCTCGGCCAGCGCAAGGTCGAGGTGTCGGAGCGCTTCTCGACCGAGCAGGTTAAGGGCGCGGCACCGGCACACTGAGGGAGCTGGAAGGGTCCGATTCGTGAAGTGTATTTGTTTTTTTTGGTATCGGTATCGGGTATCGGGTATCTGGGAGTGTGGTACGGATGACGGTGGGTTCTTCGAAAAGATGCCATGTTGAGAGCAATATGGAAAGGTGTTTTGGCGTTTTGTTTGATACAGTGCATAGTTACTTGCGGTGTGTTCCGTGGCTTGAAACTTGTTAGCAACGCCGCGTGTTTTGGCGCGTGGCTGTAATAAATCACCCTACAACTCCGTCTTCTTCTCATGCCACGCCTTGAACAACAATGCATACGACATGAAGCTGAATACTGTACACTATCTTCTCACCGCATACATATTCCAGGAACAGTGATGGACTTGTGTGTCTTGGCATGTGGGACGGATTTGCGGGGGTGGGACACGGAAACGCTGATAAATCTCGACACGGCCCGTGATTGTACTTCATACCAGCAAGTGCATGACGTTGCGACGGCACAGCCCAACCCCTAGCTAGTACGACCTTCTTTCCCCTTTTCAATACATCCCACCCGCTAGCCAACTCTTCCTTGTGCTGTTTCCGCCGTTGCAGCATCTTTTGCAAGCCGCCGTTCACCTCAAACGAGTTCGTTGCGCTAACCTCCGTCGTTTTGGCACAGCCCCTCCTCACCCATTTCAGCTCTTTTGGTTCATTGTTTTCCTGACTGACACCCAAATTTACCTCGACAAGCACTAAATCATCAAAATACTGCATTAGCCTCCATACCAAGAGATCCAAATCTCTTGGACCATACCCCGGCGCTCCGCTCTCCCGCACCCCACCCCCCATCCGAGACACCGGGGAACCCACCATGCGCCGCGAATCAACCACCTCCGACGCCGCCTCGGTCGTCTCCTACGAGACGACCAGCTCTCTCGTCAAGGAGAAACCTGTCACTTCCCCGCGCCGCAGCAGCAGGCTCCGGGAAAAGGCGCGCCGCATGCTCGCCGACCTGGGCGCGCCGCCCACCGCCCGCCAGGACGCCAAGGACGGCAAGCGCACGCTCAACTTTGCGGACCCCGGCGGCCTCCTCGGCGACGGCCTGTTGAAGCCGGGCAGGATCTAGAACGTGCGCCGGCCGATCTCGTGGGTTGGGCAAGACCTGGGCAGATTGAAACGAGAATTTACAGGCGGAGTATATGATGAACTGCGATATGCCGGAGCAAGGTTGCTACCGTCGATGAAAGCTCTGTTTTTTTTTTCGATGATAGATTACACCATGTTTCGAATCAATTCATCAACACAAGTACGCGATGCTATAGCATGTTTCACTTTCAATGTCAAGAGGAACAGCGGAGGATACATTGCCCGTCGCCCAGGGTTCAAGTGGCAGAGGAGCAGGCATCGATGTACGCAAAGCATGGACAGTGAACATGTAAGCCGTCGTATTATATATCAAACGTTACCAGATAGGAGTTTGTCTCATCCATGTATATACCCCGCTCTGTATTGCGCTCTGCACCAGAGTCCCCGTCACCCAACGCCTAGAAATTCAAAGAAAGAATGCGCAAGAACCGACCCAATATGATACAGCGCAGTCCAGAAACCGTTTCTGACTGCTATATTCAAACGACGCCATCCAAAGTCGGGAAGCCTTATGCAGCCGGCGGCACATGGGAGAGGTCCTCTCCCGCCATGAAATGCTCCAAGACATCCATGCCAATTTGCCTAGCAAAGCACGCGTTAGCATCTCATCATTAAAACCCAAACACGGACAAACATAAAACGTACGGCATAATCATGGTCTTGGTAAACTCGTCCATGTCGTCGGCGCGCGCATACGACCAAAAGTCCTTGAAATCAAAGTCGCGGATAAAGTACTGCGGCTTGTCGCGCCACGCGCGGAAAAAGTCCACCGACGACGGCGCCTCCCAGAGGTGCCGCGAGGCGGTGAAGCGCAGGTTCTGCCACATGGCCTGGTTCACGTCGAGGCTCTTGAGCAGCTTTGTCATGCAGACAAACGCGCACGCAAAGAGCAGCGTGCGGCGCGCGCTCTCGAGCAGGATCCAGGCGTCCCAGCTCCTCGGCGGGCGATCGCGCGCCGGGTACGCGGCCCCCGCCGCCGGCGACGACCCGCCACCACCCATCATCAACCCGTCCGGCAGCGCCGCGCCGGGCACGCTCTGCGCAGCGGCATGCTGGACGGCCTCGGCCTCGAGGGCGTCGACGACCTGCTGGAGCTCGGCGATCCAGGCTGTCAGGACGTGGGCCTCGCGCTCGGCGGCGGCGCGCAGGCCGACATCGCCGTCAAAGACGCGGATGGAGTCGAGGATGATGAGGGCCTGGACGCGGGCGAGCTTGTCCTGGGCGGAGGCGGCGGCGCGGTCGCCGTCGCGGTGGACGTCGGCGGCCGTGTCGGCGAGCAGCTTCATGATCCAGGCGCGGTTGTGCGGCGAGCGGTGGGCGTAGGCGGTGGAGGCGGAGAAGACGGCGAGCACGGGGCGCGGCAGGTGCGCGGCCCAGAGGCGCGGGTGCACAAAGGGCAGCGCGCGCGTCTGCGCAAAGGTGGCGTGCATCGACGTCAGCGCCTGCACCGTGTAGCCCATCCACGAGCGCGGGTCGTGCACGGCGAGCGCGTCGTGCCCGTCGCACGCCATGTTGCGCCGGAGCAGCGACAGGTCCCGCACGGGCGGGCGGGGCACGAGCGCGCTGCTCATCAGCGGCACGGGCGGGATGTCGAGCTTGGAGGCGCCGCCGCCGGTGAGGGTGCCGTCGCCGGCGTCGAGGCTCTCAAAGAGGCTGGCGAAGAAGCTGTTGGTGGTGGGCGGCGGCGGCGTGAGGGCGGCGGCGGAGGAGGGGTGCGTGCTAGCAGTGACGACATTCATAAAGTCGGCCACGTCAAAGTCGAGGCCGGGGCCGAGATGAAGATGCTGGTTGTTGCTGGCGGCGGTGTGAGATGGGTGGTGGTGGTGGTGGCGGTCCTGGTCATAGTGCGGAGTCTGGTCGGGGAGGTGGCCCATGCTCTCTGGGCTCGTCTCTGTGCCCAGGCTCTCATAGTCGAAGCCCATGTCAAAGTCCGGCACGTCAGCCATCTCCGGCGAGGTGCTTCCGCCGGTGGACTGGCCAGGCGTGAGCTGCGGTTGGCGCTGGGCAGTGGTGGTGGTGGTGCTGCTGCCGCTACTGCCAGCACCCGCGGGGGGCATCTTGTGGTACACGCAGTCGAGCCCCTTGGCGGCGCACCGGGTGCACCGCGGCGTGCGCTTGTCGCAGCGCCGCTTGCCGCGGACGCAGGCGTTGCAGCTCTTTTGGCGGGAACTGAGCGACGAGGCCGAGTCAATCTTGGTCGTCAGGCCGAGTGGATCAATGCTGAACGAGTCCATGCTTTGGGGGGAGGAGGAGAAGAAGACGACGAAGGAAAAAAGGTCCGGAGCGGACTAGGAAATGGGAGGATGGGGTCGTGATGCGGACGTCTGAAGGTACTGCGCGGCAGTTTTTTTTTCCTCGTCGAAGCGGAGAAGAATAGTATCTAGTTGCGTTTGTTGAAGTTGCTACACCGATGAGATGAGTTCAACCACTGTTCAACGGCCAGGTGAGGGGTCCGCTATTCTTGGCGTGTACTGCTTGCGGTGCTGGAGCCGCCTCAGGGGACGTGTCTGATTCCGCCGAGACTGACAAACAAGTTCGCGTCAAAGTAACTAAAAGAATCGTATAAGATTTGACGTGATTAGGAGAAAGACAAGATTAAGACAGACAAGAAAAACTAGAGCAGCCAAGAGAGGGACTGGACGTCAGCTTGTTTGAGTCATCCAGCTTGGTCCATCCCAAATGTCCGCAACGAAAAGACAAGACAACAAAGGGGCCATCATTAGGCCAACATCAAACGCGTGTCGACTTAACCTTTGGACAAGCCTCTTCTATGCTGCTTACCTAGGTACGTATGCTTTTTTTGGTGTCTTGCGCTGACAAACCGGTGCTTCACCTGCGATGCAAGTCCGCAGGGGACACATCGGCAAACTCCGCAAACTCCGCAAACAAGACTCCGCTTGTGCTTCGGACTCGGACTCGGCCTTAGGAAGACCCAAGCACTGGACTGTATGCTGACAAAGAAAAAAGAAGAAGTGTTCCTGCCTACATGTGAAATTCCAAGTTTCATTTTTCATTTCATTCATTGCTTGGTACCCATGTGCCGTGGAAATAATACCAGCGCTTCCCCCCTCCTAGTCACATCATCACATGTACCGTTTACCCCTCCCTTGCAATTGACACCCACCCTGTCGCCAGGATTCAGGAACCACCCCTTGGCACACATCTTTATGCATTCCCACGTGGCATAATCTCCATCACCAAAGTGCCACGCGACTGATCGCGACGCCAACCTGAATGCGTTTCAATCAACCCCGGCGTCGAAACAGCACATCTTGACGCTCACACGTACCAATCCCATATGGGCGACAACATACGACAAATGATGCAAATACACGCAAACCATAACCTGATCAATGCAGTTAATAAATTGCTGGCCGCCAGTCTGGCCACTATCCTGATGATTACAGTATACCCGAACCAACTCCCATCATACCGCCTTATATAACAGAAGCGGCTCAGCGGCCCGAACCCTTCTTGAAAACATGTGGATATGTATATACAGCCCTCCCTGTGCCAATGCCTTGCCTATTACCCTTGCCTCATACCTCGACTCCGAATATCACCGCCGCTCGTCGTCTCCATCCCGCTTGAAAGGGCGGAACATGCTGCATCATATCACTACCCCATTTTGTTGTGATGAAACCCACTCGACAAGACTTCAAAATGAAAACAGGAAAAAGATTCGCCATTCCGCGCCCGTCGTTTTTAGACCAAAGAAAAAAGAAACACGTATAGAGATTGTAACAGCGCTGCAACTGGCAAACGCCCTCGTCGTCGTACATTTGGCTTCCTCCCCGGGCAAGCCATTGAGTACAAAGAAATGCAAGAAAAGTAAATGCCAAGCTCTTGGGTTCAAGAGCAAAGAATAACATGGAAGCCATGACTGTAGAATGCGAAATGCATCGAATGCCAAGATATGACCCGTCTTGTTCGGCACGGGCAGCGTCAACAGACGCATCACAACATCGTAGTCGCTCATCCAGTCGTACCGATAGCCAAAACAGCAAAGACAGAAGCAAAGAGTTACCGTATGGTCTCGAATTAGTATCGCTCGCGGTAGCCGTTGGCTCTTGGAGCGTCGTACTGGACACCCGTCATCGAATCAGGGCCATTGGACATGCCGTTGTTGATGGACCGCAGCGGGGGAAGCTCGGTTCCGCCCGAGGTCGATTGGTATTGCTCCGGCGGGAACGGGTGGACGGGGGCGGCGTGGCTCTGGGATTGGGCAGGTGGGGGTGCGTGGCCTTCACCACGCGCTTGCGCCAGCTCCATCTTGACATTTTGAAGCTCGCGTCGGAGAAGCTCATTGTCAGAGACAGCATTGTTGTAGTGTGTTTGAAGAGCACGAACATGGTCCGTCTGTCTCTGATATTCGGTAATGGCTTTTCCAGGCAGTCAGCATTGGCACGTCCAGCGTGTTATTTCATCCATCGTCCTCGCTTACCTTTGGTTAGAATCTCCCACTTGGATGCCTTTGACCCGCGCTCCTGGGGCATTAAGTCTCTCAACTGGTCAAAGAGCTCCTTCATTTCAGTGCGGCGCTTGCGTTCGGCCAGTTTGTGACTGACACGCAGCTCCGGCGTGCGGCTATATGGCTGAGCTCCGGGGCCACCAGCACCCTCCTCGGCTTGTAGGTCACTGAGCTGCTTGTGCTGCATGGTATGGTGGTGAACAGACGGGAACTCAGACGAGTGTACCGACAAGCGAGCGAATTCGCTGCTGTCCTCTAAACGGCGTTGGCCCGAAGGTAGACGTGACTCGGTCGTGAACTGGCTACTCGCAACAGAGTCGGTAACACTACTTCTCCTCGACTCGTCATAGTGGCTAACACGCTTAATCTCTTCCTCGGGGAAAGCCCACGCCTGACCCTTGGTTGGCTCGGCAGCACGGGCAATGTTGCTGGTGGCAGGACCGGTGATAGCTGGGGCGGTGCGGCCCGTCTTGTTCTCCGGGTTTCGGTCGTTGCTGGGCTGGTAGCCATTGGATATTCTATGGGCGGCGTAGCTGTCCATGCCAGCGCGCGGATTGCGCTGGTTATGTAGGGTGCTCTGAATAGAGCTCGTGGACTGGTTATTGCTAGTGTATGGTGATCCACCAAGTCGCATGTCGCTGATGCCTTGGTTGATTCTGCTGTCGACGCTCTCGCGGCGCATATTGGAGGCAGGGCCGAGGTTGTCGCCCAAGTGGCCAGGGAACTCGTGGGAGCCGGGACGCTCATAGCGGCGGTCGACGGCGACCGAGGACGTGGGGGATACCATGGCGGCGACGCTCATGTTGGCGGCAGAGGCGGGTGACAGCTGCGGGTGAGGGAGGGTGTTTGCGGCGATTGGCGAGGGCGTCTTGTCGGCGGTAGAAGATTGATAACCAGATGCGGCAGGGCTGAGACCAGCAGCATTGAAGGAAGCACCAGAGTTGTCTAGAGAAGGATAAAAAGGGTCAGCAGGTGAGCATTGGCGGACAACAACGACGGCGCTGGTCAGGCTAGGACCGCCGCAGAGGGAAATGAGGTGAACGGACGCTTGCTGGACGCCTCGGCGGTTGAGTAAAAGCCAGAGTCACGCAGCTGAGGAGGCGGCGCACTTTGGGCAGGTGGCTCATCTTGGTTGAGAATATTGGTCAGACCAGCCGCATTGGCCGGTCTCTGGGCCGCGGCAGGCATGGCGATTGTGTGCGAGGGAGTGGTGGTAGAGGCCGGTTGATGGAGAGCCTACTAGGTCTAGTAGGAGCTGAAGCGTAGTTGTCGAGGCAAGTTGGTGTAGGTGTGCGCGTATTCGACACAGGCCAGCAGCTGGTCAAGAGGTCGGAGCAAACAGGGGCCAAAAAATGCCCCAAGAATAGAGGCGGAAAGAGAGAAGGCTGATTCGACAATGGGAAGCAGCAAGGAACACAGAAGACAAGGCTGCGGGCATGCACTCTTTTTGTCTTCTCCTTTGCAGAGGGGCTGCGTGGTGGAAGGAGATGTTTCTCGAATAGTACTGGCCAATGCCGGGGCCGGTAGAAGGGCGTCGGGAATGGCAAGCTATGCAAGATATGCGGGAGGTGGTGTCCGAGGTAGATGTGCCGCGCGTGTTTGGGGAGGAGAGAGCGTTGGCGTTTCGTCGAATACAGCAAATGTTTTTGTGCAGGAAAAGAATGGTCAAGAGGGGAGGAGAAGAAAAAAACGAGTGGTCAATGTTGAGGGAAAGAAAGCGATCTTGGACGGGAAGAGGGAAGGTCAGATTGGGGAGGGGGGCGCAGAGTGGATAGGTGGGACGAGCCAGGTGTGCAGTTTAACCCGCAAAATACGGCGTGGCTACGGACAGGGGACCCAGAGCCAGAAGAAGAGGAAACGGGTTGGAGTGCAGAGAGAGTGAGAGAGAGCGAGGAAGTAAGAGAGGGTGAGGAGACAAAAGATACAAGTATCTGTGGCCTGTATTCGTAGGTGAGAAGGAGAGGGAAAGCGCGCTACCAAGACTGGTGGGTTCGGGGCAAAGCGAGCACATGGGCGGAAGACAAGATGCTGATGCTGATCTGCCAGTATACATACCTGGGATGGGGGGGTGTAGTGGTGGTGGTGTGGTGTGTCAAAGTGGTGTGGGTGTGCTGGAATAAGCTAACTGGGTGGATGCTACCTACGAATTGACCAATGTTTAAAAAATGAAAAAGAAGAAAAGAAAGGGCAAGGAGGGGGTGCGAGTGGTGTGTGTGTGTGCTCGACGCGGAATCTACTAACTTAGTAGCTATTAGGCTAACTAACTCATAAACTACCTACAGTACTGGCTGGCTGTCACGTTTGCTGGAATTGAGCTAGGCCGCTTATGAGACAGCGCAGTGCTCGAGTGCCATGTGCTCCATCGCGCATCACATCGACTGATCAGTGATATTCGCATTCAACGTCTGTTTTTACTATAATAACTCGAGCAAGGCTCATTCACATATAGCCCCCCCGTCGACAAGCTACATACCTAGTTATTTCACGAACACGGGTACGTGTCCACCCTAGAAAGGCTGGCCGCGCCCTCGCCCTGCACCTTCAACACGGCGCTCTGGAGCCGCGGCCCGGCGCAACAACGGGCAGCAACGGCAAACCGGGGGGGAAGAGGGGGGGGGGGGTTTGGTGGGAACCGAATCAGGCATGCCGTGGTGCTGTGCAGCAGCAGGCGCCGAGGAGGCAAGGAGCTCTCCTCGCAGCTTGGTGTGGCTTTCTGTTTGACTTGTTTTTAATTGATTCGGTTCACTTTTCGGTTTTCCTCTCTCATGCACACACCAAAAAAAAAGTTACTATGTATTGATTGCTCCACGGAGCCACGGCAGAGCGGGCGCTACTGGGCCAGTGGGCTACCACTGAACCAAGGACCACTCCAAGTCCCGACCAGTACAAACGACTGGGCCTTGCCTGCCACTACTACTGACCTACCTTGCAACCCACTTGGCACTTGCATGGCCATGCCGTGGCGGCCACACCTTGTCTGCTGCCACCACGAGGCAAGCGGGGCCCTTTTTCTTTTTTAGCTTTTCGTTAGGTACCTGCCTAGTCAAGCACCCTGCAATCCAAGGTACAAGCTGTTCTAGACGGGTACTTGGCTACCTGCGGCTTGCCTCCTACGGGCTGTGAGCGCATGACTGCTGTAAAAGTCAATTCCGGCAGGCGTGCAACTGCTTCTCGCAACTCTCTAACTAGGTACTAAGGGCCTCCAGGACGTTTTTCAGAGGGGGGGGCTCCAGCGCCACGCCGCTCACTGTTGTGCTCATTGCCATTGCGAGGTGGGCTGGTTTTGTAATGAATAACTAATTTGACCGCCAACTTTCTTTTCTTTGTCTTTTTTTTTTTTCTTCTTCTTTCGTATCCCCTCATTCGTTATTCGTCGTTGTACGATGCAACAAAAAGAAGAAAAGTTGGCCAAGCTTTTCATCAACACAGCCCAAATTATGAAATTGTAACTAATACAGATTATTAGCCCAGATCAGGGGAACCAAAGAAAAAAGAGCCGAGGGTTCGGACCTCGTCCATGGTTATTGGTTATTGGTCCAAATCCGTGCCACGGTTATTGATTCCCCCCCCCCGTTCCGTCAGCCGGATCTCGCGCTGCTGACAGGGTTTCACCTGCGACATGCTGGCAGGCAACTCACTTCATCTCAGGGCTCGCCGATTACTGATTACTACTCCGCAACTATCGACCGAGGTGCAATTTCAGTGCATGCATTCACATTCACCACTGCCTGCCCGTTCAACCAGTCCATCAACATCCCCTTCCCCGTATTCCCCGATGCCGTCAAAGCAGAACCACCTGGTGGATAGGCATCTGATGAGCATCATCCAAGCGGTCTGGGCCAATTCTGCCGCTTATCCTTTCTTCCTCGTTGCTCCCTCTTTTTAACCTTGTGGGCCATGGGAGCCCGCCCTACCTACCTAACCAATTTATACTGAACAACTAACTACTTACACACTCACTATACGCCCAGTCTTTGTCACGTAGTTATCAGTACGGTTCGATTATTTGCTTTCTTCATATCCATTTCCACCTTTACGTTTTTGCTTTTGCGTATCCATTCCCCTCTGCTCGGATCCTCGCTGCATTCAGCCAAGCCACCAATTATGCTCATAGTTGCAGACAGACCCTCCCCGGGTCCGTGTAGGCGACCATCAATTCCATCACCACCGTCCTTTTTTACTGTTGCTTTTTTCCTTCCCAATGGATGACGAATATTGCTTTCTTGGCCTGGTAGCCCCACGGCCATTTCGTCTCTTCATTGCTCATTCATGCGATTCTCGGAAGCAAAGAGGCCGGCGGGGGTTCTCGCTCAATATGCAATGTCTCCCTGTCATCCGTCTTGCCTGTCGTCCATCTCGAAAGCATAATTCCCCCGCCTTCTACGCATCAAGTCCCGTGCGGCGGGCCGATTGTCCCTGCGTAAAGCATCGTGTGCAAGTAGCGTCTGTGAGCTGACAGATGTTTGACCTCCCTGTGTATATGAATGTACCAGTCATAATCAAGATTACTTATTCGCATGTGGATATAGTCGCACAGTCATTCAACGGCATCAGTTGGACTCCGGCCGCTTCTCTGTCTGGCAAAACATTTTCCAGTCACGACAGTACACGTGCGATGCCGCAATCCAGACCGTGATGTGACCTGAGACAGCAGTCACGCCCGTACATACGTTATCGTTACCGTCTTACTAACTAGTATCATTTCGACAAACTCTGTCGAAAAGGCGTTGGAGGCCAGAACGACAAGGATAGGCCCGCCATGGTTTTTTATTTTTTTATTTTTTTTTCTTCCTTCCAATGGCCGTGCGTCGTTGCAACCCATGCTTGCAGCTTGTCTCGGCCGCATCGCACATTCTGCCCGTTCTCCAAAGGTGTGGCCTTGCGCTGCGTTGGCTGCGACAAAATGTCTACATTCATATTGCAAATGTCGTGCTAATAAACTAGTTTTCCTGCCGCCCAGGCACAAGCACGATGGTCATCGCCCGAGCGGCGGCCGTTGCGAGCGGGGAGGGGGGGAAATAGGTTGGCGAGCGACAAGTCGATCTGTCAATGCGCCCCCTCAAAGCCACCATGCCAGGGCGTAACGACAGTCATTCGCCCAAAAAAAAAAAGGCAAAAAAGTGTGAGGGTGGATGGCGATAATATGTGAGGCCCTGGAGGTATATCAGAGCAATATGCCGGCTTCCCGCTCAGCCCGTGGGTGTTGCAAAAAGGCTGTGCTTAATCAGACATGTTTCCGAAAAATGATGAGCTGGCCATCGCATTATAAACCCCCGTTGACGGTACATACATAGTTAAACCAGCTGGCCAGATTGCCCAATTTTCCAATTTTCCAATTATGACTTGGTGCGATGCGCTAGACGCACACCTGGCAGTCGATGCTCTTGGCATCGCACGTACAAAATAGTCAATGTTGTGAAAGGGTTCAAACTCTATCGCGGGAATCTAGTAAACCGCCCTTTTCGCACGCATGGCTGCTTCCGCAACGCATTTCGGTATCTCTTCATTTACGTAGCATCAGCATCGTGTAGCGCTGGCCAGTAATAGCTTTTATGCCGGTGAGATCCACAGACACATGGCTCTCCAAGCTTTTTGAATTCTTGTTCATCTCATGCAAGTAATACGGCACAGTCAGCCGTTGCGACCATCTTGCTCCCCCCCTTCCCCTCCCCCCGGCGGCTTGAGTCTAGCCGAGGGCTACATTCGGGCATTTCGCTCATGGAAATTGGAAATTACTTGATGCAATAGTAGATGCAAGTCGAGTCTATCAGTGTGACTGGAGGGCAAGGCAGATATTACCTTGCTGGTCCCAGGTTGTCCCGGCCCGGCCGCCACCAATCAATAGTATTGCTTTCCCTGCCCTGGCACAAACGTGGCTCGGAGATGATGGCTCACGTGCGACGAGCGCCAGAGCAAGACGATGCTTTCTTTTTTCTTCTTTTTTCCTTTTTTCTATACATACACACTCTTTTTTTGCTTTTTGCTTTTAGGCCGACATGACAACATCAAGCTATTGGCACCAAGTGGCGGTAGCGACAATGACTTGGACGAATGAGCCTGCTCGTCTTGCCGCCGGCATACTACATATGAATGAGAAGACGCCTCTTGAGTGCCTTGGTGATGAATAGTGCAGCCTCTCGGTGGACAACCTCTCGACCACCGTTGGCGAGGCGCTGCATGGCGGAGCGCCATGATACAAGCACAGAACCCGGCTGGTCGCCGAATGATGAACGCTCTGATGTCGTTTTCTTCTCCGTCACATTTGGCTTTCACTCTTCACTCTTGTGAGCGATGTAGAGGTCCCGTTTCCATGCATCCAAGTCAATCACATCCCAATGCCTGCCCGCATGTCTTTTCCGCTGTGTGGCAGGGTCGGAAAACTGCAAGCGCACCAGATGGGACTCTGTTTCTTGCACACATGCCAGTTCTTTGATCAAATCCAACTGACAACACCAGGTCACCAGGACACACACACTCGCACACCCCTGAGTCTGCGCCAATCTTTCCACTAGCAGGGTTTCCATATGCACGCAAGCACCGCGCGCCCGGCTACGGCTTGCTGCCAGCCAGAATGTCTCGTACGCCTGTTCGACAGCCAGCCGCGCCACCGTTGCCTTGTTCTTCCTTTTGGAGTAAACCATCTGGCGCCACGCCGCAGCTCTTTTTTTTTTCCTCATTCTTCTTTTTACCCATGTTGAGCAGGGTGTGTCCACCACCCCCGCGGATCTGGTGCGCGTGTCGCACCAACCCGTGGCGGCGGCGCCAGCGCTCGGGAAGACGGCGCGGACCCTGAAACTTTTGTCCAACTGGCTACTCCAAACGCGAACAGGTTATCCTTGGGGGGGGGTGGAAGAAAACCTGGCTGCTGGGTCGAGGTGATTTTGTGTGATTCGTGAGAGCCCTTTTATTCTTGTGTGACATGCTTGCATCAGGTTGCGACCAAGACACAGCAAGCACGTCAAAAAAAGCACTGCTCGAGGCGGAATGTGTTCCGTCCGTATCGATCATGGCACGCATCACATTTCAGTCCATCGGTCTCAACCGCCCCCCCCCCCTGTGCCCTGTGTCTGCAGCAGATCGCTTCGTGCGCGGGGAATGCAAGCACTCTGCCCAGATTGTAACCCGGTACAAAGAGACGATCCCAAAACGACGACTCAGATTTTCCATTCGATTGTGACGAGCAAAATCAGATCCTGGATTGCCGTCGAGAACAAGGCCAACACAACAGCAAACCGGCCCCGAATGCTTCTCCCAGACCCTCTAACCAACATGTTGAACAAGACGCATTCATCACGTCGCGGCATTGTTTCGGCCAAATTTTGTTTCCCGCCGAGGGCGGCAGGCACGGCCGCCACCCACCCCTCTCCAGCTTCGCGGAAAACCCTGTCTCACAAGTTGCCGTCATCGTGCGTTTGTCGCAGACTCGCAGCTTCTTTTGCCCCTCCCCCAACTCCACGCGGCGCGCGATGAGACATTTCGCCTACATTTCTCTTCTTCACGTTATTTGTCATGGACGGAACTCATGCGCGACACATGTTGTCGGACACTTTTTCTTTTTTTTTGTTTCTGTTGTGTGTCGGATAAACCTGCACGCAATGTTCCAGTTCGCAAGTAGGGGTCCCTACCCGAGATGGGGAACGATCGTGCCAGGCCAATACCCATGAAAACATGGGCATGATGGCCAAGATCATCTGCCAAGATCTGCCAAGGAGCGGAATCATGTTACATGGTGAGAACTTCCCCCCCTTACTTTTCCAAGCGGCCCGAGCTCCGTGAAGGTTTTGACACCATGGGCACTCGGATATAGGCACAAACAAAACGGAATTAAACGAATCACACCGCCAGTGAACGAACCAAGTCAATCAATAAGGAAAAAGAAGCAAGGTTATCACTGTTCAATCATCATTCGTGCAGACTCATAGCAGCGCCCCCCCCCTGCGGCGGCACCCTGGGCATTCCACGAGTTCATGGTCCATGGACTCGAGGCAAAGATTCAAGCCCGTCGGGCTCCACGAGCTAATTGCAAGGTTACGCTAGGTCCCAAACCCGCGGTCCCGGTAAATCGGTACAAGAGGATCTGCGTTTGCAAGATCTGTGGTATACGCCCTCTCCCGGCGCCGACATGCGGCCGAGTCACAACCGGCCCGATCGCAGCCCAAGATGCTATTCTTGACGAGAGACAAACACCGGTCTGCGACCGAGCCCTCCCATTGTCGCTGGCTGTGACAAGAGGCGTCAGGGTTCGACACCGAGAAACAAACCAACAAACGGACCAACCAACAGAAACGCCTCTGGGGATCTAGCGTCATCCTCTTGATTCCAAACACTGCTTGGAGCAGTTGGTCCGGTCCGCTACGCGAAACGGGTTACTGGAATGAGACATGTGAAACCGAAATCTAAACGAAATCTACAGTTTCTTATTGGCAGGTGTACGCATTGGATTGGTCCCATTGGATTGGTCCATTGGACTGGTCCATTGGATTGGTCCACTAGATTGGCCGGGGTTACCATGTCAAAGACCACAACAGGAATACCACAAGGTACTTTCATGTACCAATCGTACTACAGCAGCTGTTCTGGCGGTCCCCAAACCTGATGTCCGGCCAAACCGAGCACCATCTCCGCCGCTCCGTGTGCTCCGTGAAAGGACCCAAGGCGGCTGTGGTAAGTAACAGCCATCGACCAACACACACTCTCACAACGTAGAACAAGTCATATCGTAAAATGCAATGAATTGTCATCCATCATCATGCGTACCATGCCAGTATCATCCGTTCAAGCCTATGCGGTTCATTCTTGCTTCTCTCCCCATACTCAATCCAAGCCTCATTTATATTCTACATGTACATCGGAGAACACATGTGCACGTCTCCTCTTTTGGTATCGCCACATCCTCTCTACCCTGTACCATCCTCAGATGCAACCTCGATCCTCCCTGCTTTTTCCTTCTTCCTTTGTCATCTTATTTTAAAAGTCAAACTCGGGGCGAAACACGCCCGGGTCCACGCCTGGCACCGTCTTCTCCGCCAGGTCCCTGCGGCCCATCTGGGTAAAGACGCGGCGCAGGGTATCGTAGAGCGTACTGCTGCGGTTCTGCGCCGACATGCGGTCGAGCGTCTCGTCCACCTGCGCCGCGCTGCCCTCGCCCAGGATCTCATACGCCTTGCTGCGGCCCGACTTTTCAATCGACTTGTGCATCTCGAGCGCGGCCAGGAAGTGGCACGCCGCCTCCTGGTGGCAGCTGATGTTGATGCAGCTCACGCCGAGGTTGTAGCGCGCGCGCACAAAGTTGGGCGACAGCGACAGCGCCTGCTCGTACGCGGCAATGGCCTCCTCGGAGCGGCCGCTGTTGGCCAGCGTCGCGCCGAGCCGGTTCCACAGCAGGTGCAGCTGCTCCTGCTGGTTCATGGTGCCGAGCTCCGACGAGTGCAGCGCCGACTGGAAGCAGTCGACGGCCTTGTCGTACTCTTCGGCGCCGTAAAAGAGCACGCCCAACCCGACCTGCACGTCCGGGTCCATGTGCTCGCCGTCTGGGCTCAGCTGCGCCGCCTTGATGAACATGTCCGTCACCTTTTCGTGCAGGATCTGCCGGTCCGTGAAGCCCATGTCGGCGGGTGGGTGGATGTCCTTGGGGTCGAGAATCGCCGGGTACTTGATCGACAGCCAGCGCTCGAGCGTCCGATACGCCGTGCTGTCGTAGCCCTCGTTGGTGTAGGACACGGCCAGGCCCATGAGCGCGTCGAGGTTGTTGGGGTCATGCTTGAGCGCCTGCTCCAGAGCCCGGATTGCCGCCGTCTCCTTTTCGTTTTGCGCCTGCGCCGAGCCCAGGTACACCCAAGCTTCAACGTGCTCGGGGTTCTGCTGCACGGCCGCCTCAAAGGCCAGCGCGGCCAAGGACAGGTTGCCGCCCTCCCTCATCACGCGCACGCCTTCTTCAAAGGCGTTCTTCTCGTCCTTGAAGAAGTTTTCTTGCTCAAACATGTAGTTCTCGACGACGGGATCGCCGAAGCGGCCCCAGTCGCCGAGGCCCTGCAGGTCGGGGATCATATCGTTCGTCCACTCGGTGTCGAATTGGTCGAATAGCGACTCGTCTTGAACTAAGGACCTAGCAGCAGCCGTCTCAGCTTGTATTCCTCGCCAAAGGGATTCGAAGTCACCAAACTCATTCGTCTCGGACTGCATTGCCCGGTCCATTTCATCCAGCTCGCGCTCGGCGGCGCTGGCTTCCAGGTTCTCCTTGGCTTTCTCGGCGGCCTCGGTCTGGTCCTCCAGCTCGAGCTGGGCAAAGTGCTCCTCCCACTTGCTGTCGTCAAGCTCCACAAGTTTTCCCTTACCCTTGAGATCTTGTGGCTGTTGCTGTTGCTGGTTGCGCATCTGTTGCTGTTGCTGGTACATAGGCATCATAGATCCGCCCATGCCGTATCCCATGCCCATGCCCATGCCCATGCCCATACCGCTGCTCATCATCGGGCGTTGCATCTGGCTGCCTGACATGTTGGCCTGCATGGGGCTGGATCGTGCGGACGAGCCTTGGCCGTTCATGTTGAAGCGGGCAAACTCTTCGGCGCTGAAGTGAGCGCTGTTCGGGGGCTTAAAGGCCGACTCCATGCCAGGCTGGCTGTTAAAGTCGTGCGCCCATGTCGGTGACGTTGAGCTGGCGCGCATGGGAGCATGTTGGACGGGGTTCATGACGGGGCCCTGCATGGGGAATTCTTGCTGCATATTGGGTCCGGCATTGAGAAAGCCGTTCATCATCTGAAAGCCGAATCATAAAGCGATTAGTAATGTCACAAGCTTATAACCGGCACGAGCGCGCGTCTCGTACCTCGTCTTGAGGAGCGTTGGCGCTCTGGCTGCGAAAGCCATTTAGTTGACCGCCGGGGCCGCGACCGACGAGACGATCGCGCTGTAGTGTTTTATCATCTTGGACGTGCTTCTGGAACTGGCTGAGGGGGTTGCCTGCGGTCGAGCACTCGGCGCCACCCATAAACGACATGATGGCGGCAGGAAGTGCAAAGCGGAATATCTCGCAAGGCGGGGTGGCGACAAAAGCGGTGGGCAGGATTATATAGATCTGTGGCGTTGGTGTTCGACGGTGGAGGGGTTTGCTCAGATCACAGACAGAGGAAAATATGCAAAGGAGGATGACCGGGAAAGAAGATGGGGGAGAATCAAATGTTGGGGTAGTAGTGCGTCGACGGAACGACAGGTTAAGGTGCTAGGCTAAGGCTTGTGGCTCGGCCTGGGCGTGGGGAATCTACCGAGGCTGGCCGGTGTCCGGACCGTCCAGAAGGCAGTGACAGAGGCGGGCCAGGCGGCCTTTGTGATTATGAAGCAACGGAGTTGGGCAGTCCACGTGACTGCGGGGAACGGCCTTTACCGATTGCCTATTTGCCTGTAGGCGAGCGATGTACGCTACCCACCAGAGATACCCACTAGAGATTAGCGGCAATCACTTTATCGATAAGACATTTTTTTCTCCAACCGCCATACAGGAAAAAAAATACAGAGGCGGTCGATACTAAAGCCAAGCATATAACCAACAACCATTGCGCCGCCAAGATGCTTCGTACAGTGTAAGGCCCCATCCTATACCCATCATACATAAATATTATCCTGTTCAGCAGCTAACAAAAACCCCAGAAAACCCCGCAATGCCCGCTCTAAGCGCGCCATGGCCGCCCGCGAGCCCAAGCCCATCGAGAACCCCAAGACGTGCCTCGTCCTCCGCGGCGGCAACTGCTCGCAGGTCGTGCAGGACGCCCTCAACGACCTCTACTCGATGCACCAGCCGCATGCCAAGAAGTTTTCCAAGAAGAACCCCATCCACCCCTTTGAGGACGCCACCTCGCTCGAGTTCTTTTCCGAGAAGAACGACGCCAGCATGCTCCTCTTTGGCAGCAGCCAAAAGAAGCGCCCGCACGCCATCACCCTCATCCGCACCTTTGGCTACAAGCTGCTCGACATGCTCGAGCTGCACCTCGACCCGGCCACCTTTTGCGCCCTGGCGCAGTTCAAGACCAAAAAGTTCAGCATCGGCCAGCGGCCCATGCTGCTCTTTGCCGGCACCGCCTTTGAGAGCCCCGTCGCCAACGAGTACACGCTCGCTAAGAGCCTCTTCATCGACTTCTTCAAGGGCGAGCCCGCCGACAAGATCGACGTCGAGGGCTTGCAGTACATTGTCAGCTTCACCGCTGAGGAGGAGCGCACCGTCGACGCCAAGCCCGTCCTGCACATGCGCGTCTACCTCATCCGCACCCGCCGCAGCGGGCAGAAGCTACCCCGCGTCGAGGTCGACGAGATTGGGCCCCGCATGGATTTCCACGTCGGCCGCATGCGCGTCCCCGACGAGGCCATGCTCAAGGACGCCATGAAGACGCCGCGCGGCCTCGTGGAGCGCCCCAAGAAGAACATCACCACGGACACCATGGGTGACAAGATTGGTCGCGTCCACACCGGCAAGCAGGATCTCGGCACCATGCAGACGAGAAAGATGAAGGGTCTCAAGCGCAGCAGGCTGGATGACGAAGAGGTCGGCGTCGAGGACGTCGCCGAGGAGGAAGCGACCAAGCGCTCCAAGCAATAAGCGATGACGTGCGTTTGCTTCAGAGGAAGCAGAAAAGACTAAAAAGGCACCAAATAGGTTGCAGACCTCGTGTTATTTACAATGTGCATCATGGGCTCGGCGTTATTTGGTATATCTGGGTATCCATTTCGTTAGCTAAGAATAGTCATGACCAGACGATAAATCATGTTCTCGTATGACAGGTTCACTGCGCGTTGAATATAAAATTTGTTTATTGGCATGACACCCAGCCAGCCAGAGTCACCCCTTGACACATCCAAGCATATAACTGATCATCACCTGGAATCGCTACAGCCACCCAATACGCTGCCAATCAATCCCAGGGCGCATCTTGTCCCAACATAGCATTTATATACACGGGAGAAATCTCCCAAACAAAAAACGAAATAAAAAAAGATACAGTAAACACCCAGGACAAAAATGTCAGGTCTCAGAACAGACATCCAGTGGCAGGATTGCCACAACCAACGCCCTTTCCCATGCTTATCAAGCCCGAAATATTGCTTTTCGTTCCGTTTAACCCACGCTTAAAATGAAAATAGTGTCCTAGTACGGTGCGCCGACAAACGCCTCGCTTCCATCCACCCTTAATCCAGGGGCACAGCAGCAAAGCCCAGCTCTCCAGTAATGTCCGTCAAGTCTGCCGTTGGCGATTGGGGAATGGCATGGCTCATGCGCGCTAGAAGCTCGACGTGATTCTTCATCGTATCGACCAGGCCATACTCGGGTGAAGGCGCCTCTTCGCACTCGGCTCCCCAGACGGAGGCGGGTATGGCGTTGGGGTCGCCGTCCCAGAGCGCGATGCGGACCGGCCACTCAAGATGCCGCCACCAGCCGGAACCGGGCTCAAACAGGCTGACAAGCCCCATGACTTCGCGCTTCGAGACGTCTCCCAGCCACCATACATTATCCATGCGTTTTAGTAGCGCAAAGAAACACGCAGCAATGGCGAGGGCACGTGGGCGCTTGGCCTCGACGAGTTGGACGAACCGTTTAGAAACGGCGGCTGGAAATGCGAGCGTGGCTGGCGGATAAGGGTTTTGATGGGCCCAGTTGAGAACGGAGACGGCGTGGATATAGCCCTGCTGAGAGAGCAGGTTCGCTTGGGCATCTTCCACGGAGACTTCTTCCTCGACACCTTCAAGAAGGTGACCGAAAAAAGAAGTGGTGCCCAAGAGATTCATGTCGAGCTGGAAACTGGGTTGTGAGTTGATGACGGCGAGAACAGTGGGACTGTTAAAGATCCACTGCCACGAGGTTGCGACGACAGTCTTTACACCTTGGAAGGCATGGAACCAAGCTAAGGGTAGAGGATATCGGGAGGCGCCTTTGCCAGCACTAGGAGTCATTTCGCCATCGTCTTTGATAAAAATGCGAGAGGCAGTCGCTTGGAAAGCAATAAGGCAGGCCGTGAGGAACAGTGCCTCTGCGTTTTCGTCTTGGATACCGCCGGCCAAGGAGGAGCAGTAGTCAGCCAGCGCAGAGGCAGAGTAGGCGTGAGTAGCCTGAACGAGATTCTTGTCGTCGGGGTTTAGAGATCGTAGGTGGAGAGCTGACACGGCTAGAATGGCGTCGGCCAGATAGGTTTTGCCGGCAAAGGCCAGCTTTGGGACCTCATATTTCCAAATGTCATCGGCTGCGGGTACGTTGTGAAGAAGGGTCCGGTAAGTGCTCGTCGTAAAGTGGTGCCAGAGACGAAGCTCGAGCATGCGATCGACGGGGCGGGCGGGTGGTGCCCTTGACAATGACGGCGCCGGGCCGCTCTGGACGCTCTGAGGGGCCGAGGTGTGGAGAGACTCTGTGGCAGACGGGGAGGAGACGAGCGGTGGAGGAATCGGCGATTGTCTTGTTGGAGAGGGTCGTGATCCGTTGACACCATTGCCATTGGTAGCGGAGGCATGACCGTTGTGGCCGTTGTGATGGTGGTTGTTGTTGTTGTAAAGGCTGCTAGGCGAGGGGACAGGTGGGCTTCGTGCGGCGGGCGTGGCGACGGGCGTGGCGACGGAAGTGAGCTCATCAAAGACTTCGCTGGGATTCTCGAAATCGCACAGGACGCCATGCTTGACGCAGTTGCCGCATCGCGGGTGGACTTCATCGCACTGGGATGGGTGCACGGATCAGCATCAGCCTGGCGGGCGGGCGCAAACAAGGTGGTGGTGGGCGGCGGCGCTTTGGCGAACAGCAGCTCGACCGAGACGGCGAGGGTCCAGTAGCAACCGGCAGCAGAGGAACATACCTTGATCTTGCGGTTCTTGCACCTGCGGCATCCCGCACGCGACTTTTTGTGAGACCGACGAGGCGGCATCACGAATTGGCAGGGCCGCGTGCGATTTTGGTGCGCTTGTCTGGCGGGCGTTGGGCTGTTGTCGGGGTGGTATTTGGGGGAGCAAGTTGAATGCTCTCCTGAGGCATAGCCGCAGGGCTCACTGTCGGACGGTTGAACGAGGCAACGCAAGATGTGAGAGATGGAGGAAGAAGAGAATGACGCCGGGCGAATTCGAGATGATGGGAAATGAGATGGACGCTAGGAAAAAGAAGCATAGGGCGGTGGTGGTGGTTTGACAGGGTCAGCTTCAGTTGTTGGTGGGCCTAACTAATGCTTTTTTTCCTCGATGGAGTACAGAGTACTCCGTACCAGGTACCTCTCTGTACACATACCTTTTTAGGAGCTGGGAGAACGAGAACCCCCTCTTGTCAGGGGCTGCCCCAGGGCTCCTGCAGCTACAAATTCGGCGCTGTCTGGCTGCACAGCCACGAGACGACGGGTCGGCCGAGATGCAGGGGCTGCTGTCCGGGCACAGGCTGCTACGGATTTACTATTACCAGAGTGATCGAAATCATCAGTAACTAATGTCGTAAATCTAACGAGGCTCTGAGATGCCTCATAGCACCAAGGCTACCTACCTAGCTAGCACTCTCGTGTTAGCTGGTACCTAGGACGCGACTAGGCACCTACCAAGTGTTACAAACCCTAGCTGTGTAGCAGAAGAAAGGATGCAACAGAGAGAGTAACTTAGTTAGAAAACGATGCAACCATCAATTCCAGACTGAAAAAAAGGTTCAACCAACTACTTGCACAGCTTCAAATAAAGACCTGCAGACGCACATTTCACACTGACCTGAGACCTCGCAGCCTCCCTTGTTAGAATGGAGAATGGCACGGCGCTGTGGCGTTATCCAGGCAGCGGAGCTTACAGGTCCCGCAGCGACGGTAGCGGGTTAAATGTGTGCCAATCGCCTAATCCAAGCAGCAAAGCACTGCCACACCTGGCCTGTCTGTCAGCTCGCCGATGAGCACCTTCAGCGGAGTTTTCCCCCCCGTTGCCAGCTAATCCTGATCCAAAGCCCGCCCACGCCGCCCGCCCAGAACCATCACAAGGTCCTTTTGTCGCCAAGCGGCCGATGATGCCTGGTGTGTACAGAAACGCTTGTCCGTTATCTACGTGCCTAAAAAAGAAAGGCGTCGGTGCGAAATCGGCCAAAACGCAACCATGGCTCTCCCAAAGCTGATGACCCTGCCAGCTCGAGGTTGCAGATGACGTAGCCTGGTAGATAAAAAGAGCCAAACTCTGCACCCCCGTGCTTGCGGGAAGTCGTATCCCCAGTTCCGCGCAAGGCGACCAGGTCACCCTTGCTCAGCCACGGCTGGCTTGCCGCCTGGTTTGGGACCGTGCCGGCTCGAAGCCGGCTCGGTACAAGTACGACCCCAGCCGTAATCGTTCGGTAAAGCACCCTTCCCACCGGGAATTGGCCGTCCGGCTTTTTTCATCAACGCGGCCGAACTCGCCGCGCCGGCTCCGAACCAACGAGTCCAGTCGGTACTTCGTATAAAAGGTTGTGCCGTGCCGATTGGGATAGAGGATGTCCTGGCAGAGTGGTCGTATCTCGGCTTGATCCTTACTGCTTACCCAACTTCCGAGGACACCTGTTACCTGTTGCGCCAAAGAGACCCCTGCGCGACCAGGCGGTTTCCAAAGCTGCAGCTGTTAAAGAAAAAAAATGAAAGGTGGTTTTTTTTTTCTTTCCCCTTCTTCTTTGAATCAATTGTGCCTACTACGTCATGTATCCCTCCTTTCGATTGTATTCCCAAGTCGAACAAGATGCGCCAAGGACATGTGGCTCAACACTTGATGCTGTGAGTTCACAGTCATAGTATTGGATAGAAGCAGACGTCGTTGGACCAGTCACAAGCAAGCAGCATGTAATACAAGTCACCGTACAACTCCACGGTGAGGCACACTATAGCTGGCATCTCGGAGCATCGCCCCCAGTATCAATGCAAGCATCTCCATTTGGCCGATGGCCCGTCATGGCGTGCGACGTTACTTTTACGTGTGAATTAATTACCACTTGAATGTGGGCTTTCATCGACAAGGCAACCCAAATTTTTATTGCCCATGGAAACCTCGCTTCTTCAACGGCATCACCAAAAACAGTGCACAGTCATCAACCACGGAGCAGAGCCCAAGGCCTGAACAATTCTCATTTATTAGACCCCAATTCAGGCGTCTCCGATGGCCCAGTCGAAAGCCATTCCCGCTGAGGAGCAGCGCAAGCCTTTTATATTTCCTTGAAGCAGTGTCTATGCTTTCTATCCTACAGTCGGCAACACGGCTGCTCGAGGATGCCCATGGCAGCAGCGCCGCCAGCTTGGTGCCGGCGTGCCAACAAGATCATTGCTGACTGATGCTACGCCAGCGGCTTGTCCCTGTCGTTTTCTTACGACCGGCAGCGACGAGTTGGAGAACTCAGTCACTCCAGTCTCGTTGTATTCGGCGCTGTGGTGGTGCTCACAGAAAGCTGGGCTGGGCTAGGCAGGGCTAGGCGGCGGCCTGGAAGGTGCAGGCGGCGAAAAGGCTTGAGGTCGCAGCTTCCATAAGCCAGACTGGAGATGGAAGGCTCTAGCGGGCAATATGGAATATGGAATATGACCATTCTTCCACGAGAGAAAATCCTGCCAAATGCGAAAAGCGGAAAGCGATGGCGCCATCGACCGCGCCGGGACGGACAACACACATTACCTAAGGCGGCTGGGCCGTTTGTTGTACCTGCTACGGGGCAGTCTACGCCAATAGCAGGCCTCGGCAGAGGTACCGAGTACAGATCGGATCCTGGCGGCCCGTCCTCGTCGACAGCTGGCACCACCTGGCAGCCCGCAGCATTCTCGCGTCAGTGCGGACCTTGACCGCCGCCATGAGCCATGATGATGACAAACGCCCGTTTTAAGCTGATTACAGATTCCATCCCTCAAATGTCATCATCGCTCTAGCTTTTCTACTTCGCCGAGGTACCACCATTTCTGACGTCTATTTTCATCTACTGCTATATAAGTCTGCTTAGTCGCCATCTCTTCCATCTCGCGACTTGCATCACCATTCTTCCTCGACCGTCGCAGCCGCATCTGTCGCACCTATACAATACTTTCCCGCCTGCACCTCGTCTCCCCCCGTCTTGGACATCTTGGCTGCAAAGGACAAAGCGTCTTCCGTCCGTCCACGATATCAATTTCTTCTCGTTGCTACTCTGTTGTAAGCATCTAACTACTGGAATGACACCATGTTAAGCTCCCCTCACTGACTCAAGTGGACCTCTAGACGTCAGTGGCAGTGGATATCTCGCGACCACTACAAGCTTATTTTTTTCTCGAAAAGAAATTTTCCCTTGCAATTGCCGGCCCCTCCATTGTGGACTACTTAGGGCAACCAGTACATCAACTCGGCGCACTCCAAGACGTTTGGCGATTCTATCATTCTCCCATCTGAAACAATTTGCGCCTTTTTGCCGTCAAGCACCCATCATCGCTGTCCAGCTGACCATCAGCTCGACGCCATCGCATCTGCGCTCCGACATCCGGCCGACAGCTTCCGACCGCGGCATCAACAACCACCACCATCCATCTCACGACCGGTATCCGGTGTGCATCCACATTTCGCTTCAGGTTTCACACCCACCAGCCCGTCACAAACCGAACCCCAACCCCTGTTGCGTTTACGGCTCAAAAGAGGGACAGTAAAAATCTAGCTCAGATTCGCTATTAATAATAGAGCTGCCCGCTTCCCCCGGAGTAGAAATCTGCGCCTTTGCATCTCTACTACTCCGATTCCAAATTGGATAGCTTTCTCTTTACAAAACCACCTTCTCACCACACATACAGCAGTCCTTGCACCTCAACCAAGATGTCTCCTGCCACTACCACAGAACAGCTCTCTGTTCAGACGCCGCCCCGGCCCCCGACACCTGAGCACCGTTTCGGTACCCTGGCGGTCCACGCTGGCTCCCCTCACGACCCCTCCACCGGCGCCGTCATTGAGCCTATCTCGCTTTCCACCACCTTTGCTCAGACCGCCGTCGGCAAGCCCGTCGGCGTTTTTGAGTACTCTCGCTCGGCTAATCCCAACCGCACCAACTTTGAGACAGCTGTCGCCGCCCTCGAGCACGCCCGCTACGCCCTCGCCTACTCCTCTGGCTCCGCGGCCACCGCCAACATCCTCCAGAGCCTCGCCGCCGGCTCCCATGTCATCTCCGTCTCCGACGTCTACGGCGGCACCCACCGCTACTTCACCCAGGTCGCCAAGGCCCACGGTGTCAAGGTCACTTTCACCCCCGAAATTGAGGTCGACATTGCCGAGCACATCAACGACAACACCCGCCTCATCTGGATCGAGAGCCCCAGCAACCCGACTCTGCGCCTGGTCGACATCCGCCAGGTCGTCGACGTTGCCCACCGCCACGGTATTCTGGTTGTTGTCGACAACACCTTCCTGTCCCCGTACGTCCAGAACCCGCTGGATCTCGGCGCCGACATTGTCGTGCACTCCGTCACCAAGTACATCAATGGCCACAGTGATGTTGTCATGGGCGTCGCCGCCTTCAACTCGGATGATCTATACAAGCGCCTGAGCTTCCTACAAAACGCCATTGGCGCTGTCCCCTCGGCCTTTGACGCGTGGCTTGCCCACCGCGGTCTCAAGACGCTGCACCTGCGAGCCCGTGAGGCTACCCACAACGCGACCACCGTCGCCACCGCCCTCGAGGCCTCGCCCAACGTCGTCGCCGTCAACTACCCCGGTCTGGAGTCCCACCCGCACCGCGCCATTGCCAAAAAGCAGCACCGCAACGGTATGGGCGGCGGCATGCTCTCGTTCCGCATCAAGGGTGGCCACGCCGCCGCCGAGCGCTTCTGCTCTCTTACCAAGATCTTTACGCTAGCCGAGTCCCTCGGTGGTGTCGAGTCGCTGGTCGAGCTCCCCAGCAGCATGACCCACGCCGGCATCCCCAAGGAGCAGCGCGAGGCTGTAGGCGTCTTCGACGACCTCGTCCGCATCAGCTGCGGTGTTGAGGATGCCGAAGACCTCAAGAACGACGTCCTCCAAGCTCTCGAGGCTGCCGTGTCAGGCTCCAAGAACTAAGACAGCATAAATAAAAGAGAGAGTTACGTACATATGAACAACAAGCGAAATGGTCAACTTTGGAAAGAATATTATAGACATGTCTGCGTTTTTGTATCGGGTGGCTTCGGCCGGGAGATCTAGATGACGATCGTTCTATGGAGGCTACAACACGCCCCAGAGCTAACAATGAATTTTACTTTTTTTTCATAGGGATCACTACTCTAGTAGAATGTGCCCACGTCGGTTCGTCCTTTCGTACACCCATAGCCCGACAAGCAACGCAATGGCCGCCGCGCCGGCTCCTACCCGCATCTGCCACGCAGACACCAACGTGGTCGTCGTCTTGAGCAGGCTGTCCGCCGCCATGCCCGCCAGCGACAGGCAGAGAGCTTGCAGCTTCCGCGGCCACGCGGCCAGCAGCGCGTCGGCCAGCACCCAAACGACTTTCCAATACCGTTAGCGTTGTCGTGAAGAGGAGACGAGATGCATTTACGTACATGGCAGCAAGAGGACGCGCAGGTTGGCGAGCATGGTGATGAGCCATGCGTCTTCGCGGCCTGGCCAAACCGAGCCGACGCTGGAAAGGGCAATGATGGAGATGAGAAGCAGCGCTGTGGATAGTGGTCAGTCTCTTTTTAGCTTCTGTCGACGTGTGCGGGAGTGGCATTGTTGTAGGGGTTTCATACTGATGCTCTGCGGAAAGCGAGTCACGCACACGGTGCAAGCCATGATCACGACCGCGTAGACGCACAACAGCCCGAGCAGCGGCGCCGTGGCAGCGAACCCGCGGGGCAGATCCGTCGCAAGGTGCGCGAGCAGCGATACTGCGAACAAGACCGGCAGCACCACGTCATACTTCCTCCCAGGCCCACCGCCGTCCGCACCCGCCGCCATCTGCCTCCTAAGACGTGCTGAGAGCCACGGCACCTCGTCCGGCCGGCCGACCCACCGCCGTCCAAACGTCGCGACAGCGACCTGCAGCATGATGGCCACCACGTCGCGGAAGTACAGTGCGTAGGGGCGGAGCATCCGGTCGGGCAGCAGACGGGCAACGGCGCGTTGACTGAGTAGCGGGAGGGCGAGCGACAGCGCGGCAAAAGCTAGCACGCGCGCGGTGAGCTGCGCCGGGTCATGGGGTCGCCACCACCAGAGCCATACGAGGGCGGCCATAACGGGGTAGGCGGTGCCGTGCACGGCGCCGGAGACGAGGCCGCGGAGGACCTGGCCGGTGTTGCTGTCTCCAAGGAGGGCGAGGAAGCCGGGCAAGAAGGCTGCAATATTGCCGTGTTAGCGGTGGGGCGAGCTCTTGTTTTTCAGAGGGGGTGGACGGCGAACCGTGTAGGAGGACGAGTTGCGGCACCACTCGCAACAGAGACTGGTGCGTGATGAGAAGAAACGCGGGTGCCTGCGCCAGCAGGAAGGCGCCGCAGTATGCCATCGTGCGATGCCCCTCGCTATAACCATACTGTGCCCGAGAGTCCCAATACAGCGGCAGAAGCATATCCATTGCCATCTAGCAACCTAGTTAGCTTTGTCTCGTCAAACACGACAAGGGGAGAAGAATGAAGAGGGGTTTACAAGAGTCAAGAAGATAAAAAGGAGCTCCTGCTGCCATCGACCAACCGAGTCCCGCGCGGCAGTCACCGGCACCTCTTCGCCGGGCGGCCAGGCAGCCGCGGCGTGTAGACGCAGCCGGGCCCGGTCGACTCGGCGCATCTGGTCCACCATGGCATTGTCAACCCGCACAACCGTCTCCCGCACAAACGTATCATCACGGGCATCGTACGAGCACAGCAATAGACGCTGCTGGTGCGCGGCAGCGCCGACGGCAAACGCAGCAACCGGGGGCTTTTGCGCCCTGATATGCGTGACCATCATCATGTGCGTGTCGACGAGCGTAAACTCAAACATTTTGCGCTGGCACGTCGCACTGCCGCTGCCCGCATCGGCGTCGGCGTCGATGAGCGTCAGCAGGCCATTATCGCGCCCCCAGAGGTGCCGCTCCACGACACCCGCAGCGACTCGCCCCTCGACGCCGACCAGCTGCGCCTGGGCGTGCTTCTGCCGCCGCGTGTGGCCGCCGCCGCGCTGGTGGAAGAGATACAGCGCCGGCGCCAGGAGTGCGGGCGCGCCAAAGAGCACGCCCACCATTATGACGCCGGGCAGCACGCTGCCACCAAAGATGTCATGCCCGCCTTCGGACACGTTGGCCGCGAGGCACAGCACGGCCGCGGCGCCGAGACCGAGGCCGCCCGAGGCTATGAGCAGCGATATCAGCGTCTTGCTGGGGGCCGCCAGTTCCGCCTGCCGTGCAGTGTCGTCGTCAAACGCGTCCCAGCGCACGGCGGCACCGGGCACCCCGTCGAGCAGCAGCGTATCGCGCACGTCGGCCGCGATGCCGACAACGCGGCTGTTGGGATGCACGTCACGGACGCGCGCACCCCACGTATCCTTGACATTTTCATACCAGGCCGGGGCGACGTCATAGTGGTGCTGCGGCGGCGGCGGTAGCAGGCACACCATGCGGCTCAGAAAAGCGCCGGCGTCGCTGGCGAGCGACAGGCGTGCAAACGCTTCAAATCCCGAGTCACCCGGGTGCACGACGGGCCGCTGGCCGGTGGGCAGCAGGCCCATGAGAGCATATGCCACGTCGCCAGGGCTAAAGGAGTGCGTGCCGCGGCGCGCAAAGCACGCCAGCGCCGTCTCAAGTAGACGCATGCCAGAGAGGATGGCGGACCCCTCGTAGTGGTGGAGGAGCTCCTGGACGAGCGCAGCGTCGTCCCAGGCGCGCTCGGCAAAGTTGCGCTTGGCGAGCGCCGCCACGGGCCCGGAGCCGGAGCCGAGGGCGTACAGCTGCACGCGGTGCTCGCCGGGGCAGAGGAGCAGCTCGGGCAGCGTCCACAGCCGCGAGCCCCAGTGCCGGAGCCACTTGGTAGTGGCCTGTGGCTCGGCGCCGCTCGCCTGGCGGTCGGTCCGGAGGAGGGCGGCGACCTTGTCGGACGCGGGCGGGCTGATGGCGATAATCATGGAGTGCGCGGCGCGCACCACGTCGCAGATGCGGTACACGTCGTCGCTCTTGCTCGACGTCCGCGCCACGCCGTCCCGGTCGCGGACGCACTCAAAGTCGATCCAAAAGGCGCGCTTCCCCGCGCGCCGAGCGGCGTCGAGGCCCCAGCCGACAAGCGTGGCGCGGTCGTTGTGCGCGAGCTGGCGGTTCGCCTCTCGCGTGGCCTCGTCGGGGTAGCCCGCGTAGGCGTCAATTTCCTCGTCCGTGGCGACACGAAACTGCTCGCGCGTGTACGACACAAAGACGAACTCCATGTCGACGTCGTCGCCCTCTTGGTCCAGAAACTGCGATACGTTGATAGTCTCGTACTCGTCCAGGGCGGGATCACGGATATAACAGAGGTGCCGGGGGCGCGAGGCCGCGCCTTGGTCGCGCGCCTCGACCAGGATTGTGTGCACCGCGTCGTCGCCGCCACTGTCCGGAGGTTCTGTGGCCGGCATGTCCGTGTCCAGGTCAATGTCGTCTGTGTAGGCGCGTCTTTGCACGGGAGACGCTTGTGACGGCCTTGCGCCCGGTGCCCCGGCTTCAGAGGCTCCGAGATGCCGGACCGGCGGGTACCGAACATCCGGTCGCGCCAGCTGAGCACCGGGCGTCTGGAGGGCCGACTGAAAGGGCGGGCTCATAAACTCAAAGCCATAAAACTAGGCGCTGTCAGTACGTCCATCCTTGACAAGAACGGGCGGCAGATGAGGTTTACGAAAATGCAGGAGAGAGGCCACGACAGTACCAGTCGCAGCCCGGCTTGTCCAAGTGCCCGCGCGTCAGAAAGACGCAGCTGCGCGCTGCCGGGCTCCAGTGCCGGCGCGCCGATCCAGTAGCTCATCTTACCGAGGGTTGTCGTCGGCGACGGCGGCGTCGTGCCCAGGCGCTGCCACAGCCGCGTCGGCGGCAGCGACACCGCGTCTTGGAAGCTCTGCACGATGAGCGGCGCGAGCTTGCCATCTGAAGGTTGCACGTAGTGCAGCACTGATGAGGTCGGGTCACTCGGACGAGCCGCCTCGGCGCGGTCGTGGGCTGCTCGAGAGGAGACGGACTCGTCGTCTTCACGAGACGGCGGCATTTCTAGGGTGTTGTTTTCATTCCAGGCAGGTTTCTTGGGCTGATATTTTTGAGAATATAGAAGCGATTTGAAGAATCCAAGTTGAGCTGGCTCGTCTTTGACGCCACAGGGGGTGAGGCTATGTATGTAGTGCAAGTCAGCGCTAGTTACGGATAACTAGAGATGGTTAGCTCACGTCAGGCGTTTTCTCTTTCGGCCTCGGCGAACTGTCATGGAGGTTGTTCTGTTGAGTCAGTCTTCAAAGAATCATGCAAATGAAAATAGAGAGTTTTGGTTGAATGAAAATCATTCATGACCCAAACTTGTCACGGAAGATGGCAACTCGGTGTGCAGGTTACGTTGTTACTACTCCCGGACTAGCTACGGGCCTAGCTACGGGCCTTCCCGGTCCCTAAAATAGAAACGTGAGAATGAATGAGCCACTTTTACGGAAGAATAGTCGGTATATACATTACAACGTCAGTTCCTTCTTCGCATATTGTGGCGTACTGATGGTTTAGTATTATGTGCGGTTTTCCAAAGAGTACTTTATTATGCATGGTCCTCTCTTCTCTGGTGTCACCGATGTGATACTGTTATTCACCCGCCCCACGTCTGGGTCTGTGGCGAGTAGGTCTGGTGCGAGATTGGCACGAGACTCCATTACGTCCTATAGTTGCTCCTTGAGAATAGTGACTCCTTCTTGGAACCTATCCAGAATGTATTGCAGTTCGCGGCGCGATCCGGTAGCGCAGTTGCGGAACAGGCCGTCCAAGCTGTACCGATAGTCGGGCTGGCCCCCGACAGCTGCAAGTCGATGGGCGTAGTAGTCATGCTCAGACATGGGGATACGCGATCGCCGAACTGCGAGGTTGTGCATGAGGTGGCCGAGTTCCATGTCGTGCGGGCGCCAGTACATGGGCTCGCCCGAGGGGAGAGTCGGCTGGCCGAGGCCCATGACCACCTCGACGAAGCGCTGGGAGACAGACCGGCCGATGCCAGCGGGGTCGGCATAGTCAAAGTCTTCGCAAATGGGGTCCGCAAGGTCGGTGTAAAGCTTGTAGGTGAGGTGGGAGCAGCGGCAGACGCGCAACTTGGGCATCAGCGCGCGGAATCGCATCGCCATCCACAGACGGTGGCCAGGGTCCTCGTTCGGGTGACCGACCCAGAGATGCCTATCTGAGCGTGTGTTTTCTGTCGTGGATTGGCGCGTCATGAGCGAAACATTGCACAAGTGAAGCTCCTCCAACGACGGCCCCAAGGCGACAGCAATGCGAAGCAGATCCTCTGGTAATATCGAAATATGCTCGAGTTCAAGGTATGTAGGTTTCGGTGGTATCAGTTGGGGGCTAGGGCCAGGAATTCTCATCTCTAGCCATCTTACGTGATCCATGTCTGCAAGCGTCGTCACTTCCAAGACACCATACAGGTTTAGGCTGCCAAAATTCACGTCTATTAAACAGAGTGATTGGAGATTGCGGGCAGTGAAAATCATGTTCCACAAGGCGACGCCAAACATGATGGTAGAGAAGGAGCCAGAGTAAACACGACGGATAGTGAGCACGAGCGTCTCGACTGGCGGCAGCAAAGCCTGCATGTTCATGACATCAGAGGGATTCATCCAAAGCTCACACAAGGTGTCTTCGGGAACGCACTCAATCGCGAGCGTCTTGAGAGGGACCGAGTCCTCGTCGGGTCGCTGCCCGAGGGCCTTGAGCGCATTGGCGAGAACCCGCGTGGCGGCACTGCATTGCACACCAATGACTGGGAACGGGAGGCAAATGCGCACGCGGTCGACATCGCGGCAGTAGAAGAGAATCTCGGCGGTGGAGCGGTAAAAGTCCGTCTCTGTAAATGACGTCTCGCTAAATGAATATCGAGACCGCAGAGCACGGCAGAAGCTCTTCATCTGGGGTATCTCTTGCAGCATGTGAGTCAACGTCTCAACTTCGTCTGTCGGCCACTGTCAGTTTAACTGGGAGAGAGTGAGAGGGGCTTTCATGGGCAGCCATACAGTCGTCTCGCAAGGGGGTCATGTCGATGTACAGGGCTTTGCACCGATGTCCTATTGTCTGCAGGCCTTCGGTGCGAGGCTTGGCAGCATTGGACTGCTTATTCAGTCGCGTCGATTCCAGGCTGAGGGTGCGGCAGCCAAGGGGCCGCAGGACGTGGTTGAAGGCGCGGCAAACAAGCCGCTTCGCCAAGACGTCATTTCTGGTAGCAGTGTATGCAAAGTCTAGCAGGATCTCTTCAAACAGCTCCGGCGGGAGACGGTCCATGATCGGGCGTCTTCTTGTACTGCGTTCCACGTGCCCTGCGCCAGTGCCGATTTGGCCAATGACGGAACCAGGGGATGGCGTGTGGTTGATGATTTGTTGACGTCGACACTCAGGGATCGAGGCCCAACAAAGGCGGTTGGCGCTAAAGCTGGCTGGGGGTGGAGAGCTGGCGGATGTCACCTTCGAAAAGCGCGGGCAACACTTTGTTGAACAAGCTCGATTCCCTTGGCAGCTGGACTTGCGAAACGTCTCGCGCGGATTCAACGAGGAATACGGATACAGTCGCCGATTCGACCACGACAAGCGACGTTTGTCGTCTCACGTGACGGCGTTCTACTGCCCTTGGCCATGTCACTGCGCGAAGGTGTTGTTTGGCTGGGAGAGCAACACGCAATGTGAAGCTTTAAAAGCCGACATTTCTCTAGAACCAAACAACAAGATGATTTTCGTGCATCTAGCGATGGCTATGTGACGGACATCGGTTGCAACGTGCGGTGTCCAGTCACGTCCAAGTTTGCATCGTGACACGGCACTAGACGCAGAATGGGATCACAGCGACAGAGCGGGCTCGGAACAGTCGCCATTATTTAGCCTTTGGTGCGCCCCTTTACCCTCGCCTAGTTGTGTAGCACCGAAGTTGTTGCCGCTGGCTGTCACTTATTTCGGATGTCGTGTAGCATCGGAGAGGTAATGCCAGCTGCTTGTGCAGGGTGGCACAACGAGATGGCTTTATTGGTACGACCGGACATGGCCATGGTTGCGGGGAAAGAGAAGGCGCGCCAAGTAGCCAAATGGGAGGTGCGTATCCGTATGCGCAGATTCATTCAATACACATGTGTTGTCTTGATTCTGCGTTGCAGGACGCCCTTGGTAGCGCTCTTGCAAGGACACGATAGTTGCGCAGAGGTGGCGGGACAATTTAATACTGCGTAAAGTATCCGTACGTACCTAGGGTCAACCGAGCGCCGAGTTAGGCAGGTAGCAGACGTGGAGGGTCGAGGTGGGCGTTTTTGGGAGGTCGAGCTGCATCATGTTTATTTTTACAAATTACAATTGATTAGCTCTTCAACTTGCGACAGTTGGTGACGCTTGGTTCGTCCCCTGCTTGATTGCCAAGCTGCGTCGTCGCAATCTGGCAACTTGGTGGCTGGAGGGGTGTGGAGGGTGGCTGGGTGGTGGCTGGGTGGTTTGCGCCACAGTGTAATCATCATCACAGGCCGGCCAACAGGAGGGGAACAAGGGAAAAAAAAAGACAAGAGCAGCTGCGCATGGGTTCCGTCTGAATCGCATCGGCGGCTGCTGTGGGGTCAATTGAAATGCATGAGACCAATGTTGTCAGTGGACAATGCACTTGGCACAACATGTCCACCTGTGAAATCATGTAACCAGTGCGACGCATTCCAGTGGGACGGGTGTGTTGCAGTCCTGGGGTATGACACCGTTATGCGACACGGAGGTGAGGGCGTGGTGAGGAGATGTGGAAGATGGGAGGAAGGAAAAGAAGGGAAGGACGGTGGGGACGTGAAGAGTATTTCACAATGGATACCAAGTAACGACCTGTATGTAGTTAGTTATTAGTTAGTTAGTTATTAAAGAGACGGGAAAGCTGATGGCGGATGAGAGTTTTCCACTTCATGGCGTGTCCCCAGTGGGAGGCCCCAATGCCGGGTGTCCACTGGGGCGAATGTTCCGGTCAAGCCCACAAAGAATACGAGAGCCCTGTACAGAGTACAATTACCTTCTTGGGCAAGTTGACTACAGCGGCGAGGTGCCTGCACGGCTGCCACGGCTGATGAGAGGCGCCAAGACGGTTGAACGGCTGCAACAGGCACTGTAGTCTGCCGGCCGAACACCTTCAGCGGAACAGGCCAGCGCTATCGGGAGCCTGTAGTGGGCCGACGAGCTGTGGGCTAGCGAACATTTTGAATCGGCCAAATTCTGCAGTGTCGCGTAAACAAATAGGGCTGTCTTTCATTCACTTCTAAATTGCATGCGTCATATGTCCCCCTCCCAAGTCATTCAATATTCGATATGTTACCCAGTGATATTACCAGTACTAAGAAAAACAGCCAAGGTAGAGCACGGAGACCCCCGTTGCCCTGCAAAAAAGGCCTGTAGACTCGACTAGCGCCGTCTTGGCAGCCCCCAACCACTGCTGATTGTTCAAGCCCAAACCTGATAACGCACCCAGCAACAGCCAGCATCCGCCAGCATCAGGCCGTGACGCATTCTTTTTCTGTCCAGGAGGGCATCTGGTACCTGCCGCGCCCATCCCTGCCTCTCATCCTGCCTCTCATCCTGCCCGCCCAACCATTCGCCCTTTGCTCTCTCAACCAGCCACTGGGGACCAATTGACGCTAAAATTGAAGCTTCTCAATCACGAACGAATCCATAGTTGAAAATGGTTCCTTTAGTGTAGTAATTGGTAATCGCCGCTGTGAAAAATCGACACTAAAGAGGGCCGGTTTGCACAAAGGTCCCATCGCCACCAAAAAACTTACAGTGCAAAGTTTAGGAACATTGGCCCCTGCTCCTCCTGTAGCCCCAGCGACTAGCGCCCATTTCAAGACTCCTCACGGCTTCCCCAGTTTTTATTTCTTACCCGTTCGGCCAGCTCTTGCCGTCCACCCACGAGCTTGCCCGCCGCTGCCCAGCCCAGCCCAGGCCTGTTTTTTTTTTAAACTGCGAAAAGCCCTCTCGTCATTTGTCTCTGCCTCGGATCTTCTTTTCTCTTCTTCTTCTGCTTCTCCTTCCTCCCCCAGCCCGCCTCTGCTCCAGCATCCGCCAGTCTGCTTGTCAGTTCGTCTCAATAACTCTTTTAATTTTATATCCATACCCAAGGTAATTAATCACCTCCCCATTCGCCACTCCCGAATCACCGCTTCGGACTCTCGCTGTTTGCGCGTGGCATCCGCTTGACTTCTGATCATCGCCTGTTGCTAACCTGGTTGTTCTTCTTCTCGCCATAGCTCAATCACACCCCTCCACACAGTCACAATGTTCGTCAAGACTCTCATCTTCGCTCTCGCTGCCGCTGGCGCTGCGACCGCCCAGGTCCAGAACTACACCAGCTCGCTCGACATGAAAATCGACCCTAACCAGGTCACTGCTCAGGAGCGAGGTAAGCTCGCCCTCTCTACGCCCATAGTAAACAATCACCCCGTACTAACCAGATTGCTCGTCTAGCTCAGTGGTGCAGCGCCGAGACCAATAGCTGCTCTCAGCTCTGCAACAACAACGACAGCACGAATACATGCTCTCCCGTAAGTTGCCACGCGGCTTGTCGCTTTCGCTTCCTACTGGCGAAATAGTCGTGCTAACTTGCTTCGCCAGACCACGCTCGACTACTCTTGCATCTGTAGCTCCAATAACAGCGCTCCAGGTCTCGAGTTCTACGCTCAGACTATGCCCACTTCCATCTGCCTGAAGCTCTTCGACCTCTGCAACTCTCAGAACGTCGGCAACGCTAGAAACCAGGAGGCTTGCAAGACCAACATCATGTCGCACTGCGGTACCCAGGACCCTACTAAGGCCACTACGGGCAGCTCCAGCAGCGCTTCCGGCTCTTCCACCTCTGCCTCTCCCCAGGCTACTAGCCAGACTGGTGGTAGCGGTACCGCCTCGTCGACTAGCAGCAGCCACGGCCTGGCCGCTCCCACCATGGCCGCTGGTCAGGGTATCGCCGCTGCCGCCGCCGCCGTGGGCGTTTTTGCTTACTTCATCTAAGCTTCGCCATCTCAAGCCAGGCCCGAGCAGCCTGGCTTGATCTAGGGGCCCCGAAGTCAGCCCCGTCACCTTTTCACTTCTCTGTACCGATTTTTATGACCAGTACGCCTTTTGGCTTTGACGATTGATTTCTCCGACGACGCAACACTTTGACGAATGCGAAAATGACGGAATGGGGGGATGGCTTGAGTTGATCTGGTTGATGAGCTTGGCGCGGCTACTATCATCGTGCCTCGTATTACCATCGTGCACCAGTTCCTCAGCCCTCCACTTGAGGCAGGGATACGCAGTAGTATAGTGCGATAAGGACGGCTATGAGGTCGGAAAGTTGAATCTTGTTGTTTTGTTTTTGCGGGCGTGTTTTTCTCTTTTTCATCCATGATTCCATAGCAGAGGCGAAGGGAGTAAGCAGACACTCTTAATTAATTTAGAATTTACCACACTATTCATTCAGACTTGTATACAAGCTATTCTTGGGACGTTTAGATTCCTGCCTATTTTGGGCATCTGCTGGAGAGGATGATCGAAGCTGTTGTGGAGGTGACTGTCGATCCTTGCGCTAGCATCACGAACGACTTCCAGGATGGGAAGTGTGTTGTGGCTGAAGCGGAGTGCAGAAGCCTCTTCAACGGACGTGCTGTGCACACTCAACTCACCCACCGCAACATCCACACACCCACGATTCAGCTGAGAAGAGGCGCCACCGTCGGGCAGCCAAAAGCCAGCCGCCGTCTGTGCAGAGACGAAATCCAAATCGATCGCAGCCCGGATCCTTGTCCTTCGATAAAAGGTTTCCCCCCCCTCCGGGTTCCTTGTTTGCCTTGCTCCCGTCCTACCGTGCCACACAGCCCGTCGCCCAACTCCCGATGGGTTGGTTACTTCTCGCTTGGGCGCGTGGAGACAGGCTGCGTTTTTTTGGTTCATGGGCAGCGATGAAGCCAGAAACGAACGGGGGGCTCTTTCTTAACTTTTGAGTAAGACATTATACTAGACTGTTTGTATAGACTGCTTGTATTGAAATCCGTATGCGACATTGTGGAGATCCCCCCCCCATCTCCCAACGAGCAGACATAGCTCCTTCGTCGGCCCTCTCAATCGCTCTCATCGCCGTCCATAGCCTCATCCGCGTCTTCCTGCTCCACATCCGCCATCTCTTCCAGCGTATCCTGCGTCTCATCACCACTGTCCTGCCTGTGCTCCTCTTCCTCCTCGTCCTCTTGCTCCTCCTCGTCCTCTTCCTCATCATCCATCTCCTCCGCCGCATCCTCTTCCTCCGGGTCCTCGGCATCCGTCTCCTCGGCATCCGCCGGCGACGCCTCTACGCGCGCCTTTTTTGACCGTGGGGCATCGTCGCCATCACTCAGCGCCGACGTAGTCGTCTTGTCGCCGACGCCTCTGTCCTCGCTACCGCCGACGCCGGCACCGCCCCCCATTTCGACGTCGTCGCCGGGCGTCTTGACGGCCGCCTTGACCTTTTGGCGATATGTGTTGCGCTTGTCCGTCTGGATGGCGTTGAACTCTAGACAAGCAAGGGCAAGTCAGCCAAAACAGAAAAATAAAAGAAAAAGGCCCTCTTGTAGAGGTATGTGTTCCTCCCTGGTATATCTGTGCGTCATGACAAGCAAGGTAGGTAGGCATAGGAAAGGTGTCGTAGACGTACTCGCAAACTCGGCCTGGAGGGGCTCCTTGAGAAAGTCAAACTCGATAATTTCGAGCGCTTTGAACACGTCCGCCGGCATAATCGTCTTTTTATTTGCATTGAGCGTGATTTCGTTTGCACTGTGAAAAAAAAATATCCGCCTCAATTAGTCTCTTCTCCCATCGCCCACGATGAGGGTTGTTCCACTGCCAATGTATGAAAAATGCTTACTGCGCAGCGAGATAGCTGATAAATACCGTCGCGCTCTTGCTCATGGCCATGATGGCGTTGGCCTGTATCTGCGTGTTGGCCGGCAGCACGCCCTTAGCCAGCCGCGTAATGATGGACTTGGGCAGCGTCAGGTCCTCAATCGTCATCTTATCCAGATCCACCGCTGCCGCTGCCGCCTCTTTGCCCCGTTTCGTCCCCTCGGTTGTGCTATTCTCTTCGCCCTCTTCTGCCCGCGGAGGAGGACTCGTCGACGGGACGGAGGAGTCGGCCCGCGCAGTTGGCGAGGAAGCGTCCGCGACCGCGGGCGAGACGTCGCTCCTGCGCGCGTCGGATTTGCGAGACGGCATTATTATGTTTATATGTGTGTTGTATGCGTGCAAATCCGGTAGTGTGGCTTGTTGCTTCGTTGGCTTCGCGGGGGCGAGAGAGGGGAGGAGCCTTGGGAGCTGCCCAATGTCGAACCGTGTCGTTGGGAGAGTTGGCGGGGAAAGGGTCGTCGTCACTTTCACCAGCGAGGGTGTGCGCGCGTTCGTCGTCGAGCTGGGCAGAGAGTCGCTTCCGGTCCTGAAGAATCAAATCATAAAAACGTAAGCAATAGCAACGGTCGCTGAGGCGCGTGAAGTCAATCGCCAGCAATGGTCTAGAAAGGGACGGATGGATGTTGGTCGCTTCCAAGGGCGTTTCTAAAGGCTTGGTTGGGGACGCGTTTTTGTCAGTGGACCCCACATTTTTAAACCGTCCCCTTGACCACGCGTTAAGTGGTCAAGTCAAGGCCATGAAGCATGATTATGATCGCATTATAAAGTAAGAAAAGGATGGAATTAGAACAGGAGTAAAATCAAATCCGCGAATAAAAAGGCACAACGGTTTATGCTAGCAGCCGGTCAACCATAAAAAACAAAACCCGGGGTGCATTACACCCGTGTTCCACGACAGCCTCACGGTTGTCAAACATATTACGTGCATAAGGACACGACGTCATGAATCGATCGTCACAGCTGCCCCAAATTCGGAGCAACCCATCATATGCTGCATGTCAATTGGAGAGTTGAATCGGTTTCATTGAGCTGTTCCTCCAGCCAGCTGTCAGTCTTGCTGACGTTCATGTTCTTTGTACGTATTGTTCGAGATACATCATGCTGAGCCCTGCTCAAGCATGGAGCGGCAGGATGTGGCCGCCACACTCGTGGTCTATGCACAAGACTATCCTTGGTACTTTCCAAACCAAAAATCATCCAGGGTATATCCAGCCATACGTACATCATAGCAATATACAACATGTAGAAAAGAGAAGAAACGAATTCTCTGAGCAAAGAATGAACAAGGCATAAGAGCCTTGATGGATGCCGGTAAGTGTTTATGCCATGATTGGCTTCCCCTCGAGGGTGCCGTTGTGGATGTATAAATAAATTTATTCTCCACTTCAGGGGCACAATGTCCGAGCGATAATATATCTGCGTCAGAGCCTTGCTTCGGAGGAAAAAGCCCTTGTCATTGGAGCCGGCAATGGTCACATAATAAGACTGGCAGTGGCATCTTGACAGCTGCGGGGGTTGGTTCCACTGCCCAAAAATTGCAGGGTTCGGCGGCTAGAAGCATTCCAGACGAAGAAGCTGGCTGGCAATTGGCCAGTCTAGGTGGTTGATATGGCAAAAAATGAGCGGTTCAAAGGCCAACCAGATATTCCTTGTGATATCCTGACTTGCCGTTCAGCCAATGGCGCGACCAATCTCAGACTTGTGGATTGGCGGTCGTGGTGACAATCCACCCAGCAACATTTCATCGTCAAATGATGCCCTGGGCGGCTTGGCAGGGGTCGAATAAGCGGTGCTATTGTTTGAGGCCTGGTGCATCGATCGGCTTCGGTGGCGAGTGAAGGTCTCTGTAGAGTGGCGTGGCGGCGTGCCTTCCTGCTCGGCGCCGTACCAGTAGTCATGCGAGGGCCGGCGAGATAGCGACCGTGTGCTCCATGCCCGGTGGTGGCGGCTTGCGGTAGACACCGGCGGGAGCTTGCCGACACGTGTTTGTCGCTTGGGCTGGAGAATAAAGGCGTCGTCCCCTCGAATAGCATCGTCGGTCAGGCCAGGCCGGGCATTGGGGGCGCGGGCCATCACTGGCGTCGTGGGAGCATCGGGACTGATGCGGTAGGCCGGCGAGTTGGGGCTCGATTGCTGGTCTTCGGAAATTCGAGACGGCGCGGCATTGGGATATACAATGATGCTCGCGGCTTTGTTTGAGGAAGCCGAGAGGCCGCGGTGATGTGATGGTCCTTGCTCAAGAACCTCGGACTGTTCATCGTCTTTGTCGACTTTCCACGACTGAATCTCCTCCTCGCCGATTGGAGTGATGCCTCTGCGAAAAAGACGTGCTCTGCGTCTTTGCACCTGGTAGAATAGAACGGCACACAGTAGGAGGGCCGCGACGCCGGGAATCACCGAGGCCAGGATGATGGTGAGGTTCTTGTCGGCGATGTGAATCTCTCCCATAATGAATGACGTTGCAACTTTGAAGGATGACGTGAATTGACCAAACTTGCAGTGGAAAAAATAGATGAACGACTAGGGGTCCATGTACAGCGTTTGGTGATATGGCCCGTTGTGAGGTGAATGGTGTTCAAGTCCACCTCCAGAGTTGACGTGAAGAGAAACGACAGCAAGAAAGCGAGTGACAGTTATGATGTTCGCCTTCACCGAGGTGTGGCGGTGATGAAGTTTGAGCGTTGCTTGATTTGAAAAAGGGCCTGCATCAGAGGTGAGACTGCGTCGTCAGGACATCTATAAGCAATGGCGGTCAGCAGACTGGTAATACTAAGCGAGCCGTTTTCAAGTACCAAGTAGCGGCAACCAAGATAAGTGAGGCAAGACGGTCTCACTTCTATACATGGAAAGGAACCAGGGCTTACAAGACGTTGCGGGACAATGGGCAGTGAGGAGTGAGGCTAGACTTGCCCTGGCCAGCCAAAAGAGACAACCAGAATGAGCTTCCCGGAGAGGAGAGGATGGCGTAGTTCTATATAGAAGATGGGGGTAGAGGCGGCGAGGGACGAGGGGCAATGAGCGGACGGGGCGGCCCATCGTGGACACCATCTCAACCACTGCCAGCGGGGACGGCAGTGGGCTAGTCTAGACAAGTGAGAGGTACATGTCAGTACGTAACTACCATGCACCGACGACTGATAGAAGCAATCCCCCAGCAAGCCGATCCTGCACACCTTGTTGCGGCCGGCGACTGGCCAAGCCAAAAAGGTTCGGTACTGTAGCGTGGCAGGGGGTCGGGTGGTGGGGAAGCAAAGCTGCAGGTGGCCTGTCGTAACGGTGCAAGCGTGACGCACAGGCAACAAAAAAGTAATATAGGCTGCAGGCGATTTGGCTTGGTTGAAGAGAACTTGACCTATTTTGATGAGGATCAGGGGTGACCGGCGGTTTGGCTTGTCGTGGTGGTGTGGAGAAGAGTAGCGGGCGCGGGAACTGCTTCAGGGCCAGAAGTCAATCAGCCAAGCCTAGCACGTTTCGAGGCATCGCAACTCTGTAGTATTTCTGGCTGCAGCACTTTAACTAGTTAGTTATAACTTATCCGTATACCGCACTGGAACGCACTGGTACTGGTGCGAGTTAGCTGGGTCCGCTGGGTGCCGGTGGGGGATTCAACTAGTTAATAGTTAATAGTTGTTGCAGTCCAGTCTTCATCAGAGCTGGTTGTGATGCGAGTTGTCAAGTATGAGATGTGACTATAGAAGTATTGTCCACTCCGTGTTACAGCACTCTACCGCAGGTAGAATTTCGTCTCTTGCCGCACGCCAACCGTCACCGCCGGTGTTGTTGGGCAGTGGCGGGCGTGCTTCGATAAACTCCGAGCCTGTTTGTAAAGAGCTGGCTGGGGAGATGGTTTGTGGTCACCAAGGTGCGCAGTCTCTTGTCATGAGACAGGCCACCACGCGACTAGCGAGCAATTGGTGCAGCCGGGCCTGGAGTGACACGGCACTAGGCCGCGATACTAGAGGGCCAAGTCAGGAACGACAGACGGACTCCGCTCAACATGATATGATATCCGTGGTGGTGGAGATGTGTGTTTGGTAACTCAAAAGCTCGGTAGCAGGTGACGGCAGGCGGAATACAACCGTACAGGCGGATTTATGGCTGTGATTCTTGTCTCGCCTTTTTTCGGTTATTAATAGCTATCATAAGCGCCCAGAGAATGTTTCGTAGCTGCGGAGTACATATACACAGTCCTTGACGACTCCACACGCGGCGCTGCTGGACGGGGCGTGATGCAACGGCTGAAGGTCTCCCTTGCAGGAATCGACCGGGTGTTGGAGAGGCTAACTAATTTGTAGTGGTTAGTACAGCGGCTTGTTCTGGATACCTAGGTAATAATAGTCACCTTTGGTACAGTGTACATTGGAGTGTGTCCGCCTCTGTCGTGTCACTGTTCCCGGTCTGGGAATATCAGTAAAGCGTCCAGTAACGTCGGTCAATAAATATGTCAAGATTGATTGCCGGTACTCCGTCCGAGCCGGGCCGTGATTCTGCCAGCCGAAAGCTGGCTAATAACTATGGTGCCATGCACACAGCTGGTCCAATGTCTGAGACTGGTCGGAGGGAGCCCGGAAAGCGGAAAAGCGGTGGATCATGGATCGAGACCGGGTTTCCATTTTGACCAAGCCGAGTGGAAAATTGGCGAGGGGAAAAAGAGGCACAGCAGCATCAAAAGAAACGTCCGGCGCACGGCGATGGAGATGTAGCGTACACGCCACGCGGCGGAGCGCGATTCGGATATAATTGATGGCTGTCGTTTGCCTCTGGTAGACTGACAAGCAGCTGCCTCATCAGTAAAAATTTGCCCGTATAAGCATGAGCACAGTGTGCCAGCCAGTGTAGCAAAAAGCAAGTTTGATGAGCGCAAAGCTGGCATCCTGGCACGGCTGATATCGTACTGGATAGTGATAGTAGTGCGAGGCGTCGTCTGATCTAGCGTGGAATACTATCTAGGCGAGGAGGAGAGGCTGGAAATAGTGCAAACACAGTGACGAGGCACAGTAGACGATCGAGGGCGTACGGTGCGGCCGTTTGCTGTGACAAGTTGCGACGGGGGCTAACATGGAAGTGGGAAGCTGCGCCGCCTGGGGTGTCTTTGCTTCGACTCGATGGTACCTCGCAGCAAACTAAGCACACGTGTCTAGTAGGTTTTCTCTGGATTGTATCGAGATGTTTTACCTAGTTACTCTAACTAGTAGTAGATCTTGTTCAAAATTTACTGCGGGATGTTGTCTTGTGCCAGAGCCCTGACAAGAGGAGGAGTCTGTCTCTGCAGGCTTCTGCATGTACCTTGAGTGGCTGCAGCATCAGCTACGCCACTGGCCACTGGCCACTGTAGGTACTACCTACCTACCTACCTACATAGGTAGCCGCTGCCTGCCTCGGCATCCGCTGTGCTGCCCTTTTTTATCATCTCTGCCATCTCTGCCCGCCCTCACTCCTCCAAACTAACTCGAGTACGGAGTACCATCGCCAATGTCTCGTTTCTTTTTGCCCGCTTTGACTCCCCAGCACTGCTGTGTCCAGCCAACTGCTACCATGACTGCTTTTCTTCTTCCTTTTCTCCTTTCTTTTTCCTTCACCTTGCCTGGCTCTTTCAAGACATCGTCGTGCCACCCTTCGCCTCTTAGACATTGAACTGTAACGAGCCTTATTCATTTCGCCAACTATCTGGTCGTCGTTTCAATTTCTCATTCCCTGCGCTCAATGTATCCATAGCCGATGGCGTACGCTAGCCATAACATGGCGTTCAAAAGCCTGGCCTTGGCCATCACTGTCCATTCCCACCCAAACTGGAGTGGCTGCGTTACGCCGACCCAGCCACAGAAGATGAGTAAAAGAATGCTACTGCCTTTGAGTAGATTCCTTTTGCTACTACTTTGGTGACAGACCCCAGTCGCCGCCACTATGCATGTAGGTAGAAACGCCAGGTATGTACCTCGATTGTACTCATACTGTCTTCTACATGTTGAAGCCAAAGGATCGCCAGCCGGCATTGAGCAAAAGAAAGCATCTAAACGGAAACGAAACTTGCACAGGACTATCGACACATTTCGCATATCGCAGGTTCGCCTGCAGGTTCGCATGCAGGTTCCTCGTATTAGTTACAGAAGATTCGGAATGGAACCAATGCAACACCGATCAAAAACATGACTACTCTCTCCCTTTACTAACTAGATGATTGCGTCGCTCGAAGAAACGATGAACGAATCAGCACACATTTATTACTTACTGACCATTCTCACAAGTTGCGAACGGGCCGTATCACTGAACCAGCTCTTATCGACCCGTCCACCTCTGAGTGGAAAATCTCCATTCGCACCTCATGAGCAAATGCTCAAATGGCCAAGTCCTTGGCTCTGCCAGCAAGTTGCAGGCTGCAAGCTGCAAGCTGCAAGTTGCAACACACAACTCGTCGTCTGCTCCACACCACCCATGCCACGATTCAACCGAGCGCCGCCGCCAACGCCTCAACTGCACACCAACAGTACAAACGGGATGCAGCAAGCGCCACGGCTACCCCTGGTTGATTTGATCATGTGCAGCATAACCGACTCCGTCGTGTTGTGGGTCAGCTGTAGACATTGTTTGCCCAAATTGAAAACGTGGTTGCGTAGAAGCAATAGACAAATGCCAATGCTTGGGGCTTTACGAACCCTCATTATCTCATTATCCGCGTGTGGGGATATATGTGCACCTGGGACTCTTCTGTGCCATTTGCTCGACAACTTCACCGCAACTTCCCTTTTCCATGATCCCAACCGCTGGCAGTGCGGATCAGCCCACAAGTCATGCAGGGCCAGGGCGGGATCGCGCAAGGCCGGACTTTATTCTCGCAGCCTGCCAAATAGAGACAGAAGCCCATTGCCGAAATACGCCTCCTCGGAGCTCCAACAGGGCATCGACTTGCAGGGTTCGCAGCGTATTCGTCGTGACGTACACACGTCATCTTGCTAGTGATTTCATCTCAGCCTCGTGCGATGCTACTTCATACATATCCGTACCAGTAATCAAAACGACACAGCCCGCCACCCCAGTCCTCAGCTTTTGAAACACACCAAGTCGGACATGCGGGGAAGCTACGGCAATCAAACCAAATGTGACCTGCATATACACACAACTGCATGACCATCACCAATGCATTCCAATTTGCACGTCAATCCTAGTGTTTCAGTCGACCAACCCCCCCAAAAATATCAAGCCGGCAAAGACAAGCACCTACGTTGGTCGCTGACTGAGTGCTGGCACGACACCCTCAGATCAGACACCCAATTGTTGGCGCCATCAGCAAGCAGATATTTCCGACGCCACGGATGGATACGCACTGTCAGGCCGCCCAAACAGGCGGCGTACCTGACCGTGCGCGGGACTCCCTCCCTTAAAAGTAAAAAAGAACGCATGAACTTGATTCTACAAAGCCGAGTAACGTAGCAAGAACTAGTATTCTTAGTCTTGGCGTACGCTGGGTGTGGAAGGTAAGCTGAGCCGGGGCGTCCCAAGAAAAGTGCCTCCTCGGGCTGGGATTGGCCAGACGGACAAACCGGACTAGCATCTCAGGCTTCTTTCATGCAGGCGTGCGACACTGCAGCAAGGGGAAGGAGGGGAAAACAATAAAAACCTAAATTCTGGTCCGGGCGACTGCGACGATTTGATTCGGTTCTGCAGCACTCTCTCTCTCTCTCGATCTTTCTGTCTGTGGTTGGCGTAGCATTAGTGGTGATAATACCAAGTTGGACGAACTGTGATCCCAGCGTCGGAGAAGCAAGTTTCGACGCCATGTTGTAAAGAAACCAGATTTTAAAGGGTATACTCTTTTGCTCACGCGCAGCTTCGGTCAAGGCCCAGTGGCTAGCAAAGTCATTGGTATGAAGAAAGCGAGTTACAGATCGGGGTTGTTACTGATGGGCGAGAGAGGTGTGTGTTGTTTGTTGTTGCCTGCACAGCTGAGCTGAGCTTCCGAGTCGGGCATTGTCAACAACCGAGAGAAGAAGTTGGTTGGGCCGGGCCGAGCTGAAAAAAAGGGCGGGGGAGGGGGTTTCAGAGAGGCCGGAGAAATTCAAGGTCATTGGTTCCGACTACTTTTTTGCTCAGCATAACTACTACATCAGGCGAGACAATTGGCTTGATGCTATTCGCCATAGCGCGCCGCACGACTCAAGGGGATTGGCGGGGGGTTGTGGATTGGTTTGCATAGCAGTACATTGAGGAACATGTACTTTAGATGTCGCCGACGGAAAGGAAACAGAGTTGGGAGATAGTTTGTGCGTTAAAGGGACGAGTTGGTTCGTGCCAAGTCCATGTCGCGTAGTTAGTTCTACTGACACGATATCACAAGCCCAGTCAAGCAAGGGTCAAAATGCAAGCAAGGAGACCAGAAATGAAAAATGAGAGACGAGAAAGTGTGTGAGGAATTTTCAATTTCAATATTGTCAACACAAACCAAGACAGGAAACCGTATTTTTTTCATATGGTATACCCCCAGCACGGGGTTGTACAGTAAATAGACGACAACAGTAGACAGGACAATGAGAGAAAAATCACTTCAAGCGGATAAAAACCCATGCCAAGAAGAATGAGAACCCAAGCCCAGAACCCGAATGCATTCAAAAACCCGAGCAATACTAACGACGAAAAAAAAAAATTGTTTGCCCAACACAACAACCAAAAGTGGGAAGAAAAAAAAACCCCCTGTCAAGAATCGGTCGGAAAAGGTAGCTAGATGCATCAAACGCAAGTACCCGATTCCAGTCCAACAGATTTCAGTTCCAAGGAGCAGAAGAAGTGAAATGAACCAAACAAGACATAAAGATCAATCAAGCGGAACAATTGTACAACAAGTTGAATCAGCCCGGATTGATCCCAGATAAGGAAGAAAAAATGTCAACCCACTAGAGAGACGATACTTCCATCATCATTTGCCCCAAATTCCAAGCAAAACCCGAAAATAAAAAATCAAGGCCCAGGATAACAAATACTGACGTATACCTCTCGTGGGGAAAGCAGTATCCCGTTTTTCTCATTAAGAGATAATCGTCCCAAAAATAAAGATGATAAAAGGTGTTTGCACATGAGCATCATTCTCATTCCGAGGCATATCCGTCCGGCGAAACAGAAAGAGTAAACGGCGTTGTATAGCCGCATATTCATATTCCAGTCTTCCCACCCCGTGTTCCCTCCTTTTTCTTTCCCTCTCTTTTGCCGAGACGCCTCTATTCCATCCGCGTTTGGAAGCCCAGAATCCGACGAACACAAAAGAAAATGGATAATGGGCGCGTTCCGATACAGCGCAGCACAGACGACAGTGTGTCGAGTAAAAACGGACAAAACCGGCAAAATGGAACGTGAATTCGGGTATCCAAGAACAATAGCAGCAACTCCGGAAAAACAACAAAACAGAGAGCATCAATGCCCTTGCTCCTTTCATGCCAACTGAAAGGGCGACACCAGGGGTATTAGAAGAGTGGTGAGGTTTGAAACAAGGAAAGGAGAAATGGAGGGAGAGCACTGAACGTGACACGCGGCCCGGCCGCATCGACTGGGCAATCGTTCTTACGAACAAAACAGCCGGCATAGCGCGATTATTGCGGTTGCTGAGATGGGTTCCACCAGTGTTGCTGTTGTTGCTGCTGCTGCTGCTGCTGCTGGGCTTGTGAGTGCTGTCCTTGCCACGCCTGCCCGACGCCCGGCTGAGCCGCAGCAGGCTGCTGCATATACTGCCTGGGCGTCTGATCCGTAGGGTACATGCTTGGCTGGGCACCATACTGCGGCATGGCTGCTCCCATGGGGGGGAATTGCATATTTTGCATCTGGCCACTTCCGGGCTGACGCATAGAGGCCGGTGACTGCGTGGGATGTGGCTGCTGGCCCTGGGTGGTGTAGCTTCCGTATGCGCCTTGGGCCGCTTGTGGGTTTTGTGACCACATTTGTCCGGACTGATAGTTGTAGCCGGGCTGTCCGGCGTTGATGCTGCCTGTGGATCCTGGAGCTGTTAGTTTGGTGATCGTGAGGGGGGCTGTACTGAACACGTACCTTGCCTCATACCCTGTCCCATCTGGGCGCTGATACCCTGTGAGTAGGGGGCATTGGTCATCATCATCTGGGGAGATCGAGAAGGGACTCCACCAGGCTGGGGCAGACCTGCAGCGGCAGCATGGGGAGAAGTAGTGGCGCGGGAGGTCGGCGCGGCATCCGATGTACCAACGGGTTGCGTGAGGCTGGAAGGAGGCTGCTCATGAGGACGGTGCCAGATGCCCTGGAGATAATCGCCGCGCATGTCACGCTGTTGGTTCACGGACCTGTTAAACTCGGCGGCGTGGTGAGTCTGGGAATGGAGTTCCAGGACGGGAGAAGGCCGAGTCTGATCCTGGTAAGCCGGTCCAGTAATTTCCTGACGCGGGCCGCGTCTAACAATTCCTGAATAGTCCCTTGGGCGGTTATCATTGAGGTCTGGAGCGACTGTTAACGCGGGCATCCTCGTGGTAGATCCGGGGCCTCCCATCATACCTGGTTGGACGATGTGAGGCTGTGTGGCGCCTGGATACGGTCCTGGGGCGTTATTATAGACAATCTCGGTGTGGGGTCCAGGAATTATGACATTGTTCTGGGCTTCCGCAGCCTCGCGAGCCTTCGCAGCTCCGGGACGCTTCTCGCCGGCAAGATCGTTCTCAGTGAAGCCCTGCTTGCGGGCTTTGGTCTCCCAGTAGTCGTCACGCACGCGGCGGCCATTTTCAATGACGCGGCTTCCAAACTGACGGAACATGGAGCGGGCAGTAACAATAGCAATCTGGCGGGAGCGGTACGAGAAGGGGAGAATCTCCTGCTGGACAAGGTCATCCTTTTCGGCCTGGCTGGCAATAATCTTGAAGAGAGACCTGTTCTTGTTAAATAACAGGTACGAGTCTCGATAGCTGAGAACACGGGCGCACTCGGTGGCGAGCATGAAGAGCTTGTCGCTACGGTTAGGCACAAGGAAAGTCCGGCAGCGGTAGGTTCGGTTGCCTAGAAGCTGACCATTGGCCATGACCTTCTTCTCACCAAACTCGTCGATCTCTCTGGGAATGTATTCATCGCCGGCTTGGTTGAGCTGGTCGGTTGTGTGGTCGCGAACGGTGGGCAGAGCCTTGAGGGTTGATTTGGTGGGAGTCGTCTTGGGAGGAGCGGTACCTCCGGAATACGCTGGCGTGGGATGAGCAGGAAGAGGAGTGGCCTGCGACTGTGGCGTCACAGGAGGAGGGAGGATAGGAGCGGCGGTGGCAGCAGCAGGAGGCTGAGCCGCCGCCTCAGAAACATCGCCCGAGTGAGGCTTCATGGGTCTGGATCGTTTGGATTGGACCTGGGAGGCTGCTATTTTCAAGAGCAACAGGTTAGCAAATGATTCAAGTCTAGCCGCTTGTTGTAACGAGGAATATAATGAGCAAGAATCGTCAGTGAACGCGCCCTGCCTGCTAAGCTTGCACACGCGCGACTGTGCCGGCGCATCGACTGGACTCAAAGAGATGGATGGGCACGCAGACGCGGGTAGCCGTGATTAGTATTAGACGAGGAAAATTTGTGCAGGTAGTGCAGGCAGTGCAGGCATGTTCAACACGCGACAACGGGCAGTTGAAGCAAGGTGCAGCAGTCGCAAGACGAGTCGCAAGACGTGGCTACCGAGAATCTGCAACGACATACCGTCACCGACGGATTGCGCAGGGGTCAAAGTATCTGCAGATCGGTTTCGTTTCGCGCGACTCGTGAGAAGAGATGAAGGGAGTACTGCGAGGCACAAGACGTGGTTAGCAGAGTGACGGGGGCAACAGGGACGCGAGGAATGGAGCTCTGGCTGGGAGCTGCAAGGGTGGCGCGCGACAGGAGGCCGTGAGCCCAACTGATGGCGGGGTTTGTCGCGAGAGCATAATGCAGGCATGAGGCGCGGGGTCGCAAAGACTGTGCGACAGGGCAAGCGAGACGACCAGAGTGAAGATGAAGCAAGGGAATGAGCGGGAGCGCTTACCGGGAGAGTTGAGGGCAGCGGGATTGATTGTGGCACCCTCGGCGGCGATGGGTTGGCTGGCGTACATGGCAGCGGCGGGCGAACCCGTGGGGAATGGTGGCATGGAAGATGAGGGAGGCTGGAGTCGGCGAGCGAGATCTCGAGACGCAAATCGAGAGGCAGTCAAGGCGAAGGAGGCGATTTAGGCATGCATGTATGCGGTGTGGCAACGGCAACAAGATGGTGTCGAGGCGGGCACATGGGGATGGAGTTTTTTGTGTGGTGCGGCGGCAACGGCCGTGGTGGTTGCGACAGGCTTGAGCTAATAGCAGGTTTGGAGGCTAACACAGGCGGCGATGCGCGCGGGTCGGATGGCTGTGACCGGGCAGGCAGGACGGCAAATAACTTTGGGTAGGACAGTCGAGATGCAGAAGGAGGGGAAGCAGAGCAAAAGACGAGAGGAGACGGGCAGAACAAACGGCGGAAAAATGATACGAAGCTGCGAATAGTTACCTTGGGAGGAATATGGGAGCGCGTTGACAAACGGCGCAAGCTGCTAGTACAAGCTTGTTGGTGGCAACGCGTAGAGGCGCGAGTCAAGTGACGACAGGGCCAAGGCGAAGCAAAAAGTCGGCCGGGAGGCCCGGATGGCGAGTAGGAGGACGAGACGAAGCTGGCGGCTTGAGAAGGGGCGCTTGCGATAGATGGACACGAGGAAGGAAGTGTTGTCGCGCAGGTGGCGAGGGCGCAAACGGAGAGGCAGCCGTGAGTCGCGACGGGGGCGCCCGGGATCAATCAAGGCAGAGGTGCGAGACGAGTGACGAGCACAAGAGGATCGCAAAGCAGCGGGCGAGTGACGAGAGTAGCGAGACGGTTGCGCAAGTCGGTAGTGGTGGGCTTGTCGCGGCGGTTGAAGCAGTTGGAAAGGTTGGCTGGTAGTGTGGTGATGCAGAGGGTGCGTGCAGTTTACGCGCGTGCGAGATGCTTCTCGGTTGGCCGTGTGGGAGGAACCCTGGCTGTATAGGCAGATAGCGTAGCGCGCGATGGCAGAAAGAAGGCGGCGACCGGACGTTGGATGGGCTGGGCTTGCTGGCTGGGCTTGGGTTGGCAGAGAGTGCGTGAGTGAGTGGGCGTGGGCGTGCGTGGGTGTGTTTGTGAGTGTGTGTGTGTGTGTGTGTGTGTGGTGGGCTGCCGACGATGAAGGGAGGGAGGGTGGCTTTGAAGAAGATGGATGAAAGAGAGGGACAAGGTGGTGGTTAAGATGATGGTAGTGGTGGTGGTGGTGGTGGTGGTGGTGGAGATGGGAGGAGGAGGAGGAGGAGAAGAGGGGAACGAGGTTTGTGCATGTACATGCAAGGACGGAAATATAAATGGGAAAGGGCATACCAACTGGTCGCAACTCGGTCGTCTTCAAATACCTGTACATGTCGCTGGACAGCGGTGACTTTGGTGCTTCTTGGCCTGGTTTATTCATGTACCTGGTACCGCGTAGTGGAGGGGGAGTTGGGGGAGTTGGGGGTTGCTCTATCAATTCTCAGTGGTGCTGAGCAGGCAAGCAGACAGTAGTTGAGAGGAGCATGACTCTGATCCGTTTTGCGCTGATTTCTGATTTATTTACGACCGTATTTCTTATTCTTATTCTATTTATTATTTGCCTTGTTTGACTGGTAAATAGCAATTGTTACGGATAAATTTAGGACGTTGCCGCGACGGCGGATGACCTTGTGCGAATACCAGTAACTGGTAGGTTAGTAGGTGCCTACCTGTTACTAACCTGTGGACGCAATGTGCAGCCGGCGCTGGCCGAATCATGCCTAAATGGTACCTACCTTCCAAGCTTAACAGTACCTACTAGGTATGTACATTTTTACATTGGCAGGTACCTTAGTACCAACCTGGGCACGCTGTACTCCGTACGAGTTACCTACCTAATATTTCAGCGTCACCGTGCTTTTATCATGCATGCGCCAATATCTTGCCATTGCTATCCTGCCTACCTACCTACCTATCAATACAACAGATTCAACAGCCAGCCATTACAAATACCGCAGGGGTCGCAGCCACGCTTGTTAGATCGTTGCTCTGAAGCCCACCACCCTTGAACATCATCCCCCCCTCCATTGATAGCGCGCCCACGCCCTAGCAAGCATCCAGCATCCTCTCCCGAAGCAATGGGGAAAGCTGTCCGGTGCTAGGCCCATGACGGCTAGCAGCCGGAACCTATGACTTGATGACCTTGCAAAACCTGATTCCAGAGGCGCGCTTGGCTTCTAACATTGAACATTGCCTTTTCTTGCGACACTCGAAACATGCATGTCGAGGTAACACGCGCCGTATTACAAACTGATTACGCCCGAAGGGTGACAGGGTAGACCGAGCTCGGGCTGAGCAAGAAAACAGCAAATGACCAATAGCTGGGAGCGACGCAGGCTCCATGGTTTTTTAATATCAAGCAAGCACAAAAAGCTGCAGCAGCTTATTTACACGTTGTTTTTTCTATTGGCCGCGATGCCCGCTGCGGCAACGATGGCAGCTGGCTGGCTGACTGACATCTGCGTCCATCCTTGTTCGGCGAATAACTAAGGTACATACCTAGTTACAGGTAGTTAACCGGTTCAGAGCACACACCACCACCGCGACGAGATCAGAAACATAAACGAAAATATCGATGCAGCGGCGTCGTCTACCACGACGGCCTGGCGCAAAGCTGGGGTAGTCTCTGTGGGATGGAGGGGCGTGTGCGGTTAAGCTGGGAGGGGTGAGCTGCTGTGTGGCTGCACGTAGGTACCCAGATACACGAAGTACCTAACTTGACGTATCAGGACTGCAGCTGTTACCTTGTTACCTTAGTACTCCGTAGAGTTACAGGTACTGTAATTTGTACTGACAGCCTGAAAACCCTCTAAAATAAATTGCTCTAAAAAACAGCTGCACTTGCCCGGCCCCTCCTCGCTAGCAAGCCTTGCCCTGCTGCACACCAATGCACCCTGCCACCCTCCCACTGCTCCCTCGCACATGGCTTTCCAGGCCCCCCAAACCGTAGTCTATGGCTGACCTTGCATCATCGTTCAAGATTCACAAAGTCGAAGCCCGCTCTTCTCTACAAAGTGGTGTGTATCTCATTAGTCTCATTGTCCGGCGCATCATTCGCCGGACAGTCTCCGGCGTCGTCGTCGACGGCGTCATCCAGGCACAAGCCAAGGCTGCGCCAACTAGTGTAATAATATGCTGGTCATCAATCACACACCTCCTCGCCAGGCTTGTCCGTTATCCGATGCAAGAGGGGCGCACTCCAGCCTCGTTTGCTATGCTAACTAGTTAGTTAGTCGAGCCGACTTGGGTTGATCGCTGCTTTCTCCATTCTCCCCCCATGGCCCCCCCCCGATAGTGCCACCTTGAGTAAGCGGATATCCTTTGAAGGAAGGAAAGCTGAATGCAGGAATCTGATTCCGCCAAGGCTTGCGAGCAAACACTGGGTACATGAAAAGAAACATATATATTTATATATATATATACGATGTAGTACTAATCTAGCCTTCACCGTAGCCTAAACTTCTCGGGAACAGAGGGCCATTGTAACTGTTTGATCTCTCTACAATAATAAGCCCGCTTCACGGCCAGAATAATATGTCCAACCAGTACATGTACATCCATACATGCAATAGTTCCTATCGCCAGTTTGCCTTGATAAGACACGCAGCTTGTATCTACAATCAGCAACTCGGAGGATGGCGAGCTTTTTCGGAGCCCATGACACCAAAAGAAGACTATGTTCATACAACTGTCTAGCAAATTCCACTTCCACACGACCAACTGAACCAGGGCAAACCGTGCTCACCCACGAACTGAACGGATACGACGCCGATTCTTGACTTGCTTGCCCTCAGACAGACGACGCTAATTAACGAAGCTGGTCCAATGCATTCCAGTCGCCTCGACCCCCAGAAACGTTCGAGCCAGGGCTCATGGCGAGCTATCCATCTGTGGCAATAGAGTTTACGCTTGGGAAAGGGCGGAAGAACGGAGAGGTAAGTGTGTTGTGAAGGGAGGACGGGGGTGGGGTGGGTGTGTGATTCCGAGCCTGTCTCTGTGTCTTTGTCTGTCATCAATCTCTGTCTCTCTCGTTTCGTAGGTTGTTTCCGTCCGAGAATAATCACGAAAATCGTTTGTTGTATTCCAAGCTCAAACTATTCGTTGCTAATAATATATCACTTGGGTGTTAATCTGCAACGTCGAAAACGGTCGTTTTTCTGCCTTGACCAGGTTGGCCCATGCACTGGAGTCTGGAGCAGATGATGCCCTGCCCTCCTGGTGGGGCGCTTGGATCAACCCGCCGAATTTCAGTTATATTGGCCGCTTCCATACCGGCGTACGAATGCGCGTAGAGGATTGGAATAACTACAAATTATGCCAACAAGAAAAAGGCTGACTAGCTGCTCTCAGCATTTTTAGGTTGACAAATGGAGTTTTTCTTTCATACTTTTTGTACGTCTTTTGCTACAAAGTCACTCATGTGACTCAGCTCGGACGCACACCTCGGAGAATCATTTTGAAGACAGAAACCAAGACAGAACCAAGACCAACCAAGTGGATGTTAGCTACCTGCAACCTGCCCTCTCTCTCTTCCAAAATAGTGCGCCCCTCTCACTAACTGCCTACCTACCTACCTAACAAAAGAAGGATGGCGCTGGTTGGAGATGGGCGCGCGCATCATCAGCTCTCCTTCTGCCCATACGCACGGCGCTTTTGCTTTCAGACGCTAGCGCTGGGGCATTGCTAATTTTACCATGCGCTATTCCCGCCGACATCTGTTCCGCCTTCCCCTCTTTGCGGCCTCCAGTTTAAAAAAAGACCAGATCCGGTCGTACATGACTAGTTAGTCAAGCAATACAGAGAACAAACAAAACTCGGTTTCTGTTCTGGAAGAAAGAAAAGGTGCTTTTGGCCTGTCTGCTTTCGGCTTCCAACGAGCAGCTCAGCAGCTGTCGGAGCCGACATCCACTTCCGGCGCCCCTGGAGAAAAACGACTCATCAGACCTAGTTTTCACGTCATTTTGCTTTCAGCTCAAAACCTGGGAGACTTGGAGAAGGAAAAGTTCGGCTTTCGGCCTCGCTTCGCGTGGTATCGACTTTCAGCCGGTCCACTCGACGCCCCCATCATTCAATCGTATCATCAAGTATGGATGGAGATGCTGGGTAGCTACTCCGTTCGCACCGAGTCAGCATCCCCGAATTCTTTGATGCCATCCGGCGCGCAGCGTTTCTGCGCAGGTACCCGGGCACTGCGGCGTCCATGTAACCTCGGCCGGTTACGTGGGCTGCCGGTGCATCTCACGATCATGCTCATGCAGCCCACCATCACTGCCCTCCCTCACTCTACCTTAGTAGTAACTTTAAGTTCCCCCTCCCACCTTGGCCGTTGGCCGTTGAAAGTGCAAACGCGGGTATCTGGGAAATGGTGTGACGGCTGGCGCAACCACCACTTGCCACCCGCCAGCTGCTAACAGACCTTAGCTGCCAGCTGCCAGCTGCCAGCCGCCGCCAATATGCCCGTCGGCGAGGGCCCGTTTGCCGAGTCGCTGAGTACCTGTAACTAGCTGATAACTGCATCTCCTTTTCCTCCATCTTCTTCTCCTCATGACTACATCATCGGAATCCGCCGCAATGTCTCTGCCAGCATACCAGTCACATCTCAACACGCGGCCAACCAGGTTCCAGTCGTTTCTCCCTGCGCGCCATGCTTGTTCCGGGTATTTACTAATAGCCCACTAGTACGGAGTGCAGTCAACTGCCTTGTTGCCGTCCCCTGCACTCGACGCAGAATCATGTTACTGGTACGAATTACAAAAGCGGTCTCGAGATTTGACAAGGTCCTGGTGCTGCCGCCATTTCGGAACTTGCTCCGAAGCTGTGACTATTTTGCAACAATGTCTTGCACCCACACCATGCTAACCGCCTGCCTGTTGCCTGTTGAAGCCTTGTTCCATTGACCTCTCCTTGTGACAGACGGCGCGCGCCGGCTCTGCTCTGCTTGCATCTAATAATAGTTGGTTTCAGTCGCTTGTCTGCGCCGAGCAGGACAAAGGATCTCGCACCCCAGGCGGAATCACCAGTCAAGTGAATGCTAATCAAACCTTTCTAATCAAGTGGCGATATTCACACCTCAATACTTCTTCTGGCATTTCAAGTCAGTCCTCTCTCTTCTGTTCCAAGCTCCGCGCCTCAGCTTGATTCTGCCACCACTGCTGATTGCTTTCGGCCTAGCGAGTCAAACCTCGCCAACGTAGCGCAAGCAACCCGTATTCCTGCCACGGAACTGGCCCGCTGCTCTGGTAAAAGCAAACCATATCTTGTTACGAAAAGTTTCGACCATCACCATATCAAGTGAGGTTCTGCGACCTATGCCGTCCATCTTGCCGGTCATGCCCGGACCTCTCTCGCACCCAACAAGCAATCTGTCCGTAGCTCCGCTTATGCTTCAAGCGCTCGGCTAAGGCAAGTTGATAGTTCGCAACAGACATCCGTATGGATTGTCAGCCAGCACCCAAGACGCCATCGCACAAGTCCGCTCATTTTGCAACAAAATTCGATGCACTGAAGAGGTCAGCTTGCGGCCGAGGTGCCACATCTCTTGTCCTGGCTCTCGGTTACGCGAACAATCATACTAACTAGGGCCTTGTCGTCCTAGCGCCGTAACGAGGCTTAAAGCCAGGACAAGCCAGGCCCAAGCACCTGCGCGCAGGACCTCATGGCATGGCGCGCCCCGCACGTCACACGGTGGCTGGTCCAAGCTGCACACTGCTGCGCTATCAGAGATTGTCGCGGCCAGTGCCCGTCTCGATCGTTCAACACTGGGTGGAATCTTGCTCCGTCCCGTCTTTGGTGCACCCTGTGCATCTCTTGCTCGACAGGCGCGTAGGCGGCCGCTGACCGACAACATTGACCGACCGGAATCACCTCGACTACTCCGTACTGGCCATACACCGCAACCCGGTCACAGCAACACTACATTCCGTGATCCAAGCACTCCGAAACTTTCACAACCTTGTCCACCGTCGTTATTACTGCCTTGCGTTCTGCCTCCAAGCCCACTTCTCGTCAGCTTCAGCCACTAGTCGCCGGTGGCTTGACAGCCCGATGTGAAAACCACCGCTGACCCGTTCTCGACGCTAACGGCAAGCAATTAGGCACTACCTAGCTAATACCCTAGCTATAACTTGTCAGTTCACTGTCAATCCATCAGTCCGTCGCCTTGCTTGTATCGGCAGAGTAACTACGGATAGATAGCCTGTCGAGTGCTGTGTGGCACTGGGGCCGCCACACGCCTCTCTCGATTGACGCTTGACGCCTTGTTGGCTTGCATCTTAACTAGTTATCTTATTGTCGTGAGCGATCACCACCTCGGGTGCAACAAATGTCTTGCAGAGTACAACCCCGTATCGGTCACCACAGCCGCTCGGTGAGTCATGCACCGTCGTGTCAAGGGACCTTGTAATACGCATTTGATTTACAAGAGCGCAAATGTACAACTTCGATGGTAGTTACAAGGTAAGGTAGGAAAGGGTGTGGCAAATGTGGCATGTGGTTTTTGTACTACAAGAGAGAAGCCATCGACGGCCACTTTTGGCAATAACACGACGAACACGGTGGAATAATCAACCGTGAGGAGCATCTTTATTTTCTTGCGTGCGCGTTGGCATGGTCTGCCAGGCGTCTTCTTCGCGACGCGTAGTGTCGCCAAGCATTAGTACTGTGTCATCACATATTACTGTGCAGCACGACCTGGAAATTTACTCATGCATGTCGCAAATGAATCTTGGATTTTTTTTTTGGACTGACTAGTTACTGGTAATTAGGTTGCGCAAGCTGAACCCGTATTCGCACCGTCGTATTTATCCCGGGTATGCATATATTGCAATGCTACTGTGCCCTATTGGGAGTTTTCACCTAAACAAGGCGCCAATGCTCCTGTATATTTGCTCATTCTCGACGAGAAAGCAAATCTGCAACGATATGAGGCTCTAAAGTCATGCCGCAGCCTCTCGACTCGGGTATAGTCGCCGGCCAAATGTCAGTCGAGCAGATGGCTGCATCTCGTGCGGCGGTGATCAAGCCCTCCCTCACTCAGCACCAGCGCTGTCCAGCCGGACCCGTGTCGCGAGCCTTGTAGGTGCTGGGCTGAATGTCAGCCGACGTCCTGCATATTGCGACTGGGGCGGTGCACTTGCTCTGAAAGAAAGACAGACGTCGAAATAATAATGAGTTTGTGGCATATCATTGTGTAAGTCGACTAGACGTTGAAGAACGGAACCGGGGTGTGCATCGTGGTGTTCACACCACCACCCAGTTTTCAACTGACCCTCCCCTCCCCCCCCCCCCCCCCCCCCAACTTTGCACGCGATTGCCAGCCCTGCACAGATCGTATTGGTGTTGGTGTGTGGTGTACGGTCGCAGACTCAAGGCTTTCCGACAAAGCCCTGCCAATCGCCTTACACGAAATATCCCGAGCACTTGAAAGTTGCGAAAGCCAAGTCTACCGGGTCCAAACTCTGTTAGTGACGCTGGCTTTTGCTTGATAGGGAACTACTCATTGTCCAGGCTCACAGCGAAACGTACCAGAATGTACTCGGTAGCTCTGGCTGGCAGGGGTCCATGAACATCAGGCGAGTAAGCTAATAAGTCATCCCGGAACATCATTCATGCCACGAGTCTCGGACAAGAACACAGTTCACTGGAGGGAGCGAGCATCCACCGACTTTTGCTGAACCCTGGCCCGGAACTTTCTAGATGAAACCTAAGCGGGTTGTATTTTACTTATTTTTGAAAGAGCAAAACAAATGGTAAGATAAATGAGATGTTGGAAGCGATACGGCTCGTGCATGAAAAGCCCCAGTGCTTGGCCATGTGATTCATTCTGACCAGGTGGTTTTTTCTCATGCACGTCGTCGAATTTGGCATTTCCGCGCATTCGCCATCAGCAAGCGGGCTGTTTCCGACTCCAGAAGAGCCTGCATTGCTCCCCTTTTCGAATGTGTCCTTTCTCTGCTGCTGTGACCTTGTCGAGGCGGGTAGCAGGCTAACATGGTCTACGGAGTACTTGCTACGTACAGCCCTCCCGCTTCTTGACAACTGCCCTCCTGCTTCTTGACAGTTTTTCCCTTCCTCTTTTCCAATCATCAATTTATTAGCGCGAGAAAGACACGATCCAGAGACCCAAACCGACCCCGCTTTGTCTTGCTTGTTGCTTTTTTCTTCTTAAAAAAACGCCCATCCCTCAACGTCATTGGCCGGGCGGCAGGGGAGCAGGAGGGGAGGAGGGGGGAAGCACGACGATCATGAGGTCAAGAAAGGTGTGCCAGCGCCGCCTTGCTTGTGAAAGGAAGAGGCAGCAGGCAACAGAGCGAGACCGCCGCGCGCCGTCGGGGCAGTTTCTCCACACGCACCTGCAGCTGCACATCATGGGCCAACATTGTAAGCCCGTCCATTCCATCCCGTCCTCCCTGTCTCTTCTGTGCTTTTTCTCAACGAGAGGGGTGGACGAGGAGAAAGAAGCACGCAAAGGGGCGTGTGTGGCGGCGCTGTCCACACCAGAAAAGGACGGCGGCGTGTGCCGCTTCAGCAGAGAGGCATGGAAGGTTTTTGAATCACGCAAGGTTGAAAAGATAGACAAGCTCAAGTACATGATAGGCCAGCAATTGTAGAGTTGTTCGTCCGCGTGTAAGTGTGGACTAGATGGGCAGCAAATCGCCACATCCAATACGTTACCAGGACGGGCTTGAGACACATAAAAGCAGTTCTAGCTCTTGGAAGCATCGGCCGGGCCCTCGCGTGGCGACAACGCCCCCGTGTAAGGCGCAGACAGATCTATATCAGGGCGTCTGAACCAGGGCACAAAAATACGAGACATTAATAAAGTGTGACAAGAAGGGACGAAAACAGACAAAAAAGACGAGACGAACCTCGAGGCAGATTTAGAGACCAAAAAGAAGGACAGGCAAGCAAAGAAAGCCCAGGACGCCTCATCATGCAGGGCGTAACGTCGGCACATGGCGAAAACCGTCGTCGTACACGAGCAGGAGGGGAAGGACAGTGACATGCCTGTCAGGGACCCAGAAAGGCGTAAAAAAGTAGTTAGAAGAAGACAAGAAAGGAAACAGACAGTCTTTAAATGTTTGCCTTCATTTGCCGAAAGGGATCGCTCTTTTGGCCTATGCGATTTCGGCAACCTCTCCGATGCACGTTGATGAAGGCGTGTGGGATGTGTGAATATTGTTGACATCATCGCGCAGCGTCATCTCTCCGCTCTTTGAACCCCTTTTTTCCTGTGCTCTAGTATCCTCTTCTTCGCAAACACGACATAACAACAATGCTAGCAAAAAGGAAGAAGAAAAAGAATGATAGCTGACGCTAGAGCTTGTGTTGACGCTCGTTCCTGCACTGCTTATCGGTGGTCATGATCTAGGTCTGTCCTGCTACCGTAAGACTATCCCCGTGTCTGACATGACGATAGCCGGGTCAGAATATGCGTAGTCTAATGCCAGACAGCGAGGCGATTCGAGATATTCTCCTCTGAAGAGGAAGTTGCGTGTGTCTTGGGACATTTATAGAACGATCGATTCCCGCGAAATCTACACTGGGAAGGTTTGCAGCCTGCCATTTCAATGTATGCCAGCGACGTAACTCGGATATGCCGTGTTTCCACCACTGCTCTGTCGTGAGGCAATAATTCCTCCAACTCTGCTGCTGCATCACCTACTTAGCTTGGTCGATCCTGTTCGGCATGCGGAAGAGTTGTTGCACCATCGTCCGGTACGTGTCGAGCACCTGAGGTTCGTTCCTCCCACGATCCTGTGGCAACTCCTGGAGAACAAAGACGCGCGTACAGCCCTTCACCCAGATGACACTATCAAAAAAAAACAATTCTTCAATATTACCATCATGCCTTGGATACTGTCGTTGTCAATCACGGATGGGTTTTGCCCCGGCAATGCTGCGCCTCACTCACATGTCCCATGTGACAGCCGGCGAGGGGCTTGTTAATGGCGGACATATTAAACTTAAAAATCCCCTTCATAGTATTTGTTAGGGGCCATTGAATTGCTTTGGAGCTTCTGTAGGCATATACAAACCTCCATGTGCCGTGTTTCTCGTAGATTTCGACTGCTAACGTCTGTGTTCGTTTGTCTCGTGCCTTGCATGTCCCGGGATGAAACATGGGACAAAAACTACAAGGATTTATTCCAAGTTCCCCCAAGACTATTTATTGGAGCCTTCTTATTGAGTAATGTATGGAGAACTTTGAGCTGTACTTCGTCGGTGAGTCGGCTTCCAGTATTCTACGACACGCGACAATGAAGTTGCCAAGACGCCGATCGCGGGGTTCTGGACCGTAAGCCTTCATCCCTCCTTCCCCTTCCATATGCTAATCTTGAAAAGACTAATCTCAAGACGCTCAGATTGAGAGATTAGAAATACAGTATAATTTAGACAAAACTGACTGTGGGGATTGAAGCGACAAGGTCCGACCTAGCCGCGGATGAAACAGTCCCTGGCCAGGCACGGGAGGAGCAAAGTCCGGCAGCCATTCAATGGATATACTCTACCCCTCCCAGTGTTATTGTGCAAAATCGAATGATAAAATCGGAATGATTGCAAATCATGTTCCATTTCAGCCCACGGATCGGCGGCGTGTAAGCCCGGAGTATGCTTCGGCAGGCGTCCAGTTCCACAACAAGGTACTTGGGCAAATATGACGTTGAATTCGAGCCAAAAGATCAAGCTGCAACGCTCGGCGGCAGTGTTCATTACAATTCCATCTTTACAGACGAAGTTCCTACACCGCGGCTACACGTGATACATCACGTGATACGTAACTGAATTGAAAGCTTCGACAAGGGCTTTGCAGATGATCGAGATAATTGAGGAAATAGACTCTGAATAGAAATCGTATCGTTTTATTCTAGATCCCTCTAGCCTTTTCTAGGTAAGTGCTCATCCCAGTCTGCCCACCCTCCTCGCTGCGTTGTACATGTCTGTGTTGGCAATTGCGCTAATCGATAAGCCGCTTTGCAGCTTTTGATTCGCCTGCTTGGCGCATCCCAGCAAACTTCACTCAGAACTCTGCCGCAAGTTGACTTCACGCAACAGCCACCTGGTAGACGGATTTTTGCCAAGGACGGCGATTGAAAGAAAATACAATGACGAGTCTCAAGAGGGCGCATGAGCCTGGGCATCTAGCCTCGAATATTTCCAGCAAAACATATGTCCGCTCCACCCGCACCGGCAAGGTCCAAAAGATTGTGAGAGAGGTCTACCTCAGAACAGATATCCCCTGCTCGTCGCAGCTGTGCAGGGCGTGCCTCGAGTTTGCTCCTCGCAATGCTGCTGGTCAGGGTAAGCTTCCTTTCATCCTCAAAGCCACGACGATTCAGCAAGCTAACTGCACAGCTCAACCGTTTGTCCTGTCTGCGAAGCCGGCGGGCACCAAGGCTTTCCCGCGCGGACACTACCTGGTGCCGGACACCAACGCACTTCTAAATGCCATGGACCTCTTTGAGCAGAGTTCCGCTTTTTACGACGTCGTCATCCTGCAGACCGTGCTGGAGGAGCTCCGCAACCGCTCCCTGCCGCTGTACAACCGCCTGATTTCACTGACCAAGAGCGAGGACAAGCGCTTCTATGTCTTCTTCAACGACTTTCGCGTCGAGACCTACGTGCAGAGAGAGCCTAATGAGTCCGTCAATGACAGGAACGATCGCGCTGTACGCCAGGCCGTCAAGTGGTACGGCGAGCATCTCGCAACGCAAGCTGGCAAGGCCACCGCGCCGGCCGTCTTAATGTTGACCGATGATCGCGATAATATTCGCAAGGCGAAGAAGGAAGGAATCGAAGCAGCTACTCTCAGGGATTACATTGGCAGCTTGGCAGACGGTGAAAACCTGCTGGACTTGATCCCCGAGTCGCAGAGCCAAGGGCGCGAGGATATCAACAAGGGCTCTCAGCCACTGTACCCTGAATACTTTACGATATCGCGCATGATGACTGGTGTCAAGGCTGGCATCATGCACCAAGGCATCTTCAACGTCTCGCCATACAACTATCTCGAGGGGTCTATCAAGGTGCCGGCCTTTTCCAAACCCCTTATCATCCTGGGGAGAGAAAACATCAACAGAGCTGTCGACGGCGATGTCGTTGTCGTGGAGCTTTTGCCACAAGATCAGTGGAAACAACCGTCCACCAAAATTATCGAAGAGGACACGGTCACAAAGAATGAAGATGCCGATGCCGAGCAGCAAGACTTCGTCTCGGATCGCGAGAAGAAGGCGCTACAGGAGCAAGTTAGGCGCACACACAAGAACAGCTCGGAAAGCCAAGCGCAGCCCACTGCCAAGGTTGTTGGCATCATCAAGCGCAACTGGCGGCAGTACGTCGGCCACATCGACCCGTCGTCGGCGAGCAAGGGCCCGAGCCAGGGCCGCAAGCTGGACAGCGTCTTCCTCATCCCCATGGACAAGAAGATCCCCAAGATTCGCTTGCGCACACGGCAAGTAGCGGAGCTGCTGGGAAAGCGTCTCTTGGTGACGATTGACGCGTGGGACCGCGACTCAAGACACCCGGTCGGCCACTTTGTGCGGTCGCTCGGTGAGCTTGAAACTAAGGCCGCCGAGACAGAAGCCCTGCTTCTCGAATGGGATGTGCAGTACCGTCCGTTCCCCAAGACGGTCCTCGACTGCTTGCCCACAGAGGGCCACGACTGGCAAGTGCCGGCCAGCACCGACGACCCCGGCTGGCGCGACCGCGAGGACTTGCGCGACCTTCTAATCTGCAGCATCGACCCCGTCGGCTGTCAAGATATTGACGACGCCCTGCACGCCCGCAAGCTCCCCAACGGCAACTACGAAGTCGGCGTGCACATTGCCGACGTCTCGCACTTTGTCAAGCCCGCCAACGCCATGGACTCCGAGGCTAGTGTGCGCGGCACGACCGTCTACCTCGTCGACAAGCGTATCGACATGCTGCCGCCGCTGCTGGGCACCAACCTCTGCTCACTCAAGCCGTACGTTGAGCGGTACGCCTTTTCCGTACTGTGGGAGCTCACCGACAACGCCGACATTGTGAGCGCGCGCTTCACCAAGTCGGTCATCAAGTCGCGCGAGGCTTTTAGCTACGAACAGGCGCAGCTGCGCATCGACGACGCCGCGCAGCAGGACGAGCTGACGCAGGGCATGCGCGCGCTGCTGGCGCTGTCGCGCCGCCTCAAGAAGAAGCGCATGGACGCGGGCGCGCTCAGCCTGTCGTCGCCCGAGGTCAAGGTGCAGATGGAGTCGGAGACGTCGGACCCCATCGACGTCAAGACCAAGGAGCTGCTCGACACCAACTCGCTCGTCGAGGAGTTTATGCTGTTTGCCAACATTTCCGTCGCCGCCAAGATCTACGAGGCCTTTCCGCAGACGGCCATTCTTCGGCGCCACGCCGCGCCGCCCAAGACCAACTTTGACGACCTCGCCGAGCAGCTGCGTGTGAAGCGCGGCCTCGCGCTCCGCACCGACACGAGCAAGGCGCTCGCCGACTCGCTCGACGCGTGCGTCGACCCGGCCGAGCCCTTCTTCAACACGCTCGTCCGCATCATGGCCACGCGCTGCATGATGAGCGCCGAGTACTTTTGCTCGGGCACCCAGGCCTACCCCGAGTTTCGCCACTACGGCCTCGCGTCCGAGATTTACACGCACTTTACCTCGCCCATCCGCCGCTACGCCGACCTGCTCGCGCACCGGCAGCTCGCGGCCGCCATTGGCTACGAGGCCGTGCACCCCGCGGTGCGCAGCCGCGGCCGCCTCGAGGCCGTCTGCAAGAACATCAACGTCCGCCACCGCAACGCGCAAATGGCCGGCCGCGCCTCGATCGCCTACTACGTCGGCCAGGCCCTCAAGGGCCGCGTCGCAGAAGAGGACGCCTTTGTCATGCGCGTCTTCAGCAACGGCCTCGTCGTCCTCGTACCGCGCTTCGGCATCGAGGGCCTGATTCGCCTGCGCGACCTGGCGACGCCCGAGCCCGAGAGCGAGTTTGACGCCGAGACGTTTACGCTCACGACGACGGGCAGCCGTGCCCTCAAGGTGGAGCTGTTCCAAAAGGTCAAGGTCAGAGTCCACGATGAAAAGGACGAGAAGACGGGCAAGCGCGGCGTCAAGATGGAGCTGATTAGCACGTGAATGTGAATCAATGGATCAGAAAGTCATTCAGCAATCAAGGGAAAAAGTAAAAAGGGTCATTCTCAGCGCTTCACATGTATGTATATAATAGAAAAGAGCTTATTGTATTCACGTTTCTTGGAATAACTACATGCCTGTTCTGTATTTTTTTATCTCTCAAGTACCCCATAAACGCCAAACTCTACGTGAAAAGATGACAGAAACCCAACGTGACGGTAAAAAAAAAGACTTTTCCTATACTTTGTGTCGTTTCATGAGATGTATTGTTTCGCCTTCTTTACTGCTTCATGGCATCATCATCATCATCGACCGCGGCGCCGTCATCCCCCCAGAGACCCTCGAGCTTAAATTCGGCCGCCCACTGCGTGACAATCTTCTTCTGATCCGGCACCACCTCGTCCTCGACGCCCTTTCTGCTGGCCGCCGACTTGGTGGCGGGGCGCTTCTTGGTGCTGGCAGCGCCCGACTCGACCGCGAGCACGGGGGCCTCGACCCAGCCCTGGATGCGGCCGTCGCGCCAGTCGGTGACGACGGTCATGGCGGCGGAGGTGAGGTTGGGGATGCCGCCGCGGCTGAGGCGGCCTCTCTTACGCGCGACCTGGACGAGGAAGTCGGTGGAGACGTCGCCGTCGAGGCTGCTGGGCAGCAGCGCGGGCACGTCGTAGACGTCGGTGAGCTTCTGCAGGAGGGCGGGGGAGGCGGCGGCGAGGCGGCGCAGGAGCAGGGCGACGGCGGGGATGGGGTCGTCAATCTGCTTGGGGGGCACGGCGTTGAGCAGGACGAGGTGGGCATGGGCCTCGGCGGCGTTCTTGAGCGAGACGAGGCCGGCGGACTGCACCGAGGCGGAACCCGGGAAGACGACGCCGGGCGAGTCGAGCAGTGTCAGCTTGCTGTCGAGCTTGACGGCGCGGATGCTCGTGGTGACGCCGGCCTCGGCGCCGGCCGGGCAGGCGCGCGAGGAGCTCGGGGCCTTGCCGCTGAGCCGGCCGAGCAGCGCGTTGATGACGGAGCTCTTGCCGACGTTGGGGTAGCCGATGACGCCGACGGACACGGCGCGCTTGAGGTCGCGGCTGGCGGCGAAGCTCTTGAGCGCGCGCAGCAGCGTCGCCGACGTGCCCTGCACCGTGAGGTCGCGGTGGTGGAACGTGTGCGCGTTGGGCGCCGGGCCGGCGGCGCGCAGCGGCAGCGTCGGGAAGTAGCGCCGCAGGTACACGAGCCAGTCGCGCAGCACCTGGGGCGGGACCAGGTCGATCTTGTTGAGGACCAGGATGAGCCGCTTGCCGCTGGACGCGGCGGCGGCCATGATGCTGCGCTCCACCTCGCGCGAGCGGGTGCCCTCAGGATCGCGCGCATCGAGCACGTACAGCACCACGTCGGCCTCATCAACGACCTTCTTGAAGACCTTGTCGTACGTCTTGCGGGACGAAGCCTGGCCGACCGACATCTCGTTGGTCTCCATGGCATCATCTTCATCGTCTTCTTCGTAGTCGCCGCCCATATTGTCGTCGCCGAGTTCCTTTTCGTACTTGGCGGCGGCCTTGAGGGCGGCGGCTTTGAGGGCCGCCATGGGGTTGGACTCGTCGTCGTCATCGTCGTCGTCGTCGTCGTCCATGAAGTCTTCGCCGTCCTCGTCGCCCTCGACGTCCTCCATGGCCTCCTCATCAGCAGCCTCTTCGGCGATGCCTGTGCTCGCAGCCTTGGCCATTTCCTTGCGGCGCTTCGCTGCTTCCGCCTTCTTCATGCGGTGCTCCTCAATCTCCTCCAGAAGCTTCTCTTTGTACGGGAACAGGTTGGGGATACCCGGGTCCTTTTTCAGCTTGGACCGCCATTCTGGGTTCTTCTTGGCCGCCCTGCGATCTTTTCGCTGCTTGGCTAGGGAAGCCTTTCCGATCTTGAAGCGAAGGCGGGAGGTGCCTCGCTTCGAGCTGGGCTCTAGTGGTTGTTAGAGGGCTGTTTTTTTTTTAACTTGTCAGAGTCGATGGGAAGCAGGGACATACTCTTCGGCTTGTTAATTGAGCCCGCCATTGTGAATACAGTCGGGGTTGTTGACTGGGAAAGCTCGTCGAATAGATGACTTTCTTGACCGTTTGGTGGATGGCAGAAAAAAAAATAAGTGGGCGACAGCGATAAGCCAAATCAGGCAAAGTGGGACGCTGCCTTACCTCATGTCGCTGCAAGTATATCACCTATAACATTATTTGGCAGTGTATTTTGGAAGATAAATTCATGTTTTTTTTTGTACCTGCGCACTGTCGGAGTCTATTTGCTAGGTAGGTAGGTACTTGCTCGTAGTTTCCATTTCTTCGGGCGCGAAAAGTACCAGATCTGCCTACCTAGAGTCTTGCCTGCAAAAACAGCACTGCAAAACGCCCAATCTGGAACCCCACCCATTGTTTCTGCCCATGGCTAGTTATACCGCCTTTGGTACTGAGCTCATACAACTCACCCCCAACAACACGAGACATTCGCAGCATGATCGTTTAAAAGTCAAGGAAGAGTGCTAATGACCATAACTGTCTTGCGATCTTCGACTCATCCGCATCAGCCCGGTCTGGGCCCCGGTTTACGCCCCGCCGAGGCGTCCGACCGGCGCTACTAGCCAGCCAAGGTCCTTGCTGCGTTATCGGAACAATCGAGTCCAAATCCGCGGGCATGGTCGTTGTGAAGCTATTCGTATAAATAGCCGTCTCCATCACTGGTTGCCTCTGCATCCACTCACAGTTCACAGTTCAGCCCTCGTGCTTATTTCTACATGCTGCCCGCATCGGCTCACGCCACATCCAACTACATGGACCAGCTCCCCGAATCAAGATATCACCACTTCCTTTGTACTTTTCATAAATTTTACTCTGTAAATCATGTCTGCGTCTACTCAATCTACGTCTCTTCAAGTCGCTCTAGACGCGGCCGTCGAGAGCTTCGTCGCTCGCAACCCCAAGTCCCAGGTTCTCCATGAGGAAGCCGTGAAGACCTTTCCTGGCGGTAACACGCGGACCGTGCTTCATACAAGCCCGTTTCCTGTTTGTATGAAGGCTGGAAAGAACTTCCAGGTAGTCTCGGAAGACGGCGACGGGTTTGTCAGCCATGAACCGGCGAGGCTTGCCCCTGCTAACAAGGGCGACCAAGGTACACTGACCTGACGGCTGAGTTTACTGCTGGCTTGTACGGCCACTCCAACCCAGAGATACTCGCCGCCCTCCAACACGTCATTCACAATGTTGGTCTGAATGTTGGTGCGACGACGGCACAAGAGCAACTCTTTGTCAGGGCCCTGTGCGACCGATTCGGTCTCGAGCGCATTCGCCTGACCAACTCCGGCACGGGAGCCAACCTGCACGCCCTCGCCGCCGCGAAGCTCTACACAAAGAAGAGCAGGGTGGTGGCCTTTGGCGGCGGCTACCACGGCGCTGTACTTGGTTTCAAGGACAGCCAGGTCGCGGCCAACAATGTGGACAAGGCCGACTGGATTCTTGCCAAGTACAATGACATTGAAAGCGCCGTCAAGGCAATCAAGAGCGATGGTGTCGCCGCTGTCATATTGGAAGCTATGTAGGGATCGGGTGGCTGCATCTGCGGCACTAAAGAGTTTCTTACCGGTGTGGAAAAGGCTGCGAAAGAGGTGAGTGCCTTGTGGTTTTCGCAACTACTAACTTGTCACTTCCTAATACTTACCAGACCGGTGTCATCTTCATCGTGGATGAAGTCATGACTTCGCGCATCTCGGGTGCAGGTTTATCTGCCGTGCATGGGCTCAAGCCTGACATGAAGACATTCGGCAAGTACCTAGGCGGCGGTGTCGCTTTTGGTGCTTTCGGCGGTCGCGAAAACATCATGGCTGTATACGACCCGCGTGCAAAGGGCTCGGTTGCTCACTCGGGCACCTTTAACAACAACACCTTTGTCACTCACTGCGGCTATGCTGGCCTGACCAAGGTGTACCCGCCAGACGTGGCCGAGGCCTTCACAAAGACGGGAGAGGACTTGCTCGCCCGGCTTAACGAGGTTAACAAAGGCACTAAGCTTTGCTTCACAGGCATCGGGTCCGTCGCGGCCAGTCATTTTGTAGCACACGGACCCCATGACATTTTGGACGCGCTGGACGTGGCAGAGATTGATGAGCTGAAAGATCTCTTTTGGTTTCATGTACTGGAAAATGGGTTCTGGGTTACACGCCGTGGTTTTTTATGCCCGCTTCCCCCTTCTCGAACCAGTAGCCTTTCTTCTCTCTTCTTCATCCTTCATACGAACTACTGGATCTTTTCACTGCCGCTTTTGAGCTTGCGTCGTGCCCTTTGCTACGGAGTTACGATGGACTCCAAAGATGTTCCCCGCAAGGAATACTTAAAGGACTTGATTCCAAAGATCGAAGCCGCACATCTCAGGTCTAAGGAAGAAGAAGGAAATGAAATTTTACTCTATCCCAGTCGAGATGAGATTCTTGCCGAGTTTTCCCACATGCGCTCTCACCCCGATCACCACAAGGGCAACCTCTTGACCTTGGATCACTCGGCCCCTTATGCACCATGCGTTCTCTCGAGCGACGAACTCGAACCAATTCTCATTTCCGATATGAAAATGGAGACTCACCATCGGGGCCGCAAGATTTTACTGCGGGTTTGTACCCCGGTCTGCCGTGTAGATGGTCTGATGATGGTCACCGACGATGAGAACGAGACGGCGATCAGATTGCAGTTGTATCATCAGCCTGAAGAAGCACTCATTCCCGCGGCCCAGCTTTTCAAACCTGGAACAGTTCTTATTGTGAAAGAGCCATGGTTCAAGCGAAGCCTGGAGGGCACGTTCGTTCTCCGAGTAGACCATGTAAGCGATCTTATTCGGCTTCATGGCCAAGATGAACGCATCCCGTCCAAATGGAGAGCTCGATTTGTCGAGCTCGACAGCGCCAAGTCAAGAATTGCCGGCAACGAGCACTTCAGAAACCGCGAATGGGACAACGCCTTGCAGCAGTAAGTACAAATCTGTCTTCTCTTGCCGATTCTAGAAAGACTAACCATTAGCCGCAGGTACACTCGAGCGATCGAGGTCGCTGAAAATGACGGGGACGCTCAGGTTGCGTACGTCAATCGTTCTCTTGTCAACCTTCGGCTTGGAAGACCTGAAGAGGCATTCCGTGACGCCGTTGCAATGAACTCCAAGCTTCAGCCGACTGAAAAGGGAGTTTTCCGGGAGGCCTTGTGCCTGTACCAGCTGCAGAAATTTGATCAATGCTTTTCCAAATTGCGTGAGCTTCTCGACTTGTATCCCAGCAATAGCGCGGCTCCGGCCGAGATGGAAAAAGTCCGCGCCAGGTTGCTAGAATGCAATGAAGGCATTTATGACTGGCAGAACATGTATGAACAAGCCAAGAATACGCCTCCGCTCATCGACTGCGGTACTTTTTCGAAGAACGTCGAGGTGCGGGAGTCGCCTGAAAAAAAAAGAGGCTTGTTCACAAGCAAGGCGGTTGTCGCAGGCGAGCTGTTGCTTTGTGAAAAGGCTTTCGCTTACAGTTTTACTGATGAGCAAACCGCTTTTCTAAACTTTGAGACAAAGAAGGCGTCTGAAGGCGGCCATGTTGAGATTCTTACGCAAATTGTGCAAAAGATTTACCATGCGCCCGAGACGACCTCTTCATTCCTGGAATTACATCACGGCGAGTACAATGCCTTGCGCGTCGATTCTAAGCCAGTCGTGGATACGTAGGTCGTCCTTGCGCCAGTTTTTAACCTCTAAGACTGCTCACTCATCACAAATATAGCTTTCTCCTTCCAAACATCATCGCAAGAAACTCCTTCCGCAGTCCAAGAACCACGTTGGAGTCCTTGGGAGGACGTCTATGCGAAGAAGATTCCAGCCAAGTACGGATCAGCGAAAACGACCAAGCAATCTACGCCAACGGCATATGGAGCATCGCTTCATATATTAACCATTCTTGCGTTGAAAATTGCAACAGATCTTTCATTGGAGACATGATGATTATTCGTGCCACCGAAGATTTGCCCGCAGGCGCCGAGCTTAGATTTGCCTACGTAAGAATGGACGTGACCGAGCGATACGAAGAGTTTCAAGCTAGACTTGCTTGGTGGGATACCTCTTGTAACTGCTACCTGTGCAAGATGAACAAAAAGACCCCCCTCGCCGACATGAGACAGCGGCAAGCTCATTTTCAGAGTCTGGAGGAACTTTTGGCTAGATCTGGTTCTGTCAACGTGAACCAAGCGCGGTCGCTGTTGAAGCAGATCGACAAGACTTACAAGAATGCAGGCCAGACTAAGCTCAAGCTCGCTCTCCAGAGAGGATATCACCTCCTAGCTCAGGCATTGCAGGTACGTGACAATTTGGTCGAGGCCATGCTCATGCTGCGTCGTGTGCTGGAGCTCGAGGGTTTCATCCTAGCTAGCACTGCGGGACATGCGCGCCAGAACCCCGCCGTGATTGAGATTCGAAAATGGGGTGCTTGTTGCACCCAAATTTCTTTTTACGCTATTTTAGAGCTTTTCTTCCTGGGCATGAGAATCGACAGTATCCCGGATTCACCAGATCAGATGAGCGGCGTCATGGCCATGAAGGCATATGCCGAAACCGCATACTCCATCTGGTTTGGGGAAAAGGATACGTTCACTACCGACTTGGGAGGGTTCATCTAGGTAGCTGGAAGAAGAGTTCTGGTGTTTTTCTCAAAAGATTGCCTGCGAAGACGCCCTGGTTTGGATGATTTGATGTGGCTGATCCAATGGGCTGCGCAAGTGTATTAGCAGGGTATGTGACTCGGGGATGGTTTTTCTTTCTTTTTGTATCTCATGTAGGTATACTATTCACTGTTGATTCCAAACTCTTGCCTGCTTCAAGCTCGTGAGAAATTTATACATGCTCCGGCGATGTATACATTGGTGCTGGTATGTGAGGTATACGAATGGTACACTAGCATGCTTGGTAGAAACCGGCACTCTACTTGGAATTAGTGTAGAAAATCTCACAATAATCTTATATCTATTTTTGAAAATCTGATTCATTTCTAATTTATTTCAACTACAAATCCAGCTCATTTGATACGAGGCACCCTCAGGGAAACAGTCGGCCCCACATCAGCCTCGCCTGCGTCAACGTCAACTTTTCCACGCCAAACTTGAACCTTTTTTTCATTTCGCCATTCCATCAACTCTCCCTCACCTTTGCTCAACACACGCGCATCACGACCCTCCCCCCAAAAAGCGCCTCTTCCACCAACACAACCCGCCCCAGCGCGCGCCCCTTTCCAACCATGGACTACCAGAACCGCGCCGGTTCCAAGTTTGGCGGCGGCGGCGTGGCCTCCTTCTCGGCGACCAACGCGGACCGCCGGGAGCGGCTGCGCAAGCTCGCGCTCGAGACGATTGACCTGGACAAGGACCCGTACTTTTTCAAGAACCACGTGGGCACGTTTGAGTGCCGGCTGTGCCTGACGGTGCACCAAAACGACGGCTCGTACCTCGCGCACACGCAGGGCAAGAAGCACCAGACCAACCTCGCGCGCCGCGCCGCGCGCGAGCAGCGCGAGGGCAAGGCCGCCGCCGCCGGGCTCGACCCGGCCACCGGCCTGCCCGCGGGCCTGCTGCTCAACGGCGCCGGCGGCGCCGGCGGCATCCACAGCTCGCGCCGCAACATGGTGCGCATCGGCAGGCCCGGGTACAAGATCACAAAGGTCCGCGACCCCGTCTCGCGCCAGCAGGGCCTGCTGTTCCAGCTGCAGTACCCAGAGGCCACCGCCGCCGACGCCGCCCCCAAGTGGCAGGTCATGAACGCGTACGCACAGCGCGTCGAGGAGCCCGACCGCGCGTTCCAGTACCTGCTCGTCGCCGCCGACCCCTACGAGACCGTCGGCTTCAAGATTCCCGCCCGCGAGCTCGATCGCCGCGAGGACAGGCAGTTTTGCTTCTGGGACCCCGACGCCAAGGAGTTTTGGGTACAGGTCATGTTCATGACGGAGAGAGAGGCCCGCTTCAACGCCGCCCCGGGTTTGACGTCGAGGTAGAAAAGGGGAGCGGGCCATGTGGCCGGACGAAAGGGACAAGAGAGGACATCTTATTTTTGCTTGCTTGGTGTTTTCAAGGACTTGAGCGAAATTGGGAAACACATTATGTGCATTTGGTAATGGGCTCGGCGTTGGGTTTCTGTACAACTAAATTGAAAATTCTGCCCCACGGCATCTGCTCGCAATCGACATCTGGCGCTATCAAATTTGTATATTCGTGCACAAATCGCTGCTTCATCTAACACAATGACGGCTAAATAATCTACCTCTCGCTCACCAATGCTAGGATCTTGAAAGCACACGGCATCCTTTGAGACGCTGAAACTGATGCAAATGGCACTACTAGACAAGAAACCCCGTTTCCCCAACACATCAAGCATTTCAGGCAGCTGTAACCCTGTTTCTGTCTTTCTTCATTTTGTTCCAATGATGCAATGCAAGCCTCCTTCCTACGTACTAGCACACCCACAACCTCTATCGAAAGTTGTTATCGAATCGTTTGAAGGTGTAGCCTATGAAGGGCAAGCTCATCTCAGGCGACTCCTCGACCGGACGGTTGCCGTTCTGCTGCAGAGCCTGCGCCTTGAGGACAGTGGCATTGTCGGTCTGGTCAATCTCGTCGGTAGGGAAGTAAGTAGTATCAATGTTGGAGGTGAGACGAGGCTCAAACGGCGCACGAATGCGACGGAGACCATCAAAGTCGACACCACGGAAAAAGGCGTGGTTCTTAAGCTCGTGAGCACCACCGCGTCCCAGACGGTTTTCGGTGTTGCAGACCATGCTATGCATTGTTAGCGAGTGTTCTTGTAGCACGCAGCGCGTATAATACCTTCGGATGAGGTTCTCAGCCTCGACTCCCAGAGTGATATCATCAGGGAAGTACAAAGTCTGTCTCCAGTTGACAATCTTGCGGTAGGTGTCGTGGCTGTCCTCGGCGCAGAACGGGGGCCAGCCGACCAGACACTCAAACATGATGGTTCCCAGCGACCACCAATCGCAGTCGAATGTGTAGCCGTGACCGGTGAAAATCTCGGGGGCAATGTAGTCGGGGGTGCCGACGGTAGAGTACGCCATCAGACGTCGCGATCGTCTCCAGTCGTTTATCTGGGAACGGTTGCTAACTGTCAGGTTAATCTGGTCAATTGCGACCGAGTTGCGGTCTCTGGGTTTGTTTGAGCGGCCTTGTAGCAGCTGCTGGTAGTAATTGTTGTCGTGTAGGCGGTGGAAGCCGGTAGACAGACCGAAATCGGTCAGCTTGACATGGCCGCCACGGTCCAACAGGATGTTGTCGGGCTTGATATCGCTGCAAAAGATTAGCAGGGAGGACGATTCTGGGGCTCAGAGGTACGGACCGATGAATGAATCCAAGCTTGTGAACAGCCTCAATTGCGAGGACAATCTCGGCAATGTAGAATCGCGTAATGTCCTCGGAAAAGATTTCATACTTAATGAGCATGGTCATCAAGTCGCCACCAGGCAAAAACTCCATGAGCATGTACAAAAAGTACGTGTCCTGGAATGTGGTGTAGAGCTTCACGACCCACGGGCTGTCAGACTCGGCCAGAATATCACGTTCTGAGCGCACATGGGCGAGTTGGTCCTTTTTGAACATTTCCGTCTTGATCAAAGACTTCATGGCATACACCTTGCCGTCGCCCTTTTTCTGCACCAGCTTGACCTCACCAAAGGCACCCTTGCCGATGATCTTGACTGTGGTGTAGTTTTCGGGCTTGTCCTTTGTGCGTAGGAAGCGCAGATACTGTCCTTCTTTTCGACCTGCGGTTGACCAGAGCTGCTCTTTCCTAGCGGCATTCTGGGAAGGGTCTTGGAGCTTTTGCTCCAATTCGCTCTGTCTAGGTAGCAGTCAGCTCAAGTGTTCTCTCTCTTTCGAGCCAACCTGCACACTGGGGCCATACCTTTGATTGCGTTCACGAGCCCTCTTGACGCTGTCCTTGAAGAAGTCGGCAGCAAGCTGCGAGCACTTCTTCTGGTTGCTGTTAGTATTGCTGCCGTACTTGTCGGGGTTCCTCTCCGGGGTAGGCTGGAACTCGGGCGGCGCAGCAGCACCCTGCGTGGGCAGCGGGACGTTCGAGTAGCTGCTGTAAGCGGGCTGCTGGGCGCTGCCGCCGGCGGTTCGGGGGCGCTGGGCAGCGGCGCGCGGCGCATAGGGGGCCTGGCGAGCGGCACCTCCTAGGTTCTGGTGAGAGAACTGGTGGGCGAGGCCGGTGTTGGGGTCACTGCCGGGCGTGTTGGAGCGCGGTAGCTGGTACTGGGCACCGCCAGCGGCGGGCACGCTGTTGTAGTCGTAGCCGCCGGGCGGAACAGGATACTGCGGTTGTTGTGGCAGCGGGGGCTGCTGCTGCTGCTGCTGCGGCTGCTGCTGCTGGTACTGGCCCTGGGAGAAGTAGCCCTGAGGAGCATAGCTAGCAGCACCATACGCAGCCTGCTGCTGCATCGTCGTGGCTTGCTGCTGTCCAGCGGCGTTTGGGGGGAAGACGGGCTGCGGGAACGTCGAGGGCGTCGTGGGGTATGTGCGGTCGTTATTGGGGCGGTCGTTGTTGGACAAGGGCAGCCTGTCGTTGCCAAAGTTGAGATGCAGACGGTTACTGTTAGGGTCCATGTTGGGCGGCAACGTTTTTTTTGGTTTTATGCGGTATCGATACGGAGCCAAGGAAGGGCAAAAAGCATGCAAGAGCCGGAGAGCAAATGCAGGAAAGCTCGTGTTAGAGAACAGCTCGAGACGCAACCCAAAATGCGAGATTCGAAACGCGGGGGCCCAAAGGGGGGAGGAGGACTGGAGGGTCGGCAAACGGGCGGCGGCCAACGAGGGGCAGATCGAAAGGAGCTAGCAAGGAAGCTTGCCGTGTAGGAAGATGATCAAGCCAGGCAGGTCGTGCAACAAGGCGGAGTCGATGAGGAAAAGGACAAGACTGCAAAGCAAGATGCACTCGTCCAAGGGGTTGTCCAAGGAGAGGAGAGTCTCTGCTCCGGCGCGCATGCGATGGCGGTCAGGTCAGTTCAATTCAGGGGGGGCTTCGGGCTGGGCGGGGCAGTCACTCCAATACGTCTAGCACGTCCAACACTATGCGCCTCTCAAACTCAGCAAAGGCACCTATGCAAGCGTGCTGGCAGGGCCCTTTTTTTTTCGTCAATGGCTTGCTTTTACGAGGGTTCACAACAACGGTGAGAGGACAGACATTGTCTTATCTGTTGCATCAGAGCGCCAAGGGCGGCAGCCTGCAGGCAATAATATGTTGTGCTGTCAACTCAGTGGGGGTATTCTGTTTAGGAGTCGGCGCGTCGTGGTTGTCTCCGTAGTCGATTGTATTCTCCTGTTTGCATAGCACAAATAAATTAGATATTGCAAGATCAGAATTGCTTGCTACTTGTGTAACTGTCCCATTCAATCCTTTCGTTCACATAGACACAGGTTAGGACCTTTCCGCTGGAAGCTTGCTGTGCACCTTGAATATTATCCAGCCATGACAAGAAAAAGGTCCATAGAATACATGACTCCAGATAGCAGAGTAGAGTAGCAAATACTTAATTACTGCGCCGTGCTTGTCCCTGCATAACAATGGCCTCCCGTCTCTGCAACTGTAAGTCGGTTAAACCACGGTTGTGCTACAGCACCTTACAAGGCTTATCGGTCGGCGCGCTTATCGCAGCTATTTTTCTCAACAGGGTCACTTTCCCCCGTCTCTAGATACCTCCTAATAACCAGTCTACCGGACACAACTCTTGTCCAATCTCAACCATGGCGGACTCTTCTAAGCCACCGGCCGCCATCCCTATCGGCGGTGCCGCCGCCCCGGCGCCCGCCATCCCCGTCAAGCCCGCCGTCCCCGTCAAGCCCGAGGGCAACCCGGCCCTGCGCATGATGGGCCTGCCCAACCTGCCCAAGAAGCTGCCCTCGCGCAACTGGCTCATCTTCTGGGCCGTCTGCGGCAGCATCTCGGGCGCCATCATCTACGACCGGCGCGAAAAGACGCGCGCGACCGAAAAGTGGCGGCGCGCCGTCGCGCCCCTCGCCGCCGAGCCCATCGGCGCCGCCAACCAGCTGCCGCGCCGGCTGACCGTCTACATTGCCGCGCCCCCCGGCGACGGCCTGCGCGCCGCCCAGGACCACTTCATCGAGTACGCCAAGCCCGTCCTCGCCGCCGCCGGCGTCGACTGGGAGTTTGTCCAGGGCCGCCAGCAGGGCGACGTGCGCGCCGCCGTCGCCGAAAAGATTCGCCGGGTCCGGAGGGCCGTCGAGCGCCCGGACGAGCCGCTCCCCGCCACCGGCGAGAGCGTCGTCGAGGACCTTCGCGTGCACCTGGCGCTCCCCAAGTACCAGGGCGTTCATGGCGACGTCGTCTTTGGCCGCCACGCGTGGAAGGAGTACATCCGCGGCCTGCACGAGGGCTGGCTGGGGCCTCTGGACGCGCCGCCCGCGCCCGAAGTCCAAGTCCCGGAGCCTGTGGTAACCCCCGAGACCACTACCGACGGCGATGCTTCCGCGAAGCCAGAGGAGGCGGAGGAGAAGAAGGAAGAGAAGAAGAAAGACGAGAAGCCGAAACGCCCGCCGCAGCCGGTCCCCTACAACAAACCCGAAGACTACGACGCCGCCACCCTCCCCAGCACCATCCCCGACCAGTTCCAGCCGTCCACCGCCATCCCGTTCCCGCACCGTCTCGGCTTCCGCCACACCTTTGTGCGTCTCGGCTGGTTCTTTAACCGACGCGCCCTCGCCGACGATATCGGCCGCGAAGTCGCCGCCGTATGCTTCGCCGCCTCCCGTGACTACCGCGACGCCGACGCCGAGCAGAGGGACCTGCTCGCGCACGAGGAGCACAACTGGCAAAAGTCCGTCTGGGCGCCCGAGGAAGTCCCCAAGCCGGAGGAGGACACGCGCACGCCCGAGGAAAAGGCCCGCCCGCCCAAGGAAAGGATCTGGGCGAGCCCGCTGCTGGTCGACGACCGCATTGTGCAGCGCATGCGTCGGTTTGAGATCCTACCGGAGCACGAGGCGATTGCGCGCGCCGTGATCGTGCCCGAGGAGAATGTCGAGGGCTTCATCAAGGGCAGCCTGCGCGGGCTGTGGCGCTGGGGCGTCAAGACGTGGACAAACGAGCCCATGCGTCCCAATGTGGGCAACGTTGATGACGAATAGAGCGTGATATGGGACAATATCATGTCTGTTGTACTACTTTGTACTATTATAAAAGCATGGCCTCATGTTGGGAAAGGTCAGAAGGGATCTTCGTGTATATCAACCACCACCACCATCATCATAATCTCACATAATCGGGTTATATAGAAAAAAAGCGATTTTTTTACTTTACGCCAGCTGTCTTTCAGATAACCCGATATATCTGAAGACATTTAAAGAAACTGTCCATACGAGGAAGCAGTCCCAACAACTCCGTAAGATACAGATACAAGTATACAGTAAAATACACAATGCCACCTCTCCAGCATCATTCGTCGCTATCCGAGCCGTAATCGGCCAATGCCAGCGCCGTCGTTTTCGAGCTTCCCTTCTCTCCAATCTTCTCTACCTTTTCATGTTTCTCCTTTTCCTTCTCCTCCTGTTTATCCCTCTCCTTCTTCACCTCCTCGCCCACACTCACCTTTCTCCTCACCAACACACCACCACCACCGTCCTTCTCCGTCTTCCTCTTCCTCTTTCTCGTCACCCACCCCTCCTCTTGCTCATCTTCTGCCTTCACCTCCCCACCTCCCTCCAGTCCCTTCCTCGCCGCCTTTCGAAACGCCTCTAGCTGGTCCTCCGTCTCCCGCCGCACGCTCTCTTCCGCCTGCCGCCGCCGCGTCGCCACCTCGTCCAGAAACGCCACCTCGTCGTCGTCGAGCGCCCGGAACTGGTTCGTCAACTTGGCCGCTTCCGCCGTCGCCGCTTCCCGCGCTGCCTTGTTGGCCTGCAGCACGTCGTACAGGCTGCGCTCGCCCTCGCCGGAAGAGGCGGCGGCCTGGGCGCGCGCCTCTTGCCGCTGTCGCCGCTCCGCCTCGAGGTGTTGCTGTACCTTTTCCCACTCGGCTGATTTGCTGCCCACGTCGGGCACGGGGGCCGGCGCCGAGGGGTGGCTGCTGCTGCTGGCTTCGGTTTCGCCAGCAGCAATCGTCCCGCCAGACACGAAGCGACTAGACATGGCGCTGCTTGGGCTGTCCGCCTGTTTCTGCGTCTAGGGGTATCTCTGGTTCCCTTCTTTTGCAGTGATTTCCGGTGCGCGTCATGCGGCGTCAGCCATGTTATTGGTTGAGTTGTCAGCTGTGAAATGTCATGTTGCGATGTTTCAAAACACCTGGTGGCTTGTTGAATGACCTGAATAGCCCAAGTGCCCCGCTATACGAATTATACCTAGGTATGTAGGTAGGTAGATAAAGCTAATGGCCAATAACCCACGTTCACTGCGAGTGCGAGGACTCAAGCTTCACTCCACCAGAGAATGCGTGAAGAATGTTCGTAATTCTATTGTAGTGACGAAATACTGAGACTTTTTCCAGGATACAACAGGATGTAACACAGCAACTCCATTTTGTATGCAGCAGGAATTTAATATATACAGACTTTTGAGCATCACACCCTAAAATGAACCTAGCCAGTGTCCATGTCAAAGAAAACATCGTTGTTCGAATGAAAGGTTTCCGGAGACAGCGTCAACTGCCAACCATCGATAAGTCGTCATTAAACTTAGACAAGCCAAAAATCCTTCCTCTACTAATGCCGGCCTGTGATCAAGGCTTTCTAAAAAAAAAAAAAAGGACAAGAAAGGTCATGAACAATAAAAAAAGAGTTCTCAGACAGGGATACGCAAAAGAGTACCAAAACACTCTGAGAACGCACCGCGCAAAGAATTGCGATACATACAAAACAAAGAATAGCAAATCAATTCGACTCAGAAGTCGCCATGTTCCCGCTGAAAGCAATGCATAACGTCTCGTAATATCCCAAGCTTTTTTTGGCGGCGGCAGACGCCGACCGTGAAACCCAGCTCAGGGTTATGTAAAAATGTGCCGATGTCATTGAACGTAGCTTGTGGCTTCGCAGGATCTCGATATAGAGATATTGCCTGACTGGAAGCAGCAATGCCAGTGTTAATGAGCATGCAAGCACAATGTGATGCCGGCAGCGATCGAAGTTTTGCTGATAGTTGTAAATTTTCAAAACCCATACGATGAAAACGCCAATCCAATCCGTGAAGTAGAATGTGAAGAAAAAAATTGAAACCAGAACGCGATGCAAACCCACAGTGATAGGATCCTTTCGGGAGGATCCTTCAGAAAGGTCTTCTGTGGAAATATGTTGAGCCAAATCTATCGCAATTGTCGAGGCCCATGAAAACGAAGAACAACCGTAATGCCGAAGTGCGCCGATAATTCCATTATGAACGAATAGCGTGAAAGAGAGATACGCCGGGGATTCGAGCCCATCATGATTTGGGCTGTTGGACTTGCCGCGGCGGAGAGGCGCGACAACCAATTCCTCCGACCGAGAAACAAAACCGAAAAAAATGCTCCAGAAGAAAAAACATCTTGCGAGAATAACCGTTCACTTTTTCCGTGGCTGGGGTATCTGAAGAAAAAAATGCAGTCCTCGACAAGACCATGAAGAAATCGTAGTCGTATAAAAAAAAAAGCCTGACCCCTTTTATACCGTAAAACCGAAGAAAGAATGATAAAATGGTTGAAGCGAGTGACAGACATCTGTGGGTTTGATGATAAAGTGAAACCACAGATTGGCCCTAACCCATTACAGGTTGACCATAGCCAGGGGCCGCAAAGTACGAGTTGGACTTGATAGGCGCAGCACAGCCAGCACAGCCGCAGTCACCCATAGCGTGCCCCCAACCACTGTGATGGTACGGGTAGGCAGAAAAGGGCGCTTGGCGGTTTGGATAGTACTGGGAAGGCGCGGCTGATTGTGGATAGCGGTTGGCGTACTGGGTGGCAGCGTCGGAGAACCACTCATTGTAGCGCGCGTTGCTAGAAGTAGCAGACATGTCATAGTCCGGCGTACCGTACCCCGAGTCGGGAGGAGTGAGTGGAGCATTCCAGGGGTTGTGTTGCCAAATAGCATCGCGACCTTGGTATTGTTGCTGGGCCTTGAGCGACTGGTATCTTTCGTACTCGGCCGCCTGTGCTTGAAGATAGCGGGAGTTGGGAGAGTGACAGGAGCTGTTGTAACGGGAGAGTTCAGTGTCAATAGCAGGGACTTGAGCAGCCAGTCTTTCGCGTGAGACTTGAGCAGCCAAGCGCTTCCTGGCCACCCGGTAATCACGCCAGCTGTCGAGCCAAGCCTGGTAATCCTTGCTTAGATCGAGGTTGACGTAGAGACGCCAATTCATAGCCTGAACCCAGTCAAACTCGAGAGAGTTGAGCTCAGCGACAGAAATACCGCTGACTTCGGACCAGGACCGGTTTTGGAAAGTGTTGTCGTCGAGAAACTTGCTTCCAAGAAGAAGGGAAACCGTGAGGTAACGCCAGACCTGGCCCTCGGACGCCTTGTAAGTCTCTCCCTGTCCTTTCATGGCGTTGATTCGCTTAGCCAAGTAATTCATGCCAAGAAGGATAGTCGTGCTAGGCAGTCTTGTCGAGGTGAGAATCTGCTTGACGAACTTGCGGAAGGGCGAAGAGAGGGTAGAGCCAGGGGTGACCAGACGGGTCGCCATCTCCGCAATGTACTCAGTCATCAAGTCGACCTCATAGTCGAGGACGGCACACACGCCTCCGGGCATGATGAGATGCGGGGAAGAAGCCGACGAAGATCTAGAGAGACCTTGGTCGGTAGAATACTCTAGCACAGAGACGCAGCAGCGCGGATATACACGACTGATTGATTGTCTCAGCACCTGGCGAGTCGAGTAGGTTCTAACGGAGGGCGGGAGGAGAAAGACCACGTGTCTAGCAAGACAGCCCAGCCATCAATAATTCGAATTGCGTACACGTTGAGTCGGTACGAAGAGTCGTAGTGCCGTATGTCAGGAAAAATCGACGGCGTTGTGTCTGGGTGAGTGCAAGGAACCGAGGATTCGAGAGAGGAATCAAATTCGTGAGATAGAAAAGACAGGGGAAAATGATACGGTAGAACCAAGCACTGCGATGAAAAGGAGTTGGTCAGCCAAGTCTACCAGAGAGTTATGTCTTGCACCGTCGTAGCAGAGATCGTCTATTGTAGTGGCCACGCCAGAGTCCACCCGAGCCCTGGATTGAATTTGAACGCCACGAAAAGCACTCGGGACAGAAAGCTAAAATTTGGCCACAATGGCTTTTGCAAAGCTTCTTGTCCCAAGTCACCGAGGAAGACAATAATCGTTGGCTAGAGTGTGGTGATTGGCTCACAAACAAGCCATCAAAACATTGCGAACCGGCTTGCAGCAATGGCGGCGAGGTTGGGTGAGACGTCGGGGTATCGCACAAGGGTTCGAAGATTCTTACCTCTGGTAGAAAGAATGCCGTAAAGGTGTTTTGAAGACAGTGGTAAATTCGAAAGAGGCAGGGATGGTTCTGAGAGGCGAGCGTTCACAAACACGGAATCGAAGACACGACGAAAAGAGGCGTTCCAGCAGCAACAAAACGCTAGAAGCACCAGAGGTGGATTGGATGCTGGGACGCAAAAGGGACCGGAATTCAAAGTCGACGAACGATGACAAGTTCGCGACTAAAGATTGTCGAGTATGAATTCGGCGGCTCTCAAAACGTCGTGAGGGAGAGTAGAGGGGGGGAGGAGGAAAGGCGGTTGAAGGATGAAGAAAAGAGGCAAGACGAAAGGTGTGGGAGCATTAGGATGGCTCGGGATCATGTACTGGTAAACTGGTAGGCTGGGAGGCTACGGGCGGCACACCCGGGCAAGTTTGGGTGGGCAGGACAAGGCAGGACAGGAGTTGGTACCAGTATTAACAGGTAATTTGTACGAGTACATACGGAGATTGATCGGTGACTGGCCAAATCCTGGGCTCCCCCTCCCACCCGCTCTTCTGGCAGCCAGCCACTGAGACGGACTGAAAAAAAAAAAAAGTAACTACCTAGGTAGTTATTACTCTGTAACTAGTAAAAACCGCAACACCGGGCCCGTGTTTTTTTTTTCTGGTCTTCTTGTCTTTTTCCTGTTTAGCCCCAGTCTCGACTTGAGCTAGCAACACAGTGCGCGCTGTCGGGGAAGGAATGCAGTACTGGTACGCCAGCAGGCTACTTGGAGCTCCAGGCGGGACGGGATTATTACATGGCATTACCAGTGCGGTTAGTGCGAGAACAAGTATCCGAGTTGGCAGGAGGGGGAGGGAAGTGCGGCGGGGACAGGTACTGAGTACGTACATCAAGTGGCACAGTGCCTTGTCACCCTGTTGAGCCAGTAGTCGTTGCCCCCGGCAATTTTAGTGAATTTTCGTGCACCAGTAACAGGATAGGGGCAGTTCCACTTAACGGGGCAGCAGTGTTGCCCAAGCAGCTACAGGTACCAGTACAGTACCTACCAAGGGGAAAGGGTCGCTGTACCGTCCGTCGCCTAGGAAATTGCAATCCACCAATGGCCGCAGTTCCTCGGTCCCTCCCTGAAGTCTGGCCTGCCTTCAGAGTGCTTGGTTGGGGTGCCACAACCATGCACTGGTTCACCATTTGGCCAGTCAGCTCGGTTCACTCTGGTCTGCTAGCGTGTCAGGCCACAGCGGGAGTGCAAAAAAAAAAAAGTCACCTGGCTGGTGCATGGACACCGCTGGTGGGACCCCAACAAGGCATTGCGCTGGACCGGCGTGGCAACGGGGTCAGGGTTTGTGCTGTTTGACGACTGTTGAAGGAGCCCGCGAAAGTGACTCGATCCAGGCGTAAATAATAGGGGCCACTAGGCCAGCGCGCGACGAGGCGCCGAGAGCAGGTGCACAAAGAAGTACCTTATTACGCGGTTCGCGTACCGGTAGTTAGTTACGCTTGATCCAACGGTCTGCTTGTTTTTTTTTTGCCCCCCCTTGCCCCGTCTCAGCTCCAAAAAAAGATGCCCATGATTCATCGCCACAGTGGGATAGGAATCGCACTGTCTGGGCCGCCTGTCAGCCATCATGCGGGCAGCGACTCCCGTGTTGCGCTTCGCTCACGTCTCAGCTTGCAGCAGCACCAGACAGACATTGACTGACGGACTGGCCCGGAACAATGCTCATGCCAGCCCCTGGTGCTAAGTAGCCCGGTTCATATGACGATAATACCAAGGTAATAAATGTTAAGAGTGGTTGGTGGGACGGCTTGTAGTGTAATAACGAATAAGGCACTTCAAGTGAAAGAGAAAAGATAGTTATGGGGACGCAGCAGACCACAAGGCAGCAAAAAATACCTGGTAATCAGCCAATATTATTTGATGGCCGCGGACTTCTTGGCTGGGCGGGCCGGGCAGCCTGGCAGGCCATGCACATTGGCTACAGTATCTGGGCTGGGCACCAAGGCAGGTTCCAATGTACGGAGTACCTACTCCGTACATACAGCATACACTAGTTTGTAGGTACTCCGTACCTAGGTACGGAACCAATGCAAGGAAGAGGAATGGACAGGGACACCCATCAGGCTCCTGCTTCAACCACTCTGTCGCCACCCACAACCGTGTCACCGTCACCCCAGAGCACTGCAACCACATGCCTCACAGTGGGCTCCTCGCAGTCCTCCAGGCAATCAGAGAGGTCGCTGTATCGCTCGGAGGCGGGCCTTGAACGGGTTCCGATGCACGAGGTTTGAGGGGGAAAAGCAGCCATATTATGAGCCTTTATTCGAACACAAGTGGCATCGACTGGTAACAAGCCGGTGGGACCAGTGGTACTTTCTACTTGCATTAACGCGCTGCTCACTCGGCTTCTTAAGTACCGAGATACCTACCTACCCAGGGAGTCGCTAACTTATTACTAGAGGTACTTCAAAAGTTCAAACGCGGTTAGCATCGCTCCTGTCTGCTGCATGCCTCAAACACCGACTCAGACGCCACCCACCCGTGTGGTTACCGTTTGCCATGCTCGTCATCGTCATCATCACCATTTCGCCGCGTCTGTTCTAGTTATCAGGCTGGCCAAGGTTTCTCAAACTCGAATGCTAAACTACCACTCCTGCTCCAGTCTAAGCCCGCTTCGTCGCGCGCCTCAACTGAAGAAGAATGCGAGCAGACATCCAAGGATGACCCAGCCGAGCCATCACCATCCCGCCAATCAAGGCTAGTCTAATAACTATTGTCGCCTAGACCTAGCACAATGCCACGCTGTCAGACTCACCCCAGCAGGCAGTGCTCAGTTGGCCCGCCAGATGGGTTCTCGAACGTCTTTCCAAAAAAAAATCTGCCACCTGCCCACCAACTAACTAGGTAGTTATGTAGGTAGGAATGACTTGGAATGAGCCCACCACATGCGGTGGCTCTCTGTGCCTCTCCCTACGCGCCCCCCATCCAGCCATTTAGAACTTCAGAACCAAGCCGACATGTAGTCAACCAGTCAACCAGTTCAACCAGTCACGGCCACCGCAAAAACTAGCTCCAGCGTACCGTTGCTTCAACACTGCTTCACTCCCCACGCTAGTTAACTATCTTCTGCAAGCCAGCGTCATCAAGCATGCGGAGCCTCGGGACAAGAATTAAAAATGAAATTTACATTACAACTAGGTACTGCGAAGAGCGAGTGCGTGGCAGTGCCCGCAGTACTTGCAATATTACTACACTGACCGTCATGGTCGCTGTACCCCGAACCATGCTGCTCACCAATCCATGCCTTGCCGTTCCCCCGGAATTGGTGCCGTCACAATCCCGGACTACAGAAATCGAAACACGTCACAGGCCGCTCTACCTGGTTCGGGGGTATGTATCATTACTAGAGAGACTAATAACTACTATTTGTATGTGCTATAGCTGGGCACTGTGCGGAACCTGGCTGCTTCGTTACGCCAATTCGATTCTATTTTTCTTGTCAAAAAATTTGCCCAGGTTTAATTGGTCTCGGAGCTTGACCGCCTCAAATGTCAAAGAAAAACACATCAAAACGCTAAGCCCATAACCACCGAGGGCAAACTGCCCACTCACGACACTCACGACCAGACTGACCAGACTCGAACGAAGCAGCCTCAGTGGTCAGGAAAATAGCTAGCGTATCAGCGAAGGCTCTGGGACCTTCTTCACGCCGTCGTGGAGCCTCAATATGCGTCTAGCTCTTCAGCAGAAGTCACACGAGAACCGTGACCGCATGTTGGGTGCCACATCGTGCATGGGCGGAAGACGCCGATGGATGCAGTGTTACTCGCCAACCTGCCTTTTTCTTCCCTCACTGCTCGTCCAGTTTGGTCGGCTTGACCTGCCTGCATGAAATACTTATGGGGACAAGTTGATGAAGCTCGGCCGCAGACTCCTCCATCGCAGCCGAACCGGCTGTAATACTTGTCAACACCTTCAGAAATGCCTCAGGTCCACCACTTGAGACCTCAGGAACTACGTAGATTCTGCCAGCAGAATCCAAGTCCAACGCTGTGGCAGAACTCTAAAAGTAGTATAGCTTTTGCCGGCAGTAAATCATTTGTCGTCGACCTATTTTGTTTTCTCAAAAAGGGAAAGTGTAGCTGGCAGCTTTCAAAATCGTGCTTTCTGCTGGCAGAAACGTAGCCTTTTTCTGAACTCTGCCGCCAGGACTATGTGAAAATGGTTTTCCAGCTTCCGTGTTTAGACTGCCGTTTGGCACGTATGATTGTTACAAGTTGCACGGTTTCGTTTCTTGAAGCTAATCAAGTGCGCTGGTACTAGTTAGTGAATTCAATTCGGTAACAGATAACCACTAGACCAAGAGGGGAAGGCGGTAGAGCAGCGATGTCTTGCAGCCCCCAAAGAGGCAGGCGGTAAAGGCACCGATCCCGCAAGAGCGCTAAGTCCAGCAAGAACGTTCAACGGCAGAAAGTCGCAGGCGGTGGAAGCTGTTCGCCTCTCGCCCTAATAAACAGATAGTTACGTTAACGTTCTATAAGCATACTGCGTTTTATTACCCATGACTCTGGCCATCTCTATAGCGCCAAACATCAATTATATTAAATGATGACGACGGCCAATAAAGACGTGATAAGACGTCGCCACAAAGTCATTATCAAGGCAGGCTGCATCCGTATACATAAGCTGCCACTTGCTCGCCAAGCCACACGCATATTGACCAAGCGGGCAAGTATGGTTGTAAATGCTTTAGTACATTGATACCAAGACCCTGTCGCCTCTGACGAAGACATTGCATTTGCCGATCGACAAGGGGGAAAACCTGGCCATCAACTTGAGTGTTGGCGACGATGAAAGTTACAAGTTGGCCTTGGGGGTAGGCTTTTGAGGAACGCCACAAGTGGATGCTGCACCAATCATATCTCCCAGTACTTATACTTCAGGGTTCAAAACCTGCGTTCTTTTTTTTCCCTCGGGCGGCAAAAAAGACTCGTTTGCTTTGTCACCCGCCGCCACTGGCACTAGAGGGCGTGGTGATTGTCAGGATGCCGGGTGTCGTGAAAGTGGACGGCTGCCGAGGGGGGGCGGAGACGAAGGGAACATACGAAGCAACTAACACGACACATGGCATTTATTTAGGACAAGTTGTTGCGATGCTCCGCTGGTTCGTGTTATTACACGTAACATGACCGACTCGGAGGCGAAAAGAAGACGTCCCTGCTTCCGTGGCCAACTGCAACCCTCTCGCCTCCCAAGCATAACTAACTAGTTATCCATTCCATCTTGTTCAACTGGTGAGTGGCGTTGGGTTCGGATACATAGGAGCAACCCGGCAAAACGACTCGTCCGTCGGCCGCCCGCAGCTAGAAAAAGCTGCTGGGTACCGACACTGGTGCAGAAAAGCCTCGCTTGTCCGGAGCCAGAACAAAACGAGGAGCACCAGGTGGCGCTTTCTACCCTTTTCCTGCTTCTCCCACAGTGTCAAGTGTTCCAGGCTGCAGCAAGGCAGGCGACTGGTCGTTTTTTTTCTTCTTCTTCACCTTCCAAGAATTACAATTACCTGGTGTAAGAGAGGACCAACGCCCACGCCTACGACGCTAATTACCTGCCACAATTGATTCCCACCGCCTCTGATGAGAACAAGTTGACCATTTGGAATTTGTAATGTTTGTCTCTGTTGAGGAACGGCGGCGAGTACGAGCTTCCCTCTTTTGCTCGTGTATCCTTGTCCAAGCCGCATATTCAAAAGCCACATGTCTCGTAGCCGTGCCAGAAAAAGACGTTGCAGTCGGCCAGTTTCGGGTATCAAGGTATTCGGGTGTGCACTCTAGAAGTCTTCCGCAACGGGCCATTCTGTATGCCGCGTGTGTACTGCGGCTTCTTTTTTCCTTTTTTTTTCCCCTCCGGAGACGGCGTTCCGGACAGAATTACAGCACATCCCTCGCCGTTGCCGCAGTCCACGTTGTTCGGGCTCCCGCTCTAGCGGCCCGACTGAATGCACAATGAGGGGGACGAGCATGAGCTTTTTCCTCTTCCTTTACCGGCCTTCCCCGCCTTGATCACCCATGATGAGAGGAGGAGGAGAGGGGGGTGAGGGGACTTTCTCCAAAAGGTTTATTAGTGCAGTCCTGTGGTGTAACCCTTGGAAATGCAGGCAAGGTAGGCGTACAGAAAGAGTGGCACGCAAGCACGGCGGCGATTTTTTTATTTTTTTTGCTTGTACCGTGACTACACAGAGACAGAGAGAAGGAGGAGCGTGGGCCGGGTTCGGCCCGCGGGAGAGGGGCGCGCACCCGTGTCTTGGGTCGGTGAGGCTGTCATTTTCCATGTAGTTATAGGGTGACTGCTTCTCGGGGGAACTCTTTTGGGGGGCGCAACTACCACATAGATGTCCGTGTGGGATCGTGACGCCGGGCGTACTTGGCGCGTGACCTAGAGAGCCGCGGGCAAGAGGATGGTTGTTGACGAGGATCCGCGTGTGAAGCGAGTCGTTGCTGGCTCATGAAGCAGCGTACTTGCGGTCCACGGCATGCCATGTAATACGTCCGTTGGTGCCACCGTGGCTGGTATTTCGTTGGGTGCTCCCGTGCTGATGTCGGTTTTACGCTTATTTTGCCACGTCTGCTGGGCTGCCGCTCGCTCGCCTGGGAACTGACTATCAGTACAAGTGAGTGGGCAGGTACTTGATTGCCTGGTCCGTCAAACCCAAGCTAAAGAAGGACGTTACTTGGCTGAGGCAACGACGCAACTCTCTGGACGCTCGAACACCGTTGCAAGCGCCCCGATTCGATCCCGCTGACCGCGACGGACCAAGCGATATGCTCCTCGGAGTCATGTTATAACCAGAGTCTAGCAGAAAGACATATATTAATAACGAGCATGAGGTCGTCGAGTTTGACAACGATTCTGCGCCGCGCGGTCTCGTTTAGGACGGCGCAATGCGGTCTACAACACTCCCCCCCTCCCTTGGGAAGCGAGGTCGTCCGCATTTCTGCAAATTTCCTCTTCAACAGTCTAGCCAACTTCTCCGGTCTACCAACGCAGTCATCCTTTGTGCGTAGTCATCAAATCTCAAGGGCAGCATGCGCGGGCAATCCCATGTCGTAGCGCGCCGGCTTATACACTATGCTCCCTCCCATCTCAGTCAGTACTTTCTGTAGGCATAGCTACCCGAATCAGTCCTTTTTTTTAAGGCCCATTCGTCTGCGGTAAATGACTTCAATGCAGTTCGTGTGTTCATGCTAGTGTCCCCGTCGTGCCTGTATTCGGACGATGATCACGGATAGTCATGTTCCTGGACTGGTGGTGCTGGTACCTTTTTTTTCTCTTGCATGATGCCGATGCGGCCGATCCGGTGAAAGTGGCTTCTCCTGGCTGCTTTCCACGTCAAGAACATGATGCTCTCTGGGCAATGCAGGGCGGTCGCTTATGCTCGGAGCATGGCCACGCCTTTGCTGCCAGAGTACAGATGGGCATACATACCAGAACGTGCGTCAATGCGATATAGATGGCAATGCATTGGTGCGCATCATCTTCTCATGTTTGCCAGCAAATATTGCATCGCCCGCTGGCGCATTCGTCCTTGGTCGTCTTTTGCCCCCCATGTCGACGGGTCATGTGAGTTTTTGATTCTCTGTCGTCGCTGTACGGTCCAAGTCGTGCGAAGGTGGTAACTAGTTGCATTGAAAGCCGTCGTGTAAGCCTCCTGAGTCGCATCCCCAGCCGGCCACGCCATACACCACGACCATGAACTATCCGCCACCGACTTTCAACTCAACTAGTCAGATGCAAAGCAACAGACAGCGACAAGCGCTCACAAACCACTCAGAAGACATCGATGAGCTTGTTGAGGCCTGCCTGTTGTAACGGACATTCTACTCTAGGGTAGGCTACACGTGACTTTTTTTTCGCTCCCACATTGCAACGCACGAGCCATCTGGGCTTCGAGGCGGTCCTTTTTGCTGCGACGTGGCATTGGCAGGCGGCCAGTGGGGCTCCTCCGTCCACTGGCCGTGCCGTACCTCTCCAAACCTCCTTTGTGGCCAACCTGTCTCGATAACCAGCAACTTGGCGCGCCGTGATATCCTTCTTCATACCTGTTATCTTCTTTGCCAACTCTCGACCGTTCGCTTTCCCCCCTTTTCTTCGCTTCCACCTCACCCACCCAACACGCATACACAATGGCCGACCACGTTGAGAACCTCATCGATGTCCCCAAGGAGTTTATCAGGGAGGGCATCCAGTTCATGAACAAGTGCCAGAAGCGTGAGTTACGAACCCTGCGACCCGTGCCCGACGTCTGCGAAAGGGCCGGCCAATTGGCAAGGGGGACGAGTGCTCGTATTGGGGCTGCGGAAATCGAAGCATGCTGTCGGGAGATGCGTTGCCATAACCAGCGGCAGCGGCAGCGGCGCACTCTTGAAGCTCTTCGTGACAGCTGCGCGAATCCGCTACCCCCCGAGCCTCTCTTTCCGCCTCCCAAGCCCCGGACCCATCTTGACCCTCCACTTTACTAACAGGAAATCTGCACAGCCGACCGCAAAGAGTTCATCAAAATCTCCCAGGCCATTGCCATGGGCTTCGTCGCCATGGGCACCGTCGGCTACCTCGTCAAGCTGAGTACGCCAGAGATCCCCCGCTCCTTCCACACCTCCTTGCCAAAACCCGCTAACATATTGTCCCCTAGTCCACATTCCCATCAACAACATCCTCGTCGCTGGCGCGTAAGCGGACCGCCACCCGATGTCGCGTTCTCCATGCACGGAAATCGAAGAGACGGGGAAGCGTGGGCTTGGAAAACACGCTCCACCGCAAACATGCCTCTAATTTAGCACAAAGAAGAGAGAGAAGAAAACACGAGCAACTGAGAAATGGGAGATGACCGTCTCCCATACACAGCAACTGTACTGCATTCGAGGTGGTCGTTTTTTGGATGCGGCAATGGGGGGCCGCCGCACGATGTCACATATGTTGCACGCTTTCACGGATGGGAAAGCAAAAGGAGTTATTCGGATTACTGTGGCCTTTACTTTCTTGTTTTTGTCGTCACCTCTGGGCTTTGGTTGGAATAAAGGGGAGGGCCATGTACTTGCCATACACACCTCTGCTCGTATGAGCGGACTGTAATAATAAAACACCAAAATATTGCCTACAACTACAGGGTTCACATGTCACAGGAGAAGACCACGCCGAGACGGCACGTCCTGATTTAGATGGAATATATTCCTACAGCTTCCTGTGCAAGTCAAGAGCCCCAATCGATCCTCAGAATTAACGCCTGTTCAGTTTCTCATCAATCACGGCGCTGCCGCCTTCCACCACTCCAGCCAAGAATGAAGAGCAGAAAAGACTGCAGCACGCCGCGTATTATACATGCTCTCAACCGCCCAACAGCCCACCCCTTCCCAAAATTTTCCACAGTTTGCTTGACAAGACAACAACGCCCGCCACCGAGGCTAGTCTGGCTAAGACGTCATGCTATACGGGACAATCGCCTTGTCAATAATGGGCCACCGGCGCGCGCCCTGCTCATTCTCGGGGCCCCACTGGCTCCTCCACGCCGCCTCCTTGGCCAGGACGCTGTCAAACGCGGCGCGGCACGTGGGCGGCAGCAGGTCGCGGACGTCCTCGGGCACGGCGGCGAGGCCTTCATAGGCGGCGAGGTAGCCCGTCGGGTCCTTTGCGCGGTCGTAGTCGGCAGCGGCCGTGGAGTGCAAGCCGGCGGGGCTGTCCATGACGGTGTCGGCGACGAGAAAGTTGCGCGCCACCTTGTAGGGGACGGCGGGGAAGCGCGGACCGGCGGCGGCGGCCGTGGCCTCTTCCTGGTCGGGCGATATTTGCTCGATGCGCGCGCGCGTGGGCTGCATGGACACGGGATACTGCATCACGTTGGTGTGGATATCGTAGACGCCTCCATTATTGTGCCTTCTGATGGCGTTGATGTTGGCGTTGAATGTACTTTGCGCGACAAGTTAGTCAGTCTGTTTTTGTGACCGAATATGCGACAATTCGTGAGACTCACCTTGCTTCTCGAGCGTGCTCCAGCATCCAGTTGGTGTCATTGACATTGACCCGACGCTTTCTATATTCCGGCTTGCCCGTGGGGTCCGGCACCGACGGCACGTTGGTGTGGTAGACGGCACTGGCGCCGTGCCATGCCACATACTGGTTCTTGTTGTACGCCTCGCCAGGGATGATGCGGTCGTTGGGGTCCGCAAGCTCACCCTCGACCACGCCGGCGGCCTTGGCCCCGGCGACGTCGTAGTCGTCGATAACGCGCTTGCCGCCGACCACGATGCGCGCACCAAACTCGCGGAACACGGACCGCGCCGTCACGATGCCTATGGAGCGGCCCTTGTACGAGTGGGGTATGATTTCGCGCTCAATCATGTCGCGCTTCTCATCGTCGTCGACGATGATCTTGTACAGCTTGCGGTGCTTGGTGAAGAAGAGGTAGCTGTCACGGAAGCCCACGCAGCGCGCGGGCTCCGTTGACAGCATGTACAGGCGGTTGCCACGGCCCAGCACCGTGAAGGTGCGGCACCGGTAGTCGCGGTCACCCTGAAGGTTACCTAGCTTGTCAACCTTGGCCTCGCCGTCGGCGTCTTCGGCCAGAACGCACTCGTCGTGGGCAATCTCGGCAATGGTGCCCTCGGCGTCAATGACCTGCTCCGCCTTGGGAGGCGGCGCACCGCCCTTACGACCACCACGGCCTCGCCAGCCGCCACGTCCACGGCGGCGCGGCATGTTGGCCTCCTCTTCGGTGATGGTAATCATGTTATCCCAGCCTGGGGGCTTGTTCTTCGGCGGACGTCCTAGACGCTTTCTTCTGAAGACGGGAGGAGCAGGCGGGGTTGGCTCCTTGTCTGATGGCTCCTCTTTGGTCTCTTCTTCAGCAGCGACTTCTTCGTTGTCGTCGTCTTCTGGCTCTTCCTCCGGAGGCTCCTCATGATCTTCGTCATTTTCGTCGTCCTGGTTGGCAAGCTCTGACATTTCAGTAATGTCGGCGTCGGGCATCGGCTCGTCCTCGACGTCTGCGAAACCTCGGGGGGTGCTCTCTGAGGACAAAATTGAGTCAGCAAAGAAAGACCTTCTTGAGCGCCCAATTTATATGGGGCGAGCTGCATGAAATCCATCCATCTTAAACGGCGCTGGGCCTTGCGCGTTCTGGAAGAAATGTGAAAGCGTCGAAGTCATACCTAGAGCAGCTGCCGCCCGCTTGGCAGCGGCACGGCCAGAGCGGCGACCCGCAGGCATCTCAAGTTATCGAGCGAAAATGTATCAATTGTGTGATCGTTAATCCGATACGATAATATGCCGTGGCGGTTCGATAGTCGTCGTTGCGCCAGAAACAGGGTGTTGGCTTGACGTCGCAATTCTTTGAGTACGCTTGGAGACGCGCCGCGCAACTGGCAAAGCTGCCACCTTCAACTTGATTGGGCAGCCAGTGGTCTGGCGGCGTGTTAATACCACTACGCACTGTGCACCCACACTGTACTGTATGTATCACCCTACGTATTTGAGGAAATGAGATTAAGAGCATTCAAACCAATCAATTTTTATACATCTCTCCATAAATTAAACTGACCGCCTCTACGAATGCTCCATGTGCTAATAATGTCATCTGCATGGCTCTTTACAGAGTGTCCCATCCGCCGTTATTGATTTCAGCCTCCAGTTTACGGCTGATCAAGCTTGGCACGCCGTGATTCAAAACTGTGTTGCGAATCATGGAGTCATATCGCTTTTGGTTCAAGAAGAGCTGTCGCCCGTGGCGTAGCTGAGGATCAGTCTCACCGTATTTGTCGATATATGGTACTGGTGTAAAGGATCCAGAGCGTCGGAAGAGGTAGATGATGGAGCATTTTCGAATATTGAGGAAAACGCCGATATTTTGCTGACACCTAACAAATGGTTAGCTATTATGTAAGATCATCAATGCTGGCCAACATACTTTCGCATGTGCTGCTGGGCTCCTCCAAGTCTAGTTGATTCTCTGTCAGAAGAATCTGTACGCTGGCAACAGGTGCCTTGACTGCAGAAGAGTGCTCCGCAAAACATGCACAGAACAGGATCTGTCAGGTCCTTGCCAGTGGTCGGGCAGCGGCTTCTAGTTGCCTCCTCAATCAAAGTGTCATAGGTCTTGGGCAGGCCGATGAGTTCGAAAATGCCCGGGTGGCTCATCATGCCTGAACGCGGCACTTCATTGTATGCTCGTGGCCACATGACCTGGTGCTTAACCCATCCAGAAACAAGTGCCTGCGTAGTCTCTGGCCAGCCGCAAGCCCCGGCATTGGGGGTCAGGGCTGCACACATCTCGTCAAAAGAGGGAATGCGCAACGCCTCCGTTAACCGGTCAAGCTCATCGGCGTCGACCGAGGGAGAGACGTGGCTGTTGAAGTCCACCCCATATTTAACGTAGAGAAATATCAATGACTTGCGCAAGAATGTGAGGGCGTACTTCTTGGCAAAAGTATACCAGCCTTCAAGAGAGTCCACGCCAGGCTGCTGGAAACCAAGGTGCTCTCCGCTCTCAGTCTCATCTGCGGAAGTGAGAGCCTGAAATTCCAGTGCATTCTTTGTAACGCTCAGCGCGAACTCTGCAAAATTATTCATGGCTGGATCTTGTGTTTGCCTATTGGTGAGGTTCTCTAGCCACATGGTGGCCGGCATGTTTCGACCCATGTGGAAGACAATCTTGACAAGCTCAGCAAGGTAACACAGCCTCAAAACATGCGAAATTTCAACAGTTTGCGCGTGGACGAAGCCGTAGGAGCATTCCACCAGGAAAATGAAAGGATCCATGCTTAAAAGCGGTGGGTATACATCCAGTGGCCTGCGAGCATGTGGCGTACCTGTACCAAAGTAGCGCGACATAAAGAGCTGGCAGTGCTGGCGCTCCGAGTCCTTGTTGAACTCGGCCTCTATCTGTTGTTCCGAGCGGGCCATTACGGACATGAACGATGAGACAGTCTCGGACAAAACGCGGAGGTGGGTGAGGGTTTGCTCCGGAATCTTTTCTAGCAGCGTCATTCCTGGCTGCGCTTCTGTGCCTCTCTGCTGGATTTCCACAGAGGAAATGGAATAGCCCACAGAGTGAACAAGCGTACCGTTCAAGTGAAACTCTTCCATATCGTCCGCCTTTGTGTCAGCCACGTGGCGGGCGTCCAGGTCATTGAGTCGAAGCGTCTCTCTTAGTCGGCGGTATGCAGATTTCAATTCACTGATGAGTTGCGAGTTGCTCGCCGCCGGAAGTGCATGGCCAAAGGGGGCATGTGCTTCTCCTGACGCAGCCGATGCTTCTCCTGCTGCATCGAGAGATGCTCCAGTTTGTTCTTGACCCCATAGTGCGTCCGGATTGATCTGCGGTTGGGCCATCGTTTCGACGAGGCTACCGGGAACACTAGGAGTATAAAGGGCTGGAAGATTGGAATCATCAAGCTCAGGCGCCTTACTCCCCCCCAGCCAGTATGCAGATCCCATCTGTCTAGCCAGGAAATCTCCAAATGACACTTGAGGCTGGAGATAGCCCGGATAGCTCTCTTCTAAGCCCCTCCAGACAATGGGAAGGAATGCGTTGCCAAGAGCTTTGCACAAAGGACAGACGAATTCATTTCGACGAGTGTCCTCTGGGTGATGGCGCGCAATCTGATGAGTGTGCCTGCGGTTTGTGGCGTCATAGTATTGTTCAAAGCAGCGGAAGTGCATCATGTGTCCACATCCACTGGCCACAGGTCCAGGTCGAGAGAATTTTGCGTCGAAACCCTTTCCAATCGTTTGCCGCTCTGCTAAGAACGTTTCGCCCTCGGAATTGAGCTTCTCTACCATCTTTCTGTTCTCTCGAGCAATTCCAAAGGGGCGAATGTCTTCAGCAGAACGATCCAGGCTGCACGGCGTCTGAGACGCCTCCCGAACTAGCTCGGGGTCTTGGAAGTCGGTTTGTCGGAGGATACGGCTGTTATTTAACAGCGCGAATGTACCGTAAAGTTTACGATCATCGGCTTCTTCCTGGCACAGGATGCAAGTACCAGTAGGATACTTCCAGTTATGTTTCCGATCCTCGGCAGGCTGCAGGTGTTCGTCTTCCTCCAGATCGGAGCCCCAATCAATCTCGCCCTGGTTTTCCATGAAGCTCTTTTGCTGCTGCTGGAATTGGGCCATGACCTTTGCTTGGCGGTTAAGGGCCGCTTTCTTTCGTCTCTCTCGCTCCTCATCTGCGGAAGCGTTGGCAGGTGATGCGGTATCGACCCGGTCAACGGTGATTCCAAGGTGGACAAGAGATGCTTGGAAGGCACCTTGGCGACGCTGCTTCAGTCGCTTCAGCACCAACGAGATCTTGGGATGAGAAGACTTGAAAGCTTCTTTGGTGGACAGGACGTGCAGAAGGGACACAATAGTTCTGGCACTGTGGGCGTCAGGCATGAAGTTTCCTCTGGACGTCCTGGTGAGCGCAATGTGTACAAAAGAGCTGGGCTCATCACCAGTATGACCCTCCTCACTCGAGTTGTCTTCGTGTATGGCAATTAGCATGAGATGCAAAACAACCTGCAAGAACGTCTCGAGTCTTGTAACAGGAACCAACGGCGTGAATCTTTCGGCTACCAAAGGGTACAGCAGCGAGTAGTAAATAATTTGCGCAAACATGCCAGTTCCTGTGAATTGACCCAAGTCTTTGAACAGACCGGACGGGATGGGGCGATGCTTTGGCTCATAGACGATTTCTTCCACTGATTTGCCAGTCTTCTTAGCCATCTTTTTGCGGTATGCCGTTTCAGATTCTTCCCGTTGGTTCTTGTTGTAGTGTGCAATGTATGGGTCAATATCTTCGATAAATTCTGGTCGTAGCTCGAACGTGCCCACATCGGAGATACCTTCAGGAGGTTTGAAAGTGGCCATTTCATCCAGGACGTTGTGAAAATCTTCTTGCTCTTGGTACTTCTCAGGTAGCTTGTTGCAAATTTCGTTGAAAGAAAGTGGCTTGAAGCACAGCACGTGCGTGATGTCCCGACGCATTGCCAGCATGCGAGAGTTAGGCTCATCCTCAATAGCAATCAATGATGTGCGATCACTGAGGAGCACAATGAGAAGGTGAACCATATCTTCCACAACATCAAGATGTTGATTGTCGTCTTGCGCTTCTGACTTGAGTTCAAACAGGCCTTTTACCCACTTCTCCATGCCAAAGCGATCAATTATTGAGGCAAGAACTCGACTCGGGTTGCAGATAACCATGGCAGTCTGCAACAAGAAGATATCGCGGTGATGGGAAACGTCTCGCTGCAATACACCCTTGTAGGTGCTCGCTTGGTGCCGTAGGCTGATACCGTTTCTAACCCACATGTTGGCTTTGATTTGTGCCAGCCAGGCGCATACTCTTAAAGGGTAATCAAAGGCAGCCATTAGGTAGTCTTCCGCTGTATAATTAGTTTTTGGGACCTGCGGTCGCCCCATTAGCCTTGGCTTCGCCTTGAGCTCTTGCAGAGTGAAGCTCATCAATTTGTTGATATCAAAGGCGGATAAAGATCGGCCACACTCAATCAACCAGGACAGGGTGTAATGTAGGGCATGGTGGAAGCTGATTTGGTCTTTCTCCACCACAAATTGGACGACTTGGTACGCCGCTGAGTCGAAGTCAAATTCGAAGTCATCAAGAGTCTTGAACTTCACCTCTTCCTTGATTTCACCGTGCTTGAATCTTAGGCGGTCAGCACCAATAGAGTTGAGGATGACCGTCTTAGCGGTGAAACGGATGGCACGCTGAAGATAAGCAGTCTCATCTTGGGGGCAGTCTCTGAAAGCCTCGGCGAGGTTTCGTGCTTGAAGATTGATTTGACGTGTGACGAGAGAGGCTGTAATCCAAGAATCGGCCTCGTATTCGACGTGCTCTACAACGGCGCGGACATTGGGACCAATGCATTGATGCAACTTGACCAAATCAAGGAATTGCATCAGATATCTTGGTTCGCTGCGCACCCGCTCCTGAACATGGGGAGACCCGAAAAGATACTTGAGGTCTTGGTAGAAATGGTACATTCGTCGATTTGTCACAGAGCCACTTTCGAAGCCTAAGACTGCATCAGGAGAGATGTCCCATGGATGACCAACTTGGCGCGTCGTCAGGAAAGTGTAGAGAATCGCCAGCAAGCTACTCATAAAATTGCCGCGCTCTACCACCTCGGCCGTGATAGAAGGAGTCGTAAGCATCTGTAAGGAAAGGTTGATAATAGAGTGGTCAGGTTCTCTATCACCAACCAAGTATAGTTGTGCAAGGATGGTGTAGAGACTGGCGAACCTGAGTGCTAGGACGCGCTTGAACTCTGGTACCGATACTACAGTGGATATATACAGGGAGCGAAGGTCATTTCTCGCCTTCTTCCACATCCGGAGGTCGAATAAGAGAAGCCAGTCGAGTCGCACTCTCTGGAAAACATCTTCAGCAGGAGAAACGTTCTCACGCAGAGTGTAACTGGCGGGTGTCTCGATCCAGTATGGACCAGGGCGTGCCACAGCCTTTTCTGTTTTGCCGGGGGTTTGCGGAATATCGAGGTTTGCTTTGGGATAGGCGGCCGGTGGACGAATGGCCTCGACAGGGTCTGAGTCTGATGGCGTGCCTTCTCTCTCCTGCTCTGCACCTGTTGCTGCTGTCGTTGCCTGTGCAGGAGGAGGGGGCGGCGGGGGCGGATATCCTGCCATGGTCGCTTCATCCTCTTCTAAAGCTTGATCCGATTGACTCCAGTTCATGTTTAGATCGCCAACATCACCTCGGGCGTCGACCATCATGACGTCGTCGTCGTCGTCGCCACCAGCTATCACTACTGAGCTAGTGTGAGACGCGTTGTCATCTGCGTCTTCATCTTCCAGGAAGTCATCAAACCCAACCTCAGCCAGGGCGTCGTCGTCAGACTCATCATCATCATCGTCAATGCCTACCGCCCCCGCTGTGCCCTGAAGTGCCAGAATGAAGTGTGCATTAACACCTTGAAGTCGAGCTCTCGACATCATAAATTGGTCATCCTCGTCTTCATCGTCGATAAGCCCGAGTGTGTGTGTAGCGGGACTGCCTTGCTTCCATGGCTTCATGACTTCTTCGCAAACTGTATTGCGAAGTATGTGATGGTCTGGTCCCACGGAGCAGCCGGAAATATCACCCAGCCATTCGATAAGAGCGCCGCACATCTGCTCTCGGAACGTGTCTCGAGCGGATCGAATGGTAATTGTGATTCGGATTGCTTCTAGGATTCGTGACATCTGGAGCAATTCCTTGACATCGCGGCTGTATGTCAGTATACTGCGACCCATAGAGTCCGTATCCCAAGCGTCTCGCGAAGCTTGACGCCTTGTTTTTCTACACGCGCGAGCGACCTGGTCTTCCACTTCTTGCACGGTGTGCTTTTCGTCATTCCATAGGATAAGCGCATATTCGTCGCATTGCTCGGCGGTAGAGTTATAATAAGAAGACGAGAGCCTCGATAGTTCTTCGTCCTTCTCGATGGATTCCTTTGTCTTTGCTTGGCGAAGCTGCTCCGGCGAGCAGGAGATGACGTCGCATATATAGTCAAAAGCGCGTCCGACAGTCATTTGAATGCTGGATATTATATCTTCTGGTAGACTCGCGGCCTCTTTTCCTTTTCCCTTGTTTGAACCAGAGTGTACATCCGAGTGTATGGTGCAGAACAACGGCGTCCTCCAGGCTTCATCGTCACCACAATCGCAGCATCCGCTATTGCCGACAGATATTGATATGCGAACCATGTGCCCGGTATGATCGGTGGAATCGAAACATCTGCTACAAAGACAGCATGTCTCATCAGTCCCACAGGTCCTACACATGTATGAGGCTTCGCCAGACTTGAAGATATGACCGCAGCGTTTGCCTCGTGCTGCCTCTGTGTACTCGGCGCCTTCGAGGGCGCCTTGAGCATCGCCGAGCTTGAGTGTGTCCGGGAGCTTTCCATCAGGAAATAACAGCCGCATGTACTCGTCCCTACCGCCGGCTAGAGACCAAAACAAGCTGCGCAGCAGCTCCTTCTTTGCCTCTTCTGTGAAGCGGTATTGGAATCGAGACGGTAGGTCGGCGAGCAGCTGGCAGAGCTGCTGCTCCTGGGTAGACATCGGTTGGTCCATCCTCAAGCTATCATTATGTATTTGGATTGAATGCTGCGTGACAGAGACCTGCGTCGGCGGGGCCTGAAGGGATTTTTGATGGCGAATATTCTCGCTGCGGGGGCGAATGCGATGTCGAAGAGCACCAATCTAGTGTATAGGTTCGGCAGCGGTGAGGACGGGGCAAAATCGAGCAGCGGTTCAAAGTGTGTGAAAAGAAGTATAATAAAGGCAGAGAACAGCAAAGCAAGCTCAAGTGTTGGAGTGGAACATTGTTGTCTTGTTTAGATGGAGGTAGAGGACAGCTTCAGCGTTTCGTGTGCAATGGACGCCTACTACCTAAGGTAAGCCGGTCGGTGGATGCCCCTCGCCGAATGAGGTGCTGTAACCTGTAGTTAGGTACCTACACCGACGTCAGCGCAACGACAGGGACAGCGGAATCGGTCGGCCACCATGCAACGTAATTATTCGACCCAAGTGTGATGAATTTTGGGAGGGATCAATAGCTTTATTCAATTTAATAAATGCTGCATGCGCCATGCACTTCACCAGGTCGCTCTGACCATGCCACATCCACGAATCTGCGTTGAGCATCCAAAGCATGACCAAAGAACTGTTGTTTCCATTTCTATCCGTCTGGGAATCTTTTATACATGTTTACAGCGCTTTATCGGCATCCGAACCCAGCAAGGTTATTTACTCGTCATCCTCGGTCTCCTCGACATACTTGTGGCGGATGTCCTTCCATTGGCGCTGGCCTGGGTTAGCAAAAACCGCCTTCCGTGTTTAGGATCGCCAATCACTTACGCCACGGTTGTTGTTGTCCCAAATCTTGTTCATGGTCTGGTTGAAACCGCTGTGTCGCGTATTAGCATTCGGCTCGAACGGGGTTCTCGGCACCGAGCGTACATCTCGAAAGCAAAGCCAGCGGTAAAGATGGCAGCCAGCATAGTGAAGTTGTTGCGGAAGAGGGCACTGTATTCGTCGTAGGTTAGCAGTCGCGTCCAGTCGGGATCAATTCGGATTCGGCTCGTTCGTCGACTTGCCCGTAGATCTGTAGCGTTGCGGCATTAGCACATGAGGTGGTGCGTGACGAGCAGGGCTCGACGCAATACGAGATTGGTACATACCATGATGATGGCTTTGTGCGATTGAGCACGATTCGAATTGTCTCGGTCTGGAACGGGCCGTGTGGCGGGCTGTTGGTGAAGCAGAAGGCTGATGTGGTAGGATACCGGCAGAGTTGCCGTCAGGGAAATTCAGGAAGTCTTCTGCGAAGCCATTAACTGGGCGCTGATTGGCCAGGCGAGTGCAGCGCCGACCTCGGTTCCACTTGTAGCCCGATGGCTTCCGTGAACTCTTTGCGCGACAATGACATGGCTTTGCCACAATGGGTTCATATCTCATTGTGTATGGAACTTATGGAAGACGTATAAAATTAGAATAATATAAGAGTAAAATAGAATGAAACGTTAAAAAGTTAGATCTACGAGAGAAAACACCCCGAAATAGCAGCAATACAGTGATCAAGTGCTGGCATCCGTTCCAGTGACTTTGCTTCGTCACACTCGTGAATCGTCATTAAATATACCTAGCGTACTGAATCAGAGTATTTACGAGTTATTGATCAAGTATTGAATTTTTGATTCCGTGTTGATGCTCCTGCAGAACGCCACGATATGGTCCACGTGCCGTGCCAGCATGCGTATGTTCTGCAGTGTGACACCGTCAAACCAGAGTCTCACAGTTTATCATTTCTTTTCGCCTCATTTGCACACTTTGTAATTTATTGATCATTTCGAAACTGGCCTCATACGACGTTGTGTCGCATTCTCAGCAAGTCAGCCAGTGTGGGTCACCAACACCCCACGTTGAACACGCCGGGTTTGATGGCTATCGGGGTGGCATTTTTGATTTTGATGTCTACTATAAATACCTACACTTTTGCAATTTTTTTTCTCCCACAATCTACAACCCGGCGCATATAAAATTGATAACAGCACTGCACACGCCGCACGCTATAATTCACTAGCGACCATAATACCGGAGCAGCATCTCCAAGCAGAGGCATTTGGCGGGGCAGGCGGACAGCAGCGCGACCATGCCACCGAGAGTCACGAACGCGGGCATCGTGACGGACGAGACGAGCGGCGACCGCCACATTCCAGAGTCTCTCCGTGCAGATGGAACTACTCGCAAAGCAATCAAAATTCGACCGGGCTATCGACCTGCAGAGGACGTTGAGCTATACAGAGCCCGCAATGCTGTCGCACAACGCGAGCGCAGGCGCGTGGGCGTACCCGGGGCAGAGGCACCAAAGGACGAGACAGCACAGGTACAAAGTGCCTCCAGTAGCACTGAAGCACTCGAAAAATCTACAGCTCTGTCATGGAGACGAGATGACGGCAACGCTGCGACCATGCCGTCACCTAGCACATCCGCCGCCAGCCTTAAGAATGCGAAGCGGCGAGAGGCGCGCAAGAAGTCCAAGTCTACAGATTTAGGGGACGCAGCATCATTGACAGAGACTCTGGCCTTGGAGAAGACGGATACGCCCAAGACAGAAGATGTCGACCGTGAAGTAGAGCGTGAAAAGAGGGTGCGCAATTTGAAGAAGAAGCTGAAACAGGCCAAGGATCTCAAGACGAAGAAGGACGAGGGCCAGGGATTGTTACCGGAGCAGATTGCCAAGGTTATTAAAATTAACGAGCTGATCCGGGAGTTGAACGCCTTGGGATTCGATGATGAAGGTGAGGTGAAAAAGGATGCTGAGCTGGTATCCGAAAAGGCCACTGCTTAAGTGATGAGTCGGCCACTGTACTACGCAGAGCTGGGGCTTGGTAGATTCATAAGCCGTTCGGAGGCGTGTAAAATAAAGGGATCCAATTAGGCGTTGAGCAGTCGATTTTTATGTATTCATCTTTAATAATAGAAGATGACATTGAAACATCGATTGCGCTTTTATCTCACATTGGAAGCAAGTGACATCGATTGCGCTTTTATCTCACATTGGAAGCAAGTGACGGTGACTTGGCAGATGGGCAACACACCCTGTTGAGAAAAAAAGTCTGATAAGAAGGGTGGAATGCATGGCGGTTCTGAGAAGAGAATCGACACATATGTATTTTGGACTCAGATATTGTAATAAGTTTCATCCGAATCTCAATGAATCACACCTAACTAGGTACCTAGTTGATACTTGTATTCGTCACTCGCTCGCTTGGCTCATATAGCACCGCTGCACATCCAACGACGGACAAGAGAAATGTGCAAAGGACGTACATCTATAGAGAGGCTCATATGGAGGCTCATACTTGAGTAAAAAATCATTTGGAGTTGCGTTTGACTGTAAATCAATAACTGGCATTCTCTCAACTGGATCAAAGGTAACCCTTCCGTCCCAATGCGGCTAGTGCCGACTTTCTGCCACCCTTGGCCACTGGCGCAAGCGCAACAACCCAAGGCTCCAGCGGGTGAGGTAAGCTCGCAGCCAAACAACGTACTTCCCAACCACAACCGCGCAGCTCCAACCCGTCTCAACAACGAGACGCACGAGGACTGCGGAATCAATTTAACACCAGGAAACGAATAGCGACCAATCAAATATGTCGCCGGAAGAGGAGCGCCAGACCGCCCTGAACTCGTACCGAGCCAAGCTCATCGAGTCCCGCGAGTGGGAGGCCAAGCTCAAGAACCTGCGACTAGAGATCAAGGGCCTGCAAAAAGAATTCGACCGCACAGAGGATAACATCAAGGCGTTGCAGAGTGTCGGGCAAATTATCGGCGAGGTGCTGAAGCAGCTCGATGAAGAACGATGTAAGCAGCATCTACTGCTGGGCCTGCGCGACGGCCCACGCGCCGTCACCGCTAGCAACGCCGTGCGATGGCGTACCCGAACAATAGAATACTAACACAATCGTGACAACTAGTTATCGTCAAGGCGTCGTCTGGTCCTCGCTACGTGGTCGGCTGCCGGTCAAAGGTCGACAAGGCCAAGATGAAGCAAGGCACCCGTGTAGCGCTCGACATGACGACCCTCACAATCATGCGCATGCTGCCACGCGAAGTCGACCCCCTCGTATACAATATGTCCCTCGAAGACCCCGGCCAGGTCAGCTTTGCTGGTATCGGTGGTCTAAACGACCAGATTCGTGAGCTGAGAGAGGTTATCGAGCTGCCGCTGAAAAACCCGGAGCTTTTCCTGCGTGTCGGTATTAAGCCGCCCAAGGGTGTCTTGCTCTACGGACCGCCAGGAACCGGCAAGACTTTGCTAGCGCGAGCTGTTGCCTGCAGCCTGGAGACAAACTTCCTGAAGGGTATGTGGACGGTTCTGAAAGTACGGGATGCAATGCTAACGTGCCCCAGTGGTCTCCTCCGCCATCGTCGACAAGTACATCGGCGAATCTGCGCGACTGATTCGCGAAATGTTTGGCTACGCCAAAGAACATGAGCCCTGCATCATCTTCATGGACGAAATCGATGCCATCGGTGGACGACGATTCTCCGAAGGCACTAGTGCGGATCGAGAAATCCAAAGAACTCTGATGGAGCTGCTCAACCAGCTGGACGGTTTCGACTATCTGGGAAAGACCAAAATTATCATGGCCACCAACAGACCAGACACCCTGGACCCTGCACTGCTACGTGCCGGTCGTCTGGACCGCAAGCTTGAGATCCCCCTCCCCAACGAGGTGGGCCGACTCGAGATTCTCAAGATTCACGCGGCGGGTGTTTGTCTTGATGGCGATATTGACTTTGAGAGCGTCGTTAAAATGAGCGATGGTCTGAACGGTGCCGACTTGAGAAACGTGGTGACAGAAGCGTGAGTACTGACTACGGGTTTTGTGACGGTTGGTTGAATCGAAGCTAATGTGGCTGTCTAGTGGTCTCTTTGCTATCAAGGATTACCGCGACTCTATTAACCAGGACGATTTCAACAAGGCCGTGCGCAAGTTGGCCGAGGCGAAGAAGTTGGAGGGCAAGTTGGACTACCAGAAGCTGTAAATGGCGATGGATGGCTCGGGGTAGTATTAGCAAGAGAAGGGGAGGTAGACGTTGCTGTAAAACTGTACATTAACTACTCGTCGCTGAACAGTAGGAATGGATTCGAACGAGAGACCTTGCCACCTTGGCTGCTGTGATGCCGCAGAGTGATTGGTCATAACACGGGACTTGTTTGTCGTCGTGAATGCGCTAATATATTTTGTACTTTGAAGTTCCATATGCCTTCTGGGCAAGGTGCTCTGGCCATGGTGTTCAGGTGAGGCTCGATTCCATTTCGGGGCGAGTCCCGCGTGGTTGAGGCGGAGCGGGCGCCACACACCATTCACACCACATCGCGCAGCTAGCAGCATGACACTAGGGCGATGCCATTGAGAGTAGGGACACTATTTTCAAGAGCGGCTGTAGGGCCAGGAGCCAGGGGTACATTGTTTCTACCAGTGAGGCTCACGAGGCTCACAAGGCTCTGGTGGGGGCGATGTAAGCGACGAGGCACAGATGGCGGGTTGTGACTGTCTAGGCGGATTTACGTGGCGGAAGTGATGAGAGCGAGGGCTGTCGCTAGCCGAGGGAGCCCGATAGCTTTGTCAAGAACGGAATGGGCGTATGATTTATTGAAGGGAGCTGTGACTGTGTGGCAAGGATATCCCGCTACGTCACAGTGCCACAGACCTTGAGCGGTACGGACATCATGTGGGTAGTGTCGTGGGGAAAAGGCTTGTAGAACCCGCGGATCCGGGCGATTGACTTGCATAAGAGAAGAGAGACTACAAGGACGGGCATGCCGATAGTTTGTGGCTACAGTAACATGCGCTGCGACATAGGAACGGGGATGCGAGGCAAATACGCGTGCCCACATTCGGATAACGGCCCGTAAGTGTTGAATGGTGGCAAGTGGCTAGGCTAGGTTTGCCAATGTGATAATAATCAATCTTGTTCTCGTACCGCTGGGTGGGAGGCGCGGGATGCAGCTGCCTCCTTTCACATTGACCACTGTGCCATGGCCTTGATGGTGTCCCTGATCTCATCCATGGACCCCTTCACTGTGGGGTTAGTTATCAAGACTTGTCGTTATGCACTTACTATCGAAGGGTTATTTGACTGATATCTGCGTTGATATCCCATCGGGGATCCTGGCTTCAATGGATATGGCTCGGGGTCGACGCTGTACGCTGTCAGGTAGTCGAATCGGGTCATATCGTTGCCCTTTGTGTTCTCACGAACTTTCTGGAGGAAGTGTGTCTCGGCCAAGAATTTCATGATTGAAACTTGAAGCTGCACAATCTCACCGAGCAGTTACTACCATATTGTTGAGGTAGGAAGTCGAATGCAGTTAAGTCGAGGTGTGTGTGGATGACACCCCTCCGAATAAAAGCGCTGGGAGCACAGCCTCTTCAACAGCCTACCTAAGAATAGAACAAGACCAGGCACAAGGGGCGATCGTTTTTTTTTGTTCCCAGGCGACTGGGCGGAAAAAATAGCACTTTGTATCCGCCTGGTACGTCCGTAGCGCGAATTCTTTTTTGCAAGGGGAGCATCGCTGAGTGGCTGGTTTTGGTTGTGTCAACAGGACAACGAAACTCTAACTTATTGGAGACAGGCCCTGACGGCAAGGCACAGGAAGAGTAAGGCAAAGAAAAAAGGGCACCCACAGATGTCGGATGATGGCTGGGTCCAACACGAGGCCATGACGACAGAAACGCCGGGCATTGTACAGATTAGTCGCATAAATCTTGTTGGCGTCGTGTTGGAAGCGTCAAATCGGTGCCGTTTGGACGTTGTGCGGCGCTGGCGCTCGAGCCGACGGTGCTTTCTCGTGTTGACCTGGGAAGTGACGACATTATCACTAGGGGGACCCTTATTTTGCCATTGCGAAGCGAGATGCTGTCTTGGCATGGGCGTAAACTAATCCGAAGTGCTGGGCAGATCAAATTGTATGGGTTGATGAGCGTTGCCCGGACAAAGTTTTCTTGTGCCGGCCTAGCGTACCAGTACCTAGGTACCTCAGCGAGTACTAAGGTACCTCCCTGTAGTTGGTTGTTCGTGCTGGCATGTTGGACAGTTATGGCTCTTCAACGGCTGCTCGTACTACCGATTTGATGCTTCTTTGAAGAAAGTACGAGTAAATATCAATTCACATCGCGTATGAAATTGGGGAGGGCTGTCTGTAACACAATCGCGGTGTGCAATCAACTGAGACGACCTCGATTACTGCTGGGGCCAGAGGTAACGATGACACCTGTGTGGTCGAAATATAGGGCGCTTTGCCTTGGTTAGGAGCACTTGACTGAGATCTGCAGACCGGTGTACAACGGGTGAGATCCTGCAGCACTTATACTGAGTGATTGGTCAGGCTTGAAGGGCGGTCAAGGCACTACCTGGGTGGTTAAGACTATCTGGCTTAGAAAGACCTGTTTCTTGCTTGGCTAACTACCTAGTTAGAAGTTAGAAGCACATCGCGATGAGCCCACGTGTGGTGGCCGGGAGGTGGCATGGCAACGGTAACAGGTACAGAGCGTGTACTGTGTCGCCCATTCCGCTCAAACAACTGGTGTAAACCGAGCCGCTGCATTCAGTGAACTGTATTGGTTGCCTGCTGATCCACCTGGAGCCTTTGACAATCCGTGACAGCCTTGCTCAACGTCCGGTTAGCCTTGAATATCGCCCCAAGAATAAAATCCAAAGAACAATAAATAAATAAAAACATTATCAGTCGCATCACCATCCAACCCCCCTGGCAGTGCCCTGCCCTTGTACAGAAGTTAGATGTTAGATGACCCCATCCCCCAAAGAACTTCCCCACCAGTGCTGCTGAGCCCCAAGCCCCAAGGCTTCGGACCCGCCACCGCCAGCTGCCCCGGTAAGCCAAAAAAAGCTCCAGGTGGTGCTTTATTATAATTTAGCGCCAAGCCCAGACCTTGCTGCCCCTCGACCTACGTAAATACAAAACCCAAGTACACAGTACGCATTCCATACAAAGAGCTCCCTCTCCCCTCTTTCCTCGCTTTCCTCCTCATCCAGTCCCAATTCTCCTCCTCTAACGAATCCCACTGCTTCTTAAACGATACCATACTCTCGCATCTTCTCCTCCCCCCTCGTGGAAAAGCAACCAACCCTCACACACACTCTCTCGTCCTCTACTCTCTGTCACCCACCGCCCGCTGCGCCTGTTTCAACTGCTAGCAACCTCGACCACCCCGCACCCCAAACCGACTAGTAACCAGCGACAGCCTCACTCTCTGTCTTGTTACAATAAGCCTTTGTTTGATTATTTCTTGTTCATAGCGCCGTCATAATGTGGTGAGTACCGATATCAATGCCCCGGCGAAGAGCGTAGACGCCGGCATGTTCGCATCCAGCCCCGCGTTCTCTCGCACCTCTTTGGCACCCACTTGCTAATCGCAGCTCCCAGTGGCATTTTCGGGTACATCAACTACCTCGTCGAGAAGGACCGCAAGTTCATTCTCGATACCCTTCTCAATGGTGAGCAGCTACCTCGCACACTCCTGCACCACTTCCAAGCAACCTAACCATAGTTGCTCCTAGGCCTCGCCCGTCTCGAGTATCGAGGATACGATTCTGCCGGTATTGCCATCGATGGCAACAAGAAAAACGAAGTGCTCGCCTTCAAGGAGGTCGGCAAAGTTGCCAAGCTGAGGAAGCTCATCGAGGAGCAGAACCCCGACTCCAGCAAGATTTTCGATTCACATGCCGGTATCGCCCACACCCGCTGGGCTACCCACGGCCCCCCTTCGACCGTCAACTGCCACCCTCACCGGTAAGTTCAAACGCCTTGTCCGGACAAAAAGCACCTTCCTAATACCCATATACAGCTCGGACCCCACCTGGGAGTTCGCCATTGTTCACAACGGTATCATTACCAACTACAAGGAACTCAAGACCCTTCTCGAGAGCAAGGGATTCCGATTCGAGACCGAAACCGATACCGAGTGCATTGCCAAGCTCACCAAGTACATCTACGACCAGGACCCCAAGATTGGCTTCACCGATCTTGCCAAGGCCGTCATCCAGGAGCTCGAAGGTGCCTACGGTCTGCTCATCAAGTCTGTCCACTACCCCCACGAGGTCATTGCCGCTCGTAAGGGTTCGCCTCTCGTCATCGGCGTCAAGACTCAGCGTCGCATGAAGGTCGACTTTGTCGACGTCGAGTACGCTGATGATAAGACTGCCCTTCCCGCCGATACCGCCTCCCAGCACGTTGCTCTCAAGAAGAACGCTTCTAGCCTGCTCAGCCCTGGCGACAACCTCCTTGGCGCCGCTGATAAGTCGCTGCTGCACCGCTCCCAGTCGCGTGCTTTCATGACCGACGATGGCATGCCCATGCCTGCCGAGTTCTTCCTCTCCTCCGACCCCTCCGCCATCGTCGAGCACACCAAGAAGGTCCTCTACCTCGAGGATGACGACATTGCCCACATTCACGAGGGCTCCCTCAACATTCACCGTCTCAAAAAGGCCGATGGCAGCTCCAACACCCGCAGCATCCAGACCCTCGAGCTTGAGCTGCAGGAGATTATGAAGGGCAAGTTTGACCACTTCATGCAAAAGGAAATTTTCGAGCAGCCCGAGTCCGTCGTTAACACCATGCGTGGTCGCCTCGACATTGCCAACCAGACCGTTACTCTTGGTGGTCTTCGCGCTTACATCAGCACCATCCGTCGCTGCCGCAGAATCATTTTCATTGCCTGTGGTACCAGCTACCACTCCTGCATGGCTGTTCGTGGCATTTTCGAGGAGCTGACTGAAATCCCCATTGCGGTCGAGCTGGCTTCTGATTTCCTTGATCGCCAGGCCCCCGTTTTCCGCGATGACACCTGCGTATTTGTCTCTCAGTCTGGCGAGACTGCCGACTCCCTCATGGCTCTCCGCTACTGCCTGGAGCGTGGCGCCCTGACCGTCGGCATCGTCAACGTTGTGGGTTCCTCCATTTCCATGCTCACCCACTGCGGTGTCCACGTCAACGCCGGTCCTGAGATCGGCGTCGCCTCTACCAAGGCCTACACGTCACAGTTCATTGCTATGGTCATGTTTGCTCTCTCGTTGAGCGAGGATCGTGCCTCTAAGAAGGCCCGTCGCGAAGAGATTATGGACGGTCTTTCTAAGATCTCTGCCCAGATCAAGGCCATTCTCGACCTTGACAAGCCTATCAAGGACCTTTGCCAGAAGGTTTTCAAGAACCAGAAGTCTCTTCTTCTGCTCGGCCGTGGTAGCCAGTTCTCTACTGCTCTCGAGGGTGCACTCAAGATCAAAGAAATTTCCTACCTCCACTGCGAAGCCGTCATGTCTGGTGAGCTTAAGCACGGTGTCCTTGCTCTCGTTGATGAGAACCTGCCCATCATCATGATCATGACCCGTGATGACATCTTCACCAAATCGCTCAATGCCTATCAACAGGTCATTGCTCGTGGTGGCAAGCCTATCGTTATTTGCAACCCGGGTGATGAGGAGTTCAGGACGAGCGAAGCTCTCAAGATTGAGGTTCCCAAGACCGTGGACTGCTTGCAAGGTCTCCTCAACGTTGTTCCTCTACAGCTGATTGCCTACTGGCTGGCTGTCCTGGAGGGTCTCAACGTTGATTTCCCCCGAAACCTTGCCAAGTCCGTCACAGTCGAGTAAGAGTGCCTGCCGTCGGACTCTTGAATCGTGGTGGTAGTGCATGCTAAGAGTTGGCGTTTTCTTGCGTGTGATTTGGAGACTCTATCTTGGGATTACCGATGGCGTGCACTGATGGCATGAGACTAAGGAGCTGGCGTGATGGAAATTTTTGGATTGTGATTATTTCTTTTTATCTGTTTCACGACGTACTCGATAGTAACTAGGGCGTCTCGTATTTTGTATGGCCACAGATGGCTCAAGCGAGACTAGCCAGATAATGAATGATTTAGCGATATAGAACGTGCATGCGCACAAGGCAATGTGACTTGTCGGTGAAAGAATGCAGAGTTGTATTGTACAAGTCCAGCTGGAATCATCTCATGTGCTGAACAACAACAAGCGTAGTTGCCGAACAACGTACACATATCGTCAGGCCACGGTGTGCTCGCCCTGTGGTAGTATTAGTTCCGTGCGTGGAGGTTATACCCTGACCAGCGTGACTACTGAGTTACACACGTATTGCCCAGCGGAGAATGAACTGTCTGTTGGTACACTTTCATTGTTCTATGGCTCTAGATACATTTGCCTTGCTGCCAAGCCACACCTAGGTGCAGGACAAGACTACCAGCCTTACCCCCTCCCGCTTATACCCAAATTAGACTGTCTGAGTGCCGTAGCCCTTGATGGTCTCTGCAAACTTCCAGCTCTGGGCCTCGAGGGTATTATCGTACGACACGTCGATGCCGTCCTTTGTGATGACAGCCATGGAGTACTTGTCCATGCTGCGCGCGTCGCGGTAATAGAGCACCTCCATGCATTCCTTGATGAGCTGGATGGCATCCTCCTTCTCCAGCGCCTGCGCGGCCTCCTCGTCCGGCACCCGCTTGCGCATGATGGGCTGGGCGAGCATGGCACCGTAGCCGGTGGCGAGCGAGGGGCTGGTGTACGTGGTGCCGAGGAGGTCGGCGGCGCCGAGAAAAGGGCGCCCGTCGTCGTTGAGGCCGGCGACGAGAATGTGAACCCAGAGCGGGTCAAACTTGGAGCGACGGTTATAGAGCATCTTGGCTAGGTAGCGGTGCAGGTTTTCGGCGTTAAGGCGGGGCTCCTCGCCGTTGCTGTAATGCTCGTCGTTGGCCAGGGCGGTCAGGTGCTGGTCCATGTACTGCATGTCGGATACGTCCCCCGAGAAGCCGACGACAGACTTGCCCTGGAACGTCTTGATACGTTGGACGTCAGTGAAGCGGGCGAGAGAGCCGTACGAGGCTGGACAGGCAGGGATTGTCAGCTAGGTCGGCACCCGTGTGTGTATACTGCTGCTGCAGATCAAGAGAGGGCACATACCCAGGTTATCGGCGGCTATGACGACACCGTCTTTGAATTTGATACCTATCACAGACGTGCCCGTGACAATCGGCTGCTGTGTGTGCGATTGCGGCGCAGTATTCTCTTGGAAGTAGGAGTGGTTGTACGGGCCGTAGACGTCGTCTCTAGGCTAAGGACAGGTCAGCACGGCATTCGCGTAGGATGAAGTGTCCGTCGGAAAGGGCGAGGATTGACACATACACGACCCCATGCTTGTGGGCGGTGGTCCATTTTGCAATATGCTATGGTACTTCAAAGATGTGTGGTGTGTGGTTGTGACCGTCGACGCTGTTGAAGAGGGGTTGACAGGTTGACGGGTTGACGGGTAGCTAGCTCGTCGATGTCGAAGACAACGGAAGAGTAAGCGATCGGTCGATTTGGAGATGGATAATTGACGCCGTTGACGATGGTGGCCTTGTGTAATGGAAGTGCTCGTTACTGCGCTCAACAGCTACGGATAGGCACGGCGGTGTTCGCGCGTCCACTGGAGCCTGCGTCGCCGCTCAGCGTGGACGAGGATGACATAAGCTCTGGAGAATGGTCAGATCTCATTGGATGCACAGCTCGGGGAGCTTCCACTGGAGCTTTGAAGTAGCCAGTACATGCTATAAGCCGCGCTAATGTGGTAAGATATTATGTACTGAATACAAAGTAGCTTCCCGCTCGCGGAAGCTGTTTATGTTGACAGCCAGGTTACTTGCTCCCACACACAAAGTCCCGCCAAATACAGGTACCTGGCGAGTCAAGGGAGACATGCGACCGCATCCGCGTTCAATCAGAAACAGCCCCCCCAGCCTTCGTCATTTCCCTGCATCCCATCACCTGTTCAAGACACAACAGGTCGGTCATCGGCATTTTCGGATCCTCTAACTATCTTGCATTTACGACTCGCAGCCATTCAATTTACGCCCACACTTTCCGTCTACACTGCTACACCAATAGCCTAATTGTGTGATTGTTTACCTGCTTACCGCTTTGGGAAGTTCTCCTGGACCTGGAGCACGAGCCCACGACATCTGCAAGCACCATCACCACCATCACAAAGCCATGTTGAGCGTCTTGAACAGAGCCGCCGCGGGGCGCGCGCTGTCCGCCGCAGCCTTCCCGACCACCTCCCGTATTGTTGTTCCCATCTTCACCGCGCCGCGCGTGCGACGCCGGCTCGCGCCCATTGCCCGAAGCTTCACCGCGTCCGCCCGTGTTCGCTTCCCCGCGACGGCGGCGTCCGACAAGCCCAAGAAGGCAAAGACGACAACGACTGCCGCCAAGAAGCCCGCAGCGAAGAAGAAGAAGGCCGCCGCGGCGCCCAAGAAGAAGAAGCCTGCGGCCAAGAAGAAGCCCGTGGTCAAGAAGAAGAAGGTGCTGACGCCGGAGCAAAAGGAGAAGAAGCAGCTGTCGCAGCTGCGCGTGATGGCGCTGCCCAAGGCGCCCAAGGGCAAGCCGTCCAATCTCTGGACCGTCTTCCTCGCCGACAACGTGACGCGCGGCACCGGTGTGTCCCTGACGGACAAGGTCAAGGACGTGGCAGTCGAGTTCAAGAACCTCTCTGAGCACGAAAAGGCGGTGCGTTCGACCTAGAGTTTACCCATGCTTACGTGCAAAATGTGTGTGCTAACTAGTACCTTGTAGCGTCTCACCGAGCGCGCCCATGAAAACGCCGCGACCAACAAGCAGGCCCTGAAGCAGTGGATCGAGACGTACCCGGCCGAGGCCATCTACATGGCCAACCTGGCCCGCCGCCGCCTCGCGCGCAAGCTCGACAAGAAGCGCCCCGCGCTCCTGCAAGACGACCGCCTCCCCAAGGCCGCGCCCAGCGCCTACTCGCTCTTCATCAAGTCCCGTCACGACCAGGTCTCCGCCGCCTCGCCCACCGACGCCTTCCGCCAGCTCGCGCAGCAGTGGAAGGCCCTCCCCGAGGCGGAGCGCCAGCAGTTCAAGGCCGCCGCCAGTGCGGATCTGGAGAAGATGCGCCAGTCCACCGAGGACCTCCGCGCCAAGGGCAAGGCCTACTGGGCCGCCAATGGCCTATAAGAGCCAGCGACACAAAGTAAAACTATCGAAATGGCTCAAGGGATAGCAATTGGGGGTAGCCAAGGCTGCCGTGGCAATTGTCTGTGGAAAGAATAGAAGAAAAGACCAGGTACGTCTTGTGAGCACGTGTTACCTGCGACAGGAGGTTTCGTTTGTTGAGGAAGCAAAGTCTCTTCTCCCCAATCTTGTTGTCACTGTTTTTGTAAAATCAGGAGAAAAGGGAACCTCTAATTTGTTTCTACGGAGGGAGTGCCAGGCCTTTTGGGTTTTTTTCTCGTTTTTCGTTTTTGGTTTCGCGTATCTCTTTCATATGTGCTGGTGGAATTCTCGGTGGGAAAAGGCCATGTACAATTATGCTGCACGTCGAAATTTATTAATTAAAAAATGCGAGTACCTTGTCACGGATCTTACTTGTGATTTAGGGGTAATTGTTGTATTGTAATGAAGAAAACTGCCAACAACTCCATCCTATGCCACCTACAGTCAATAAAGTGCCGAGCCGTTTTGTAACACCTGTAATGGAAATTCAAGGCAACTCCCAAACCACCCATGATGTCCTTCTATGGAAGCCTCAATCAAAAACACCAGAGAAACAAGTGACCCAAAAGCAAAGAGAAAAACAAATGAAACTTGTAAAAATAAGAGTACCTCCAAGAGTTATAACTCCAGTAAAACACATAGTCAGGAAAGCAGGAGTAACCGGCAAGAAAAAAACACACACAGCCCAATAACAGAGTAAATTTGAGAAAAGGTCAAGAAAACAAATTCACGTAGGGTTGAACTCATGGCAAAACTTCAACTGCCACCAGACCCTCGGCGTCAAACCACTGGGCGCCCGTCGATTTGATGTACCGGTCGCTAGCCAGGTACAACAGCAGATACGTATGCTTGACGACGTGCGCCCAGCCGTAGAGCTTGATGGTGGCGCCGTCGGGAGAGCGGCGGCACCAGACGCCCCAGCCGGCGAGGCCGCTCCGGACGTACTTGGTGAGAAAGTCCCAGGCCGCGGCGCGCAGCGCGGGCGGCCAGTGTTGACAGTCGACGCGCCAGTGGCCGCGCTCGAGGGGGTCTAGGGCCCCGTCACCGCCGCGGTGAAAGGTCGGGCGGTAACGAGAGCCGAGGTCATGCGCGAGCTTCGCAAACTTGGGAGCCACGAGGCTCGCGAGGTCAAGGTCGTCGACGCCGACGGGCGGGGACGGGGGCCGCACGGAGAGGGAAGATGACGACGGATGGGTGGAGGGGATCTGCGAGAGGGCGTTGTAGGAGAGGGACGAGGAGGGTAGTGGTGTGTTGCGGGGAGGAGGAACAGGCTGGTGGCTGTTATCGCTGGCGCTACGGACGAGGGGTACCGTGCCGGCGTCTTGTGCGAGTTGGCGGATGCGTTTGGACGGCAGAGGATCAGACTCAGCGCGGAGGAGCCCGACGACGGAGGAGGCACTACTGCCGGGTATGCTGCTGGATATGTGCGTGACGTCTAGTGCAGAAGTGTCGTGGTCGTCTTCATGGTCAGGAGCCCTGCGCTTTCGAGAGGCTTCTGATACGAGCGGCGTGACGGGAATGGTTGCCTGGCGCTTCTCCCTGTTCTCGTGGGTACCACTTGAATCGGATGGAGGAATGGGGGAAGATTGATAGACGTCAACGGCCTCGTCCTCAACCTTGAAACGCTTTGCCTCGTCGCCGTTACCGTCGCCATCACATACGAGCGCGGGTAATGATGCCGGGGGTGGTGCCGAAGAGATTGGGGCAGGCTGTCGACTGCCCATGTACCGTTGCAAAACTCGCGTGGGAGTCATGATGAAGAGGTCGCAGTCGGGCATTGGGTATGAATCGGCAATCTGGCTGGGCAGCTGGTGCACCGCCGTCGTGGGTGTTGTGGGATTCTCATCCCGCAGCACATGAGGAGGCGGCGTGGTCGGCGACGTCCTTGCCGCGACGACGCGCGGTGAGTGTCTGTTATCGAGGGCCCCGTGAAAGCTCAGGTCCTGCGAGTCGGAACAAAACGACTGCAGCACGGCGGAACCACCCTCGTCGTGCTCATACTGCCGCGACGGAGGCGGCTGCTGTGGCTCGGGCGAGCTGGGTATTGTAACGTGGGCGCGGCTACCTGGCGCAAAGGACAGGTACGCCTCGGCGAGACGGCGGTAGGTGGCATCGTCGGACACCCTGCTGCGCGCGGTAACGTGGACTAGAATCTCGACGTCGCCAGAGGACTGGCTGGCCATGATGGAGCGTGTTTGTAGGACAACAGTGGCAATGGACGAGCTTTGCGATTCATGGCGACGAGGAGAGGAAAACTGGAGGGGGAGAAGAGAAGAGCAAGGAGAACGTTTTTGGTCCGTGGCTTTGTTTTGGACAGCAATAGGATTGGGCACCGCCGCACCGGCCCGGCTTTGTGTGGTGTAACTCGTTTAGACGTGCGGCATGCACAGCGGGGTGTGGGTGATGATGATACTTGTACAGTAACACGTGGTTTGGGGCTCAGTGGCAGGCAACAGGTTGCAGCGGTGAGCAGCGTGTATTGGGTTGGCGTTTGAAGAAAGAGACCACTATTCGCAGCCTCGCGAGGTTGAGAACAAGGCTGACGGGCAGGGATGCTGAGCCGACGGCCGAATGTGGTCTTGTCAAGGATGCACGGCGAGTTATGGTGAGTGATCTAGTAGTGTTCACGGAAGTAATTTTAGGTTTTGAGGCGTGGATGCAGGGCAGGCAGCGACGGGCTACAGTGGGGCTGTAGTGAGGGTAGATAGACAAATAGATACCTAGGTAGGTATGTAAAAATAGTAGGTAGTACGGAGTAGGAATTAACGAGATGGGAAATACTGGATGGAAGTATTGTATTGTATGAATGAAAAGACGAATAAGAAAATGACAAGTATAAATAGGAATAATCTCCCGCTGTTATCAACCCGCCAATTCGATTCGCGATTGGCCGCCCCTCATCTTTCATCTGCACCTTGCAGTGGAGCTCCGGACCCCTTAAACAGTTCACCACATCACATAATAACCACATACTGCTACATCCAGCTTCAAGCGACCTTCCTCCAACGCCGCCAAGGAAGAGAAACACCCCTTTCCTCCTCCCAATACCCGTTCAACGCAATCCCATCCACCACCCCTCCCGACCGAACCCGCCCGCCATGTCTGCCCGCTCCGCCCCCAAAGCTGATCTGGGCACGGTGCTCGTCGTCGGCGGCAACGGCTTCCTCGGACACCACATCGTCAACCAGGCCCTCGACGACTGGCACTGCCGGCGCGTCGTCTCGGTCGACCTGCGCTGCGACCGCCACCGCCGTCCCGACGCTGCCTACCACGAGTGCGACATCACCGACGGGCCCAAGCTCGCGGCGCTGCTCGACGACATCCGCCCCGACGTCGTCATCCACACGGCCTCGCCCGTCGCCAGCGACAACGCCGTCCACCGGGACCTCTTCCGCCGCGTCAACGTCGACGGCACGCGCGCCGTCATCGCGGCCTGCCAAAAGGCCGCCGTCAAGGCCCTCGTCTACACCTCGTCGGCCAGCGTCGTCAGCGACTTCCAGCACGACCTGCTCAACGCCGACGAGCGCTGGCCCGTCATCCGCGCCCCCCAGCAGCTCGAGTACTACTCCGAGACAAAGGCCGCCGCCGAGGAGCTCGTCACCCAGGCCAACCGCGCCGCCCCCACGCCCGCCTTCCTCACCGCCTCCATCCGCCCCGCCGGCATCTTTGGCGAGGGCGACGTCCAGGCCCTCGCCGGCCTGCTCGCCGCCTACCGCACCGGCAAGTCCAACGTCCAGCTCGGCGACAACAACAACATCTTTGACTTTACCTACGTCGGCAACGTCGCCCACGCCCACCTCCTCGCCGCCCGCCTGCTGCTGGCCACCGCCGCCGCCGCCACCACCCCGCTCGACCACGAGCGCGTCGACGGCGAGGTCTTCTTCGTCACCAACGACGAGCCCGTCTACTTTTGGGACTTTGCCCGCGCCGTCTGGCGCGCCGCCGGCAACCCCGCCGGCACCGCTGGCGTCTGGCAAATCTCCCGCGACATCTCACTGCTGCTCGGCATGGCGAGCGAAATCTTCAACTCGATTGTGCAGAAGAAGCCTACGTTTACCAAGCAGCGCGCCATCCTCTCCACCATGACGAGGTACTACAACATCACAAAGGCCAAGATGGTGCTCGGCTACGAGCCCCAGTGGACTCTGCAGGAAGGCGTCGACCGCGGCGTGAAATGGTTCCTGGAAAATGAAAAGGCGCAAAAGTAATATCATTATGGCGAACCGTGTGCCATGTCGGTCGTGGACGTTGTCTGAAAAGTGTTTGTTAGATGCATCTTGTAACTTATAACTAATCGAACTGTAATATAACGACCCTTTTAACTTGTCCATCTCTATGCGCGCCCCAACATGCCATTCAAAGTGCTGACTTTGATATACCATCTCAGTCGAGAGAGTCGTGAGTAGCACTTGTAGCTTTGCAACTGACAAAGAAGCCTCCTGCACACTTGCCACGGTGTGAAATCAGTGGCTGTGTAGTCCGTGAATTTTATCAGCATCTAGGAGCGTCCATGAGCACAGTGCCACTGAGACTCTACAGACAAAAAAGAATATGAGAACTCGCTTAACAAGAAAAGGGACAAAAGAGACAGCAGAGGTATAAATAAAACCTAGAAACAGAGAATAACTGACGAGTAAATCTTTTGGGGGGAGAAGAAAACTTCATTTCTGCATGGCTATGCTAATAAGTCTGAATCTTTCACATAGATGGGACTAAATAATCAAACCGTTTTCTGTAAGCCGGCCACCCCAAGAGAAGAGAAAGATAAGAAAGAAAACAAAAGAAAATCATTGGCGAAAGACAATTAATACCATGTCTCGCCGAACACAGCCACCCATGACGCTTCTCAGCGACTTTGTTTTGGTTGAGAAAAGGAGACTCCTTCACGCCGACTTTACCCTCCATCGCCACCAAAAAACACCAGTATACAATAAAAGCATCCTAACAAACAAAAAGTAGGCTCAGAAACTAGCAGTACACGATTCGGGTACAGCCGCAGAAAGCCTCACCCGAGCCTGATAGCTCGCATTTGGTACAGTTTCATGCATCTCCCTCCGTGAATCGTGTCTGCTTTCAGCCACCGAACCTGCCTTCACTATGCAATGAACGCCAGGGCTAATGCAATGCCACGCGGGCTCCTACGGCTCCTGCGCAATACAGGAGCCGAACGTGTAAAACCAAAATCAGACATCGATGCTTCAAAACCTTCTTCATTTTGCTGATCTACACTCTCAGGATCAGATATCATTTCCGACGCCAAGCCCGCCGGGATGCTGCTGTTGCTGTTTCTGCCAGCCAGAGTTGCGCCACTCGCGCGGATTGTGATCCGTCTGTGCTAGGTGGCCCTCGGAGCGGTTGTAGTTGGTATTGTGGTATGGCGAAGGATCGTCTGGGTTGCGCCATCTTTGCGGCGGCGTGCCCTGATTAGACTGAGCATAGTGCGGCGGCGCATCTTGCACCGGGCGCACTGTACGCTCGCCTTGCCAGAGTGACGGGTCAGTCTCTACCCTCTTGGGCGGAGAGCGGCTGGAGATATCTGGGCGGTTGAACACCTCGGTGAATTCAGAAGCAGGAATCTGTCCACGGCGGTCTTGGTATCGCTTCAGGATTTCCTTGGTTGTGATCTCGGTGCTACTGCTGAAAAGGTACGGGTCATTGAGCAGGGCAAGAAGATCGTCGGGAACCTGGCACATCTCCTCAATGTTGGCAATGAGGACCTCGACCGCGTCAATCACATAGATGGCTTCACTGTCCAGCGCAGGAGCCTTGGCGGCGTTGGTGAGAATGTTAGGCGCAATGACGGTGGCAAGGTTGCGGACGTCCATCTTGGAGCCAAGCTCCTCGTCCAGCTGGTGAAAGGTGCCGGCCCATTTCAGGAATGTAAAGAGAATTTCCAAACAGTCGCGGTGGCTCTTGGGTAAAAGGCAGCACACCAGGTGCAGACACCGCTTGCGCTTGGCGAGATCAGGAATCTTGGCGGCGCCAGTCCACAGGCGATAGAGTTTGTGTGTCATCAGCGGGTCCGGGAGATCACGAAGATATCGTTTCAAGATGGCGGCGAGCTGGATGACTGGCTGATCCCCAAAGTTGATTTGATCGCAGCCTTCATTGTTGACGCGATCAACCATCTCTTGCTGCTTCTTGATGTTGCCATTCTTGCGGAAGACACCTTCAACAGAGAGATCCATCTGACGCATGCAAGAAATAATATCGTCGATAATGGCAGGAATGCGCAAGGTGCCAGGTCCGACGCCGTCCGTCGATTCGGCACCGTCGCGCTCGATAATGACCTCGAGGGGTACTCCAAAGACACCCTTCTTTTTCACGTTCTTGCTTTTGTCGTTCTTGAAAGCCTTGCCCAAGTTTTTCCAAAATGTAGGCTGTTTCCTTGATTCGATAAAGGAGAGCAGCTCGTCGAGGTTAAACTCGGAGTCGAGCATCGGCTGCATCGTAAGCACAGCCAAATGACGTACATTGAAGTATTCGAGGGCAGAGAGCTCTGGGAAGAATTTACGGACTAGCCTAGGCTGGAATGGATCACGACCACCACGCACATCCTGATTCTGGCTGGCGGACAGGGTTCTCTGATGACGTGTGGCGATGCCAGTATCGGCCATAGCAGGGTGCCGGGATTCCTGTGCTAATTCTCGTTGTTGCTGCTCTTTCGATTGCTCGACGGCGACAATGCGAGGAATATCGTCGAGAGTTATGGCATCATTCTGACCAAACATCATATCTGTGGAGTTTTGGGGCGCATGCCTGTTGTCACTCTGGGCAGGCGACTCAGCACGGGGCCCACGGCCATCGTTATCCAGGACTCTTGATGTGCGGGCATGTCTGACGCTGGATGAAAGATGACGATCGAGACGCGTGCTCCTAAGCCGCCGAACCTCGTTAAGCGTATTTTCATACGTCGACTCCCGATGATGTTCCTTATCTCCCGCCGCAGAATACGACTTTGATCGGTTGTCTGCGCTGTAGCTGGGACGCTCGGGACCAAGCCCGTTGGCTGACTTTTCACCCGGAGCATATGGAATTGTGCCATTACTTCGGAGAATATCCAGCAGTCGCGCAAGCGCTACCTTGAGTAGAAACACGTATTGCTGTAGCTTTGACACGTGCTCGAGTGGTAGGGATGCGTCAGGGTGTTGTGGGGGCGTGCAGTTTGTGCATGATATCTTGCGGTCGGCGATGGTAAAGGTTGCTTCGCCGAGCGCACGACCAAGGTCACGGCCGCATCTTGAGCATCGTAGGCAAGCCAAGTGCCATCTATAATCGCTGCTAGTCGCGCATTCGTCCTCGACAGATCGCCTGCAGACACCGCAGTGATCCGAATCCTTGGCGGCGAGCCGACCATCAATCATATTTACTGACTCGTCATTCTTGAAGGACTCGAAGTCGTTCAAGTCATCAAGAAATTGATGAAGACCGTCGCTATATTTTGTCTCGCGTTCAAATCGCAAGGCACCTTGCAGACATATGCGGATCAAAAGTTTGAGGTAGTGTGCCAAGCCGGTCACAAGTGAGAGAAGTTCCTGGGTGACACCAAGTTTACGCGCATCGGCGTCCTGGGTTTTTGACAAAAGGGAAAAGAAGGATACAATCTTTTTGCAAAGCAGCTTTGCCTCTCGCCCATAGGACATACCTGTTTTCGTTAGCATGTGAGCTTCTAAACGAGCTGAAGACGCCTCACCCTTTTCAGACTTTTGAGTAATGAGATGATCCAGCCTGTCGGCCGAACGGAAAAGTATTTCAACATGCCAGATGAAGCGCCGGGCCACTAGTACACCATCGACATAGGATCCGTTGCTGACATGGAGCAGCATATCTGAGATGCAGGCTGCAGACGATTCCTCAAACGTCGACAATACACTCCATATGCGGTACACTTTATCTTCCATGCGCTCCTCGTCGACGCGAATCAACTCCCTGTCAGCAGGGTCGGCCAAGTCGAGAGGCGGTTGAGGATCGTCTGAAGGCTGGCCGAGGCGAACGTTCCAGAATTTGTGAATCATGTAGCATTCGGGATGCCAGTGCTGATTCTGACCATTGCGGAAGATCTCGACGAATTGCTTAAGAATAGCAGTCTGGCAGCCATTGCATCGTTGAGCAAATCTTGTGGAGTAATGGTAGTGGCAATAGACGTTGCCATCGTGTTCGTAGTAGCTGTCTTGGGCGCCGAATATGGTTTCGCACATGGAGCAGGTGAAGTGGTCGACGTGATATTTGCGGTCCAGAGCCGTTATGTATGAACCGCGAAGGGCGCCGCCGCACTGAAAACAAAGCAGGCCGAGCCGTCGAAAGTAGTCGGTTTCGCAGAGGGGGTACTGACCCTCGCCGTTCTCGTCGTCGGCAGGAAAGAATTTTGAGGCTACAATTTCGCCGCAGTCCTACGCGTGGTTAGTTGACCGGTTGCCAGCGCAGTGGTTGGGGAGCAAAAGGTGGTGGTTGACGCGCGCGTTCGCGTCAACACCTCAAGCTAGGTTGGAAGCAACATACTCTGCATTTGAAACAGTCGAGATGAAAAGTGCCGTCGAGTGCACGGACAAATTGGCCGGTCAAGGGCTCACCACACTTTTTGCAAGTACGCACCTGGCCGCTGGTGGAGCGACCGCTTCTCTGGCGCGACCTGTTTCTCTCGCTGCTCTTGCGAGGCGGCTCATCGTGCCAGGGGGCGCCAGCGGGTAACGAGCCAGGCAGGGACGCGGGGCCTGGATTGGAATTCGTGAGCCTCAGCTTGTGGTTGCTGTCGGGAGTCTGTCGGCCGGCAGTCTGCCAGGATTTGTCGTCAGCATCGAAGGCGGGTTGGTTGTTGTCGCCATGGGCCAGATCGGCTGGTAGCCCATTTGGTGAATCGAATGCCATGTTGACTGGCATCCAAGCGCAGCGATATCAAGAAACGCCACGCCCAGCGATGCGAGCGGTTGCAGTGGGAAAAAGCTAAAAGACTCGTCTTCTCCTCAATTTGTGCTTTTTTCTTCGCGTCGGTTCAGCGCGAAACTGGTTCAAGATGGGTGCAGAGAGGGGTTAGTGACGGAGCGGTCTGCATCTGCTCGGCTGGGGGCGCCAGAGGGAGAGTAATAGGAAGTTGGGGGTATTAAATGCCAATTGCGAATATTGGGATTTAATCATAAGGTAGGCGGATCGAGGTGCTGGTCGGGCGAGAGGAATAAATAAGTAGATAGTCGGTCGTAGGGGAAAAAAAGAAGGACGTTGGAAGGTTTGCGCGGCGTGGGTGGTTCGCGTGACGAGAACAGGGAACGCGGGTATCGAATGGGCCAGGGTAAGTACCTAGGGCAAGGTGATTAAGATATGGCGCGGGAGCGAGAGTGCAAATGGGCCAAGATGCCTTTGTGCACAAATAGGCGAGATTGAAACATGTAAACTTGAGAAAAGGTTGGTGGATGATGGGGGTCGAGGAATCAAGGCTGGGGAGGAGGAGAGGGAGGGGGGTGTGCCAAGGGTGGTGCGTTCTGGAGGTGAGAGAGAGCCAGAGAGAGAGCGACAAGTTGGCTTCTTTGTCAAGCCACGAGCCAGCACTACTAAACTACCTACAGAGTACCACGACTGACTGCCAGCACTAGCCACAAGGTTAGGTGAGGTGTGGTGCTGGTGCCTGGCTGCAGTGGCGCAAATGTGCTCTGTAATTTCCAGGCAATCTATCTGAAGGAGAACATACCTGTGTATCAACCTGGCAGCCGTGGTGAAATGAGGCAGTGGTCAGGTCGGCATTTGTGACTGCTGAGGCTGGGCTGACCCGGCCGCCCTATGTAATAACACCACTCCTTAGTTAGTACTCTAACTATAGGTATTACGGAGTAAATACAGCACCACAAAACGCACGAGGGGTTCTGGAAATGTACTCTGCGCCTGAAAGAGGACGAATACAGTATTGCAGGGGTCCAGACTGAGAATACGGGATTGGGCCTTCACTGCTTCAGTACCTAGCCAGCCCGCTTGGTGTTGTGGGTACGCGGCGTGTTACAGGCTGTTGCTTCGCTAGTTTAGCTTACCTTGCTTGGTTGCTTGGGTGTCTCCTCTGCGCGTGCCGTGTTAGTGAGAAGCTACCTAGATAGTGGACGGGGCATCTAGATGGAATACGAAAGTTAAGACGACGCTATTCGAATGACTGTACTCATTACAGTTTTGACAGAAACCATCTTGTATGTAACGAGCAGCTTGTTCAGCTTTCAACTTGTACTTGCTCGACTTGCATTAACGTGTGGGTCAGGACAACAGCCACAGAGGTCATGCCCAGGACCCTCCCGCCTCTACTAAACTAATGCTTGCTGCGGCACTATTACCTCACTACCAGTACCCAGTACTGAAATACGCCTGCCGCAGGTAACTAGCCTGTTGCTATTCTCGCCGTCTCTTGTGGCTTTCTGGGGGCGTGGAGCCTGTCGAATCCGGCCTGCCAGCCAACAGCCGGGTCCACGTTTCTCCTCCTCCAAACTTTTGTTTTCCTCCATCTCTCGTCTATCTAATTCCCCTCGCTTTTTGTGAGTCACAGCATCTTGTACTTTGCCCGACTGCATCGGCCGCGCCCCTTCTGGACCCTTTTTGCTAATTGTGCCGTCGTTCCGTAGCTCTCAGTACCTTGTTACCCCTCCAAAACCCCGCGCCAGCTGTTCCCGTCCCACTCATCGACCCCGACTTCGACATACTGCTGCCACAAAACCATCTCTCGCAGCCATGGATGCAAAGATCCTCGCAGCTTCTGCCAAATACCCCATCACCGCTGGTCATGTCTACAAGTACGGCACGGCTGGCTTCCGCATGAAGGCTGACCTGCTCCCCAGCGTCAGCTTCCGCGTCGGCTTGCTTGCGGGCCTGCGGAGTCGCAAGCTCAACAGCCAGGCCATCGGTGTCATGATTACTGCTAGCCACAACCCCGCTCCCGATAATGGTGTCAAGATTGTCGACCCCATGGGCGAAATGCTTGAGCAAGAGTGGGAGGCGTATGCTACTAAGCTTGTCAACTGCGCCACCGATCAGGAGCTCCTCAACACCTACAAGGGCCTCGCCACCCAGCTCAAGATCGACCTCGGAGCTCCTGGCCGTGTCATCTACGGCAGAGACACTCGGCCTTCCGGCCACGGCCTTGTTTCTGCGCTGGCTGACGCCCTCGACGCCACCGGAACGGAACACACCGACTTTAAGATCCTCACCACCCCCCAGCTGCACTACCTGGTTCGCTGTATTAACACCGAGGGCACGCCCAAGTCTTACGGCAAAGTCAGCGAGGCTGGGTACTACGAGAAGCTTTCCGAGGCCTTTGTACGTGCTCTGCGTGGACGTAAGATTCAAGGCCAGCTTATTGTCGACTGCGCCAACGGTGTTGGTGGACCCAAGTTTTCCGAGCTTCTCAAGATCATTCCCAAGGGTATCACAGGGTTTGACGTGAAGGTCGTCAACGACGATGTGCTGCGGCCGGAAGTTCTAAACCTTGACGTGAGTAAATACGTGATTTCATAAACCATAGTCATCGATGCTGATTGTTCAGTGTGGTGCCGACTTTGTCAAGACGAGGCAGCGCAACCCTCCCAACCCCAAGCCTGTGCCTGGCGTTAGATGCTGCTCGTTTGACGGCGACGCTGACCGTCTCATCTACTACTGGATTGATCCCGACACCGGCTTCTTTATGCTGGACGGTGACCGTATTTCTTCTCTGTGCGCTTCTTTCATTGGAGAGCTTGTCCGCTCAGCCGGTCTTGCAGATGATCTCCGCATCGGAGTTATTCAGACGGCATACGCCAACGGCGCCAGCACCAAGTATATCGAGAAGCTTCTGCAGCTTCCGGTAGTTTTTACCCCCACTGGCGTTAAGCACTTGCACCACGCCGCCTGCCAGTACGATATCGGCGTATACTTTGAGGCCAATGGTCACGGTACCGTTGTATTTTCGCAGGATGCCTTGCGTCTATTTAGCACCAAGGAACCCCAGTCCCCAGCTCAAAAGGACGCCCTCGAGACCCTGTCCGCCATTGCTGACCTGATTAACCAGACTGTGGGCGACGCCATTTCGGACATGCTCATGGTCGAAGTCGTCCTCGCCCACAAGGGCTGGACTCTGAAGGATTGGTCCACGACATACACCGATCTCCCCAACCGCCTGGTCCGTGTCGAGGTGGCCAACAAGGATGCCTTTGAGGCCACGGATGCCGAGCGTCGCCTGGCGAAACCGGATGGGGCCCAGGATGCCATTGACGAGTGTGTTAGGAAATACACGTCGGCGCGCTCCTTTGCTCGTGCCAGTGGCACCGAGAACGCCTGCCGCGTCTACGCGGAGGCTGCCTCGCGTGCCGAGGCAGATGAGTTGGCCAACAAGGTCGCACAGATTGTCAAGCAGTTTGGTTCTTAGGAGATGGTAGCTCTTGATAAGTTTGGAAAGCATTTGATGAATATGAAGCAAAGCATGGCGGCTTTGCCCATAGTGCCCATGTAATGGCACCCAAAAAGGAGGATGAAAAGCTTGAACAAAACATTTTGCGTTGGGCAAATCATTTATATCCTTTTTCTTTTTTCTGCAAGTAGGTAGCGCTTTACAATGACGAGTAGAAGAAATACATCTGTATCTACAAAGGCTGCATGTACTTTTTGTTTTGCAACTATACACATCCAAGTAGGGCTGGACGCCGCAAGGCCCTGTTAGCGCATCCGCCGGATCCTTTTGGAAAATTGCTCTAGAAAGATCTGGGCTGGTGATTCAATCACTTTTTTTAGGCACAACAAAGAATGCAACGCCGCATCCGTTTCTGAAGTACACGTGGATTCAAGTAACACCAGTCATACACGTGCGTGCTACTTGAGACGGGAGCGATTCTTCTTGGTAATCATCCACCTATTTTTCCTAGTTGTTTTATTACGTACCTATGTTTTTTTTTGGTTTGCGGCTGCCGCAATTTACTCCCTGGACCCCCTCCCTGCACATCCATGTATACAGTTTGCGTTGCTTCTCGGGTGACTACCCGACCCGATAATGACGGGTGAATAACTCCGTAACTACATACATGGTCCAAATGAGGCTGAGTAATCTGTATACAGTGCGTCTTTTCTTGAACGCCCTGCCGGCTTGACGCTTCGGCAAGCCAGTGATCATTGTGTTACTAAATATAGCTGGACGGGAAACGCACTTATTTAACTAGTGGCCTAACCCTTTGCTCGTTCAACAATGGCCCCCGAAAATCACTGTGGTGATGCAGTGATTATGTTTCAGTTTCTCGTATGGATCCACTCGAATAAACAGATCGAAACTGGACAGCGCGTCGTTATTATCGACTCATCATTATTACTGCCTACCCTAACATCATCGTGGTGCCGCCGAATAGCCTAGTCTTGGTTGGCTCCCACATGGTGTAAAAGCACGCCCGCACGACAAGGCAAAAGGAATAAGAGCTAGAAGAGAAGAGAAGAGAAGAGAAGAAAGAGAAAGAGAAGAAGAAAATTTCCAAAATTCAAACTGTGCTTGCTGCCCCCCCTCAAAAAAAAAAGAGCCAGGTTTTCTACGCCTTGTTCTTCAACAGCTGCCTCAGCCTCGACTCCATCTTGTCCCGCCCAGCTGCCGTCTTCCACACGTGCGGGGGGGCGTCGTCGACAATGTCCCAGTGAAGCAGCTCGTCGGTGAGCTTGGTCAGGTCGCGCTGCTTGGCCTCCCAGGCGCCGTCGCCCTTGACGTGCTGGCCGGAGCTGACGACGACAAGGGGGACGGTGCGGTCCTGAATCTGGCGGCTGCTGCCGACGTCGCGGCGGGTAAAGGAGTTGAGCACGAGGCTCTCCTGCAGGCGCGCAAAGATGTTCTTGCTCGTCTGCTGGACGGCGCGACCGTAGACGCGGTCCTGGCTGGTGCGGCCCTGGAAGAGCGCACCCGGCAGCTGGTCCAGCCCGAGCGGGGAGACGATGCCGCGCAGCCAGAGCAGCAGCCCGCGGGCAGGCGAGGCCAGCGGGCCGAGCAGATCCTCGTGCAGCGGGTCGACGAGCAGCAGCCCGCGGACGTCGCGGCCGTGGCGGGCCGAGAAGACGCGGGCGTACAGGGAGCCGACGCCGGCGCTGGCGAGCACCCACGGCCCGCGCTCGCCGGCGGCCGCGAGCGCCTCACTCAGGGCATCGACGGCGAAGCCCGCCGACAGGGGCGAGGGCGCGGCGTCGGACCAGGCGATGCCCGGGCGGTCGGCGAAGCAGTACCGGGCGATGGAGCCGCTGTCGAGGGCCTCGTCGGCGAAGCGCCAGAGGCCGTCCTCGACGGGCCGCTCGCCGCCCTCGAAGAGCACAGTCGTCTGGCGGCCACCGGCTGCGGCCGTGGCGTTGCCGCGACAGTAGACGTGGATGCGGTACTTACCGCCGTCGACCCAGTGCAGTGCGCCGGGGGCCGCAAACTTGGCGTCGAGGGCGCGCAGGACGATGGTGAGGGCCATGAGCACCGACGCCACCACCATGAGCACGTAGCCGGCGCTCGAGAGCAGCACGGCGAGCCACTCTCCGAGCGTGCGGCGCGTCTCGGCGCGGCCCGTCAGGCGCTCCTCCTCCTCGGCCTTGCCCCATTTCACGGTGCGGTCGACGAGGATGGTCCAGAGGCTGAGCAGCAGCGCCCAGACGACGCTGACGATGCCGACCCAGCCCTCTTCAGCGCGCGTCTTTTGGACGGCCAGCAGGATAATCATGTCGACCGTGAGGACAAACTTGTGTGCGAGTTAGCTTTTGCTTGTTCTCCATGCCAAAAGAGAAAGAAAAAAAATCCCACATACCGCCATGACGAGAGAGAGAATCCGGACCGAGCGCGACGGAATCTCAAAAAAGACGAGGGTAAAGAGCACATTGGCGAGAGCGAGGCTGGCAAAGCCGTATGCGTAGAAGCCGCCGCCGCGGATGTGGAAGCCGGGCAGCGTCGCAAACGTGGACACGAGCACGAGCACCCACCAGAAAAAGGTGACGAGGGCCAGGACGACGGTGGCCCAGCGCAGGAGCCGGATGCTCCAGAGGTTGTAGGGCGTGACGGCGGGGTCGTCGGGGGTGAGCATGCCGCGGCTCGAGTCGACGCGGTTCGGCAGCAGCCGCGTGTGCTCGTCGGGGGGCAGCGTGTTGACGTCGTCATCGTCGGCGGCGGAGGGGGCGCCGCGGGAGCGATCCGTGCTCTTGACGGACTGCGGCATGATGAATTGCGTGTCGTGGGGATGTTTTGCGTTGGACGAGGGTGGGCGCGCCGATGGAGCTGCTAACAGCGTACAGTGATGGATGCCAACGGCGATATACAGTGATGGATGCCAATGGCGATATATCGCAATGTATATGTAAAGGTGTGAGATGGACAACGGCTGGCAAGCTAGACTCGAAAAGAAAGAAGAGGTAGGGACATTAAGGTTTCCGTTGCTGATCCTGGGTTCCCTCCCGGCGAGCTGCGCGGAAACAGGCTCTTGGACAGAAGTGTAGACGTCATTCGCCCGGAGTGGGGGGACCGTTCGCTGTCGGCAGACTAATGTCTGTAAAAACGGGTGCGGGCAGAAAGACAAGGTCGGGGCATTTGTAGCAAGCGGGAATTGATTTGTCCGTGTAGTAAACCATCCGACCTTCGTCTTTGGGCACTGTCGCCGAGCTTGCTCTCCGCTACCTTGACTGGACTGGCCACAATGCTGCTCGAGGGCTCGAGGGCTCGAGGGCTCCAGTCTCTCGATCTCGATGGCCAAGTCCAACTCGATATTTATTACGGTACCTACAGCTCGGGAGCCAATCAGGGTACAGCGGGGCGATTGAGTTGGATTCAGGCAGCTTGTTAGCGCGCCTCTTAGCGGCCCTCTGCCTTGGTCATTTTCGACTTTTCATGAATAATCTCCAAGTCTCGTTTGAAATTTGTCTCGAGAAACCTCGGGGTTCATGCCAAGAGCCTACTCTGCCTCGACATCTTCATGCTATGGAGCGACACAAAGAGATAACGCAATGTGAATCGACAAACAGTAGATGGGTCGTACACCCCCTCACGTCATGCGAATGCACGGGTGCAATGGATTAATCAATAAATATATCAAAAAGCCTTACCAGGCGGGTATCCAAGTAAAAATACACACCGACCTGTTGTCACCACTACATGCCCCGATTCGGTCGCCATCGCGATTGCGCCCCTTTTCCCCCAATGACGCACAGGTTCCTCGCAAACACAACACCACTCGCGATCAATTCTCCCACGGCGCCACCTGGTTGAGCTCCCGAATGCTCGGCGCCGCGCTCGACGATGACCCGCCGCTCGATACCGACTGCATCGACTCCCCACCGTGCTTCCGGTACGCCGTCGGCCGATCCCGGGCCAGCTCCCTCGCCAGCCGCTTCTCCGGCGTCGGCCCCGACGTCGACGTCGTCGCGCCCGCCGGCAGCGTGCCCAGCGGCAGGTGCATCTTGGCCGCCGCCGCCGGGTCCCGGGGGTCGATGCCGTGCTTGCGAAACGTCTCGCGCTTCTGCGTCTTCATTGCCTGCGCCGACGGCTCGCTGACCGACAGCCACGTCTTGACCGAGCGGAGGAACGTCCTCTTGTCGCTGCTGCTGCTGCTGCCGACTTGCTTGGTCAAGGACGGTCGCTCAGTGGTGCTGCTGCTGCGCGGCGCCACGTGGTTGTCGGAGCCCTGGTTGCTTGAGGTGGACTGGGAGGGCCGGTGCATTGGTTGTCGTGGTGGCATGCTTCGAGGACCGTTTGGAGGGCTCATGTTCTGCGGTACCATCTGAACAGAGGTCCGGTGTTTTTTTTTTCTCCGGTAAGTTTTGCCGATAGCACGGTATACAGCGCCACGACCGAGATCAAGTTCACCGGCACGTGTTGGTCTGCTTGATGGATCAGACGCCCGCAGGTAGACCAGGAAATGATCGACAGCTGCGACACTGTCTAGGGTGTAGTCTGTAGGTGCGATTCTAGTACACCAACGTAGTTTTCGCTCACAGGACAGGAGACAATATGCAGAGTGGCTGTGTCGAGGTAAACGACAGCAAAACGAAACGAGAGACGAGAGACGAGAGACGAGAGACGAGAAAAGGAAAACTGTTGAGCAGAAAAGACCAGACGAGGGATCGACTGCGGATGAAGACACGGCGCCAGGAGGAAAGGTAATAAAACGATGGCCCGACTGCACCAGGGGCGGTTGCCGGCCGGCCTCGCACAGACAGTGCGCGATTCTCCTAGACCCGCGCCGCTTCGGACGACGCTAGCGGCTGGCAGTCAGCAAATATCCGTTTGGAGACAAGCCGATGAGAGATGAGAGTGTTGCCTTGTCTTCCTCTCTTGCCAAGATGCGCGAGGGTGAGCAAGGTCTTCCGCTGCCCAGTAGCAGAGCAAAAAGGGACGGGGTGGTGAAGTTATATTACGCCAACTGGCGGGACTGCCGTCGGGAACGATGAACCTTGCCGGGCTGAGACTGTCCAGTCAATTGTGCAGAAGTACGGCGTCTATCCCTTGTGTGTGTGATGACACAAAACGGTGGCGGCGGGCGGCGTGGTGGTGTGCAGTACTATCCGTAGTCAACCATCTCATTGCAAGGACTAACTGTCGAATAGAAAACAAGAAATATGTAGAGAAGCAGAATATATTCAGAATAAGATAGGGAATAAGAATACATGGAATAATGAGTTACTCAACCCAAATGTCAGTGACCGGCGGTTCATTGTGTCACGACTCGCTATGCCAGCATCTTGAGAAGCCTCCCACTTACAAATGAACAACTTTGGTTGCTGCCATACCGTCCCGCCATCTCAAACTCATCAAAGAGAAAAACCAGCTGCGACCAACCCTGCAAAGAAGCCCACAAATGCGCCGCATCATGGTCGGAGACGGCAGCATATTCCTCCCATATGTCAGCGTCAAGCCACTCGGAGCAAGGGCGGCCTTGCCTCCTCGTGAACTCGTGAACTATTGATTTTTTGGAGACTGTAGAACGCCACCGGCGACGAAAGCTGCAGGTAGTTAGCTGGAAAAAGGAAGTCGGGTCTGGAAAAAAAGAAATTATAGCCACCCCCCAAAACTAGCCCTACTCCGTACTTGGAGAAAAGGGAAAAGGAAAACTACGGGGATAACTATGTACCCCGAGAGCAGAAAATGATGAATCGTTTCTCGGGAGGTGGCGCTGAGACCATGTTCGCCTTGTGCAGAGCTGAGAGGTGTGAGTATCCGTACATGGGCATTTTATGACAGGTATGAAGAGTTTATTCAGCCTTTTATATGAAGGAGCGGGATCCTGTGCGGCAGACTGGAACCTTGGCAAGACGGTTCGATATTCGCGAGAAAACATGCGGCTGTCGACGGCATGTTCCTACGGATACTGCCCGACGCATTTTTACCTACACCAACCGGTGCTAGGTCGTTGCAGCATCCCTAGTTACAACTGCTCGACTTTTTGGCTTATTGGTAGTACTTTGATCACAATACGAACAGAAGACGTTTGCCGATTGTGATATATTTTAGTGCTGAAATGGTAGCAGGCCGAGCATCATGGCCATGCCCAGCTTCAAGCGGCGCACTGAGCGTGCGGCGGTGCATCGTCGCCCCCTCAAAAGTAGAGAAGAAAAAAAAACAAGCTATTCTTAGTTCACCGGATCTCGCCGATCACGGACCTTGGGGGTCAGGATCTTAAAAAAGACAATGGCCCCTGCATTCGTTGGTTGACTTGTCAGGGGTCTCACGGAGGCGGCGCCGGGGTCGTCGGTCTGAAAGACGAATTGCCGTCCGTTTTTCTTTTTTTTTCATCCCATCTTGCCTAATTAAACGAAATTCGTGCTCCACTTCATTGATTAACTAAAAGCGGCTCATCTCGGACAGCCGAGCAACGTGACGATACAAGATACATGCTGATGAAAGCCTCCGGCGGTTCGCGTGTCATTGAAGCCGATCCTGGCAGTCGCTCCGGCACACACAATTTGGTAACCCCTAGAAACAATGTTTCTGGTTCGCGAAGCTTTCCTTGATCTCACGAGAACTCTCGTAGTCAGTAGTAATACTACATCGCAGGCCTCTTTTGTCCAATGCCAAGCCAGGGAACCACCCCAATGTAAGAAATATAGAACTAGACTAGGGCTTGTGCGGCCCCGGATCACAACCATCCCCTCGCCGTTAGGCTGCTTTGCCCGTTCCAACCAAGAAAAAAATATGTGTCAAAAGTTTGATCTACTTTCAAAGACTCGTACCAAGAATACCAACAGCATGTATACAAGACTCTTGTTCGGTTTGGGTGCCCAAAGTTCCAGACCATCGCGGGGCCACGGACGGGCGGCAAACACATGGGCCGACCGCCGGAGAGTAAGAGTGTACGGAGCCGTATATGAGCTAGATGGTCCGCTCTTTTCAAAGCTCTTTGTTTTTGTGATTGGCACATCTCTGCTAATCTCACACGTTTTCTCATTTTTAGTTCCATTCAGAGAAAAGTGAAAAGCCAACATGCACAGCGTGGAATTGACCGACCGGCAGAGACATGCCGAGGGGGCGACGGCCGGCGGCGCCGCAGCCGATCCCGAGTCGGGCGACGAGATGCCGCTCGACGACGCGGGAAGCCGCATCGAGCAGCATCTGGCGCCCGTCGACGGCGGCATCGCCGCCTGGCGAGTCTTGCTGGCGGCTTTCATGTTTGAAGGCTGTCTTTGGGGTAAGTTCCATCTATACTGTATCCGCTTGGCCGGCCAGGCGCGGCTTTATGCTCTGTTTACTTGCCGAGATTATCATGGCTAAACGCATGGCTCCGCGCAACAGGCTTCCCCATGTCCTACGGTGTTTTCCAAAACTACTACTCTACGATTCCTGAATTCGCCGGCAACAAATACATTGGCGTTGTCGGCACCATTGCCTCGGGCGTCGGCTACCTCGGCGCGCCCGTCATGATGCTGCTGATCCAGCGGCACCAGCGGTGGCTGCGTCCCATGATTTGGATCGGCTGCAAGTTATCCCTTCCGTGTACACCCACCACACACACACACCTCGTCGCTTCACTAACCGGCTCCGTGTTTCTCTCTTCCAGGGCCCTTGTGCATCCTCAGCCTCGTGGCGGGGTCCTTTGCCACGACGCTCGAGGGCCTCATCCTCACGCAGGGCGTCGCTTACGGGTTCGGCTTCCTCATCTTCTACTACCCGATCCTGCACATGGTGAGTGAGTACTGGGTGGCGCGTCGCGGCATGGCCTTTGGCATCCTGTGCGGCGCCTCGGGCATCTCGGGGACGGCGATGCCGCTCGTCGTGCAGGTGCTGCTCGCGCGGTACGGCTACGCGGTGACGCTGCGTGCCGTCGCCGTCGCCCTCGTGGTGCTCACGGGCCCGCTCATGCCGTTCCTCCAGGGCCGCGTGCCGGCGGCGCAGCGGCGGCGCGGACCGGCGCCGCCGGCCGACTGGCGCTTCCTGCGCAGCTCGCTGTTCTGGACCTACTCGCTGTCGAACCTGCTGCAGGGCTTCGGCTACTTCTTCCCGGCGCTGTACCTGCCGTCGTACGCCAGCGCGCTCGGGCTCGGCGAGCGCAGCGGCGCGCTGCTGCTCGCCGTCATGAGCGTCGCCCAGGTCTGCGGCCAGTTCGCCTTTGGCTACCTCTCGGACCGCAAGATCTCGACAAACGTGCTCGCCGCCACGGCCGTCGCCGTCGCCTCCGTCGCCTGCCTCGCCATGTGGCAGCCGGCCCGCTCGCTCGCGCCGCTCGTGTGCTTCGCCGTCGCCTACGGCTTCTTCGCCGCCGGCTACACGGCCATGTGGGCGCGCATGAGCACCAACGTCTGCCAGGGCGATGCCGCCTCGGCCCCCATGGTCTACGGCCTGCTCAACTTTGGCAAGGGCCTCGGCAACATCTTTTCCGGCCCCATCGGCGGCAACCTGATCGCCTCCGCCGGCAGCCAGTTTGGCGGCGACGCGCTGGCGTACCGGTGGGTGGTCGTGTTTACGGGTATCTGCATGCTGGCGAGCGCTGGAACGCTTGCGGCCAAATACTTGAAGCCTGCAAGGATGCTTTTTAATGCATAGACAGGCTTTTGGGTATCAGCTCAATTTACATCTGCATGGCGCTTTCAGTTTCGGGAATGGGTGGTTTACGATACAACGGCCGTTATGAGGTGGCGTTTTTTGCTATTTTTTTTTTATTTGAGAATCTTTTTTCGACATTGCATGAAACAATAAACATGAATATCCTTATAAAGAAGATTAGTCAAATTATTATTCATATGTATTCAATGAAAAGCTGTGGCGGCACTTGGGAGCCACTCTCGTCATGCGCCCCGCCATGTTGCCTTAGTGTTGCCTATTTGCCTTGTTCATCAAGAATCTAGAACCTACCAGCATCGAATTTCCTACAACGCCATCATTCAGCGGACGCACGTTCGTCAAGCCCTTGGCGGCCGACCACTCCTGCAACCCACGAACCAAAAATAGCCATCAAACCCGACGCTCTACCCCGTCAACAAAACTTTTGTCCCTCCAGAAGCGCCTGCGGCCGCTGCCGCCGTCCTCCCCCCGCCCCCGCCAACCTGCAGCGCATAATCACATCGCGAAACCCCTCCAAGAATCACGATGCCTGCGCTCACCCTCTCAACAACGAACAAGACACGCGCCCCCAGCGCGACAACAACGACGACGACGTCGACAACGCAGCCGCGCGCCGCCTCGCCGGCTGACGGGCCGCCCATGTCCCCCATCACCCCTCCACTACAAGCCACGCGGCTCCCTGGCGACACCACCACCACCGCTACCGGCTCCTCGTCGCGGCCAGCCTTGACACACACGACACAGGAAACACCCGTCACGCTGCCCCTCGCACCCGGACCCGAGCCTCTCGACTTCGACGCCAACCCGGACACGATTGCGCTGAGGTCGGCCATTTCCGTGCTGCAGCTGCAGCGCCGGCGCGCGACAGCCGATATTCAAGCCCTCAGCCGCGCCAAGGAGGCGGCCGTAGGCGACCCCGAGGCCTTTGTGCGCGACCTCGTTGCCGGCAAAGTCAACCAGCCCGCTGGTGCCGGGATGGTGGCGAGCGCGGGCGACGACGACTCCGACTCCGACGCGCCCACCGCCCCCGCAAACGAGGCGCCGAGGCCATGGGCGGCGCTGCCGAAACCCCAGGAGATTGTGCGCTGCCCGCCCATCAACTGGTCCCAGTACGCCGTCGTCGGCGACTCGCTCGACAAGCTGCACGCCGAGCAGGTGGCGCGTCCCACGCAGGGCACCCCGGCGGCGTATATCCCCGGACACGCGGGCATGTACGAGTTCAGAGGTGGCGACGGTCGCCAGGAGCTTTATCAGGGCGCGGCGGTGCCCTACAATCCCGTCAAGGACAGGGTTGACAGGAAAGCCACGAGCAAGGCGAGAAAGTAGATGGGGTTTCAGTCATATGCACCTGCCGTTTTGTTTTCTTCTCTTTTTGGTGAATTTGTTGCCATGTAGTACGGTATGGCGTTACGGATATGGCGAAATATGCCTACCTAGGTAGGATGCATCATGAAATACACGGCCCATCACTTTTTCTTTGCTTCCCTTACTGATAAATATGCCATGAGAGTTGCAACGTACCGAAGCTTGCTACCCAGAGGCACATCGGCGACTATAACGCGTTGGCTATTACTTCCTCTACCCCCATTGCCAGCGCAAAAAACACAGATGAACCACCAGCCAAGACGAGATACTTCCCCCACATACAATGCTTCTCGGCTATTTACTGCGCTACCACACCGTCTGCTTGGCATGCCATTCGCTGCCATCTTTCCTCACGGGGCTACCTTATTCGGGGAAGTCTCTGCAGACATGTCAGCACCATAACCCTGCCGATGCACCCTAAATTCACTTACTCCATGCTATCTTGTATAGATCGACGAAGTCTTCGATTGTACTGCTTCTTCTCATCCGGGATTTTGCTCCAGTATAACTTGGTTGCTTCGGGATGGACGATTTTCCGCGGGTCGTACGCGGGTTGATCGTCTTCCAGGACCCCCAAAATCGTTTCAATATGACTGCGGACGTCACCGGAGGCGTTTGCCGGGGGGTTGTAGCAATATGTGCCGTCTGGTGCAATTTGATGGTGAAAGATTTTGGATTGGAAAGCGACGCGTGGCTGTTCAGTTGGGAAACGAGGACTAAAGTGCAGCTTGATCCGGATAATGCCACCGTCTAGGTTGGTCATGGGACGCCCGAAATATGTGAGGATCCAAACGAAAGCGTTGTCGTTTTCCAGAGTCACGCTGTGCGGCACATCTCCACGCCGGAAGTAGGCAACCATCTGCTCGAATTGGTGGCGCAAGTTGACGGCCACAGTCGAGTCATTGAGTTGCGCCGCCAGGCCACCTTGGGCCCAGGACACCAACTCATCGCTAAGTGCGGTTTTGATATTCCGGAGGCGACGCTCGAGATCTTCGTAGTTGAACTTTCCGTCCATGCCGTTGCTACCAGTTGCCTCAAATGGCATGAGCATGAAGCGGGTTCCATCCTTCGTTTTCGATTGGCCAAGTCGAATAGCCGCCATATAGGACTCAAAGTACCAGAGAAAACGTCGCTTACAAAGGTCTTGAAATGGCTCGAAGGGTATAATTGCCTCATCTTCCCCCTCTTGATCAGATTTTGGCTGGATTGGTGGGATGCGAGTACCATCAGGTCTCAGACCCAAATATCCCTCGAGGCGTGCAATGACGGATATCCTCAAAGACTCGTGACGAATCTACTTTGTTAGTGAAAACTCCTTGCTAATTTCTAGGTGCAGTGGTTGCTCCCTTACTTTTTGTACGTAGGCTTCTTGCTTTCCTTTATCCTCCGGTTCGTTGGCATTTTCGTAGCCAGGCTCATTTTCATATGGATTTGAGGACATTAAGCTCTGGATTGATAGTAGAATGGACTCCATGCCCTGAGCAGAGGACCATTCTTCGCCTCTTTCGCCCCTCCAGGTCCTGAGAAGAGTCAGCGCAGCTCACAGCGGTTCTTGTGAGTCCGTACCCTAGAATAGACCTGCAACTGGTTAGTACGTCACACAGAGTCAAGCGTTGGGTTACATACAAACAAACTTTCCCATTAGCGTAAATGTTTGGGTTAAAACGACAGCGTCCACCATTCGTAGTAATACACTGGACGTTAGGCGCGCTCGAGGGATAGGCTATGGTTGGTCAGTACACCGCAAGCAGTAAGGTGTAGTCGTTACCTACTCTTGGGGAACTTGATGGTAAACTGTGGTTCACAAGTTAGACGGGATTTCATTGGGAATAAATAACGACTGACTTCGAAGAATCCGAATTCGTACGGGGTCTCGTGCGGTCCAACAATGAGCGCCTTTACGTTACGCACGTCAACGTCCCGGCAGGCGACCGCAATGGCTTGGGAGGTTAGATATGATGACCATGGCCTCATTACAATCGGCAGAGGGAAACATACCGAGATCAGACGACCTTTGGAGGTCTGCTAGCTCCTGGAGACCACAGATATGAGCGATGGTTGGTTGGCGAGAACGTGCCAGCACTTACCTTGGTGATGCGGATTATTGACTGATCCATCGTGGCGACCACGCGCGGCACGGGAAAACGGAATAATTGTTGATAGCAATACAAATATGAGGCTATAGATGCCGAGCAAGCAAGAGGTTGTCCTGGTTACGGTGATTCATGAATTGGTGAGCTTCCCGGAAGGCAGCGTGCAAAGCGGCAAGGCGGCAAGGCGGGGGCGGGGCAGAATCTTTTGCTGTGAGGCACAACCGGGTGGAGGTACTCGAGGGACGTGAGCTGTCGACGACGCAGTCTTTCAGCAGGTCTCAATGCTTATCAATATCGAGCAAAATATCGTGGCGAGGTGGGAGTCGGAAAGACGGTTGCAGAGGAAGATGCTCGAGGGAAGAAAGAGGTAAAACTGAAGTTGGACTAGGCAGGCACGGCATGCAGGCAGTCAGCGCATTGATCCAGTGCTACTAAGTGTCTCGCGTTTGCACTGCGACGTAAAACAGGCAGGCTGCGGCCGCCCAGTGCGAACCACCATGGTTATTGCAGTGCCCAACTCACGAATCCATTTTTCCTCTAGTTATTCGGGCATTCACGGCCACATCTATGCTCCATAAAGAGGCAACCAGACACCCGAGGCAGTGTAAATGGTTCGCAGGCACGTCGTTGCTGCAGCTCAGCTCAGCCAAAACGCCCTGTTTAGTGGTGGGGCTTGCAGCTGCAGGCTGTCATGGGGTTCTCTGCACGAGCTTAGTACATTGAGTACCTAATACTACGGTAGGTACTGTACCTACTAGTTATTAGCAGCAGTGCTCCTTTTCCAGTCCAAGCTCACATTCCGCAGCCCCTTGCCACAAGGATCCCTCTTTCGAATTGTTTGTGGACATCCTCGCGATAGGCGTGGCGATTGTACCAGTCAGGTTGTTGAGTAGAGCCAACTTGTCGGACAATTATGGCTACAGGAAAAGCCCACGTCAGGAATTCTATCAAGGCAGAGCTAATTTGCAAGCGGTGGAAGCAAGCCCAGTGAACTACATGCAATGGAAATTCCAGCATTGGAGTCAACAAAGGCGGGATTGTGACCGCCCGATCAGAATGCCGTAGCTGAGCTGGGCGCGTAGCTGATGCCGGGATGCATCCAGCTGCGCATCGCACCATAAGAGGAAATATTTAAGCCGCGATTGCTTCCGCGCCTGAATGCGTGGTCTTTGCTTGCTGCCATATATAAGACCCAAAACCGCTCGTCGCAGGACGACGTCCGCTACGTCACGCCCCAAGAAGAAGGCTGCCGCCGCCGCCGCCGGTGCTGGTGCTACGCGCGCCGTGGCCGCCAGACCTCGTCGACCGCACAAAGGATAAGGTCAAGGAGGACTAGTCTAGAATAGGGTTAAGCCTAACCTCCTTTATGGTATTATACAGTTATATAGTAATACTTTCTAAATTAGTTTAAATATAGCTTTTATTATATATATATCCTTATAATTTCTTTTATAGTCCTTTATATTACTATTAGAAACTAATTTATTAGTTATATCGTCTTACCTAAATATATTACTAGGTAAAAATTTTATTATACTAACTAATATTACTTTAATTCTACATATAGCTAATAAAGAGTATAGTGGATCTATACGCTATTATAGTATAAGCCTTGTATTGGGAAACCCCTGGTAAAACCTCAACTCGGTTTGCCCTCCAGACCTACGTAGGTAGGTGGACGACTCCCAATGACGCGAGGCGGCTGTCGCGTCACCCGCAACGCGTTAATTGGTTTCCATATTCTCAGTCTTCACCTCTACCAGCCCAACACCACGCATCCCTCAACGCACCTCACTGAATAGCTGCGCAGGCCTTCGGTCGCTACTAGTCAACGCGACAATGGCCTCATTCTTTGATCTCAAGGCCCGCAAAGCGGCGGCGGCCACGAATGGCGGCTCCGAGCAGAAGCAGAACAAGGGCAACGACGGCCGCATCCAGCCCTGGGTTGAGAAGTAGTACGTTTCCAGGCTTCAGAAGCGAATCTCGCACGCGGCTTCTAATAAATTGCAGTCGCCCCAAGAGCCTTGACGACATCGCGGCGCAAGAACACACCGTCACCGTCCTCCAACGAACGCTACAAGCCGCCAACGTAAGACCTCCATCCAAGCTCCGACAAGCTCCATACTGATTCCCGCTGCTCCCCAGCTACCTCACATGCTCTTCTACGGCCCGCCCGGTACCGGAAAAACGTCGACCATTCTCGCCCTCGCCAAGCAGCTCTACGGCCCCGAAATGATGAAGTCGCGTGTCCTCGAGCTCAACGCCTCCGACGAGCGCGGCATCTCGATTGTCCGCGACAAGGTCAAAAACTTTGCCCGCATGCAGCTCACAAACCCGCCCGCCGGCTATCGCGACAAGTACCCCTGCCCGCCCTTCAAGATCATCATCCTCGACGAGGCCGACTCCATGACGCAAGATGCCCAGAGCGCCCTGCGCCGCACCATGGAAATCTACAGCAAGATTACCCGCTTCTGCCTCATCTGCAACTACGTCACCCGTATCATCGACCCGCTCGCCAGTCGCTGCAGCAAGTTCCGCTTCAAGAGCCTCGACCAGGGAAGTGCCAAGAAGCGCCTCGAGGAGATTGCCACCGCGGAGTCGGTGCCCGTCGACGACGGAGCAATCGACGCCTTAATTCGCTGTAGCGAAGGCGATCTGCGCAAAGCCGTCACGTTTCTGCAGAGTGCGGCTCGTCTAGTGGGCGCTGGCGCGCAGCCCAAGGACAGCGATGGCGACGATGACATGGAGGTGGATAAGAAAGCGATTACGGTCAAGATCATCGAGGACATCGCTGGCGTGATCCCCAGCAAGACAATAGATGAGCTCGTTGCTGCTTTGCGCCCGCGTGGCTCGAATGGCTCGTATGCAGGCGTCTCCAAGGTGGTAGAAGACATGGTAGCCGATGGCTGGAGTGCCGGGCAAGTTGTGTCCCAGGTAAGCCTCGTCGTTCTTCACAAATATACCCATTCTAACCCGACTCAGCTGTACCAAGTCGTCACATTTGACGAAACGATTCCTGATGTACAAAAGAACAAGATTGTCATGGTCTTTTCCGAAGTCGACAAGCGGTTGCTGGACGGTGCTGACGAGCACTTGTCCATCCTCGACTTGTCCATGAGAATATCTGCAATCCTGGCTGAAAAGTAATCCTCTAAAATGTAACAACTCATACTACTGAAAATAACTGAAGAAAAAAAAAGTTGAAATTGGCTATGCATGCAACTAGACAAGGGTATATCTACTGTCATCTCACATCATGGTCCATCTTGGCCCAGCAGGCCTAGATTTCCTCGTACTTTCGACCACGGGTCCGTCGAGCTTTGCGATTGCGCCTTGCTCCCTTTCCTCGTATGTTTTCGAGCTCTCGGCGTCTCTTCACCAAGCCACATATCTTCTTCGCCGGCGTTGTCCTCACCGCCCAGCATGTTCTTTCCACTAATTTTGCCGATGCCGTGCAATGTGCTCATCAACCCCTCGAGGGCAATCTGGCCGCCCTCAACCGTCTCTGCCACGGTTTCCAGCGTGGCCATCTTTGCGGCGTCGGCGGCGTCCACCCACGGCTTCACCAGGCGGGTGATGCTGATCTGCGACGTCGAATCAGTACCCGACCGGTGGCGGGTGACCTCTCCCTGAGGGAATGTGGCCAGCAGGTGGCTGTCCTCGGCCAGCTTGCTAATGTGGCGGCTGTTTTCTTGGGCCGTCTTATGGAGGAGAGCGGACATGTGCGTCCGATAGGCCACTGTGGCTTTGTGATTCGCCGAGGTATCGACCAGAGAGGCCAGGTACGGCGCCACGAGATGGTCCATTGGCGGGGGCGGTGCGGCTGGCGCGTAACTCGTTCTCTTCGTAGATTGGATACTCCGAGATGGTGCTGGAAGGTATTGTGGCCCGCTTGCGGCCATTTCCAACAGAACCCTCCTCGCGGAGACGTAGAGGGCGTACTTTTCTTTGATCCCACTCAACTGTGCCTGAATGGCGGCAGGGTCTGTCGTGTCCGGCCCCCTTTCCGACGAGCCGTCGCCGTCCTCGCCAGGCTGCGCCTCGGGTGACGCCTTTCCAAGCTCTGTTTCGATCCAGTGGATGAGTTCGTCTCGCGTCGCGCCCAGCGCCGCGAGCCTTGCCGCTTGGCTCGGCGGCTGCGGCGCACGACGCACGCGTTGTCCCGCTTCCTGCAGCTGCTGCTCCTCCCGCTTGAGGAGCAGCTTCGCCCGCAAGACCACCTTTTCTAGCTGGCTGATTTGCCCGGGAATATCAAGCGGCGACGAGCTCTGCTCGATGACCATGGTGTTGATGACGTCCCTGGGCACCGGCGGCAGGGCAGGCGTCCCATGAAACATGCGGTCGGTGTTTAGGAACTCGTGGTCCGCCGCCGGTTGTTCCAATAACGTGTCGAGAGTTTCTTGCACCGCGTAGAGGCGGTCGCGCTTTTGGTCTAGCTTCAGTAGGGCCACTCGCTCGTTGAGGTCCGCCGCGGTGTGTGTTCCAGCCACCGACGCCTCCGTGCGCGGATCTGGGGCTGCATAGTCTCGAGCCGCCTCAAACTCCTTCCGTGCAGCTATATTTTCCTTCAGGGCCTCTAGGTATTCCCTATATATGGTGTTGGCCGGTGTATTGTCTGTTTTGACAGTGTCTTCGCCATCGCGTGTGTTTGCCAAGGCTAGCGCCGACGTGAGGGGACTGCCCTGTATGCATTCACCGATGTGCGCGGCCAGAATACGCCGGATATAGTTGACTTGGTCGCGAGATTTGATGTATGGATCTAAGCCATCTTGTATTCTCGCCGCGCATCCGTCGTTTTCCGGCATGGTGGCGCTACTGCCTCGCTGATGCAAGGTCGAAGTGGCGGTTTCGGGTTGCGCTTCATCCAGTGGAGAGATTGAGATTATTAGTTCTGTACCGAATATCTGCACCAGAGCCCCAACAGTTCCAAGAATGTTAAATATGGTCTACTTGTAACGAATATTTTCATGCTTGAAAGACCGAGATTCTTCGCGTTCATGAGTTAGATCAGTAGCCACTCTGTATCCATTGATGCCTTGACCGTGAGAGGCTCATAGAGCGTTGAACAAGTCGTGGGCCCGGGTATGGACCTAGAAGGAGTTTCGGGGCTCAAAACAGCCACGCACCCGCTATTCGTCCTGTAATAAACGAGAGCCATGAAACATTAGGCTGTTTCTGACCAACAAAAAACTGTATTTCTTCACCTGCTTCATTCGCAATTGCCTCAGAGTTAGCGTGGGGCGGCGAGGTTTTAGAGACAGGCCTCAGCTGGCGAAGGCTGGCTACAACAAGATCCTCTGCTCACTGGCTAGTACCTAGATACTAGGTAAAGCTCAGTATTTCCAGCCTTCTTTTCAAGATCGGCACACAAAGGATGCCTCCAAATGGCGTAGGAGCGAGGGGTTGTACTACACCTTCATGAGCTCGTTGGTTGCCGGCTCAGCGGATAAACGGATGGGGATCCCTTGATTGGCCATGCAATCAATTTACTTCGACAAATAGATTTGATTGACTGGCCAATCATCATCATCCCGATACTCCGTATGGGGTGTTAAGCTATCTTCAAAGAGCAAGTCGACGGGCTCACGGAAGGATACCCTGGTCTCGAACCACGTTAGCATTCAGCTTATACAATTACGCGAGAACCTTGGGAGAACGTTGCAACTCTACGTGCATCTTATGGGACTGACATTAGACGGAATAGCTCTAGCTTCGCAGCTCCTTTGCCTTGCCAGGCTGCCGCGCTACATGAACATGGCATGATCGCCATCATAGACGCTTTCCCATTCGAGAAGGTCGTTTCAACCTCAACACCCAAGATCCATGATCTTCATTGTGCAACAACATTCTTACAAAATGCTCTTACTACTCATAAAGAAGCGTGCCACTATAAGAGAGCGGTGCCCGGCTTGTTGTAGTTTGCGAATGAAGCAGTTTTCACTACAGCTACTTCACTCTTTCCTTCTTTCCTTCTTTTCACCCATTATGCATATCGAACTCGTTCTTGTTGCTGCCCTTGCGGCCAAGCTCGGTTCTGCTTTGGTTGGTGTCGATTGGCAGTTTTCCGACACTCAGCAAATACAAAACGGCCTCAACAACGTCACCTTCCCGTTTGACTTGAGCAACGCCCCGCACACTACTGGCTTCTACTTTGCGCAGCAGTTCTACTTCAATGGCGTCGACAGCGTGGCTTACACTGGTCTGCAGCCGCGACCAGACAACGACAACGGCAGCGTCATCCATGCCGCCTTTTCCAGCTTCGTCGAGGGCACCACTTCCAATTCGCCGCTGTGTAGCGATGGCGCGGACGGTGGCGCTGGTGTGAGCTGCGCAGTCGAGTTTAACGGTGACTACTCCCACAAGTATAATTGTGTGGTGGAAACCACCGATGGAGGTCTTACTTGGCGAGGCACTGTCGTTGACACTGTCACGGGAGACTCGCACGCCGTGGGCGAATGGACGCTGCCCAAGAAAGCGGCTGGTCTCCAGACATCGGGTACTGGATTTGTGGAATACTATATTTACCCTCGTGAATCAGACGGAAAGGTCAAGTGCGATGGATTGCCTCTGACCGAAGTTTCCTTCTTTTCGCCATCTAGCACCACCCAGGGTGCCAACCAGGGCACAATCGGGAAGCCGTACGAATACGGCGACTGCGTGGGAACGTCTGCTTTCTCAACGGAGGCTATCAGCAATGGTTACGATGTCAAGGTTGGATTTAAAGTCACGGCTGATGGATTCTGTCGTTGGTAGTGTGCTAGGCGGTGGCTTGGATTCAATACATATTTCTCTCGTTATTTTTTTTGACTTTATTTTATTTCATTTCCGTTGATTCTCACTAATAGTATCATCATCTTGCCCAAGTTCTCCTACGCTTCTCTTTTTCCATACGACTTAATTATTCGCCGATAGTATGTATTGTTCGCTTGTCATTAGTGGGGAGCTTCCGGAACCCTTCAGTCTGCGTAATCCGAAAGAACAGCCCCTTTTTTTATATCTTGGTCTTGGGAGCTACCGTGTAGTTTCAGATGACAAATATTGACGGCGATAAATATCAATTTGGAAAAAAAAATGTTTGTCCACTTTCTGGCCAGCATCACGACATACATACTAGGCACACGAGGCAAAGAGCCACAGGCAAAGGAACTGCCCTCAAGTGGCCAATGACACTAGGCCCGTTGCGACACTAGCGTACTTTTTTTACCTGGAGGTTCGATCTGAAATTTATCGGCGCGACGCCTTCAATCAGCCAAACAACCATTTTAATCTCTCCAGCATTGACTCGCTGCCCGCATCGCCTTTGCCTTGACGCGCACGCTTATACGACTGTTCAAAGAAGAAGCGCATGGTATACTAGCGGTCAAGCTCTGCGAGTCGCCGTCGAGCACCTCGGCGTTCTCCATCCCTGTAGCGACCTTCCACAACACCGCCATCATGTCGGACGCTCCTCGCGATGTCTCCCAATACAAGTACTCGGCCATGTCCAACCTGGTTCTCCAGGCGGACCGTCGATTTGTCTCACGACGAAATGATGAGTCCACCGGGGACCCAGAGTCCCTCGCGGGACGCCTGAGCATTCGGGACATGGGTGCGCGAGTCGCTCGTGACGAAGCTCCGAAGCAAAAAAAGCAGCCTGGACTGCCAGATATTCAGAGAGGCAGCTTGAAAGAGGACCAAGACGTGCTGCTACGCGAACAACAAAAACGAAAAGCCGACAACGCCAACCTCCGAGGCGCTGGCGTCCTTGGCGCAAACGAACCCTTGGTTGAGGGAATCACATACCGACCTCGCACACTCGCCACACGCGCCACATTCAACTTAATACTTACTCTTATTGCAACAACACTCGGCGACGTACCACACGAAGTAGTTCGAAGCGCAGCCGATGCGGTCTTGGAATACTTGAAGGACGATGATCTGAAGGACCTCGACAAGAAGAAGGAAATCGACGATATCCTCGGCGCGACGCTGAACCCCAAGCAGTTCAACGAACTGATTAATCTTGGCAAGAAGATCACCGATTATGATGCACAAGACGACGATGAGGACGTGGCAATGGGTGACGGTACCGGCGACGCTGAAATCGACGAGCGTCAAGGTGTTGCCGTTGACTTTGATGATGAAGATGAGGACGAGCTTGTTCAAGAGGTGCGGGACGAGTCATCTGACAGTGAGGATGAAGATAACGACGTGGACGAGGACGAAACGCACAAGCCCGATGCCGTTGTTAAAGATGACGATGACGAAATGGTTTTAGATGCCGGCCAGTCCAGCGACAAGGTTGAGAAGACGGACAAAGGCGCCATTGCAGCCAGGGATATCGATGCATTTTGGCTCCAAAGAGAAATTGGTGCTTTATATCCCGATGCCCACGAACAGACTGATAAAACAAAGGAAGCGCTTCGCCTACTGTCAGGAGAGCCCGACGAGGCTGGTGGTGAAGAAAAGACTCTACGAGAAATCGAAAATGATTTGATGGAACTGTTCGACTTTGAGCATCACGAGCTTGTACAGAAGCTCATCACAAACAGAGAAAAGGTCTTTTGGCTTACCAAGCTGGCCAGAGCCGAGAATTCTGATGCTCGCGAGGACGTTGAGCGTGAGATGGTCTCTGAAGGATTACAGCGAATTCTGAACGAGCTCCACGGCAAAACTGTCGTGGATGGGGAGCGCAAGGGTATGAAAATGGACATTGATGTTCCTGCATCGTTTACAGAAGAGCGAAAGGAAGATGCCGCCGACGGCCGTCTTGTTGGCGGCCTTCAGCCAAAGAAGCTCATCAGTCTTGACAATTTAGTATTTGACCAAGGAAACCATTTGATGACCAACCCCAAGGTCCGCCTTCCTGAGGGCTCTACCAAACGCTCATTCAAGGGCTACGAAGAAATTCATGTGCCGCCCCCGAAGAAGCGCAATGATCCCGATGACGTTGTCGTTCCCATCACAGACATGCCAGAGTGGTCACGCCCTCCTTTTGGCGCGACAAAGTCCCTCAACAAGATCCAGTCCAAGTGTTTCCCTACAGCCTTTGGGGACGACGGCAATATGCTCATTTGCGCACCGACAGGTTCCGGCAAAACCAATGTTGCCATGTTGACCATTCTTCGTGAGATTGGAAAGAACAGAAACCCCGAGACTGGTGATATTGATCTCGACTCCTTTAAGATTGTATACATCGCCCCTCTCAAGGCCCTTGTACAAGAACAAGTTGGTAATTTTGGCAAGCGTCTAGAGCCGTATGGGATTCGCGTGTCAGAGTTGACCGGTGATCGTCAGCTCACCAAGGCTCAGATTGCCGAGACTCAAATCATTGTCACTACTCCTGAGAAGTGGGATGTCATTACCAGAAAGGCCAATGATCTTTCCTATACAAATCTGGTACGTCTCGTTATCATTGACGAGATTCACTTGCTTCACGATGACCGTGGTCCTGTTCTGGAGAGTATTGTCAGCAGAACAATTCGCAAGACAGAGCAAACCGGTGAGCCTGTTCGCCTTGTCGGTCTGTCTGCCACACTTCCCAACTACCGTGATGTTGCCAGCTTCCTACGCGTCAACATCGACTCTGGTCTCTTCCACTTTGACGGATCTTTCCGACCCTGCCCCTTGCGCCAAGAGTTCATCGGCGTAACAGATCGCAAGGCCATCAAGCAACTCAAGACAATGAACGATGTGACATACAACAAGGTTCTGGAACACGTCGGTCAGAATAGGAACCAGGTGCTCATTTTCGTGCATTCACGCAAAGAGACGGCCAAGACTGCTCGCTACATCCGAGACAAGGCTATGGAGATGGACACTATCAACCAAATTCTACGTCACGATGCTGGCAGCCGCGAGGTACTTCAGGAAGCTGCGGGTCAAGCCACAGACAAGGATCTCAAGGACATTCTGCCTCACGGGTTCGGTATTCACCATGCCGGTATGAACCGTATTGACAGAACTGATGTCGAAGATCTCTTTGCTCGCGGCGCGATCCAGGTCCTAGTCTGCACCGCCACTCTGGCTTGGGGTGTCAACTTGCCCGCTCACACCGTCATCATCAAAGGCACACAGATCTATTCTCCAGAAAAGGGTACTTGGGTTGAGCTGAGCCCCCAGGACGTGCTGCAGATGCTCGGTCGCGCAGGTCGACCCCAATTCGATACCTACGGTGAAGGTATCATCATCACCACACAAACCGAGATACAGTACTACCTTTCTCTCCTCAACCAGCAACTGCCTATCGAAAGTCAGTTCGTTAGCAAACTAGTCGATAACCTCAACGCCGAAATCGTGTTGGGCAATGTCAGGACACGCGACGAAGGTGTTGAGTGGCTCGGATATACCTACCTATTTGTTCGTATGCTACGATCCCCCGGACTATATCAAGTCGGAGCCGAGTATGAAGACGACGTGGCTCTTGAGCAGAAGCGTGTAGACCTTATCCACGCTGCGGCCATGGTCCTGAAAAAGACGAACTTGGTCAAGTATGATGAAAAGACTGGACGTTTCCAATCTACTGAGCTTGGTCGAATTGCCTCGCACTACTACATTACTGCCAACTCTATGGAAACGTACAACAATCTCATACAGCCTTCTATCACCACCATTGAGCTATTCCGCGTTTTCTCCCTGTCTGCTGAATTTAAATACATTCCAGTTCGACAAGATGAGAAGCTAGAGCTCGCCAAGCTTCTCGGACGCGTGCCCATTCCTGTCAAGGAGAGTATCGAGGAGCCTCAGTGCAAGATCAATGTCCTCCTCCAGGCTTACATTTCGCGCCTTTCGCTCGATGGACTTGCGCTCATGGCTGACATGGTCTATATTACCCAGAGTGCTGGTCGTATTCTAAGAGCCGTCTTTGAAATTGCTTTGAAAAAGGGTTGGGCCTCCGTTGCGAAGACTGCACTTGACCTTTGCAAGATGGCCGAAAAGAGAATGTGGCCTACCATGACTCCTCTCCGGCAATTTCCTACCTGTCCGCGCGACGTTGTTCAGAAGGCTGAGCGTATCGACGTTGCCTGGGACAGCTACTTTGATCTTGACCCTCCTCGCATGGGTGAACTTCTTGGAATGCCCCGCGCTGGACGCACTGTTTGCAACTTCGTCGCCAAATTTCCCCGTGTCGACGTTCAGGCCCAAGTCCAGCCGATAACCAGGTCGATGCTCAAGGTTGAGCTCGCCATCACCCCCAACTTTGAATGGGATGATGCCGTTCACGGTGGTGCGGAGAACTTCTGGATCTTTGTCGAAGACTGTGACGGCGAGGACATCCTTTTCCACGATACCTTTCTTCTGCGCAAGGACTACGCCGTCTCTGAGTCAAATGAACACCTTGTGGACTTCACTGTCCCCATCACCGACCCCATGCCGCCCAATTACTTCATTTCGGTCATGTCCGATAGATGGATGCACTCCGAGACCCGTATTCCAGTCTCCTTCCAGAAGCTCATACTTCCTGAGAAGTTCCCTCCCCACACAGAGTTGCTTGAGCTCCAGCCCTTGCCCGTCTCAGCGCTCAAGACTGCAAGCTACACCAAGCTGTATCCTGAGTGGACGCAGTTTAACAAGATCCAGACGCAGGTCTTCAACTCGCTGTACAAGACGGATCAAAACGTATTTGTCGGCGCTCCGACTGGCAGCGGCAAGACTGTATGCGCAGAGTTTGCCTTACTTCGCCACTGGTCTCAGGAGGACTCTGGCAGAGCTGTTTACATTGCTCCGTTTCAAGAGCTTGTTGATGCACGCCTACAAGACTGGCAGAAGCGACTCGGCCACTTGGCCGGCGGCAAAGAAATTGTCAAGCTCACTGGGGAGACCGCTACTGACCTAAAGATGCTCGAACAAGGCGACTTAATCCTTGCTACACCTACTCAGTGGGATGTTCTTTCTCGCCAGTGGAAGCGTCGCAAGAATGTGCAGAGTGTCCAGCTCTTTATTGCGGATGATGTCCACCTTCTTGGCGGCTCTCAGGGCTATATTTACGAAATTATTGTGTCTCGTATGCACTACATCAGAACTCAGACCGAGCTGCCACTCCGTATTGTTGCCTTGAGTGTTTCTCTCGCCAATGCCCGTGACATTGGCGAATGGATTGATGCCAAAAAGCATGACATATATAACTTTAGCCCTCACGTCCGACCTGTTCCTCTCGAACTGCACATCCAGGCCTTTTCGAACCCTCATTTTCCCTCGCTCATGCTTGCCATGGCCAAGCCTACATACAATGCTATCACCCAGATGTCCGCAGACAAACCCGCCATGGTCTTTGTTCCAAACAGGAAACAGACGAGGAGCACGGCGCGCGACTTGCTGGCTGCTTGCGTCACAGATGAAGACGAGGACAGATTTCTGCATGTGGATGCCGATCAAATGAAGCCCCTCCTGGACCGCGTCCACGAAGAAGCGCTTGCCGAGGCTCTGTCTCATGGCATTGGTTACTACCACGAAGCGCTGAGCCAAAGCGATAAGCGCATTGTGAAGCATTTGTTTGATAAAGGCGCCGTCCAAGTCCTGGTGGCTTCTCGTGAAGTATGCTGGGAACTGACGAGTGTCGCCCACCTTGTCATTGTCATGGGTACACAATATTTTGAAGGCCGCGAGCACCGCTACGTCGACTATCCCCTCAGCGAAGTGCTGCAGATGTTCGGCAAGGCCCTGCGACCCTCTAAAGACGGCCGCGGCCGTGGTGTCCTCATGCTTCCGCAGGTAAAGCGCGACTACTACAAGAAGTTCCTTGGTGAAGCTCTCCCTGTGGAGTCGCACCTCAACAACTACCTTCACGATGCATTTGTGACAGAGATCAGCACCAAGATGATTGAGTCCGGCGAAGATGCCATCAATTGGACGACCTTCACCTACTTCTACCGACGTCTGCTGGCCAACCCCAGCTACTATGGTCTCACCAGCACCACTCATGAGGGCCTCAGCAACTACATGTCAGACCTAGTAGAAACAACCCTGCGCGAACTTGACGAGTCCAAAATTATCGATTTCGACGACGAGGACGGCTCTGTGTCGCCGCAAAACGCCGCAATGATTGCCGCGTACTATAACATCTCGTATATCACTATGCAGACCTTCCTTCTGTCTTTGTCGGCGCGTACGAAGCTCAAGGGCATTCTCGAAATCGTTACGTCAGCTACGGAGTTTGAGGCTATTCAGGTTCGCCACCACGAGGATGGCTTGCTTCGCCGCATCTACGATCGCATTCCCGTCAAGATGGCCCAGCCTACTTTTGATACTCCTCATTTCAAAACCTTTGTTCTTCTGCAGGCTCACTTCTCAAGAATGCAGCTCCCCATTGACCTGGCCAAGGATCAAGAGGTCATATTATCTCGTGTGCTCAGCTTGCTAAGCGCCATTGTGGACATTCTGTCGTCTGATGGTCACTTGAACACTATGAATGCAATGGAAATGTCACAGATGGTTGTACAAGCCATGTGGGATCGCGACAGCCCTCTGAAACAGATTCCTCACTTTGGAACTGACGTTGTCAAGGTTGCAAACGAGTTCGGCGTCAAGGATATCTTTGACTTCATGGAAGCCATGAACCCGGAGGAAAATGCCGACTACAAGGATCTTATCAAGCGACTGGGATTGTCTCAGAAGCAGCTTGGTGAAGCTGCCAAGTTTACAAACGACAACTATCCCGACCTGGAGCTGGAGCACGAGGTCTTGGAGGAGGATGAGATCCGGGCTGGTGAGCCTGCATACCTCAACGTCAAAATGGTTCGTAATCTGGAAGAGGAGGGTGGTGAATACGACTCGACGGTGCACGCACCCTTCTACCCCACCAAGAAGATAGAGAACTGGTGGCTGGTTGTCGGCGACGACAAGACAAACAGCCTGCTCGCAATCAAGCGAGTCACCATTGGCCGCGAGCTGAATGTGCGCGTCGAATACACGGTGCCTACACCCGGCAAACACAATTTGAAGTTGCTTCTCATGAGCGATAGCTACGTTGGTGTGGATCAGGAACGGGAATTTTCTATTACGGCAGCCGAGGGCATGGACGTTGACTCGGAGGAGGAAGAGGAAGACGAGTAAGGGCTGAAATATATCGGAAATGTACATTATAGTAAGCTACGAGGTGGAATATTATGCAATATGCGGTTTTATGGTCGTCGTTTCAAAAGAGTGTCTGTTTTTCGAAGGCAGTTTCGAGCGCTGGAGTGCTGGAGCACGGTGTCTAAACCAAACCACCACAGACCAGTATCGTGGCGGGCGGGCGGCGCACTGCGAGTGTATGATGGCAACAGCGATTCGCGACGAGTTATTATCAGACAATCAATCCTCGTTCGTGGTACCCACAGCCAAGGTTGGCTAGAATTTTGGGGCTACCATGGCCGCGGCGCCCCCTTGATTCTCATCCTCACCAACCTCTCGGTCTCGGTCACCTCCCACATATAGCGTCACGTGATGGGTATGCTGTGACGTGAGAGGTGCTCGTCCTGGCCATCCCATCTGCCCAGCCAGACCGGCCGTTACTTTGCCTCCGACTACCCACATCATAACACAACAAGGGTGAGGCTACAAGTCCGCAAAGCGCGCATTTCATCCCGCACAACTTCTCTTCCATCGCGCAACACGCTTTGCGACTGCCATTGGATCAAGCCACGCGCGTCCACGCGTCGGATCTCTTTATCCCCGTCTCTGCACGCACCCTGGTCAAGCTTCGCGGCTGCTGACCTTGCACAAAATCCCCTCGCGAATCCTTCCTTCGCCGTCGCGATCAGCACCAGATCTTTGTCAATTGCACATTCCGACGCGGTCAGCTCAACAATGGCCGATACTCCTCCCACCGTCCCCGAGGTCGCTGCGCCAGCCGCCACCGAGCAAACGGCTGCCAGCGAGCCTGTTGCCGCGCCGGCTGGTGGCGACGCCGCCAACGAGGCCAACGCCATCACGGATGCACCCAAGGAGGACACCGAGAAGGTTGAGGGTGAGTCTGATTCTACTTGGCCAACGGGTGTGCGCCGAGCTCGCGCAACCCTGCGCCGAGGCGATGCCTCCACGGCAACGAGGCGTCAGCGCCGCCTCGTCGCTCACTGCGAGCACGCTACCACGAACCTTCGCTAACACTGCTTCTGTAGATGCGACCAAGACAGAGGATATCGCGGCTACCAAGGGCGATATTGAAATTAAGGAGGCTTCTGAGGCTGCACCGGCCGTGACTGCGACCGAGACGCCCAATTCGAAGAAAAATAATCGCCGCAAGTCTGTCGGCGGGGGGCTGAGCAGAAAGGGCTCCAAGGCCCGGCTCACTCACACTGACGCCAAGCCAGGTGACCACTTTTTGGTGAAACTCAAAGGTTTCCCCCCGTGGCCCGTCATCATTTGCGAGGAGAGCATGCTTCCTCCGGCTTTGACTAGCTCCCGCCCCGTCTCCGCCGCCAAAGCCGACGGCACCTACGCGGACGCGTATGCGGACGGCGGCAAGAGAGTGGGCGACCGCACGTTTCCCATCATGTATCTCGCCACCTATGAATTGTGAGTTGCCAATGCGGACCGATCAAGCAACTCGCATACTAACAGACACAGTGGCTGGGCTGGCAATACTACCCTGACCGAGCTTACAGCGGAAAAGGCCGAGAACTCCATCAACGAAAAGATGCGCAAGGACCTGCGCTTGGCTTTCGAGATCGCTGTAGAGCAGAACCCGGTCGAGTATTACAAGAACTTTCTCGCAAAGATTGAGGAGGAGCGCATTGCTGAAAACAAGGCCCTTGAAGAGGCCGAGGCAGAAGAAAGGGCCTATAAAGAGGCTGAGGCTGCCAGAAAGGAAGCGGCTGCGACGCCAAAGAAGAGCAAGAAGAGCAAGAAGGCTGAAGAAGACGACGTGGAAATGGCTGATGACTCTGCCAAGCCCAAGTCGAAGAAGCGCAAGGCCGAGGAGGATGCCAGTGTACGTCTCCCTCAGCTTGAGAGTTTTGCGCGAGAGTCTTCCCTGCTTGAAAGTGTTCGGTACTAACTGTCTACCAGACCCCCCAGCGCCCTGATTCCGTCAAGAAGCCCAAGATCAAGCTTAACACGTCTTCGACACCCAAGGCCAACGGAACTCCAAGCAAGAAGGCTGAATCTGCCGCCAAGCCCAAGTCTGACAAGAAGACCAAGGATGCAAAGAAGCCAAAGGAGCCCAAGATGACTCCTGAGGAGAAGCGCGAGCGCAGACAGGTGCGTACGATGTCACTGTGAATGGATGTGTACTAATCATTTGCAGAGAGAGGTTTTCTTCCTGCGCCACAAGCTTCAAAAGGGCCTCTTGTCCAAGGACACGCCTCCTGTGGAGGGCGAGATGAAGGGCATGTCGGATTACCTAACCGCCCTGGAGACATTTACAGATCTTGAGGCTTCCATAATTCGCGAGACCAAGATCAACAAGGTGCTCAAGGCCATTCTGAAGATGGACAGCATCCCTCGCGAAGAGGAGTTCAGCTTCAAGAAGAGGTCACAGGGTCTGCTGGACAAGTGGAACAAGCTTCTCGCTAGTGCTGCCGCTGCTGCCCCGGCCGGTAACACTAATGGTGTGAACGGCTCCGGAGAGAAGAAGGATACGAATGGCGCCAAAGACGGCGCTGCTGAGGGCAAGCCTTCGTCGGAAAAGCCTACTGAAGTGAAGGAGGAGACAGAGCCTGCGGAGCCTGTCAAGGCCGAGGAAAAGGCCACCGAGGCAGTAGGCGACTCCGTCTGATCATCTGGCGCACTTCTGACATGTTTATAGGTTGCAACAGCTGCCGAGTAAACGACGAATGGGTGATAGCCCGTTCAAATCTCGCGATAATTTCCTTTTGTATTTCGGCGCACAAGCAAATTTTTTTGGCTTTAGTTGCTATTCCTTGACTTCTGTGCGTTTAAGTTTACGGTTTACGGGGCTGGCGGGTTCGATGTATGATATATCACAAATAGGAGCTCTTTATCTCGGCATTTGAAGCAGGCCTTAAAAGACGGCGTGACTGTGATGCCGAGGCTTGCCATCAGTGGGAAAAGTCAACGAGCTCGATACTTTGGAGGAATGGCTAAAAAGGGCGGTTCAAGGCTGCTCGGCGAAAAGGGGAGGGATGGTTGGTGTGGCTGGGTGAGAGACCTGGCTCGACGGCAGCGCGAGGTCTATCTTGATTAACGCACTGTAGCTAATATTCATGCTCTCTATCTTATGTGAATATTGGTAGAAATCGATATAGCTGCAAATATGATTTTGGTTCTTTAACATGAGTTCTTCGAAATACCCTTTTTCATGGTTCTCTTATTTATTGGAATAACTGTAATGTGATGGTGATATAGTGCCGGGGAGCATGAAAGGAATCGCTGGTTTGCGATACCTAATTATACAGTATTGAGGTAGTTGACAAGTTTCTGAGATAACAGCCCCAAGTGTTGTAGCATGCACTGGTATTCGGGTTGAACGTGCATGGATTCGGCGACCAACTATTTAATGGCTTAAAATAAATTTACCACTAAGCACATGGACGACACACTGGATTTCCGGGTGATAGGATTTTGACAGGTAACGAGGTCACAGCACAGGCGACACGAACATCTCATTCATAGATTGCCACCCTATAGTCTAGCTCGACGGATATACCTCGCAACAACATAGCTGTACGAAGGGTTTCTGTAAGCCTCGAAATACCTCTGTTGCTGAGATGCTCGGAAGATAAGCTGCTCTTCCCTTCAATCTTTTCCAGCCAGCGAATCTCCTGCTCGGTGGAAGCTGGCTCTTTGGTCCAGGTGGAGGGAACCTACGGTGTAAGCACAGTGTGGAGCACTGTCGTCTAACGCGTATCGAGTCGCGTGTTCGCAACTAAAAGGCCGACGTTGGCAAGCAAACACCATGGCTGTGGAAGACAACAAAACGAATGGCACATTTAGCCAAGAGGATCACCAGGTATTCTGCCATTCAATTTCTGGCTTACAAGCCCAGACGACGTGCATTGATGTAATTCTGACGGTTTCCTAGGTGGCCTACATCTTTAACCCTACGGACAGCGCGGCGCCGCGGCCATCAAAACGGCGGCGCGTCTCTAAGAAGGGCACTACGGGAAAGGGGTCGAATGATTGTTCTTCGTTAGCGTCTTTGGGTTCTTCGCTATTTGTACCGCTCTTGAACGGCGCCGAGAGCGCAGCATCCGTACAAGAGAGGTATCGCCTGTACGAGGAGGGCTGGGCTAAAGTGAATAGTCGGATACAGGTACGTATTGAATATTGAGAATACGGGATGAATAATCCGATCCAATCTGTCATATTTGGAGGATAACAGGGCTGATGGTGCTGCTCAGGGCATCTTGCGAGACTCAAATTCAGCAACGCTGGAGCAGGTGTCATCTTTTGTTCTGCAGGCAAAGACTGAATGGTAAGATCAAATATACCCCAATGCATGTATCATCATGCTTTCTAGAGTCTCGGCTGCTCCCCTTGGGCCTTACTGCCACCGGAAGGGGAGGGGAGGGGGGGCTGGGCGAGAGACACGGCGTGTGGCTAACATTTGGCCTGGCAGCTCTGAGAAAATCCCCGCGGCATTTATTGTGACGGGGACGAATATTGCGTCACAAGATCTGCTGTTTGAACAGCTGTCTGAAACGTTGCAGTCGGGCAGCAGCCGCTTCGTGAGGCTCCGGTCGACGGAGGCTGGGTCGCTGAAAGCGGTGCTAAAGCGCATCATTCGCACAGGGACGTCCAAAGCTACAGAGGAAGACGACGAGAATGACACAGAGGAAAAAGGAGCAGATGTACGCAGTGAAAATCGTTGTTGTTTGGATTCCTAACTGACTGGGCAGGGGAAACGCTATCTCGACTACGACTTGGAAGCACTGTATGCGTACGTCCAAACGCAGAACTGCGACCAGATTTTTGTGGCATTTCAGGACAGTGAAGGCTTCGAGAGTAGCCTGCTATCAGACCTGATTACTCTTTTGAGGTACGAGGACTGGCACCCTCTCCACAGAAATTACTGACAGCGACAGCTCGTGGCGTCCACGCATTCCATTCACTCTTCTATTTGGCATTGCCACGTCAGTGGAACTGCTTCAGGCCCGATTGCTCAAATCGACATGCCGCCAGATTTATGGAGGCCAATTCGACGATGTGCAGACGGACACCATCTTGGAATCGGTCTTCAAGGGCGCGGTGGCGGCGAGTGATGTCCCAGTCCGGCTTGGCGCTCCCTTGCTACGATGGATGCTGGACCGCCAACGCGATCAGGTGGCTGGCATTCAATCATTTATTAGCTCTCTCAAGGTGAGACTCTTTTGGGCAGCTGTGATGCACCTGTCATCAGCTCATGTTATTTATAGTATGCGTACATGTGTCACTTTTTCGCCAACCCGCTTACTGTGCTGGCACATTGGGAGGATGGCAAGGACAAGTTGATCCAGCCAGAACATTTAGAGGCCATACGTAACACACCCTCTTTCCGGAAGCATGTGGAGGCGGCCGTTGAACTTGGTACGCCCGAGAGCCTGCAGCACGCCCGGTCGCTGCTGGAGGATGACGCCACACTCAAGGAACGCGTGCAGGCTAGCATCCCGGAGCGTCAGGCGTGGATGAATGAGCGATTACGGAGCCTGCTTATGCTGGAAGCCGCGGGTGCGCAACACGGCACATTCTCGCGAGCGTACGTGGAAGTGATGAGCGAGGGCGTGGCCATGTCTGAGCACTCCAACATGGTGGCGAGCGTGCGGCGCATGGGTATGGGCGAGCTGAGGGTGGCGATGGAGCGAATCCTCTTGCTGCTACGCGAGGGCGAGCCGAGCCTGGGCCTAGGTCCTTGGCTGGCACGCGAGGGCGAACAGATGCAGAGCCAGCTGGAGACGCAGCTGGCGGCGCTGCAGGCCCTCTCGAGCCGCGCCGAGGCAGCGGGTGTCAGCAGCGTGCGCAGCCGGTACAGCGGACAGGCCAAGGTGGCGCGGACCACGGTGATTGCGCAGCGGGTGCAGCTGAGCCACCACTCGGCCACACTCAAGGACGAGGACCGGCAGCTGACGGAGATTGTCGATGCGGTGGCGGGCCTGCTGGCCGCGCGCACCGACGCCTCGACGCCGGGCGGGCTGTTTTTGTCGGAGAGCTGGCTGTACGACGCGCGGGCGCCGTCCCGGGACGTCTTGGTACCGCGGCCGCGCGTCGTCTTTGAGCGCAGTCTCGTCCGGCCGCACGACTACCTGGCGTGCGACTGCTGCAAGCCGGACCAGGACGGCCTGCAGGCGACGCTGCCGGCGACGGCGATCCTGTACCAAATGTACCTGGAGACGGGCAACCTCATCAACGTGGCGGACTTGTGGTCCTCATTTTACGCACTGGTCGGCGGCCAAGCAGGGGGTGAACAGGAAGGAGATGAGGACGGCATGGACGAGGATGGGGAAGAAGAGAAGCAGCGGGAGGTGCTGGTCATGTTCTACCGAGGCCTAGCAGAGCTACGCGCCATGGGCTACGTCAAGAGCAGCAAGAAGAAGACGGACCACATCGCCAAGGTCAAGTGGCTGTGATGAGGAAAGTACCAGTAATTACTGTATTCGTACTGGTAGGGCAGGCTAACTAGTTAGTTACCAAGTGTTGCGCAAAATACTGGTACATAGAGCATAGTATCCTAGCGGGATATGGGATATATCGTAGCGGGGGATATGGGATACCCTAGCGGGATATGGGATACCCTAGCGAGAGATATAGAGGATAATAGATGGCGCAGAATCAAAATATCGTGTTGATTACTCATTTGCGCATTTTTGCGGGCTCATGGTGAAGAAAATGTCGCTACTGGGCACGTCAGGACGCCTCCCCTGGCGTGGGCTGGTAGATTGACGGTGAGGCTGGCGAGCTGACTGGGGCGGCCTCTTTGCTGAAAAGGGAGTAGTTGGTACGATGATTTAGAATAAGCGAGTAAAAAAGAAGATGGCAATCAACCTAAAGGTCATGACAGTTGAGGCGCTGCATCTAGCGTCACGTTTTGTCTCTCCACGCGAGCCTAAGGACGCAGACGGGGAGAGTTGACTAGTTACATACAGATGAGCACAGATGGACATGAAGAGAGCGGGACAGGAGCTGAAGCCCGTGGTGGGCTGGGCTGGGCCGGGCGGGCATGGCATGTCTATGCGCGGTTGGGCGAGCAAAGAGGATCGCTGTGTGTGTCTGTGTGTGTGTGAGTGAGTATGGTGTCTGTGTGGTGCGCTGGAGGGATGACGGGCCTTGTGTAGTCCTTGTAGTCTGGTGGCGTTATCAGCTGGGGCTGCTTGGCTTCTTTTCCTTCTTCCTCTTTTCGGGGCACGACATCGCGTGGTTTTTCAGGGA